CACACACACACACACACACACACACACACACACACACACACACACACACACACACACACGGTGTCACATGTGTACGCGCCAAAAAGAGGAGGTCTAGCCAAAGTCGGAAATTTGGCCGACGATCTTGCTCGCTTAGCGGCGAGAACGACGCTACATTGTACCTACACTCTGGACTGTACAGCTGTCTACAGATCGAGCTAAAAATAAAGCGACCGGAGACGCTGCGACCCAAACGCAAGTGTTCTTGTTTGCAATGCAGTCACGCCAGGCAACAATATGGCGTTCGGTCGTGCTCGTCCAGGAACGTTGGTGTGGCACACGGACGTGCTATTGCGCGCGACGCACCCAGCTGATGTGATGAGCGGATTGGCACACACACCTCCTGTATCGTAGTCTTCGGCAAGGCCGCCCCCTCAGTGTGGGTGGACGCAACGAAAACAAAAACTGCGCAGGGGCTGCCGACAACGAAAGCTCGAAGCGCTCGCCAAGATATGGGCTCCAACGCACACACGCTTCCCGTTTCAATGGCAGGTTCGGCTTCAGCAGCAGCAGCAGCAGCAGCAGCATCATCATCAGCACACGAAAGCAAGCTGTCCGTGTTACAACTTTCTTTTCTCACCGTTGCGGAAAGCCCCACAAAGGCACAATCTTGATCAGCTCGCTCTCCCTCACAGCATCGACGCGTCCAAACAAACACGCTTCTAAACCTCCACCTGCAGTCCTGCGTTTTCGCACATGGTCAGGGATCCGAGAGCAACACACGCTGTTCAAGTGCCTCCCGCACACCTGGGATTTTCTGGGCAGAAAAGATTGGCCCTTTCGAATCTCACAAAAAGTGTTTTTTTATTTCCCTTTTTATAATTGGTGTTATTTTGGCGGGTTGTTCGTCTTGCCTCGGGCGCTACCTGCCGGCACCACCGCTTTTGTTTTAGGCACCCCAGAGCAACACAAGTCAGGGTTCAATTCAGTTCAGGAGGCAGAAGCACTTCGGTCAGAGGCTGCAGCGAGCAACAGGCCGAACAAAAAAAAGAAGCCTGCACAACAACACAACCCGGGCCAGATTATGCGTGCTTCGAACAAACCGTTCCGTCTGCTTGGTGCCGTCGCTAGCTGCTGCTGCTCTTTGCTGCCTCCGAGTGACGCGGCAAGGTCGCATACGCATCGCTTTCCGATTCTGGCCAAACGGCGTTCTTCCCATCGTCACCTTTCCCTCATCTGGCAACTGCCACTGCGCAACACCAGCTCGATCAGCTCCTGCGCTACGAATACTCGGCGAGGCCGACAAAGCGCTCACAGCAAATGCGTTTCTTCTCCTGACCGTTTGCACCGTCTACGCCGCCTCACCTTACGACCTTACGACTCTTCGGCTCCTCCATTGCACGCCCTGGCATTGCTACACCGAGCGCTGTCATGCGGTGATCTTGTAACCCTCCTCCTCCTCCTCGTCCAGCTCAGCATCATCCTTAAACTCAACTACAGAGCGGCATCTGGAAGGCATCCCAGCACCCTGTCACCCGCTGCTTCATTCGCGTCACATGCAGCACAAAAGCCCGCCATGATCATCCATACACCTCGGGCCGATCCGAACGTGTCGGCCTCTCCGTCCACCTCTCGTCAGACGGTCAGTCAACCAAGGACGCCCATCACCCCGAAGCGATACCGAGCCGCCCCTTCCGTGGCTCAGCCGCTTCCTTGGACTCCTTCTTCTCGTCGCAGCTCTGTTGTCGACGACGACGCCACAGAGCACGACTCGGCTGCTCAGAGCTCTTCCTCCTCCAACTGGCAGGCCAGCATCGAGCTCTCGCTGACTACTCGACGCCGTCTCATTCGCAAGCCTCTACCTCAGATACCTCCGTCCCAGCTCAACAGAACCGACACACCAGACGATGCAGACGACGAGTTCATCGATTCGGCTGCGCTCGACGCTCGATACAACCAAGCAGGCGCATGGTGGCCCGATGCGCTTCCCGACAAGCACGTACCTGCAGCTGCCTCTTCCTCTGCGAAGCCGTCCAGTTCGACGCAGAGCCCCCCTTCCATCGATGGTCAGGGCTTGGACGAACAGAGTCTACGTCATCTCCTCTCCATTCTTCACTACGCTGCGCTCGGATACGAATCCGACGCCGCTGCTGAATGCGACGACGGCACCATCGGAAGGAACGTGATTGTATCAGCAACAGGAACATACAAGAAGCAGGCGTCCAACAATAGCACGCCCGTCGCTGCGCCTGCGCCTGCGCACAATGACAAGGAGGCAATGTATGTGCTTGACGAAGCGACGCTCGACAGCCTCTACCTCGCTTTGCAAGCCGCCTTCCGACATCTTTCTCAGAGGCATCTTCTCGGAGACCTGCAACGTACCGCTTCCATCAAATGGCGTGCCGAGGCTCAGCTACGCAACGCTACCGCAGCCCAGGCAGCGGAGTCCAGCAGCTTCCTTTCGTCACGATGGGCTCGCTTTGCGTGGCCTGCTGCTGCTCTTGGCAAAGCGTACAAGGAAGCTCAGAAGAACGTCCTGCCACCTCAGCCGGGAGACAGCGCCTTCCCCGGCTTAGCTTCGCCTTCCTACCTTCAGACGAGCCACCAGCAACCTGACCAACTCTACAGCGACCTGGATCATCGGATCCGAAAGAGGGATGTTGCGGTCAAGATCCTGAGCAATGCCGTCTGGTTTGTTCGCAATTACGGCCCTGCCGCTGGTGTGGAGGCGCTGGAAGAGTCGAGCCAGGACTTTTACGAAAAGGTCAAAAAGCCACCATTTGCGGGCGATGAACTCGCTCCTCCTGCTCCTTCCTTGTCTTCATCCCGAAGAACATCGGAGAATCTACTCAGAAGGAACGCCGGGCTTCCCCACTTGCTCTCCAAGTCAAGCGCCACGACAGCTATCAGCGGCACTGCCACACCAGAGAGCGGTCAATCCGACGCTCCACCCACCCCTGCTTCGGAAGCGTCGTCCAAGCGGAGCTCTGCAACGCCGGCCGCTCCTCCCTCCGTGCGAGACTCCGGGACCCTTCCCGCGAGCTCGTCCGACCAGCAGTTGCTGCCGAGGCCAACCTCAACCACCGCCTCCGGTCTTTCACAAGCAGTGACACCATCTGACACCGAGTCGGGGCTGCCACCTTCCAGCGCGACAGCAACACATCCATTGCCTGGGTCGACCAATGTCAGTGCGGGCGAGAAGAGCAAAGCCATGGAACATCTCACCTCACTCAGTGCTGCTGCTGGCGCTGCCATGCGACAGAGGGCACAACACGCCGCCGCAGCTGCGGCAGCCACTGGCACCAAACCCGAAGATTCTGTCGATGCAGTGCTGGCTGCTTCCGCGCGCTTGCGTCCCCAATTCAGCCGACCGAGCCTGCGCTCCTTTGCTGGTCGCTCGGAAGCCGAAATTGCAGAAACCAATGCGCTCGAAAAGGCCGAGCGCGACCACTTGGTCAAGATCGGCCGAGGCTGCGACGAGTGGGCCAAGATGGTCGTTTGCCGACTCTGCGCTTCCATCTCTGTGGCCGAGAGCTCCGACAAGGTATCTCACCGAAGGTCGGGAACAATTACGGCCAGAGACATGGGTAGAGAAGCAGTCGCGGCTGAAGGAGCGGACGTCGGTTCGAGTGTATCCACACGCTCTGACATGACAGCCAAAGCGGGCAGAGTCGGTCACAACGGTTCTCGAGGAGATCAGCAAGGTAACGCTGAGAGTCAGGCAGAGGATCAGAAGCTCGCGTCGATCGTGTGGCAAGCTGACGTCTTTAAAGGCGAAGAGCTCTTCGCGCATGGAGGGGTCGACTCGAATGACTGTAGAGGCAGCGTATCGCCGGACGACGTTGATGAACGCGTCAGGCTGGTGGGAGGCAGCTTCGTATGTAGCGTTCAGACCGAAAAACAGAAGCAGGCTTTGATCGAGCTTATCGAGGTCGCCCTGTATGCCGGCATGTCGATGCTGCTCGAGTCGAGCTTTCTCAGCGATTCGGACGCAGCTCGACCCAAGATCGTCAAGGTGCCCACACGAACCACTTCGACCGTCGATGCACCACAGCGAGGCGCCAGCCTTGTCCAGCAAGCCGCCCTTTCTCGTTTCAGTTCGCAGCAAAGCCTCGAAAGCAGTCACACATCGACCTCGGGCACGACCGGCACCATGCAGACTTCCGGCCCCACACATCCGGCGGCTCAAGCAGATAATGGAGCGCACGAAGCCGATGCCATTCATAGGTCCGGTCCCAGAAAGTGGACAAAGAGCTTGTGGGGAAAGCTTGGACAGCAGCCGCTCGGCTCTGCAGAATCCAACGCGAATCTTTCCGCTGGACGACCGGGCACTAACGAAGATCACGGCACGGCGACGACAGCACCGCGCACTTCGCTCACAATGCATCGGTATCAGACGGACGACGATCCGAGCAATGCGATATCCGCGGCCGCCCGATCACCCATCTTCAAGGCCGGCGAAGAGCCCAAGCAGACGATCGCAGCCAGGAAAGCGGCTCTGTTTGCGAGCGCTAACAACCAATCCGGCCCCTCGACGCCGTCTGGAGCACGCGGTCACACCGCCGAACACGCAGCGCACACAGGTCACAAACCGCACCGCTTGGTAGGACGACTGATGAATGCCTTTGCGAAGCCCTCATCTTCGGAAACCTCCCGTCCGGAGGCTGTCGGCTACGGTTCTGACCCGAATACGGCGCTGATATCTTCCAAAATATCTGCATCTGATGGTGCACAGCTGGACACCAGCAGCAGGGCTGAGGCTGTCACGTCGCGATCTCGAGCGTCGACGATCGAGAACCGGATGTCCAATTTCGAGCGACTGCGCACAACGGCGAAAGCGAAGCCTTCGTTCCCCGTCGAAAAACCGAGCCCGGCGGCCCTATCGACCTCTCCCGAGCTTTCGATGCTCCTCTGCTACCAGTATCGTCCGGCTCCCGACCATATTGCATTTCCGACCGCTACCTACTTGACCGCCTTCCATCGTCTACAGCTGTTGCGCTTTCTGGCCGACCAACGCTGGGATCACTTGACGTTCGCCTCCCCCTCGCACGGCATCTCCGCCTCGGGCGATCTTGTGCCCTTCGTTGGCGTGCAAACGCCTCCATCATCGTCGTCGCCTTGGAGTGTCATCTTGTCGCGAGGCCAGCACCAGCAGCAAATCCAAACAACGTCACGCAGCGGCCTGCGCTCGGTCCAGCTCTTGTCGTACGAGCTGCTCTCCGGAAATGGCTCTGTCCTCGGCTTATGTCGCGAAGAAGTGGCGTTTTATCAGAGGCTCAGCAACAATCGGGATGTACCTCTCGGACAAGTCATCGAAGAGCTCGGCATACGTGCGTGTGCACTAGAGGCCGACAACGATACCGCCTCGAAGCCAGCACAGGACTCCCGCATCGTCGCGGGCAAGAGCCAAATCAGTGGGGCTAGAGACCGCAATGACGCTTCTGCGAGACCACGTAACAGCGCCTACGATGCCCCCGAGCAGCGCTTGCAATTCATCCATGGTTCCTGCCGAATCAAGCTTGTTGCCACCGTGTTACCGTCGCGACTGTACGGCACAGACGCTGAGAATGGAACGCAGCACGAGGCGGACTCAGATGCACAGCCAGCGGCGGGAAGCGGGGCGGTCTCGCCGTCTCTAAAGCCGACCAGATCGAGAGAATCTGACGTCTCTGCCATCGCTGCCGCAAGTCACACAGACAAGGAGGTGGCCGACACCGCCTTCGCTGTCGCAGAAACCGCGGTTCAAGCCGCCGAGACAGGCGCAACACGGCCGCTCGTGGATCAGCGCGGAAGCGGAAACACGAGTGGAATATGGATGTGGAATGCCAGCGCCAAGAGCGGCTGGCAAGCCAAAGCAACGCCGATGTCCGAGTCCACCTATCTGCTCTCCTTCGCTCGCTACCTGGAAGCCATCTCGTATCATCCAGCTCTGCGTCGAGCGGGTGGACTAGAACCTGCCAGCGCCAAAGGGTACGGAGGTCTGGCCAAGGTGCAGCAACAGCTTCGTCAAGGTAAGGGCGAGGACAGCCGCAGTGTCGCCGAGGGACCCAACTTGTTGCGCTTCTTCCGAAGCGGCCGTTCGCTTATCAAGGTGCAGGTACAACCTCTCGTTCTGTTTGACCTACACTTGGAGGGGCCTTTTCTGAAGACGAGCAACGAGCGTCGGCGCGAAAGGAAGCAAAAGCAAGCGCAAGCGGAGAAGCGCAGGCTCAAGCAGATGGCTGACGCAACGCGACTAGAAATACAGCGCTTCTTCGCTTCCGTCAAGGGCACCACGACCAAACTCGAAGACGTGTTTGTGTCGCGCGATCTCGACGAATCTGGCAAGACCGTTCGCAGGAAGTCGGCAGCGCAACATGCAGAGAATGGTCAGACAAACGTGACAGGCCTCCCCTCGTCATCGTCAAATTCGACGATGCCAGACATGGTGGCAGAGCCGATGAATCTGCTGACCAACTTGCGTTCGTCGCTCCGTTCCGACGAATTCGAGCTGTACGAATCTTTGCAAAGGACTTTGCACCTGGACGGCATCAATGACGTCCGCAAGGCGTTCGCCGACCGCGCCAAGTCGGCCAAGAACCGCCTCACCGCATGGATTAAGAAACACCTCGACAAGACGGAGCGGACCAACTTTGAAAACCCGCACTACGACGAGCCCGAGTATTTCCAGGCAGGTCGCCGAGCCTTCCCCGGAAGTAGCTTCATCATCCGTGACGACGAACCGCTCTCCATCGTCGCCTATTCACTCAGCTCATGCGACTTCCGCGCCGAAATGGGCACGCTGGCTCAACGTCACGCCGATGCTACTGGCTACATGGGAAGCAGCAACGAGGAGCACGTCCGGCAATGGCGTAGCGGGGTGGTCGATGGCAGCGATGCTGCTAGCGACGCCTCCTACATTTCTAGATCCGGTGCCAGTGCTGCATCGGCTGCCTCGAGCTTGCTGAGAAATAGGGTCATGCGCAGAGTGCCTCTCGACCAGCTCGACCCGGACAAGGACGAGGTGTTCTACGACGCCGAGCCGGTGCGTGCTGTGCTGAAGCGCAAGAAGCGAGGACGAGAGTCGTCGATCCTATCCTTGACGCTGCGACGGGTGGGGTCCACGCTTTCGGAATCGCAACGCGCCAACTATCAAGCAACGAACGCCAATGGACGACCAGCCTCGTCGTCCGGTTCAATCAAGGTTCGCGACGACTCCGACGATGACGATGATGTTAATGACGACGAAGTCGAGGTCCCGACGAACGGTCGCAGTTCGACAATCTCCACTTCCATCGATGGCCAGGACACAACGCTTGGCGCCCTTCGCACGCCCTCGAGACGGCCTCCTGCTGCCATGACGGATCAGAAGACGCCGTCGTCGGCCAAGGCCGAACCGCGCACACAAGGCAGCGTCACCGCGCTTCGACGCACGTTTGAGCTGCGATCCCAATCCTCGTTCTCGTCCATCCCGGACAGGAAGTCCTCAATCCAGCCTGCGCAACCGCATCAGTCTGCGGGCGCCAGCACAATCAGCAATGCAAGTACGGACACGACCTTCCACGCACAGATTACGCCCATGTCCGGCCGTCCTGCATCACTCGCCAGCATCTTTTCGTCCACCAAGACAGACTCGGAGGCCGCAGATTCGCACTACAGCAGGGTCTCAAGCCGTACCATCGGTTCGAGCGTCCCTACAGCGAATCCGCGTTCGGCGTCCCAGCCGCGTCGACCGTCTTCTTCTCTGGCATCCGAGGCGTCGGGCGGCGAAGAAAACGCCGAGACGTACATTGGCGCCCCTTCTGCGGCCAAGCACAATCACCCTGCGCAGCCGTCTCTCGCGAGCGAAGGCGTGGCGGGCGCCGATGCCCGATCGTTGCAGTCCAACAGCACGTTGCCTGGATCTACCTCGACCGAGTCACCGCACATCAAGCACAACCTGGTTCAGGGAAGCACCAAGATCTCGTGTGTCACGTGGTTTGCCGAAGAATTTGCGGCGCTTCGTGAGCGATGGGGAGTCGAGCACGACTACATCCAAAGTCTCTCGCGCTGTCAGCCATGGGTCGCCTCGGGCGGCAAATCCAAGTCGGCGTTCTTCAAGACGGCAGACGAGCGCTTCATCGCCAAGCAGCTGTTGACCGTGTGGAGTGTCGACGAGAAGGAGGCGTTCCTCGAGTTTGCTCCCGCCTACATCCGCTACATGATGAACTCTGCCGTCAACGATTGTCCTACGCTGCTGGTCAAGATCGCCGGCGTGTACAGCATCAAGATTAAGGACATCAAGGCGGGGGAGACCAAGCTCAAGATGACCGTGATGGTGTTGGAGAATCTGTGGGCAGGCGATGGTGGCAAGTCGATCAGGTTTGATTTGAAGGGCATTCGAGATCGCAAGGTAAAGCTCAGCGCTCAGCAGCAGCAGGAATTGCAGCAAGCTGCGACGAACACGGCGGCCAACGGACAGCCTCTGGTCGAGGTGGCCGGGGCAGGGAAAGGTTCGACCATTCAAGGATCGGCGACGACTGCTGTGAACGCAGGCGTGGCATCGATGGCAACGGGTGGATGTGATCAACCCGCTTCTGGTGCTTCGGTGGGGAACAGAGCTGGGGATGCGGGTAGCGCTCAAGCTGCCGTCGGAAGCGGCGAAGCCAAGCAATCGTCGGGCTCCAATGCTGTTTGGTGGGACAGCGAATGGATCGAACGGTACCGTCACCGCGCCTTTGTACCCGAAACGCAGAAGGAGCACTTCCTGCGAGCGCTGCAAAACGACACGCAGTTCCTCACCGCCTCCAACGTCATGGATTACTCCCTGCTCCTCGGAGTGATGGAACATCCCGTTCGTCAAGACGACATGTACCCACCCGCATCCGCACCATCCGCCAGCGGCACCACGACCCCTCTGGAAGCAGCGGATCTGCACGAACCACCCGAAAGACCCTCGTTCCGATGCAGGATCGTCGACTTCCTCGGCGCATTCACGCTCGCCAAGCAGCTCGAATCCAGCTCGAAAAAGGCGCTCAAGGGTCAGGACGCAAGGGGCAATGTGACGATCCTGCCACCGAGCGAGTACGCCAGCCGCTTCTTGGGGGCCATGGACACGTACTTTATCGGTACACCGTGTCAGCCCAGGTTGGATGCGGGGTATGGGTTCGATAGGATGTGCGAGGAGGTGGCGAAGGGGAACGGGGAAGGAGAAGTGAGGCGGCCGAGGCTTGCGTCGGTTCTGTAGTGTCTGTAATGGTGGCAGTCAAGAAGATCTCGATGATGTAGTCACGATCGATGAAGAGGTTGGGTGATGAGCACAACGTGCGTCGCCTGTGATGAGTGTGGCTAGAAGTACAAGTGGTGAGAAGACGGGGTAAAGGTGATTGTGTGTGGATGGATCTGAGATGGATCAATGGGTCGGGAGAGTCGACGCCTGACCGGGCATCGGACTATTGAACCCGGACGCAACCCTACTATCGTCCCCCTCTTCATCTGCATCCTCGTCATCCTCGTCATCGTCATCGTCGGGTCCGTCCTTCTTGGACGCTTTTCCTCTCTTTTTGACTCTGGGGTTTGATTCCTGTTCCATTCTGTATCTGCTGAGGTAGACCCTCAAAATCTCCTCGTAGTTGTCGAAACCGAGGACTCTCATAGCGTAGAGGATGTCGTCACCGTTGATGGTTTTGCGTTTTTCGGCGGAACATTTGTCGGAGGCTTCCGAGGTGATGAAGGAGATGAGTTCGGAGACGCAGTCCTGGACGCATTCTTTGGCGTCTTTTGCGATCTTTGCGTTTTCGGGAAGCGAACGTTTCATGATACGGGAAATGTTGGCAATGGGTAAGTCGGGGTCTGGGAAGAGAGCGGCGTAGGTTGGGTGTGAGGAGAGGTTGGTAGGATCGATAGAGGTGGTGGAAGTTGAGGTAGGAGTGGATGTTCCGGTGTGTGGTTGTTGATGCGCAGGAGGGTGAACAGCTGCAGGATGCGAATGGTGTGATGAAGGGTTGACGTGCGAGGAGGGTGAGGCGTAAGAGGCTGGTGTAGAATGCGTGGATGGTGATGCATCGAGCAACGTATGTGCGCCGATCGGCGTTGATGTCGACGTCGACATTATGGCAGCTGAGAGGTATCAGGGATGCAGTTGGTCTGGTTGAGGTTGTTAGACGCTGATGCAAAGTTTGAGATTCGAGGCAGAGAAGGCTGAGTTCCGTTCACGACCGAAACGTCTGGCTTGTTGCAGTTTGAAGTCGCTCTGAAACTTCTTTTTAATATCGGCTTTGCAAGAAAGACAGTTGAAGACTGCAACGACGAATGCGCTAAGTGGAATAGCAGTCTGTTTTTGAACAAGGTCGTGAACGTTCTCTTCGTCAGTGGCTGGTGATGATGGTGCAAAGGCATCTCTTTGCTCGTCACCATCCCAAAATGAAACTCTGCTCTCCACTCCACCAAATATCTCTAGCTTGCATGCCTGTCAAAATCTTAAAGAGCAAAAAAAGAATTAGCCGCGGTGCAACTGCGTAACCTGCGTCCTCCTGCAGCGTTGGAAGAAGGACCCTTTCGCCGAATTTTTTGCTCGATTTCCCAAGAATTCGTAGCGTAGCTCACGTGACACGTCCCTTCCGAATTCCGAGTCGTTCCGCTCCGGTTCTTCTCCTCAGACGGTCAACGATGTCCTCATCCGAGGTGGCCGTGGTGGGCTACAATCGAGCTCATCGACAAAGAATGGCGAGAAGCAGCGTGAAGAGAATTGAAAGTCTATATGATGCTGTATTGATGAAAATATGGACCGCAATCTGGACAGAATGGTTGAGTGTGAACCGAACTTGTCGATGCTGCTACTGCTCGCTCTGCTGCTTCTTGTAAGGAACAACGATCTTGCTCACAAACAGATTGTGCAGCCTCGTATCCGGGGTCAACTCGGGATGGAAGCTGGTCATCAAGATGTTGCCCTGCCGCAAAGCGACGATCTGCGAGTCGTGGTCGGGTCTGCGTGCGATGTCCATCCTCGGATCGCGCTGCGCTACGTGAGCGGCAACTGGGCGGTTGGAAGGCGACAGAGGCGTCGTCACCGGTTCCGGCAAAGTGGCGAGGATCTCGATGGGCGGTCGCTTTTGTGCTGATGCGATGGGATCCGACGTATCATAGAGTGGAGGTGCCACGACGATCCGTAATGCTGGATCCGTGTTGGCGAGTTTGGGAAGCGGCGGTTCGGATGCGTTGGCCGGTAGCTCTGCTGTAGGTGTGAGGGGCACTGCGTTGGTGTTTGTGATCGGAGTAGGGACAGAGTCTGGCAACGCATCTGGGTCGACACGCTTGACAAGCGTGGGTTGGTCCACTGCGACCTTTTCGAGATCGCTCGGCAGAAGCAAGGCGTCAACCACCGGTGCACGAATGAACACTCCATTGAAAGGCTCGTCCTGCCTGTCCAGCCCTTCGATCGTCAGCCCAGTCTCGAACGAATCGATCTGTGAGCCAAATCCATTCCTCCCGACCCTGACATCGACGCCGCCGATCAACTGCTGACCACCCTTTTTGCCTCCACTCGCCTCCCTTGCGAGCATGATCATACCTGCACACGTGCCCCATACGGGTCGACCTTGCCTCACCCACTGGCGAAGAGGTTCGAGCAAACCGATGCGTTCGCAGCCGAGTGAGATGGCGGTGGACTCTCCACCGGGGATGATGAGCGCATCGCAGTCGGCGAGCTGTTCGGGCGTGCGGACGAGGGTGCTACGGATGGTCTGGTGTGGGTAGAGCGTGTTGAGGCGGTTGACGTGTGACGCATGTTCACGGAATGCGCCCTGCATGGCGAGCACACCGACAGTGATGCTTGACGACGACGCCGAGGCGGAGCTGGTCACGGCCGAGGGAGAGATGGCGCTACCGTTAGCGCCGCTGGTGAGGGCCGCGCCCGTTGCCACACCGATTCCAGCCATTTCGAGCTCGATCTTGTGGTGAGATACGCAGCGATGTTGCAGGTGCAAGCGTCGATGATGTTAATGGTGAGCAAAGATGACGATACAGGATAGTGTCTGGTGCCTTGCCTTGTGGGGCTGGTGGGCCTCGGCAGCTAGAGGCGTTGATTCATAGGCTGGCTATCGAGCACCCTCGATGCTTGCAGTAACAGCCAATTCAACCTGCCGCGACAGTGCCGAGAAGATCGCGCCTTCTGCTGACTCGGAAGCTTCCGACCTTTATTTTGTGATTTCAGAAGAAAAAAGACTGGCTGTGACTTCAAAGAAACAGAACTGGTGAAGAAAAATCACGATGTTGGAAATACAACTGTAACAATGAATTCCAAGATGTGGCTGCTCGTTCGGGTCCGACGAGCGACGCGAGAAGAACAGCGAGACGGACACAGGCCAGGCCGAGCAGCTAAGCATAGCATCAGGAGAGCGACACCAAATCTCCACTCGACATCCTTGATCCCATCTCTACATCTTACCACGATCTCGATTTCGAGCAACAGGCCAAGGCGCAAAAGAAGCACAATACTCGACCTGCACTTCTTGGTCGACGGGCGCTTCCATCATGCCGCCTCGCAACAGGACGCTCGACCTTCCGGTCGCTGTCAACGAGTCCATCTCGCTCGACTTGGACCCTCTGCCTCCCGCAGAAGACATCCAAGTCTTCTTGGAAGCGCTCGCCTACGAACGCCCTCCTTCCAAATACTGGTCTCGACTCGCAACGCAGCTCTACATCGAAAATCGCGTTCCCGAGGCCGTCCAGGTCTGCGCACAGGGCGTCCAGGTGCTTGCCCCTTACAAGCCGACTGAGACCATCCCGCTTCGTGGTCTGCTCGCTGCTTTCTCCCTCAAGAACGCCAAAACTTCGCCCAAGATCATCCTCAACGATGCTCGCTACCAGCGCATCACGAATCAGCAGATCAAAGACGCCCACTACAAAGAGTCATCCACCACCCAGTCGCAGGCCAATGTCCTCGATCCCAAACACCACATCAACCAGCTCTCTAGAGCCATCTTTCTTACCACGAGTGGTCAGAATGAAGGCGCTGAAATGCTCTACAATGTCATCCTCAACCAGCATCCTCGACATGCCCTCGCTCTCCTCGGCAAAGCTTCCATCAACCTCCGAAAGCGCCAGTACGCGCCCGCCCTCAAACTCTACCAGCAGGCGCTCGAGGTCAGCATTCTCGTTCAGAACAAGGCCGACGCCGACGGCGAGAACGCAGCCAACCTAGGCTGGAGAGGGCCCGACCCTCGCATCGGCATCGGTCTCTGTCTCTGGGGACTCGGCCATCACGATGCTGCCAGAAAGGCGTGGAAGCGTGCCGTCCAGCTCAACCCCAAGAACGCCGCCGCTCACCTGCTGCTCGGAATCACCAGTCTCAACCTGGTCAAGCAGACCGCACGTCTCGTTCCTGGCACCTTTGGCGCTCACGTAGAGAGATCTGAAGAGGAGGCGCGCGAACTCGCCTACACCGAAGGCATGTCGAGTCTCCAAGAAAGCTGGAAGCTCGACAAGAGCAATGCCACCGCTGCCATCGTCATGTGCGAGTACTTCATCAACAACGCCGCTCAGGCCATCAACCGCCCAGGCCCTGTACAACAGGCAGAGCAAGCCGCCATGGCTCACTACGCCACCGCCTTCAAGCTTGCCGAACATGCCATACAGTACGCCGAGACGCGCGTTGGCGTCAATCACGCTCAACTCGTCTTCGCCCGTGCCTCTCACCTCGCCTCGCAGCTCTCCATCAACGCCACCCAGCCTGAATTGCGCCTCCAAGCGCAGCGATACTATGCTCGAGTCGTCGATGATGTCACTCGCATCCTCTCCTCGGGCGCCGCTGGCCAGAACTCCGCCAACAGTGCACAGCTCCATCTCTGCCTCTCCCTCGCCACGCTCGGCTTGGCACAATGCCAGGTTGCCAACCGCGACCCCCTCGCCGCCATCAACACGCTGGACGCGCTCACCTCCCGGCCCGCCAACTCGGTCTCGGCCACTCAGACCATTGAGCTTTCGCTGCTCGCTGCCAGTCTGCGCGCACAGTCGCATCCCGGTGCCACTGCTTCCGAACGACAGGCTGATGCCGAGCGCGCTCGCATCATTCTCGATCGTGCCCTTCGTCTCATCGAGGCCGCCAAGCTCGATGCGTACGGTCCGCAGGCGCTCTTTGCCCACCCAGACGAGTTGCCTTCCGCCGCCCCGGCACCGACCGACGACGCTGCTTCGGACGTACCTGCTGCCCTCGCCAAGGCTTCCTTGTCCATCCGCACCGAAGACTTGTCCAAAACGGCCCTCGAGGCCATCGCCAGTCTCGGATCTGACCCGCTCACACGCGTCGAGTTCGCCGAATTGCTCCAGACCGAGGACCTTGCTCGTGCCTCGACAGCGTACGCAGAGGGACTTGAGCTTGCCAAAGCCAAGGCCAGCACGCTCGATGCCATCGATACCGATGAGGCCGCCACGAACGTGTCGCTGCTGGCCAGCCTCGAAACGTGTCTCGGCGCTGTGCTTGCTATCCGCGCCACCGACATCCCCGCCAGCGATCCACAACGCCAAGAGGAGCGAACATGGCTGCTCGAGCGATCCATGTCGCGTCTCGAATCCGCCGTCACGGCTGCTGCCAACGCCGTCAACGCTTTCGGTGCGTCCGCTGCTTCGGCACCCGCAACCACAGCTCGTCTCGAAGCGCAGAGGACCGTCGACGCGGTCAAGCTGATCGCCTCGTACAACCTGGGCCGCGCCAACGAAGCTGTCGGCAACGTCGATGTCGCCCGTCAAGCTTACCAGTCGCTTTTGGGTGCTCACCCCGAGTACACCGATGCGAAAGTGCGCCTGGCCATCCTCAACGTCGCCAAACCTCCCGCCGGTGCGTCCGGTCCAGACGCTGTTGCCAAGCTCAAGGCGCTGCGTGACGTGAGCAACGCTCTTTTGAAGGAAGCTCTCGATTCAGATCCGGGAAACCTCGACACCCGTTCCACGTACGTCTGCTTCCTTGCTGGAGAGTTCGCTGGCAGCCCCACGCCTTCGTGGGGCGCCATCAAGGAGTTCACTGCGCAACTCTTCTCCAGCACGTCCAAGTCTACTGCCGAAAGCGGTCGGCGCGATGCTCACACGCTTGCCTCGCTCGGCTGGACCTACTACCAGCTCGCCGTCCACGCAGCCGGTCCTTCAGCGAAAGCCGATCGTAGTAAAAACATGATGCGTGCTACAGATCTCATGGACAAGGCTCTTGGAGCAGACCCGCGTTGCGCATTTGCCGCCCAGGGCATGGCCGTCCTGCTCGCCGAGGACGCTTTTGCTGAGACGGCAGGTGGCACGTCGCTGACGCTCCCCGTGCTCGGAGGTGCACCCGAAGAGCGAAGGAAGAAGAACGCCGACGAGGCTCTCGCCATCCTGTCCAAGCTGCGCGAGATGAAGGACGAAGGCAGCGTTCACGTTTGTATGGGTCACGTCCTCATGCAGAAGGACGAATTTGAGCGTGCGCTCAAGTCATACGAGCTCGCCTCGAAGCGCTTCTTCAACGGTGCCAACGCTGCTGTGGTGCAGTACGTGGCGAGAGCCGAGTACGCGATCGGCATGAAGACGAAGTCGTTCGCCAGCCTACAAAGCTCCATGGCGCATCTCGAAGAGGCACGCGAGTTGGTGATCAAGGAGCGCGGCATCCAGCACCCCGAATGTCGCCAGATCGAGTACAATTACGCAGTCACAGCTCAAAAGGGCCTGCAGATGCTGTTCGATCTGCAAAAGGACCGCAAGACGGCACAAGCGCTTCGCGACGCCATCGCTGCGGTGGAACGCATCCAGCCTCTGCTCGTCGCGCCCGTCGACGCCGCCTCACCCCAAGAGACGCCGATGGGCAAGGAGGGCTCGCTCCTCGAGGCGGCCAAGCGCGGACACCTGCTGTGGATGTCGCCGGAGATCGTGGAACAGCGAGGCAAGTACGGTGCGTCGTCTCTGCTGCAGCGTGCAACACAAGCTCTGGCCGACCAGGAGAGCTACGAAGCCGAGATGCTGAAACAGAAGGAAGCGGTTGCCGCCGCACGCAAAGAAAAGGAGTTGCTTCGCGAACAAGAACGCATCCGCAAGGAAGAAGAGTACCGCGCACAGATCGAGCAGATGGCCGAAAAACGTAAAGCTCTGCGAGAGGAAGCGGCCAAGATCGAATATCTGCGCGAAGCGACACCCGAAAAGGAGCCGAGACGACGAGCGAAGAGGGAAGATGTTACGTCGGGAGAAGAGGATGCACCGGATGCGGCTGCTGAGAAGGGCAAGAAACGCAAACGAGTTGCGGCAGGAGGCAAGAAGAAGAAGGGCGGCAAGAAGAATCTCGACATGGTCGAGAGCGACGAGAACGATGATAGCGACGACGAAGGATTGTTCGGTGGCGGTGGAGGAGCGAGTGGAAGCGAAAGCAGTGATGCCAACGACGACGAGGATGGCGACGATGAGATCATCCGCAACGGAGCCAAGCTGCTCGCTGACGAAGGCGAGACTGGCGGTACACGCAGCGGAAAGTCGTCGAAGCTCTCCAAACTGGCCAAATCGAAGAACAAGCCTCGAAAGTCATCTTCCAAGAGCGAAGGCAAGAAGAAGCGCAAGAGTCTCAAGCGAGCCAAAGCGCGCGATACGGACGAGGAGGAGGACGATGACGCGGACGCTGCTGCCAACGGAGGCGACAGTGATGCGGACACAGGCAAAGCGAGGAAGAGCAGGAAAGCGGTATTTGACGAGAGCAGCGACGAGGAGGTAGGGGGAGGAGAAGCAGAAAAAGTCGTCGAGCAAGAGGACCAAGAAGGCGAAAGTGACCAACGACATGATCGATAGCGATGAGGAGATGGCACTTCTGGATATGGAGTGATGTCATCGCAGGCCTGAATACGGATAAAAACCAATGACCAAGTCGTTCCGGAATCATGACAACGTGCGTTGTTCACACACACAGACCGGTGTGACCAGGGTATGTTATGTGAAGCATCTCTGGCTGAAATGGATCGCGACCGCGGGTATCCCCCTTTGACCATGAGAATCTTACATTTCTTCGAAAATTCGCTTTCAGACCAAGATGAGTTTTAATTCTGGCTGCTCTCTCTGGACGAGAGCCGAGGAAAAGAAGACTGACTCGGATGGCCGGCTTTTAGGTCGCAGCCTTAGCGGCAGGCCAGGTTTTATGTCCGCCACTTGACACAGAGTGTGGAGCCGGATCTTGTTCGACCAAAAACTAGAAGAAAGCGAGTTGCGTGGGGATTGTGCACCGCTCGGCTTCCGGTTACCCAAGACCTTTCCATACAACCAACGGCATCAACGCATTTACTCTCTGCAAGATCAGGTCGAGGTCGAGATCCAGGGCTCGCATCTTGTCATTGCTTCTTTCAAGCTTTGCTCACTTTCGACGAACACTCATTGGATCGACTTGGGAGGACTCGATCTGCAAACTCTGGAGACGACTTCAGTTCTGCACTCGACAACTTGGAAACACTGCTTCCATCACCTCTCGCGAATACCGCAACGATGTTCGATTCGATAGAAGATGCGGTGGCGGACATCCGCGCTGGGAAATTCGTAGTTGTGCTCGATGACGAAGACAGGGAAAACGAGGGCGATCTGATCATTTCTGCCTCGCTCTGTACGACGAAACAGATGGCGTGGTTCATCCAACACACGTCTGGATTCATCTGCATCTCCCTCACTCCCTCCCGGATCTCCTCCCTGGAAATCCCGATGATGGTTCCGAACAACACGGAGAAGAACAAGACCGCCTACACCGTCACCGTCGACTACAAACACGGTACTACCACCGGAATCTCGGCGCATGATCGTGCACTTACCTCCCGACAACTTGCAGACGAATCTCTGTCCGCTTCACCCGCGGATTTCACGCGCCCGGGTCACATGAACCCCCTACGATACACGGAAGGCGGCGTAAGAGTCAGAATGGGTCATACAGAAGCGAGCGTAGATCTTTGCAAGTTGGCAGGGCTGCCACCAGCGGGACTGCTGTGCGAGTTGGTGGATCCGGACGATGAGGAGGGTGGGATTGCGAGTAGAGATGCGTGCTTGAAGTTTGCGAAAAAGTGGGGGTTGAAAGTCACGACGATCGAAATGCTCAAGAGGTACAGGGAGGAGAAGGAGGGTGAGTTGGAGGCGGAGGAGGTGAAGAGGTTGAGGGGGGATGAGGCGAGAGGGGTGAGGATTGATGAGCAGAAGGTGGTGCCCCCTACGACGACGACAGCTGCGTGAAGGACCGAGTTCTAAAGTGGGGCAGCTCACGGGAACAGTCCAGAGACGAAGGCTGCGCTCAGATGCGCTTTGGCGTGAAGGACCAAGCGAACGTCGACGGTCACCAGCACATGTATAAGATGAAGGAAACCTTGTCGCGAGCAATGGAAGCATGACAATCTTTCTGTATTCCTGGGTCAGTTTAGTCGTGCGGGCAGAGTGTGGCGAAGCATATCTGATGATGCAGTGTGACTTGCTGATGCGTCTGAGAGAGAGACGTGTCGTATGCCACGGTTCACCATGAGTTACTCCTGTACAAAGTACGTGATCACGAGGGCCCAACCGCAGCGCCGTGGATTTTGGCACGCTACAGTAGACGGGTGGGCTGGATCTAACAATATGAAATTGGTAAGCGGTGAAATTTGTTCTTCTAGCTTCTTCCCCTTTGCAGTGCAGCGCTGCAGACGCGTGATTTGGAAGGGCAAAAGACACCGTTTCGCCCTGTGCTGCTTGCTGCTGGTCCGGAGCGCGCAGTCAGAGTGTGGCTCTGAGCAACACTGTGAGCAGCAGCCAATTCTTCTCGAGTGCAACACTTTTTTCCTCCCCTCTGCGCGCACGCACGCACCAATCCTTCTCGTGTCCAACAACATTGGCTCTGCACCACCACCGACCGCCGTACCAACACGCTTCTGTCGCCAAACAGCACACCTTTCGCAGCGAGAGCTTTGTGGCGCAGTCGAATCTACCTCAGCTCGATCCGGAATCGGTGCGAATCTGCAGCTGCGACCCACCCTCGCGCAGTCCAGATAACCTTCACATATCAACTCGACCATGTCGGCACCCATTTTTGCCCAGGAGGCCACACAGGAGCGTGCCGAGAATGCACGTCTCTCGTCCTTCGTTGGTGCTGTCGCTCTCGGCGACCTCGTCAAAACCACGCTCGGTCCCAAAGGCATGAACAAGATCCTCCAGAGTGTCGGATCCAACGACATTGTCGTCACCAACGATGGCGCCACCATCCTCAAATCCATCCACCTCGACAACGCTGCCGCCAAGATCCTCGTCAACATCTCAAAAGTGCAGGACGACGAGGTCGGCGACGGCACCACCTCTGTCTGCGTGCTTGCGGCCGAGCTGTTGCGAGAAGCTGAGAAGTTGATCGAGATGCGAATCCACCCGCAGACTATTGTCGAAGGATACCGTATCGCCTCGGCTGCCGCGCTCAAAGCTCTCGAAGACACCGCCGAAGATCACGGCAAGGATGCGACCAATTTCCGCCAGGATCTGCTCAACATCGCCCGCACCACCCTCAGCTCCAAAGTGCTCAGCGCCGACAAGGACTACTTTGCCAACCTCGCCGTCGACGCCGTCCTCCGTCTCAAGGGTTCCACCAACCTCGAACACATCCAGATCATCAAGAAACCCGGCGGCAAGCTCACCGACTCGTACCTCGACGAAGGCTTCATCCTCAACAAGAAGATCGGCACCAACTGCCCCAAATCCTTGACCAATGCCAAGATCCTCATCGCAAACACGTCGATGGATACGGACAAGATCAAGGTGTTCGGAGCACGCGTTAGGGTCGAGGGGACGGGAAAGCTCGCCGAACTCGAACGTGCAGAGAGGGACAAGATGAAGGCCAAAGTGGAAAAGATCAAGGCGCACGGCATCACGTGCTTCGTCAACCGTCAGTTGATCTACAACTACCCGGAAGCACTACTGGCGGAGGCGGGGATCATGTCGATCGAGCATGCGGATTTCGAAGGCGTGGAGAGGCTCGCGCTCGTGACCGGTGGAGAGATTGCATCTACGTTCGACCGACCTGATCTCGTAAAGCTCGGCTCGTGTGGGAAGATCGAAGAGGTGATGATCGGGGAGGACAAGCTGATCAAGTTCTCGGGAGTGGCTGCGGGAGAAGCCTGCACGGTTGTGCTGCGCGGTGCGACGAGTCAGATGCTCGACGAAGCCGAACGTTCGCTCCACGACGCCCTCTCCGTGCTATCGCAGACCGTCGGCGAAACGCGCGTGCTGCTCGGTGGTGGATGTGCCGAGATGTCCATGTCCAAAGTGGTCGACGAAGCCGCGCGCTCCACCTCGGGCAAAAAAGCCATTGCAACAGAATCCTTCGCAAAAGCGCTCCGACAACTCCCCACCATCCTCGCCGACAACGCCGGGCTCGACTCGAGCGAGCTCGTCGCCCAACTCAGAGCTGCCCACCAACAAGGCGACAAAACCGCCGGGCTCGATCTCGACGTCGGACAAGTGGCGGATATGAAACAGAAGGGCGTCAGGGAGAGTTACAAGTTGAAGAGACAGGTCGTGGTCAGTGCTACCGAGGCAGCGGAGATGATTCTGAGGGTGGATGATATTCTCAAGTGCGCACCTAGGAGACGTGAGGCTCATTAAGGGAGTTGTACGCCAAGAAAGAGGGAGGTGTGTCGAGAATGCAGAGAAACAACAGTTGTATTTCTTCTCTCCGATGCTTGTCTGTGGTCTGTTGGGAAGTGTGAGGGTGGAGGACAGGGTATGCGAGAGAGAGAGAGAGCAAGTGGTCGTCTGACGAGTGTGAATGTTGGTGATGAGAACTTGCTCAAAGCTTGTTGGCATCCCTGAAACTGCCTTTGCACAAACCACTCGCACACACCAGCATCATCGCTTTTCAAATAATGTTGTATACTGCCAAGACAACGCCGCTTCTCTTGCACGTATCTCAATCCCTCTCCGCCAACCTCTCGAGAATGACCGAGATGTCATCCTCGCTCAATTTCCTAAACCTCTTCTGCAGCTGCACCTCCTTGGGCAACGTGCTGGAATCCAACTGCTCCACCGCTCCCTCGTCGTCACCTCCCACGACAAACTTGGCAGCTTCTGGACCGCCGACGATGGCGACCTCCAACTCGCTCGGCTTGAGGTCCTGCGCAAGCACCGTAGCCAACGTGTTGACTGCGAGGTCCAACGTCTGTTGCATTGAGAGGCTGTTGGAGATGTGTTGGGCTTCCAGTGCTGCGGCGTCTGTTGCGCTTGCACCTGCTGGAAGTTCGGGAGCGTCGTCTCCTGTGGCCGACGTAGTGGTGGTGGTGGATTTCTTAAACTGCTTTTCCAAAAAGTTGGTTGCTTCGGTCTGCTTGACACCTGCAGCGGTAGCTCTGAATCCCACATAGTAGCCCGCTGGATCGATCTTGAAGATCTGCGGTCCCCGCTCTCCATCCACCCCGACCAGAATCATGCTCACACCATACGGCCTCATCGCAGCACGCTGCGTATACACCTGGTTCATATTCGCCAACCTCTTGGCCAGCAGATCAGGCGTGATGGCGTAGCCGTACTTGTACTTGAAATCGGCCGCCTCCATCTTGGCCCTCTGCACCTGCGCACGTGCGTCGGCGACGCGACCGGTCATGATGCATCCGATTTCGGGCGTGAGGTTGAAGATGTTGGTGACGGACGAGGCATCGATGAGCTTGTCGGGGAGTTTCTTCTGGCCGACGACGACGCAGCAGTCTTTGCCGCGAACGGCGATGCTGGTGAGACCGGCGGTGTTGATGGCTTTGAAGGCGTATTCGACCTGGTAGAGACGTCCGTCGGGGGAGAAGATGGTGAGGTAGCGGTCGTAGGATGAGCGCGACATCTTGGGGTAGTGTTGGTCGCTGGACAGGCGAGAGCGGGAGTGGACGGTGACGCTCGACAAGGAGCAAGTATCAAATGATGATGTCGAGGATACAGATGAGGATGATGAGGATGATGACGACGACAGTGACGGCAAAGAGTCGACGAGATGGAATGTGCGCGCAAAGTGACACTCTGCGTGTGGAGCGAGTCGAGCTGCACTGACGACGCGGTCTGAGCGTTGTCTTCCTCAGCAAAGCCTTGGAAATAGAAGTGGCAGCAGAAAGGCAGTCTCGATCACCACGTAATTCCCTGACTGGATACGTTATCGCCGATGTCTGACGCCCGATTGTGACTGCTCCACGTGATTGTGAATTATTTTCTTCGCAGCGGCTCTTACTCTTAGGGCTTGCAGAAAGGCGCAAAGCAAATTTTTCGTTTTTGGAGATTTCGAGGCAGACTGACTGGCCGGCTGGCTGACTGACACTGAAGCTAAGCCTGGAACTTTTTTCTTCTTTCATTTTTGATTTGAGAAAGAAAGCTTCTTGTGCTTCGTCGCCATCAGCCAGACTCTGTACTCCTCTACACCTCCTGCTGCCTCACATCTTCGCTACCGGTCTCGCTCGAGTTTCACGGTCATTGAAGCATCACAGCTGCTCCGTCAACCCACCACGCTCGCCCTCCTCGGTGCGCAGCGCAGCTTCCAATTGCATCTCTCCGACACCGGATCTACACAAACCCGGTCTAGCCTCGTCTGGCTAGCTTGCACCAGTCACCATGTCGTCCGCTCCAACCCACATCCTCTTCGAGTCCGCTACGGGATGCGCCGTCTTCGAGGTCTCTGCCGTCGAGGAGATCGGCTCGCTGACCCGTGCCGTTCAGGAGAGCGTCAACGAGGTCAACACCTTCGGCAAGATGGTCAAGCTCCTCTCCTTCTCCCCCTTCAAGAACGCTCTCGATGCGTTGCAGGCCTCGCTCGACATCTCTGAAGGTGTGGTGAACGACTACCTCAAGTCGCTTCTCACGCTCAACCTGTCATCCGGCAAGAAGAAGAGCGTCGTTCTCGGTGTTCAGGACAGGAACTTGGCTTCGTCCATTGTTGGTGAGCTCGGTATTCCATGCGACACTGGTGAGACGTCGCTCGAGCTCATCCGTGGTGTGCGTCAGCATGCCGAGAAGCTGCTCAAGGGTATGGCCGATGGCGATCTCGCCAAGGCTCAGCTCGGTCTCGGTCACAGCTACTCGCGTTCCAAGGTCAAGTTCAACGTCAACCGAAGCGACAACATGATCATCCAAGCAATCGCGCTGCTCGATACCCTCGACAAGGACGTCAACACTTTCGCAATGCGCGTCCGCGAGTGGTACGGCTGGCACTTCCCCGAACTCGTCAAGCTGACCACCGACAACCTGACCTACGCCAAACTCGCCAAGTTCATCCGCAACAAGGAGCGTCTCTCGGAGGACGACGTCGAAGGCATGACCGACATCCTCGCCGGTGACGAGACCACCGCCAAGAACATTCTCGACGCAGCTCGCGCCAGCATGGGTCAGGAGATCGGCGAACTCGACATGCACAACATCCTCAACTTTGCCGATCGCGTCGTCAACCTCGGCGAGTACCGAAAGAACATGCACAAGTACCTCATCGAAAAGATGCACCTCGTCGCACCCAACCTCTCCGCCTTGCTCGGCGAGATCATCGGCGCACGACTCATCAGCCACGCCGGTTCCTTGACCAACTTGGCCAAGTACCCCGCCTCCACCGTTCAGATCTTGGGTGCCGAGAAGGCTCTCTTCCGTGCCCTCAAGACCAAGGGCAACACTCCCAAGTACGGTCTCATCTACCACGCTTCCGCCATCGCACGTGCTGCACCCAAGAACAAGGGCAGGATGTCCAGGTTCCTCGCCAACAAGATCTCCATCGCCTCGAGGATCGACTGCTTCTCCGACACCCCCACCACCAAGTTCGGCGAGGTGCTGGCGGTGCAGGTCGAAGAGAGGCTCGCCTTCTACGAGACGGGTAAGGCGCCAAGCAAGAACAGCGATGCCATGAGCAAGGCTATCAAGGCGATCGAAGAGGCGGCTGGCGATCTCATGAATGAAGACGCCGACGACGATGACGACGAGGACGAGGAGGAGGAGCAACAGATGCCAGCGGCAGTAGGCGTCACCGATCCAGCAGACAAGAAGAGCAAGAAGGACAAGAAGGACAAAAAGTCCAAGTCCAAGTCCAGCGATAAGGACAAGAAGAAGGATGTGGAGAAGGCGGCCAAGAAGGCATCCAAGGATTCCAAGAAGGACAAGAAGGACAAGAAGGAGAAGAAGTCCAAGAAGTAGGACATACGACCTTCCTTCCTTGGTACTCGCCATCATTCTTGCATTCTTTGTTGCTTTCTCTCTTGTTCATAGCTCTCCGACATTGCACTTGCTATCTGTACTCTAGTTCTCGGTTTCTTCGAAAGATCTTCATTCTACACGCTGTTCGATTGCGATGTGTCAAGAGGTTGGGTTGTATTGGAAAGCGAGAGAGAGAGGTAATGAATTTTGCCGGCCGATTCACCGCGTGATAATCGTGCGCAGGTGGCACAGCCTTTTTTTTTGTGGGGCACGCACGACCTTTTCAGGGTTCAGGTTTGAAAGTGTCCTGTGCGTGTTGCTTCAAACAGACCCCCACCTTTCTCCTCCGCCTCGAAACCACTTGCTCTTTGCACCTTCGACACGATTCCGAGGAGATCCTTCAACGAAACCTGCTCTTCGATTCGCATAACCTGTCATTGTACTTGTGACTGTGAAGTTTCGCCAACGATGATCGCGGGGATCCCACCGAGCGAAAAGCAAGCGTTCTTTTCGTTGCTTGACGAGTATTTCGCTTCTCGACCACATCGTCTTCCCCCCTCTTCATCCACGACCACCACTACCTCCGCACCGATCCGTGGGGTAGCAGGATTGACAGATCGCGCCACCACCTCTATCGGAAACGCAGCCGGTACAGCCGCCAGCTCAGCAGTCACTTCTGCACTTCGAGATCAATTCGCCCGAACCGGCTTGACCAAATCTTCCCCTTCCCCTTCCCCTTCACCTTCACAACCTACTTCTGCATCAAGACCCATCCCACCACCAGCCCGGACAGCAGCTAGCATACCTCCTCCTCCCACCACTCTACCACCGGGAACGATAGCCTCCGCAACCGTCCTCTACGACTACGCAGACGGATCCGATCCAGACGACTTGGTATCAAAACACGGCGAAACGGTCTACCTCACCGAGAAGATCTCGGAGGATTGGTGGAGAGCTCAAAGTCAGGCGGGAGATAGAACGGGGATCATACCGAGCAGCTATGTTAGGGTGTTGTAGACCCCAAAGCTGTAGTATGGAAACAACAGTACAGCGGGAGATATTGCGGGTGGCATCGAGCGCGTTTTCAGGGCGTGGTCAGGATGCGAGAAGCACGGTGTGGGCGGGACGATGGGAAAGGATTGGCTGCTGGTCTGGAGGTAGTTGAGGCGCATGCGAAATTGGGCTCGGGGAGGAAGCATGTGCACGATACGCTGCAGGATTCGCTCTTCCAGCATCCCGACGTTGCACAAGTCTCCGCTCGCTCCGTCCAGAAGCAGTACCAGACCAGCAATCAGAAGCTTCCGTTGTGCAGTGCATCCAACTGCATCATCCCGCCTCGTGGCACTTGTGCAGAGCAACACGGAAGCTACCGTCGCTCGAGAGGGCTCTGCTCCTGGTCGATCGAGGCAATCCAGCTGTCTGACCTCGAGTGTGACACCTAGAAGCCAACCTCCTGTCATGTTCACAATTACGACCGCGGCTTGCTCAACTGTGCGCCGTACACAGGAAGCAACAGAGAACATGCTTCTGCAGGTCTCTTGTGATGATCAGAACGACACAGAAGGTGTCGCTCTGCATGATTGTAGAACGAAATGTGCCCTTCTCCAAATCGAATCAAGTCGATCGCAAAGGTTTCAAGCATGTCCATCAGACATAGACGAGCATCAATCGTTATCGAGCAGCCAGAGTCGATGAGCAATGCCCACTTCTCAGGTGTCCGTTACCGTGCAGCTGCAATGACGAAGCCTGTTGATGCCGAATCATATATGACCATGTTGGGTCGATCTCATTTACATCTGATCCCGATCGTACGTGACCGGTGTCCCGATCGAGATCAAGTCTTGCGCATAGCAACTCATTGACCAGGAGCAGCAATTTACGCAGAACACGTTCGTTGGGACGTGGCCGCAGGAGGCGACGCTGCTCGGACCTAGCGCATCGCACTATTCGGAACCCAGGAACGACCGGAAGCGCGGTTCTCGCAGCGCGAACCATTTCTTGATCGGATCAACCACACCCTAAACACTGTCCCAAATGTTAGGGCAGCTCGCGCGTACATCCCCACGACACAGCACAGCTGAGCTCAGCGTGCGGCACTACTGCATGTGAGATCCCTCTTCGGCTTTTGCAGTGTGTTGCTCCTCGCTAAATTTGCCGCTTTCTGTATCGCTTATGGAGGATACGTGCGAGGAGAGTATACAATGTACGTGGGCATCGGCTTTGCTCCCGAGTCAGGAGACAATTTGCCCCCGAGACCATCTCTCGCAAAGCAAAGCCAATGAAGGTCCGCGTCGCGATCTTTTCTTGCTTCGAATGCGCAAGTAGAAATAAGAGCAGCGTCTTGTGGACCGCTGAGTTCTCGGGCACGTCGGGGACTGAACTTAAAAACAGTAGGGCCACAACCCTGTCCCCTCGTCTCCCGAGCGGCAAGCGGCATTCGAGCAGAGATCGCGATCCCAACTGCACCACCGCAAGACATGTTTGAGCGAACGCTGCTATTTCGATTAGAGGGCCGCTCTGCATCGAACTGCGCTTCCGCAGCTGAGCGCCGTTCCGAATCCTGGGATGAATATTGACTATGTCCGCTCCCTTTGCGATCTCGGCGATCTCGGCTAACTCGGAGGAGCTCGAATTGGTCGCGGAGACAGCCAACGGATCTGACGCTGCGACGAAACAAGTCTATCATGGTGGTGGGTGCTTCTTGCATGGCATGGCCGCAGCCGACTTTACGAGGCTATGCTGGCTGAACCCATCGCCTTCTGATCCCAGCGGATCCGTATCCGCATCTCCGGGCTCCTGCGCCCGACGGAAGGTAGCTCTCGACGATTCCTACTACGTTTAGCGTCATTGCTGGAAACTCGATCGAGATACTGCTGGACGAACCGAAAGCACCTCCTGTCTGGGCCGACTGTGGCAAACAGGCTGATTGACGTATCGTTTCGGATGTCTTTGTGGACGGCTCGAGATTCAGCCTTTCTCGATCAAACCTCAGGGTTCGCCTGTGTCTTTTTGTCATTGGCAAAATGTGCCGTGTAAGTGCCAAACAAATAGTGCACAAGGCTACGACGTGATTGACGCCAAGCAAGGGCGATTCGACCTCGAAAGACACTTTTGGGACAAAGTTAGTCAAGTCCCATGAAGGCAAAAAGGTTGAGAGCAAGATTGTCAGAGCTGTACTGCCCTACGCGAGACACTCTGAACCTTTTTTTTTCTCATTTCGTTTTCTGCGAGTCATTGTGATGCTGCAATTTGCTTACTCCGGCGGAACCCCAGTATCGATCCTCAGAGAGTATGTCATCCAATTTTGGCGTTGTCTTTGTTTGTTGAGAAGTGCAAAGAGCGCTAGCGTGTTGCGAGAGGTCCCTAATGCGGCGTGGGAACGCTCTTGTTTAGCCGAGAGTAAGCTGCGTAATTTTCGCCACCATAGAGGTGTCTCAAGGCGCTTAGCACAACGCATCACGACGGGACCAACCTTGTTTCGTGTCATCGAGACCACTCGATCACACGAAGGCACCCCAGCAAAGCTTACCCTCCGTCGGTGGAATTCCTTGGTTGGACCAAACGCTCAACATTTGCAGGCCAGGTACGGGATTGACGTCCGAGCCAGGATTTAGCTAGCGTCGCCACGCGCGGTGATCGGCCGTGTTCCCGGACATCGACGGGGGCGGCTACGGGGACTCTCCGAAGGAGCAAAGACCGAGATTTGGGTGTTGGACTTTCGCCCCTCGCCCCTCGAACCGTTCTCCCCGTCTTTGTGCCGTCTCGCGAAGTGCGGTGGTGGCTTACATATTCAGTAGCGATGAATTCTCTCTCGCCCTTTGTTGTCATCTTCAAAGCCGGATGGTCCTTCCTCGGCTTGGCGCGCGAATCCGACAATGGCTAGAACAATGGTGGGTCCCGAACCGCTGGAAACAATTCTAGTGTGTTTGTAAGACGCGTCCATCATCGGCAGCATGTGGACTGATCCGGCGAGACAATGGGGGAGTTCGAAATCGGTGAACAGCCGGATACGCGGAGCCTGAACGTGGTCTCCACAATACAGCAGACACGCACTTGTCCGTTCGATTGGATGTGTGGTGTTTGGACACGGGAAGTCAGCATCTCAGTAGTTACTTTCGTTGAGTTCTCGGAAGTCAAGCAAGCGGTGGCAACCAATCAAGCCATCGAATCGATGTGTTGTGTCGAGACCTCTGCAGCGAAACGCTGTGAACCCGCCAACGTGATCTGAAGCTGTGGCGCAAACACAGCGTCTCGCTCACTTCAGGCTGCAATGTGGTCGGACAATGTCCGATCGGACGGAGGCTTGGAGGTGGATTCAAACGCCTGTAAGTAGGCGAGTCAGGCCAGGTACATGCTTACATCGTGGACGCCAAGCTCATTTCTTGAATTGTGGCTGGCAGTCGACCTCCATTACGCCCGATTTCCGAGTCGATGCACTGCCATGCAGTCATGCTATGCTTTTGCTCCGGGCCATGGTCAGTGCCCGTGGGTGCTCTGAATCCACTCCTTCTTGTGGCGACAACCTCGAATGTGCAGGGGAAAGTCGAAAGCAGGCCGGTGAGGAAGCATCTGATCTCTTCTTGCATCCTCGTACGTTTCGGCAAAACCATTCCTGCTGCCGAGGTCATTATTGAACGTCGCTTCCAAGTATGATCGGTCGGAGTTGTGAACAACGTATCCATACCGAGTCGCCGTTCCGTGACTGACCTTTGACAGCTTCTCTATTGTCTGGACCGACGATGGCGCTCATTGTTGTAGCAGCGAACTGAATTGTCGCGCGGTCCTCAAGACTTGAGCCTCGCACCATATTCCCGCGAAAAGGTCGTTCAGATAACCGGTGTGTCCGTACTGCGGTCTGAGTTGCCGTCCGAGACGGTCTCGGATGGCGGATGAGCTCCATGCTTATGACATCTTGTGGTTGTTGTGAGGAACACCGTGAGGAGATGGGTCGCATTGGCGCCGTCGCCCCCGTCGGAACGGACGGCGACACCATCAAACCTAAATCCGAAACAGGGTAGACCTTGCCGGCAACCTTTATCGAGCTCCTGGCGCAGCTATCTGAGACAACCAATGGAACGCTCAGCGGCTAGGCGCTCTTGCACTGTTCGTGTCGTTGCTCTGAGTGGACTACTTTGCAGGATTGGCCACTTTGGCACTGCTTGTGCATCGTCCGAATCAGGCTGTGCCTACGCTACCGAGTCATTGACGAATTGCAGACAGCGCGCAGTTGCGTTGGGGTGGCAATCACATCCAGTAGACGTTGTTGATGTCGCCCTTGGGCCCTTCTACCCGCGCTTCTAGCGTAGGTACCTGCAGCACCGCTCGCCTACCTAGCCGAACTGCACGAGACGTAGGTGCCATTGTTCTGTCTTGCCTGTCTCCGTTTCTGGGTTCCGTCGGGCGGAGACGAATTTCGTTTTAATAATGCTTCATAAAGTTGAAGAATTGTCAATTTGATCCTTGACTTTTGCGTTTTTCCTGCGAGGTTGATATTTCACGCCTCCCCGAAAGTGGTTTTCCTCGCCGAATCTGACGGGACGCACGTAGGTTGACCGGCCACACTCGTTGCGAACGCTGATAGCTGGCTTCTCTCGTCGTGCTTCACTCTTCTAGGCGCTGACCTGCGAACGCCGCGTGCTCGACCCCGAACCCGGCGTGTTTGACGCTTGGGTAACCGCTGCCATCACCTCGGCGGACTTGGAATCTTCGTCTTCGGGGCGAGTCAATGTGCGACGAACAAGGAGCCCTCGTGGCGAGCTCGATGCATCGGCGATGGTCTCGATGTTATGAAAAGAGATCGTCCGACCACAACTAGATGGACCCTAAAGCTGCACCTGGTCCCACATCGCTAGAACACATGGAGCAACATCTCACTTACAGGGATACAGTATACCGCTGCAGATCATACGGCACGAAGCGCGCAACTTCCTGCTAGCAAAGTCATGCTATTCAGCCGCGGTCCCGAGGTAAGGGAACGAGCGAGACGACGATTCGGTTGCGAACAGGCGCGGATCCGAAAGACGCATCGCGACTCGTCCGTTCGCGGGCATCGGTTGGCGTGGCGCGCAAATGCGACCGGTGTGGCATCGCAGTCTCTGCGACGACGACGTCGCCCTCACGCACATGCAAGGAAGTGGCGACTCGCTTGCCATTCCCTCGCCAACTGATCCTTGGCTTCTAGACCACTCCTGAAAATAGTTCAGAGGACATCGGTGCTTCGCTTGCGAGTGTTGGCAGTACAGGCACGACGTCGATCACGATTGGCGCCGAGCTCTAGAGGCGAGACGCTTGACGTAACAAGATTTTGACTCGGGAAGCCCGACGCGGCGTCCCCTTGACAGCATCCAGCCAAAGAGGTCTGCCATAATCTAGCCTGTTTGCCGAGTTCTACGAGCAAATGCCGCATCCCCGGATAAAGAGCAAGGCCGACAGGCCAGGTTGCCAAAGGCGTCGCTCCCTCCAGAAGCGCGACCTCCTCACATTCGAAATCGAGTCAACGATCCTTCAATGTCGAGTGCGTTGAGCGACACCATCATTGTGATCGATGGGGATCGCGAGGCCATTTCAACCCCGTCCAAATTGATGCGGGGGCGCTCTTTTGACACTCCGTCGAGCCAAAGGCGCATCGGCTAACCGCTTTCCACTTTTTCCACTCGTGCGGACCCTAGGGGTTTCCCGTCGCGCTCGCGGGCTGCATTGGTTTCCTTGCCCTTTCAGCGTCGACCCGAAGTTCGGGCTCCGAATCTCGAATTGAGATAAGCGCTCTAGCTGCCTTATGGGGTTTCATTCTCGCCTCATGCCATGCGTGCTCTCTCAATCAGAAGGCTCGACTCTCTGACGAGATTGTCTGAGTTTGACCCCGTTATTTTCGAGCGCCACAAGCTCAATTGGGCTTCCGTCGAAAGAGAGCAAAGGCCGCAAGGCATCTTTGTCGGCATTGACAGATGCCGCTGGATGCTGTCTCAGAGCAACTCGGTCGCCTCAATCGCTTTCGTCGATAATTGAGCTGGTCTGCTCCAGCACGTGCAGGGCATGGTTTCACTTAGGATAAGATATGGGCCTCAAACTATCTGTGAGCAAACGGCAATCTGCGTCACGGAGGCAACTCGGGTCCGATCTCGGACACCGAAATGCCCGAACGGAACGATGTTTTTAGACCCGTCCTCCGTTTCATGTGCATTCCGATGTGTGTGCATCTGATTAGCAGGATCTGGAGGACGGCACAACGATCCAGCCGTCTGGACAGCATTCACGCAGGCGGCGCGTTCCGGGGCTTTGGTTGAACGGAAGGCAAAGACCGACCCAGCGCGACCGAATGCGATCGAACGCTGCGTGGCGCGGAGTCGATTGGTTGCATGCATGCATTGCTGTTGCCTTACTGACTAATTTTTTGGGTAACATGCATGACGAATGGGACAACTACACAGACTTCCCTCCGCACTGCAAGTGAGTCTGAGCGGCGACGGCATCTAGTGCAATTCGTTCACAGTGTCTAGTGATTTCGTTTCGACAGACTCAGCACTGCTGTACAGGACACGGGAATCAGGAAGGATAGAATAGCAATCGAATATTGATTGCGCCACGCCCGACTAGGTTCTGCCGCCCGGACCCTGGCATGCGCCAGGGCTCGACGGACAAACACTCTGGTGCCAAAAAAGGAAAAAAAAAAAAGAAAAGAAAAAAAAGAAAAGAAAAAAAAAGAAAAGAAAAAAAACACGGTTCAAAGAATGATTGTTGTATTTCAACCTGATCGCTTCGTGAGCACCTCGGTTGCAAATTCAGTGGACAATGTGTTGTAGCCAACTTGTCAATTGACACGCGCCCCACGCCTTGGTCTCGGAGGGCGGACTCTAAATGATGTTTGGATTCAATCTGCTTTGCTTCCGATGATCAGTCACCGTACCTGCCGCTAGGTTCAAAAGCAATGTACACGTCCGGAAAGGGACGAATAAATTCTTCTCTCCGCTACTGACAAAAGACAAGGATGGTGATCAAGCATCCAAGACCTTTTTGCTACGCCAAGGCCAAGCCAGGTGGATCGTGGTCGTCGAGTTTTCTATCGCCAGGGTGATTGCGAATTCCGGTTTCACGTTATGGGACCATTTGTTGGCTGGAGCTTGTAATTCTATGCTCTGTTCTTCGCTTGCCGCGCTCGGATGATCTGCATGGCATTCTCTATGATCCACAGGCCGCCTGCATGTAGTTCTTTGCGTCTGATTACGGTGCTGGCTCTGCGTCATGGATGTGTGTTGCGACTCTTCGAGGAATTTTGTTCTATCAGCCGTGCTTTCGCAGCTTGAGGTTAGAAAGTTCACCAATCGTGCGGCGATGCCCGCACATTGAACCATCTAGACGGGCTGTGTACTGTACGCCTGTAAGTCGTGTGTGTTTTCTATGATAATTAAATTTAACTGATAGAAATTTGGTATTAAATCATAAAAATGAACTACTTACAGCATAACGACACAGACGCAAAGTCAATGTTCACCCTCGCAGCCGAGACCAAACCTTGTTGCCTGCATGAGGTAACACCTCGCATCACCCACATATGTTTCTGCATCCGTACAGTACACAGCACGGTTGCAGTGCCGTTCCGAACTGCATGATAGACAACTTCGTGGACCTTTTGCAGCGTGCCGTTTGCCGATGCCTGTCCGCGATGTTGCAGACTGGGCGACCGAAGACACAACCAAGCGGGCTCGTTCTCGGCACCAGCGCGGGGACCTATTTCCGCATGAAGAGTCCATGGCGTTCAGCCTGCCCGACGCATCTCAGTCCATCACCACTCGACCAAGGTCGGAATGCAATGGCAGTATGAACTCGAGAGCGCAGCCAGCAAATGCCCACGGTCGCAATCCTGGGTGTACAAAGGGGATTTGTTTCGGTGGCTGAATGGCTTCCATCTGCGTGTGCATGCAGTGCCGTCAGCACAATGTGTACTATAGTGTCCAATACAGTTTGTCTGCGCTGCAGTACACAATGGCCCTTGCCGCTCGCTTCTCTCGCGATGTCTGCGCATGCTTCCTTGCCACAGGCTTCGTCCAGCCACAGTCTCTACCCACTTGCAGCTGTGACCGTCTTGTGCGTTGCCCAGCTGTGGTCACGGACCGTCTCTCAGGGAAAGTAGGTTGCAGAATCGTTGCACTCGATGCATACCAACGAGCTTATTGGCAACGTTGGTTCTGCCTCTGCTGCAGCCACGATGCAAGGCAGTGTTGTGTGCTTCCAGCGTCCGATGTAACAGCTCTCGTCTTCTACGATGGCTACACATGCCCGGGCAAGACGGAACAAGAGGCAGCGCGGGCAGCCGCGGATGGGAACGCGATCCGTTGCCGTTGCAGCGTCCTCTTCGGCCGCCTAGCTCTTGGAGAGCGCGCCTGTGGACGCTGGGAGGATGGCTATGCTCCTCTAGGGAAAAAGTCAGCCTGCTGGGGGGAGCCGAATCCGTCCAAGGCCTCGAGCCGCACTTTTGTCCCTCTCTCGAAAATGCAAAAGGGACAGACGGACAAAAGCGCAAAGCAAATCGAAAAACGCCGCACGCCTTACCCGCCTCGGTCGCGCACGGCAAAAAAAAAAACCCCCCACCGCAAGCTAACCGTCCTCTGACTGCCCGCATGCAACGAGCTCGGACGTACACATTGTAGCTGGTGGCTTCTTTTGTTGTTCTTTGTCTTGATTGTAGGGATGGGAACTCGCCTGCTGTCAGGGCCAGCCCTCCTTGAGCCTTTTTGGTCGTCTGTCCGTTCCGCCTCGCCCGGCTGAACCGTCGTCAGCCTTTAGCGCGAAACAGAACGTCAATGTTGTTGCCGCACCCAGGATTCTGGATTTGGGTTCAGCCGAAGAGGTTCGCTTGGCCTGCCTTGTCTTGCCTTTTGTCTTGTCTTGTCTTACTTGCCTCCTCACATCTGCCCTTGAGTGATCCAGAAACAACCGACATACACAGTGACTGACACAGAAACAGAGACACGCCTGCAGCTGCTAACTTTAAAAGATCTGCGGCTAAGCCAACGGTACCATTCATCTGCCTCGAAACCAGCAACCTGGACTCTTACGACCCTGGGGACCTTTGCCGATCGAATGGCTGGCACAACTGCCTGGCTACGGTGCATATGTTGCGCTCATCGCAGTGACACCAAGTCGCCTCCATTCTGTCGGACCTTGGCGCCTTACCTCGAGTGGCGTCCTCGTGTCTGTCCTCAAGACCTCCGTCCGTCTCTTCCCCCCTCTCTCGAGATCCCTAGGGAAGCCTGTCTGACCTGTTCCGTACGCCTCGATGCTTGGATCCTAATCCACCACCTCCTCCCCTCCTCCTTCATCCGCACCATCCACTCCATCACCTCACACCTTGATCTGTCCGTATCTACGATCATTGCTTTAGACAGGAACCGCTCGATCGCTCCACGTTGTTGTCGTGACCGCCCCGCGCTTTACGTTCATCTTCCCTAGCAGCAACTCGAGCTCGACCCGCATTGCAGTCATTCTCTCGGCTTCGAACAACAGCAAGCCCGGGTCTCACGCGCCTCTCGCTTGGACAAGCTGTCTTCTTGCTGCCACTCGCTCAACTTCGGCGCACAACCATTTCGGCAGCACGTACGAAGGGCGGCGCCTCTGTGCCCTCTGCCCTTTCAGTATCATCGCTGTCACGCTCTCGCTCTTGCACGCCAACACCGCCCAGCGTCACATCCCTCGTTGCGCATTCGTGCTTTTCTGCACGCCAATTGTCGCATTGCGACACGGCCTGGCCTCATACATCGTTGTCTGCACGCAACGTATCGCACGCTTGTTGTAGCTCCTTAGCGTAGATGCTAGCCTCTTTGCGACCGCACTCACCCCCTGCCTTTGCTGTCGACCGACGCTCCCAGCAACTCCCGCACGGCTATTTCGATCGCTTCTCAGACGACACTTCGCAGCCCAGATCCTGGCAAATGGCAGCTTCCGGCTCGGAGCGCTACACAACGCCGCCGCCGCCTTCCTTGCGCGCGGCTGCGCATGCTCACAAGCCTGGATCCGGTTCTCGCATTGCCGACATTGGACCGGATGCATCGGAGCAGAGGCCAAGTCCACAGTCTCGCCAACGCTCCTGGCATCACCCATACATGCCTGCTTCCCGGGCACCTCAAGGACCGAGCCCACCTCAACCGCTCGAATCAGGGGCGAGCCCCACGTCACGCGTGTATGACCTCGGCCATCCTCGTGAGAGTGTCAGGCTCGATCCGCAACAGATGTCGCCGTCGCATCGCTCCGAGCACTTGCATCCGGGCCACGAACCGAGGCCTCGCGCTGGCTCTCGTGCCGATATCAACATTCTCGCACAGCCTGTCAACATCTCATCGATGCCATCTAATCGCTCTAACGTGGAACGCATCGGCGGCATTGGGCCTAGCCGCAACCGAGGACGCTCCAGCACCCTGTCTTTACCGCATCCCGACACGAATCGCGTGAGAGGAGGCTCGTTCATCGGTGCTCGTCACCACAGCCCTTACAGCGGCTACGACGACTCGACATCGCTGCCGCCACGTTCCTGGGAGGAAGCGCGGTCCCACAGGGATCTTTATGCACGAAACTATGCTGGAGAAGCTGCGCTTCCACACCGACAGTCTCCTACCCTGCGACCCTCTTCGGGCCAGTCTCCAATCCTCTTTGCCCCTCTGAGCCCGAACCCAGAAAGCCATTTGCTGCCGCTTCCTTCTCGTATGGGATCCGCCCCGATGACTGCCAAGATCATCAACGCCGGTGTCATGCCGCGCGGTCATCACCACCGTTCGAGGCCAGGGACGCCCGTATCGCCACTCAACATGGACGGCTTGACCATGGAAGATACATATATGCCATCCGCCTCAGGCATGGCCGGCTCTGTTGCCGGCGATCGACAGCGCTCGCCCGCTGACGCACGTGTTGGCAGCGACTACTTTGGTCCGGCATCCTCGGAATGGGGCCGACCCAGCCACATGACGTCCGACGTGGTAAGGAGTCCACCATCTGGCCTCAAAACACCTGGCCTTCGTCCCGACTCGCGCGGTCACCCTTACCGTACCTCGATCCCGGTGCCTTCCGAAGGTGTCCCTCCCGAATTCGAAGCACCTCCGTATCACGCCGTTCCTTACATGGCTGGTCATCCGCCTGCCAGACCGTTCGGACGCGCTTCTGTAGGCACATTGCCTGCTCACCACCATTCGATGCCTCGGAACGATCAGATGGAACGCGAGCGTCTCATCGTGGCACAGCAGTACGCGTCGTCTCAGACATCGTATCATGGATATGGCCATCCACACGAGCACGGCTACCAGAGCGAGTTCGCGCCGCAGCATGGCCGCGTCGGTCACGCCGGCGGCATTGTGGGCGCACCACCGCAACACGTCGTGTCTGTAGACCGCATCGCACACAGCAGAAGACGTCGACGCCCACCATACTCGTACTCGTCGATGATCACGCAAGCCATCGCCTCCTCCGACGAAGGTCGCATGACCCTGCGCGAGATTTACACTTGGATCAGCACCAACTTTTCGGGCTATCCGATGTCCGGGCCCGACTCGCAAGGCTGGCAGAACACAGTGCGCCACAATCTGTCTCTCGGTAAGGTATTCATCAAGAAGGCTAGGACAGCTCAAGATATCTACGACAGCTGCTCGTCCGGCAATCCTGCTCAGAGCCAAGCCGCAAGAGGCAAGGGTGGATGGTGGACGCTGCATCCTATTGTGCTTTCGCAGATCCGGTCAGGTCAACGAACTCACAACGACGAGTTTGATGATCTCGAGCGTCTCGTCGACATGGACAACGCTGCGGCTGCTGCATCTGGTGGCGCTGGCGCCGTTGGCGTCGCCTCTCCCGGCTCGACTGACGAGAAAGTGGCACCACGAAGGTCGTCTGCGGATGCGGGTCAGCGCAAGTCGCTCACTCGACAGAGAAGCTATTCGGACTCGATGGACTCTACTCAGGCAGAGCAGCGCCGTCCCAGCTCGGGCTACCAGTCATCGACGGCTCCTGTTAGCCGTCAAGGCTCGATCAACACCGCACGAACCGCTCCCGCCGGGCGTCCAGCGCATGCAGCATTCCCAGTGCAGCCGGGCGTACACGGAGCAAGCAGCGATGTTCGACCTCCCTCCGCTGAAGAGATGCCGTCGGTGCTGCAGCGTCGGCCCGACTTGGACGAAAGCGACCGGCCTTCTTCTGCCTTTGCACGCATGCGCGGTCACACGATCGCCATGCACGAGACGCCATCGCACCAGCACGCCTCGAAGCATGAAGCCAGCAAGCTGGGCGGTGAGGTCCCGATCTCAACTCGTCCACCTTCGGGTTCCGTGTCGAGTCCAAGGCCGCTCCCCAAGGCTTCCCGACAAATGATTGAGGACGTCGACATGGACATGGCCCCATCGGTGTTGCAGCACAGAGGCTCGAGTCAAATTCTGCAGAATGCCCGCGAAACGCTCGTATCGGCTCAGCAGCAGCAGCAGCAGCAGACACGGCAACCGCATCACGGAGACGTCCGAGCTGTCGAAGCCGACTCTCCCGACAGCACCGGCAGAATGGACATTCGAGGACTGCTCAACGGCTGAGCAGCGGGAGCACTTGCGACATGGTATCCAGTATCTCAGCTTTTCTTTTGATCGATCGCCTGGACAGAACATTTCCACTTTCCATTGTCTTCGGCTTTGCTTCGCATTCATTCGATCCATGTACCCTACTTATACCCGCACGGTCAATTCGTAGCAAGCGCATCGAGACGCAAACCTCATCACTACTAGGTGACCTTGTGCAGAGCAATAGAGTGACTGAGCCTTGAAGTGAGAACAGTGAACGATGGAGATCGCCGGGCGTAGTGCAGAAGAGAGGGCAGAACTGGACAGCTTGGCAACGTCCAGGTTGGGCTGACCGGTGACGGCATGCGAGCGGAACAGAGCTAAGGGAGATCTTGTCGGCTCGAGCCGAAAAAGATCGGCGATGCGTCTTGTATTTGTGCACAGTAGCGGGGGAGAGAAAGCGGATACGTCGGAGCTGCAATTTGCAAGAGAAAGTAGCCATCCGTTAGGCCCAAAGCGAAGCGCCAAAGAGAAAACTTGGACTGCACGTGGGCATGTTAGCGCCTCTGATTGGTTCATGAATTTTTGGCTGAAAGCTTCTTTCCCTTTGGCGTGCGTCAGACGAAGGGATTGCAGGACGGAGAATTTGAGCTGCAATGAATGACCTGCGTACAGTGGGTACTACCCGCGACGTTAGTAAGCAACAAACTGGGTGAAGGAAAGCTTGTCATCCGTTCGGCTGGACAGGCGTACGCAGACACACGTGGTTGGACTTGTCGGTCAGGGATACGTTTGAAGCCACCTTGAGACTACGAACAGGGCGAGTGCAAAGGCTTATGAGTCAAGATGCGGCGGTGGATCGTCATTGCAACCCTTTCGCGAATGGCCATGGAGGACCAACGTGGTCGCTCGAACGGCATTCTCGCATCGAGTGAGGGTCAAAGTCCATCGACCACCAAACCTGCTTGCTTTGAAGGTTCGACCTAGCTACCGTACAATGTACTTGCTGATTACAATGGTCCGTGCAAGCCGGGCTATCAAGCACCGTCGAGCAGAGAAAGCAATAACGATCAACGTGGCGCAGCTAGTGTTTGTTTGGTGATCGTCATCCGGAACACGTTGCCCACCCCTGATGGTCCAGCCAGCGATCTATGATCTCGAGCGTGCGGTTTCGCTTTCAAAAGCGGTAACGAGAGTGGGAGAGCAAGAGCACCTTGCCGTTCTTCGTCCATTGAGAAAAATAGAACTCACTTTCTTGCGGCAGCAGGCGAAATCCCGACGCAGTCCACATGCATCCACGGTGCATGGCCCGACATCGCCGCTCGAGCCGATGGCCCACAGAGAGTGGTGTCGAATTGCGAAACCTCATCGATAGTCGTCGATCCTTGTCTCAAGCTTCGGGTCGACCGACATTGGCGAAAGTCCAAATCGGCGTTGACAGTTGAATTCGAATCAAGACTTCTTTGCTCAAAGCGCGTCGAGTGCAGAGTCAAGCTATTATAATAACAATCTGAGAAGGAGCTCGCGGTGAGAGTACTGCAACGAGTCGACTTCTCTTGCTTTGGACGCACGAATTCACGAGGTACGAGTCGCTCGACAGGACACGGGCTCAATGTCACATTGCATGTCATCGTGGCTGCAGCTGCCGGTCAACTGACCGTATCTCTGAGCATTGCGCTTTCGGTTGAGATGCGAGGAACACAGCGAAGCTGAAAAGCGTCGGTAGGTGCGCTTATGTCTCTTGGGACTGATGGAAAACTGACTGCCACTCTGCAGCTCGAAGCAAAATAAGGGAGCGGAGCTTCGATATTGCAGCCAAGACGAGCACGTTCCTCTTTTTTTCCTGTCCTTCCAATGCAGCCAATTCCGAATTCAGGCAATGCATAGAGATTTACTGCCTTTTCAGCTCTGACACAGTGAGTGGTCCCTCGCCTCGCTTCTGTCTAAGACGATAATGGCCCTCCATACTGGCACCTGACTTGTCACATTGGGATGATACACCTCGCACGCTAGCTTGGGTTAATTCTGAGCCCTTCATTCCTCCGTCCCGTCTTCACCGGCCACATCGCAACAGGCACCCACTCTGTCTTCCTCTTCGACCTCGCCAAAGGTAGCTAGCTACAGGTGTACAGTGCACATAGCTCGTCGCCTCTGTCCTGATCTGCAGCGCACCGTGACGCCCCAGCGTTCACTAACTCCTCTTGCACTTCTTCTTCCAGCCGTCGGTGCATCGATTGCTTGCCCTGAGCATCTCCGTCGCATCAGTCTCGGCTGAAATCTATTGTATCGCCGGTCCTCCTCTTTTCATGGCCAGAATCTGCCCATTGTCTTCTGCCTGATCCGAGCCAACCATCTCCTCCCTTCTTCTCACCTCGATCGCATCTCGCCCTTCCTCGCCTTCTTCCGACTCTGCACAGTTCACCCGCCATTTCATCCCACTTCGTACCCTCGAGCATCATCGCATCCACTTCCATATACACGTCGGCTGTCGGGCGATCAGCTTCATTGCCGCCACCACGCCGAACTTTGCTGTCGGACCACCCGCCGCATTTCACTTCTACCGGGCGCACATCCAATCCGCAGCTCGACTACGGATCACTCGATAGCTGCTTCGGGCTCATAATCTCGAGCTTGAACAGCCAACTCACAAGGGTGCAGCGAAACAGGCTGACGTCGCTCTTCTTACCAATTTGCAGCTGGTCGCCGAGTAGAGGCTGAGCATCGTCACCATGAAGTTCGGACGCACCATCAAGACTTCGCTTTATGCAGAATGGTCGGACAAGTACCTCCAGTACTCGGAGCTCAAAAAGGAGATCAAGAATCGCATGTCCAAAAACAATGGCGTCTGGACCGATAAGGACGAAGACGACTTCGTCGCCATCCTCAGCAAAGAGCTCGACAAGGTCTACAACTTCCAGAAGGTCAAGGTTTCGGAGCTGACCGAGCGCATCAAGCAGGCCCAGTCCGAAGTCAACCTCCTCGTCTCCTCGCGTCCCAACTCCTCCACCTCACTCCCATCTCGCGCCAACTCTCGCCCCTCCTCGCATGCAGGTTCCGAAGCCGAAGGCGACGACGATGCGCCACGCAAACGCAGAAGCCTCTACGCTGCACACGATGCTGGCTCCGACGACGAATTTGACACCGACACGGAAGACAGCGACGCCTACGAGGAGCGCTTCCTAGAGCTCGAGGAACGTCTTGCCATCATCATTGCAGACGTGCACGACCTCGCTCTGTTCACCAAACTCAACTACACTGGATTCCACAAGATTGTCAAGAAGCACGACAAACAGACCGGCCGTCTTCTGCGAAAGGAGTTCGTGCAGCACTACCTCTCCTCGCGTCCTTTCTACAAGGAGAACTACGACCAGCTCATCGTGAAGCTCTCCAAACTCTTTGACCTCGTCCGCACCCGCGGCAACCCGGTCCAGGGCGACTCGAGTGCCGGAGGAAGTCAATCTGCTTTCGTCCGTCAGACCACCAAGTACTGGGTTCACCCGGACAACATTGTACCGCTCAAGCTCATCATCCTCAAGCATCTTCCCGTGCTCGTCTTCAACGCCGACAAGGAGTTCCAACAGGAGGACCAGGCGATCACATCCATCTATTACGACAACGAAGATCTCGAACTCTACCTCGGCCGTCTCGAAAAGACCGAGGGTGCTGAGGCGATCCGTCTGCGTTGGTACGGAGGTATGGACAACAAGCAGATCTTCGTCGAGCGAAAGACGCATCGCGAGGACTGGACCGGTGAAAAGTCGGTCAAGGCGCGTTTCCCCATCAAGGAGGAGAACGTCAATGCCTGGATGCGAGGCGATTACACCATGGACGAAACCTTCGAGGCGCTGCGCAAGAAGGGCAAGAAGTCGGACAAGGAGATCGACTCGATGCTCCAGCTCGCCAACGAAGTGCAGTACTCGGTGCTGACGCAGAAGTTGCAGCCCGTCATGCGCAGTTTCTACAACCGTACCGCATTCCAGCTTCCTGGTGATGCTCGCGTCCGTATCTCGCTCGACACCGAGTTGTCGCTCGTGCGCGAGGACAACTGGGATGGCCGTCAGCGTGCAGGTAACAACTGGAGGCGCATGGACATCGGCATCGACTACCCCTTCGAGCAGCTGCCCGCCGAGGATATCGAGCGCTTCCCTTACGGCGTCCTCGAGGTCAAGTTGCAGACCCAGCTGGGTCAGGAGCCTCCTCAATGGATCCGTGATCTGGTTTCGAGTCACCTGGTCGAGGCCGTGCCCAAGTTCTCTAAGTTCATTCACGGATGTGCCACGCTTCTGCCCAACCGCGTCGACCTGGTACCCTTCTGGCTTCCGCAGATGGACATCGACATCCGCAAGCCGCCCTCCAACAACCTCGCCATCGAGCGTCCCAGCTCCATGACCCACAGTCCGGCCGGATCGTCGCGGCCCGACACCCCCGCCTCGAGGAACGGACACACGCCCTACAATGAGCCGGTTTCGGAGGACGAATTTGAGGGCGCTGACGATGACGATCGCGGTCACGCGATGGCAGACGAGTCGCGCGAAGCCGACAACGCCGGCATCTCAGCCTTTGACCCGCGCATCCGAGAAGCGCGGGAGGAAAGAGAGCGCAACATTCGATTGCGTCAGCAGGAACTCGAGAAGCAATTGGCGGAGAACCCGGATCAGACTTCCAGCACGGCAGGCGGCATGCTCGCCGTTGCCTCGGCCTCGGTGGCCAATGATCGACGACCGTCAAAGTCCAAGGCTGTCGCACCTACCCGCGAAGAGATCCTCGCACCTTCGCATCGTTACGACCATCACTTTTTCTCCAAGCTAACGCCGAAGAACATCCAGCGTCTGTGGAAGACGAAAGGCTCTTCGCACGAACACGCCGATGGGCACCACACTGGTGACGAGGCGGACGAGGATGACGACGAGGACGATCCGGTACGACGCGCGCTCGAGGGCCAAGACGAAGAAGTGCCGCGCGGACCCAACGTCGAGTACGTTCGCGATTTCCACGCGCAACCCGGCAAAAAGGTCAGCGTACCCATCCGCATCGAACCCAAGGTGTACTTTGCCAACGAACGAACCTTCCTCAAGTGGCTCGAGTTCAACGTCTACCTCTCGGCTCTTGCCATCGGTCTGCTCAACTTTAGCAGCCCTGGCGATCGTACCGGCTTGATCGCAAGCTCCTTCTTCACCATCGTTGCGCTGGTGGGCATCGCCTACTCCGGCGTGATCTTCGTCATCAGAGCGCTGAAGATCAGGCAGAGGGAAAGCAGCAACGTCTACTTTGACGCGTACGGTCCGAGCATTCTCTGCGCGGCGATCTTGAGCGCCGTGGTGGTCAACTTTGTGCTCAGGTTTATGGAGAGTCATGAGAAGAGGGTGGGGAGGGGCGTGCTGAATTGAACGGAATGTATATAGGTGGGTTGGTGACGATGGGAGGTGAGAATGGGGAATGTCGCACACACATTTTGAATGATGGAGAAGGTCTTGTGTAGAAGTCTGATATGAGTTGCATTGAGATGCGAATGAATGTGTTAGTAGCGTAACGAGGACCGGTGTGGATGGAGAGATGCGAATGGACCAACAACAGTGGGACAGCGAGGGACTTTCCTTACTTCATCCTCTTCTTGCTCGTCTCGATGTGTTTCCTCAGCTTCCTGCTCTTCTCCTTGAGACTGGCGTTCTTCTTGCTCCTTACGGACCAACTCCTGGCGATCATCTGGAAGTTTTTGGTCTTCTGCTTCTCCCTGTTTGTGGATGAGCTTTCCTTCTCCTTGTTCTTCTTGCCCTTTTTGGATCCGTACTTTTCGCGATCTTCACGACCCTTTTCGATCGAGGCGAGACGGTCTTCGTAGGTGGCTTTCGCTTTCTTTCTCGGACCTAGAATGTCACCTTCGTCGAGGAAGGAGGACGAAGGGTTGGTGGTTCGTTTGAGGGACTTGAGCTCTTCGAGCTGTCGTTTGGCTCGGTTGCCGGCTAAGCCGCCTTGGGCGATGGCGGCTTCGGCGGCGGAGATGCGGAGCTCGGTGAGCTTGGCAAAGTCGGCAGGGGTGAGGATTCGCGTGGTGGCGAGGTGCGAGATGTGCTGCTCTTCCGCGTCAACTTCGGCGGTGAGAGAGGCAGAGGCGCCGGCGGCGGTCGAGGAGGAGGGCTCATCGTCGGAGGCGGCGTCTTGCTCGGCTTCCGATTCCGAGTCAGAGGTCGCGACGTCAGCTTCGCCCGCATCGCGTCGAGATTGACGCTCAGCTTTGCGTTGAAGCTTGGCTCGTTTCTTTTGTCGAGCTTCGCGGGCGGCGACGAGACGTTCCTTGACTGTACGTTTCTGCTTTTTCGTCTCGTCGTCATCATCGTCATCTGAATCCGAAAGTCGAAGAACTCCGTCGTCGTCATCATCGGAGACATTGATCCATCCGTCCTCCGATTCATCATCAGAATCTTCTTCGGATTCCTCCTCCCATCCTTCCCAGCCTTTGTCCTCTTCATCCTCTTCATCTCCGTCGCCTTCGGCTTTTCGCTTCTCTTGCTCCTCGAGATGCTTCTCCAACAGATCGATACCTTGAATTCCATGCACCTCGTCCTGATCCACGCCGAATGCCACAGCAGCCCTGCCCTCCTGAACGGCCAGGGAGCCCATCTTACCCCTCTCCTTCTTCTTGAGCATGGCCGGGTTGACCTCCCTGTACAAAGACAGCAAACCTCTGGCTGCTGCGCAAACGCCCTTATCTTTGCTCCTCCTGTAGCTGATGAGATCCTCGAGAAGAGTCTCTTCCATAGCCCAAGGCTGACGTTTGCAGATCTCACGGATACTGTTGATACCCGCTGCGACGACCTCGCTGCTGACACCCGGGTGTACGAATGCATCGGACAACTTTCGAACCACAGGAGTGATGACGTCGGGTGGCGTTTGATCGTGTACGCTCTGAGCCAAGGAGACGAGGATGTGGGTGATGTGCTGCTGATGCGGGGCCAAGTATTTGACGACGTAGGAGTAGAAGCTGAGAACGCAGAGTTTGTGTGCACCCATGACACGGGAGAGGAGCTGCATGAGACGAATCTTGATCTCGATGGTATGACGTTTTTCGCGATCGCCTCTGCTCAAGTTGTCGAAGAGTTTCTCGCCAAAGTTTTGAGGATCGTTGAGAAGGTAGAGAGCAGCAAAGTTGCCGGTGTCTTTGGAATTGCCTTCGAGAGCGTTCTCGGCTTTGGCTTTGCGTTTCTTCTTGGACAGCGCGGCTGCTGCACGCATCTTCTTGTCGCCGGAGCGGGTCTTCTTGTTGATCTTGCGTTGGTGTAGAAGAGCATCGACATCGGGACCTTCGTCGTCGGAGCCGGACTCCTCGGCATCGTCTTCGGCGGAATGAAGGTCGCCGAGGAAGAATCGTACGGCGGAAGATTGGACTCGTGGGTGTGGGTGGAAGCAGGCGAGCGCGAGGAGCGACACGGTCTTGGCGTCGGTCCAGATTTGCTTCTTCCACAAGTTTGCTGCCAGTCGGACAGCCCAAAGTGCTTCGGTCTTGCCTGCAGATTGCCCTTTTCTGGGTGGCGTTAGAGCAGATGCGCCGGAAGAAGCATCGATGCCCTTTTGGACGATTCCAAACAAGAGTCCTTGGACGACACGGTTGAGACGATGGTTCTTGCTTTTGGCATTCGCATTCTTGATATCCTGCAAGATGGTGGCCTGTACGGACGTCCTGACCGCGGCGCTCGTGGTGACGCTAAGGAGAGGGAACAGTGTCTGAAGCAGCTCCTCAGAGGTGATGACATCTCGATTCCTCAAGAGGATCAAACTCCGCAAGCAGCTAGCCCTGATATCGGGGCTCAATGCGGAATGATGATTGAGCAGCAGATCGGAGAGGTGTTGGGGCAGCTCGCTGGTGATCTCGGGGTAGCTCGGAGCGAGTTGGGTGACAAAGGAGATGAGGCTGACGAACTTGCTCGCTTGATCCTTGTTGATCCTAATGCCGGTGGAGGCGACTGCCAAGCCTGCGTCGAGGTCAGAAGCAAAAATGCTGCGGAGGGACTGGTAGTGGTTCCATTGCGCTGTGAACTCTTCGACATAGGCTTCGGGCTGACGTTTGAGCAAGTTTTGGAGTGCGGGGAGGTTGTCTGCGTTGAGCAGGCCACGAGCTCGACTGCGGTGGATGAGACCGCCTTCGTTGACCAAAGGGCTGGCTTTGACCACAGCTGGCGATGTTGTTGCGGGAGGCATGTTGGACTATCTCCTTGCTTCCACAATCGAAAGCAATTGGATGGAGATGACGACGATGGTGATGGTTAGAACGGCAGTGTGAATTCAAGAGAGCAGCTGTGTTCTACCATACATAGGGTCTGCTGCCACTGTTGAGCTGCCCAAGTGAAAGTTTTCTTTCGGCTTGGCCGCAACTTTGACCCTGAATTCGTGGGATTCTCAAAGTTCTGCTGAACCGCAACCGCAATTTTTTCATTCTCGGAAGACGGAGAAGAAATTAGCTGCAAGTCGAGAAGAAAATTTGTGGCAGCAAAAAAAAGAGGCACAGCACAGCAGCACGGCAGCACAACAGTCTTGCCAACAAGGGAGAGAGACCCTGAGTGACGCTTTGGCAATTCCGACCGTCCTTCTCGTCCCTCACCCATCATCCCTCGCTGCTTGCTTCGAACAAAAGCGAACATTGTCGACGGCAAGATGGACGATCATGACGATGGGCTCATGCTCAATTTCGCACCCGCAGCTGCGTCCGCAGCGACATCGAATAAGCGGCCCAAACAGACCGCCAAGGCTCGCTTTGCTCAAAAACGTACTGCACAGCAGTCCAGGAGGCAGGCACCCAAGCAGAACGGATTGACAGAGTCAACGGCAGCGTCAGCTCCAGCAAGGATCACAGCGGTACCTACACCATCAACAGAGCCACCGGCTGCCAAAAGGCAAAGGATCGAAGCTGCACCTACGCCGTCTTCGTCAGCAGCGTTCAGTGCACCGAGATTCGATCCTCGTTCAGCCCTCGCCAAGCCGACACCAGTTCCTTCTCGAGCAAGTCAGGTCTCAGCTGCAGCGTCCTCTGCCGGTCGAAGGGCTGCCTCTTCAATACCGCAACAACAAAGGCCATCTACCGCTGGTGCCGCTGCTTCCTCTTCCACATCCAAAACTACAAGCAACGGTATCGTCAGCACCCTCTTCCCCGCCCACGGCGTACTTGAAGACTCCAACATCGCTTTCACTCCCTTTCAACGCAAAGCTTACGATCCAACCAATGCTCCATCTACCACCTCCGACTTCGCTTCCTGCGGTCTCGACCCACTCCTCGTCTATCACTTGGCTTCCAAGATGAAGATCGGTTCCAACCCAACCTCGATCCAGAAAGCGGCTCTTCCACACCTCCTCCACCCGGGTCTCGATCGCGACATTCTCATCCAAGCCCAGACTGGTTCGGGCAAAACCCTCACCTACCTCCTTCCCATCGTGCAGAGTTTGCTCCCCCTCTGCGAAGAATCTTTCATCGATCGATCCGTCGGCACTCTCGCCATCATCCTCGCTCCCACCCGCGAACTGGCAAGGCAGATCTACGAAGTGCTGGAAAAGCTTGTTTCTCTCGCGCTCAGTCTCAAAGAGCAGTCCGAGGATTCAGAGAGTGCAGTCAGGAGGACGAGATGGCTGGTACCCGGCTTGTTGTCCGGTGGATCCACCAAGAATCACGAAAAGCAAAGACTTAGGAAAGGTTGTCCCATCCTCGTTTCCACTCCCGGTAGACTGCTGGACCATCTTCAGAACACTTCGAGCTTCGATGTCGGCAAATGTAGGTGGCTCGTCTTGGATGAAGCGGATCGATTGTTGGAGATGGGTTTTGAGGAACAGCTGACAGGCATTGTCAAGGCGCTTGATGGCAGACGTAATCTGGCTTGCGGTGCTGCCAGACAGGCTATGCCGGGGTACGAAGACGGAGTCGCTCCAGGCGACGCGGACTGGATTCAGGACGCAGAGGTGATGGACACGCTGGGTGTCACATGGTGGTCTCACCCGAGGAGAGTCGTGCTCTGCTCTGCTACCCTGGATGAGAACGTACAGGTATTGGCGGGCAAGACTTTGATCAACCCAAAGATCATTCGCGGCATCAAGGATGATTCTCCCGAAGCAGCCGCAGCAAGCATCACTGACGGCTCTGCGGAGACCCAGAAGGAACCAGTCAAGTTCGCAGCGCCCGCACAGCTCACACAGAGCTTCATCACCACTCCACCCAAACTTCGACTCGTCACCCTCCTCTCCGTCCTCCGAGCCTACATCACACGCGCACGACACGATCCAACCCAAGCAGGTTCCGGCCGAGTTATCGTCTTTATGAGCTGCACCGACTCTGTCGACTTCCACTACGCCGCTCTGGGCGGTGCACGCATGAACTCGTCCGAAAACGATCCCACCACCACCTCGACCCTCGACGATGACCTGCTTCCCCCGCACACTACATCCGAACTCATCCCTGGAATTCCCATTTTCAGGCTTCACGGCTCTATGACGCAACAGGAGCGTATCGCCTCTCTCAAAGGGTTCTCCGGCGGCAAGAAGGTCGAGGGAAAAGGTTTCGAGGGAAGCATCCTGCTTTGTACCAGCGTTGCCAGTCGTGGATTGGATCTTCCCGATGTGGGATGTGTCGTGCAACTGGATCCACCTACGGAAGGAGGCATCGAAGAGTATCTGCATCGAGTGGGACGTACCGCACGTGTCGGCAGAGCCGGCGAAAGTTGGCTCCTCGTCCTACCCCAGGAAGTCGGTTGGGTTCAGACCGTACTAGAATCCAACATGATCATCTCCGGAACTCTCTCCAACCACGATCAAAAGCACAAGATCAACCCTACCTCGATCGAATTCATCCTACAACAAGGTATGGGTGGAACCACTGGAACGCTGGAATACCAGTCCAGAGCGACGGAAGTTCAACTCGCATTCGAACGATGGGTTCTCTCGGGCGATCGACCTCTGACACTAGCTCGCAAAGCGTTCCTCTCGCACGTTCGGGCATACGCAACCCACTCTGCAGAGGAAAAAGTCTGGTTCAACGTTCGAGCTTTACATCTGGGTCATCTAGCAAAAGCCTTCGCTCTTCGAGAAGCACCTCGTTCCCTCGGAGCCAAGAGTTCTTCCCTCGCCACCACCTCCACCAAACTCTCTACCTCCCACGAAGCTAAAACCACCAAACGTGTCCCCGCTTCCGACACCTCTGACGATGAGGATTCCTCGGACGACGCCGCCTCCGACTACGAATCGACTGCCAAAGGGGACGGATTCGAGCTGGATAAATCCGCACTCGCCAAACTCACCCAATCCATCGTCGACAGTGCAGACGGTTCCAACAGAAGCAAGAGGTTGGAAAAGGAGGTGCGAAGAGCAGAGGCTGCAGCGAAGGGAGAGAAGCAGACAGAGGTGGAGGCGAGAATGTACGCCAAAGTCAGGGCGTTGGGTAAGATGAGCAAGAAGCACGGTGTGTTGGGTGCGCATGGAGCTGACGAGTTTCAAATTGCTTGAGATGGGAAACGGGAAGGGAAGAGATCGGTGCGGTGTTGTTGTTGATCAACGGAAATGGTTTTCTCGTTGTGCGGAAGAATGATGAAGTGGTGTGTTTTGTGTATCGTGAGCGTGTGGTTTGAGGGTGTTCGGGCACGGCTCAACAGGTTTCTCGGAGTGCGAGGAATCGAGTTCCGTAGAAGCACTGCATTCTCGAGCGCATGAAGGTCGTCTACTTGGTGTCGTCGTCCTTGACAATATCCCTCTTGATGAGCTTCTTGCCGTTCCCGTCAACGGTGGGAGCGCCGAGCAAGGTGGTTTCAAGCTTTCGACGCCAAGCGACCCAGTGTTTGACGCAGCCCGCAGCGTTCCTCTGCGAGAGGCTACGGGTCGAAACAGGAAACAACGGGAGAATTTGTTGTTCACATCCATCAGTATTCATTGCACCTTGGTACTCAGCATCGTTGCGTACATGATTTGTGCGTGGGAGTACTTACGCAGGATAATCCCTGACGGTCTGGTTCATACCTGCAGAGATGATTTCGCCGAGGCAGTCCAACAGTGCCTCGTCCTCCTCTTTGGTCTGTATGATGCAGAGATGGGCCCGAAGTGTGATGAGTGAGTACTGTTCCCCTCAGAGCAGGCGCAGCTTGAGTGCGTAGGATCTACCCATTCACGTTTCACCATCGGTCTGCGTCCGATTCGCAATTGAAAGACACACAAAACAATAGACAGCCCATTGAGTGAGTACATAGCAACAATAGCACAAGGAACTACCTCGAGGACTCACCCTTTGCCGCCAGGAGACTGCTTCACCTTGGTCTCCTTCTTAGCCTTTTTAGGCGACTTGATATCTTCGTCTGCGAGCTCGTCGTAGGCGTCGTATTCGGTGTTGAAGAGTTCGTGCTCCGCCATGATGGCGTCTTAGATGGTAGAGATGGAAGGAGGTGATTTGTAGGCGATTGAAGTGTGTTGGTCGATGTACGACTTGCTTTGTTGAAGGTCTGGATCTAGAAAAGGACACTGGAAGAGGGAGGGATGGTGAGGGAATCGAAAGGTGTGCCGCTTCAGCTCTCAAAGACTTTATACCTTCAGCTACCTGCTCGCGAGCTCAGCTAGCAATTTCTCTGAAATGGACATTGCGGAACGTCATTGAATCTGAGCTGACTTCCCGCACAGTCTATAAGTATTGTAACAGTGAGCTCAGTAAAGCAAGACGTTCACAAAGAGCTGACGTTCCCGCACCTGTCAGCACTTCCGCACCCCCCGCTCGCAGACGGGAGGCATATGAAATACAGCAACATCAAGCTTTGTGATTCATTTCCGATCACTCAAGCTCTTGGTTTCAAATCTCATGCGGTCTGTTGTCACATGGTTTGTACGGTGCTCTGTGAAAGTATGGTGTGGATTCGGTAGAGCAAAGATTGATGGATAACGACGAAGAGAGTTTCACATCTCATCGGACATCGGGATCTGACTAGTGGCCCAGATCGGGAGGCAGATCTTGGGTGTTCCTAGTTTAGCCGATCGGAAGGCTGCTTAGCGTTGCTCTTCGCTCTCGGCGTGCATCCGAAGCCTCAAGATGGTGATCAGAGGGATGAATGACTCGACTGACATTTGATTGATTTCAACTCGACGCTCAAGCATCGACTACACTTGCAACTCTGCTCAACGAGGAATGACTCGAGCTGCTGGAAGAAGCTCGAGGGACGGTGCCAGGACGAAGCTGCAAGTCGCATCAAAAGCCGACCAAAAGCCTGCAGTCAGTGGGGAAAGCGGGATTTGCAAGGCTGTTCCTTCCCGCAGCGTCAATGCGCTGAAGATGAGTTTGGAGTCTTGTATCTTATCGCAAAGCATACGTGGCTTCCGATCGTCGACCGAGATCTCGAGTAGCAGAACGACTCTTTTGACGACCAGCTTCTCGCTCGCAGGTGCGGCCTAGTCGGGCAAAAGAAGAAATTCGGCTCACTTTCATGCAGTGAAATCTGAGAAGGTTGGGAAGATTTTCAAATGCAGCCAACGTCCCAGCTTCTAATCTCGTTCCAAAATAGCTCTCGCAGGCTGGAAGCGTGCTTGATCTGATTTTTTTTGGTGCTTGACCGTGCGTTCCCTTCTGAGTCACATCACCTTTTTTTCTGGTTGGTCACAGAGAGCGACGAGAGCGACCAATCAGTGCGCAGCTCTTCGAATTGGGATCGCGACTCTGCTCTCTTCAATGGACAAGCACGAAATGAGTGATCGGTGGATGCGGACCGACCTGTTGGTCCCAGCTTTGCGGTACAAACAGAACGGTCAAACATGATCGCCATCATCTTCAAATCTATCAAAAGAGAAGCGGCTGCGGTGAAGCTTCTGCATGGGAGGCACTCCTTGAGGATTGACAGGAGAGCTAGAAGAAAGTTTGGACGAGACGAGTCAGCTGGCGTAGTGCCGCAAAACCTTTTTTCTTCTTCGCGTCTGTGTGTGTCTTATCCGAAGATGCGTGACTCTGGCTATCTGAGCGGAAGGAAAAAAAAGTTGACCAGACCAAGCTTTTTTCCTAGTCAGAGAGCAGAGGATCGAGTCGGCGTCTCCGTCGCTGTAGCGCTTGAAAAACCCCCTCCGGATATCAGTCCGGCATCGTCTCTTCTCGCCTTCATTCTTCTCCTCAACAGCGCTCTCTCAGCTTCCTGCTGCTACTCCGTCTTCGAGGCTTGGCTACTAACCCGGAGCTGTCTCCTCTCCACGAGACCCTGCCGCCTGTCAATCCCACATATCCGCGCTTCTCCTCGTCGCATCAAGATCAACCTCACGTGCTGCAATCTCCAGACGCACAGACGTCTCCGCTTTCTTATCAAGGCCACTGCAAGCTGATCAGATAGCCTAACAGCTAGCAGCAAGTCTCCGAAAGGACAAGAACTTCCGGTTCTCCTCGAACTTTTGTTCGTCGTCGTCGTCGTCCCTCGACGCTACTTCTCCGATCATGTATCGAAGCATCCGAGCCGTCTCTCGAGGCGCCAACTCGGCCTCGCAGGTCGCTTCCACCTCGCAGCTCCCCATCGCAGCTCGCACTCTCCACACAAAGTCGGCGACCGCCTCGTTGAAGTCCAACAGCCTCGCGACAACCGGTAGCCAGCTCTTCCGCTCCCGCTTCTCCACCTCTGCGCTCCTCAAGGCTCCCGCTTCCACCCGCGTGGCCGGCGCTGCTGTCAAGGACATCGAGCCAGCTGCGACAGGTCTCCAGAAATGGAGCAAGTACCTCCCCAAGGTCGAGCGCTCCGACGTCAAGAAGGTTGTCCTCGTCGGCTCCGGCGGTCTATCCATCGGCCAGGCCGGTGAGTTTGACTACTCGGGCTCGCAGGCCATCAAGGCGCTCAAAGAATCCGGTATCGAGACCATCCTCGTCAACCCCAACATCGCAACCATCCAGACCTCGCATCAGCTTGCAGACCAGATCTACTTCCTCCCCATCTCTCCCGAATACGTAGCCTACGTCCTCGAAAAGGAACGTCCCGATGGTGTCCTCCTCACCTTCGGCGGTCAGAGTGCCCTCAACGTCGGTGTCAAGCTCGACGAGATGGGCGTCTTTGACCGTCTCGGCATCAAGGTGCTCGGCTCCCAGGTCGATGTCCTCCGAATGTGCGAGGACCGTGACCTCTTCGTGCAAGCCCTCGACCAGATCAACATCCCCGTCGCCAAGTCCGAAGCCGTCTCCACCGTGCCTCAGGCGCTCAAGGCCGCTGCCGAGATCGGCTACCCGGTCATCGTTCGTGCCGCCTACGCCCTCGGTGGTCTCGGATCCGGTTTCGCTGACAACGAGGACGAGCTGCGTGACCTTTCCGCCCGTTCGCTCTCGCTCAGCCCTCAGATCCTGGTCGAGAAGTCGCTCAAGGGCTGGAAGGAGTCCGAGTACGAGGTGCTGCGTGACCAGGAGGACAACGCCATCATCTGCTGCAACATGGAGAACTTTGACCCGTTGGGCGTTCACACCGGTGATTCTATCGTCGTCGCTCCCTCCCAGACCATGTCGGACGACAACTACCACATGCTCCGTTCCGCCGCCCTCAAGGTCATTCGTCATCTCGGTATCGTCGGAGAGTGCAACATCCAGTACGCACTCAGCCCCGACAGCCGTGAGTACCGTGTCATAGAGGTCAACCCTCGTCTGTCGCGTTCCTCGGCTCTCGCCTCCAAGGCAACCGGATACCCGCTCGCCTACACCGCCGCCAAGCTCGCTCTCGGATACACCCTCCCCGAGCTGCCCAACTACGTCACGAAGAGCACTACCGCCTGCTTCGAGCCTGCACTCGACTACATTGTCACCAAGATCCCCAAGTGGGACTTGAGCAAGTTTCAGCACGTCAACCGTGAGATCGGATCCGCCATGAAGTCGGTCGGTGAGGTCATGTCCGTCGGCCGAACCTTTGAGGAATCGCTCCAAAAGGCCATCCGACAGGTTGCCCCTGCCTACGACGGCTTCGACGCCTACATCGTGCCCGAGGATCTCGACCAAGCCCTCGCTGTGCCCACCGACACGCGTCTGTTTGCCATCGCCTACGCCATGCTCGTCAAGAACTACGACGTCGAGAAGCTCCACGAGCTGACCAAGATCGACAGGTTCTTCCTCTACAAGCTCGACAACATCGTCACCATCAACCGCCAGCTCGAGAAGCTCGGCTCGCTCTCCGCCGTCGACAAGGAGCTCATGAAGCTCGCCAAGCAGCGTGGTTTCTCTGACCGACAGATCGCCAAGCTCACCAACTCGAAGGAGCACGAGGTTCGCGCTCACCGCAAGGCGTTCGGTCTCACCCCCTTCGTCAAGCGTATCGACACGGTCGCCGCCGAGTACCCTGCTCAGACCAACTACCTCTACACCACCTACAACGCCACCACCCACGACGTTGAGTTCGACAACGACGGTACCATGGTGCTCGGTTCCGGTGTGTACCGTATCGGAAGCTCGGTCGAGTTTGATTGGTGCGCCGTCACCTGCGCCCGAAAGGTGCGTGGCATGGGTCACAAGACCATCATGATCAACTACAACCCCGAGACCGTCTCGACCGACTTCGACGAGGCCGACCGACTCTACTTTGAGGAGCTCGGCTTCGAGCGTGTCATGGACATTTACGAGCTCGAGGGCGCCACTGGTGTGGTTGTCAGTGTCGGTGGACAGTTGCCACAGAACATCGCCTTGCGACTCAAGGACACTGGTGTCAATGTTCTCGGAACCGACCCATTGATGATCGACTCTGCTGAGGACAGGCACAAGTTCTCGCAGATCTTGGACAACGTCGGTATCGACCAGCCCGAGTGGACCGAGGCGACGTCGGTGGAGAAGGCAAAGGAGTTCGCTGCCAAGGTGTCGTACCCCGTTCTCGTACGACCTTCTTACGTGCTCTCCGGAGCAGCGATGAACGTGATCTGGGACGAATCCACCCTCGAGCACCACCTGACTGCTGCAGCCGAGGTCAACACCGACTACCCCGTCGTCATCACGAAATTCATCGATAATGCGCAGGAGATCGACGTCGACGCCGTCGCTTACAAGGGCGAACTCCTCGTCCACGCCGTTTCCGAACACGTCGAGAACGCAGGTGTCCACTCCGGAGACGCAACGCTGGTGCTCCCGCCCTTCTCGCTGGATCCCAACGATCTCTCGCGTCTCAAAGTGATCGCACAAAAGGTCGCAAAGGCGTTCAACATCTCTGGTCCGTTCAACATGCAGATCATCCGCAAGCCCACTGAGTCGGGTGAGACCGAGGCGGCCCTCAAGGTGATCGAATGCAACCTGCGTGCCTCCCGATCGTTCCCCTTCGTATCGAAGGTCTTGGGCGTCAACTTTATCGACATTGCGACCAACGCGATCGTGGGTAAGGATGTGCCGGAGCCGGTGGATCTGATGGCGCAAGAGAGGGACTACGTGGCGATCAAGGTGCCGCAATTTTCGTGGACTAGGTTGGCGGGTGCGGACCCGTACTTGGGCGTCGAGATGGCGTCTACGGGTGAGGTGGCGAGTTTCGGCAAGGATCTGTACGAAGCCGCCTGGGCGAGCATTGCCAGTCAGACGGCATTCCGCGTTCCGCAAGCCAACACGGGAGTTCTTATGGGTGGCGACGTCACCAAGCCTCAATTCGCCCGTATCGCCAAGAAGCTCTTTGACCTAGGCTTCAAGCTGTACTGCTCCGACCCCGAGGTCGAGACCTTCATCAACTCGCTCGAGGATGTGCGCGCAAAACGCATTCGCTTCCCCGTCAAGGACAAGCGCAAACTCCGCGAGGTCTTTGACGAGCACGAGATCAACTTTGTCGTCAACCTCGCCAAGTTCCGCGGCCGCGATCTGCTGGATCAGGACTACGTGGCTAGGCGCAACGCGGTGGATTTCGGCATCCCGCTGTTGAACGAGGCTAGGAGCGCGGAGCTGTTCGTGGATGCGCTGGCGGCTAGGATGCCACACGGCTGTCTGAGGGGCTACGAGGAGGGGAAGATCCCGAGCGAGGTCAAGCCCTGGAAGTACTTTGTCAAGGAGGAGGCGCAGGCAGCGCACAAGTAAAGACAACGAATGTAAGGTTCTTTTGTGATCAGTGAAATGACAAAATAGAATGGATCCCGAGATAGTCGAGTGGTTTGCAGCGTGGGTTTGTGTCGATGCTGTTGATGCGAGTCGACGACTCAAGTAGCTAGTTCGAGAAATGATGTCGACACAAGGATCGGGGTCGAGAGATCGGCTCTCGATCGATCGAATCAGATCTCGCTGCGCATCTCACTCCGGAGCAAACCCGAAAATCCTGCACACGCTCATCGATACCTTTTCTGCAATCATCTCCACTGTATAGCTGGGAAAGACACCGGACGAGATCTCATTGATCCCGGGCCGTCGTGAGACATTTTCATCCTCTCGCGGGCTAGACCTTGGGGGTTTTTCGGCAACAAAGTTGTTCTTGGCATTTGGAGACGCGCGGTATTCGGAAAACAGCTTCGAGTGTGTCTGTCTGCTGCCGGCGGAGAGTTTCTCGGCGAATTGTTTGGGAGGGTGCTGCGGCAAAATGCGAGAATCGACCGACGTTGAACGGATTGAAAGTCTAGTGTCTTGCCTGGCGAGAATGCTTCGCTCACTTCTTCTCTGGGAGGCTGATGGACAGTACGAAGTCATTCGAGACAATCACAAACTGTCTCAGAGCGATCTTCGTCTGGTATCAGCCTGTTGCAGAGGGCGGCGAGACCGCATGCCTGTTCTGTTCCACAACGCAGGTGGCAAAAGAGGTAACGCTAGCTACTGCCCAATCACGTTCTCGTCCTGGACCTTTTCTCACACATCCTGAGACATCGAGCTGCCAAGAACGAAAGAAGTCTGCAGAGGCAGCGAAGCACCTTCGTTTCGATTGGAGCAAGTCTGCAGATGTGTCTCGGGATTTCCGCGGTGTTCATCAGAAATTGACCGGTCTCCGCCCATGCGCACGAGAGCTCGCACAAGTTTTCAGTTGGACCGATGAGCAAGGCCAACAACTCCTTGCGCATCCACTCTGTGGGTCCTGCAGTAGGATGGCAAGCGGAAATGCAGGAACTTTTCGGCCCGTTGACACCCCTCGGCACCTCGCAGCACGATGGCGCTATGCGACAGCGAACTCCCGGTGCCGCTCCGGTTCTTGGCATTCCTGTAGCAGACCTTGCGGCGACGAGACGTCTTCCTGCGGAAATGGATCTCATTATCAAGTCAGTATACCGAGATCGCGTGCTCGTGCTAGTGTAGGCGAGTCAGCGGAACGCCAGATCCGGTCAGCTGGCACAGCTTGGTGTTTGGCGGCCGCGAGTTGACCTACGCGAGGAGAGACTCGCGTATATTTCCGCGGCATCAACGCATCTCTGAGCTTTTTTTTCTGGTCTTCGTTGATGTCAATAGAGACGCCACATTCCAGCAGAGGCGAGACACGAGGCCTTCTTCGTCTTTCAGCTGCCAGAATTTGTCGAATCGCTTGTAAAAATCGAGAGATCGGCAAGGCGCCGAGAGATGGAATTTCGGGTAGAGGTCTAACATTGCCTGTAAGGATACCGCTCAACACCGCCAAGCGAGCGTCCAACACCCTCGCTCCGTGCGTGCAGTCAGTAATGCTGTTAACTCCGCGGCGACGCGGCAGCTAGGCTGGTTTGGGGCCTCGCGCCAAGGGTTCGTGCTGCGGCTGCATGCTCGCTTTCCAGTTGCAAGGCAAGCGAGACGGAGCTAACTTCACTGTTACGGAAATGAGATTCTCGGCCTTCGATGGACCTGCCAACGTCGTTGTTATGGATCACGACGTGCTTGGCAACTGCTTTTAGGATGCCGTCGAGCCTCATGGCAGGCATCGAGTTCTGCAAGGAAGGAGAGATTGCAACCTGAGCTGCTATTTCGTGACACTGTTCTAGACGACGATATTTGGTGTCCAGAGAGCTGCCAAACGTGGGAGACGCAACGTGGGAGAGCATGCAGTAAAGCAAAATCATAGGAATGGAGAGAGAGAGTGGCGCTCGTGGATGCCATATGCTGCATGAGCAAGCCAAAAGGGTGACGCAGTCGAGCAGCCAGCTCGTCTATCTCTTCAGCTGAAATTCAAAGTGAAAAAATTCAGCCGGGTGCGGCTGCTTGACCGCCGGATTTTCTTTAAAAAAAAAGAAAGAAAAGGATCCCTGCTTGAGGAATTTAATCTCAGTTGTTGACCTCGTGCTCCCTTGTGGTACCAGCAGCTAACCTTGAGCAAATCGCATTCGGAGCTGCACCGGCTCTGGATCCCGAGCAAGAAGCGGAGAGGATCAAGCATTCCCACGGATCGACATGGGTAGCAAAGGGCGTGGAAGAGCCGCGTGAGATGTCGACGAGACCACTCGCTATGGCGGCACGTTGATCTGGATCCTCAAAGTGACAGTGGTTCGGAACAAACAGAAGCCGTGTCATTTGATCCCCTTGTCGCTTTCAATGTCCGCCCGGCAAAGCACTGACGCCGAGATGCATCAACGATGATCGCCTGTAGCGTCGTCAAAAGGTAAGGACCGCCATACAGTACAAGGACAGATGCAAATCCGGGTTTCGGCATCGTGGTCTTGCAGCCATTGCAAAACATTTTCATCGGCAACCGTTCATCCGACGGGCTGCGGTGCTGTGTCGAACGTAGAGCGAACGCATGAGGTGTCAACAGGCGAGTCAGTCCTGTCGCGGTGTCCGATGAGCTTATTAATAACTTCGGCTTGTCCGAATTTCGGTCAGCTCACACATGTCATCGTTTTCATCTTGTCGTAAATCATTTGATCTTAGTGTGGTCCTACCCATTGCACGTTGACAGAGGTGATTTCGAGGGCTCGTTGAACCTTGGTTGGCGGTATCGTGGCGCCTTTGAATCGGAAGCACAGGCAACAAAGGATGAACCGGTCCTCGGATCAAAGCGCCGATCGGTGAGACCAAGCATCGAACCGAAGCAATGTAGAAGTGCTGCAGTACGGCAGCTGACTGATGGCGCAAGGAGACGGTACTTTCGAAACCGATCAGCTGCAAGACGAGGTCTTTTTGGCCAGCCTTCGGCCGTAGCGTCCGTAAAAGTAGAAACAAAGCAAAAGTCGCTTAGCGTGGCAATCTTGTCTTTGCCTTGTCTCGTTTGCATCCCAGCGTCGTGTGCTAGCCTTAGCGTGCACTGTACCACTCCCTATAACTCACATCGGGTTGAATGTATGTTACGGCATGGTTGTGCATGCGCTTGGCTAGCTTAGGCTAGGCTCGCTCGCTTGACGGAGATTCAGGCCGGTCAATCTGCCGTCCTTGGCGGCCGTCACCCTCGCCACACTCCTTTGCTGTGGGCGGAGGCACACTACCCGCGACCGATGCATCCAAACGCATAAAGCAAGCTCGGCGAGCACGCGGTCGTGCTCTTCGGCCCAGCTTTCCCAGCTCCTCCACTACGTCCAAAATTGGCCGTCGGCCCGCGGAGGCACGCTGTCTTGCCACTTTTTTCATGAAATTCACATTGCAACCCACTACGCCGCCTCTTGGTGAGACTCTCAGGGCAGTTCTCGACCAGCTCATTCCCGTAACCAGTGATGTTGCGGCTGAGTCAGGCCAAGATAACCAAACTCAGTGGCCAAGACCGTAACCGGTGAAAGCATCAAAAGAAACGTCTAATTTCGGGAAAGAAAAGAAAAGCAAGTAAATATTTTTTCAACTAATTTCTCTGCAGCTGAACGGCGGTACATTGGTGACAGGAGAAAGGTATGCATCGAAGCCCAGCTGGGCGGCTTCGGCGTGGTTCCTCTGCAGCCGAAGAGTGCGTATGTGCGTAACGAAAGTATTATACTAGAAAATGGGCGAGTCCATGGATCGGATATACGGATATAGCGAGGCGGACCAGCTCTTGAGAGGCGCACGGCAAGAGCAAGATTGACTTACTGCACACTGACCTTGCAGCGCCCCCCCTCAAGCTGTCATCTGTTTCCACCCGCAGCATCGTCGCTTAGCTGCACCGCCCTTTTCTCCGCCCTTCCCTAGGCTGGGCTCAACCTGCTTTTGTCGTGGCATGTGAGCTCTAGCTATGATTTAAAATAAAAAAAAATCCGACTCGTGAATGCCGAGCTCGAGCCTCCGGCTCTGCACTTGAGCTGCGACTCTGCCACGGCATTCCTCCTGCCAAGACACTCGCTCGCTAACTTTCTCCCACGAGCTGAGCCACGCTTCCTTCATCTCGCACCTCGTTCTTGTCCTCGTGTCCACGCCGCCTTCTGACCTGCGACCCAGCCAGCCGCCTCGCCTGCTTCCTTTCGCGCACCCCGGCCACGATCTCTCCTCAGCACCATCATCCTTCTTCTCTGATCCGCGCGGAGATTGCTGGTCCACTTTTCTACTCCATCTCACTCTCCTCCGACAACCATCTCACCAACGCTCCTCTTGCACAAAGCGGTCTCGGTGATCTGACGCCTCCAACGTCGTCTCCACGGTCTCATCATTGGTCTACCACGTCCATCTGCCCGCCTCATCGATCCAGCGCGATCCCAACTTTCTTCGCCTCGGAGTCGCCTACTTGCGCATTCACTTCTCATTGCCTCGTGATTGTGGCGTCGTGAGCGTAGCATTTATCGAGCTTCCCATATATCGGCGATCCCGCCTTCGCAAGCTTTAGCGGCGCATAACGTGGCGTCACAACTTTCATCCGTCCAACCTCGAATCACACGACGTTGACGTCACGACGGACGAGCTTCTCCGGCAATCGAATCGTTGCATCCGCCATCAGGATTTTGAGAGTTCTCTGACACGCCTCCGGCCTTCCCCAGTCGAGCTCCCCGGAAATTCTGTTCCTGCAAGTCGCTCATCCAGTCGGTACATTCGCCACCGGTCTCTCGAGCGTGTCAGCAACAGGTGACCTAGCTAGCCTAGCTTTCAGTGCCGTTGCCAGCGCTCGTTGCATCACTTTCGCACGACGCCACTGAGCTGATCTCGGATCACCCAACACTTGCCTCGTGCTTCGCATTCCTACGTACCCTCTCCTCATTGGCCTTGTCGGTCACGTAGGCTAGCGCGCCAAAGCAGAACCCGTCCCGAAACACTGCAAGGTCAGGATTCCAGTTGATCAGCGGAACATGATGGCGGCAAATCACTATCCCAGCTCGCGTCAACACCCGCACTTGCCTCACCATCTCAATCCGCTGCCACCACTCGAGCCCTCAGCCGATCGTCACGGTTATCACTACAATGCCGGTCGCAGAGGCTCCACCGATCCCAGTCTGCATGCCTCGCTAGCAGCTTCGGCCAGCGCCAATTTCTCCCACGGCGGCAGCTCCGGCTCGTCGCTCGCAAGCCCAAGCCTCTTTGATGCGCCGAGGCGTCGCAGTATTCAGATCGAGCCCACCGTACCCTCCGGCCACGGCAGCCCATTCGCGAGTCCAGGCCACTCGGCTTTGCACTCCTCGCGCTTCATGAGTCAAAACAACAGTCCAGCACCTCACGTACATTCGCACAATGGCGACGATCACCACGCCTCGAGCTCGGGTGTTGCGTCGAGTCTGCCACCGCACGCATCCCACCACGATGCATCCGAAGGTTCTCGCCACGGTCAGATTCAGTCCAACTATCAATTCGGCAGCTATCCTCCACCACCCAACCCGGAGTATCGGATGGAGGACAAGCAAGCTCATCCACGCGTACCTCATCTCAGTGCACCTGATGGCGAGGGAGGCGGCCATATGATCGAAGGCGGCGGACTGCTGTCCGAGTCGCGACGTGGCTCGGCGAGCAGTCTGGGAGCTTCGAAGCATCTCCTTGTAGACAAGGACAATAAGCCCTACAGCCGATCGCCAGAACTCCGTGTCAGTCACAAGTTGGCGGAACGCAAGCGTCGCAAGGAGATGAAGGAGCTCTTTGACGATCTGCGCGATCAGCTTCCCGTCGACAAGGGACCCAAGACGTCCAAGTGGGAGATCCTCAGCAAGGCCGTGGAGCACATTGCGCAGCTCGCAGACGAGAAGAACGAGTTGGCGGCCGAAGTGGATCGACTCCGAGCTCAGCTAGGCGGACACTCGCGCTCGACAGGTGCTGCCGGCGCAGGCGGATCCGCGAGGGCTGACCACAAGCCGCATTTGAATGGTCACCGTCCCGAGTACGACCACATGTCGCGCTAGCAAGAGCGTCGTCCCTCCAACGTCAGCATCTTGTTCTTGTCTATCTGCTTCCCACATGCAATGGATTGTGCTCAAGTTTTGCGTTTCAAACGCTGCGCCGTTCGTCCGTCCCTAATATACACCCGGTCCCTCATCCAGTCCGACCGTATCAATTTTGTACTTCACCACCACAGACGTGTTTACTTCCTAATCCATATCGCTCAACAGGTAACTTGATATCGACTTGAACGATTGTCTCGACGCCTCAGCTTGATGTCCGCATGCCTGCAATTGTGCACTTGTGAGCCGCGCAGTCACACGCAGATGTGAATGAGATTTGAGAAATGTTTTTTTTTCATGCGAAGCGGGTTACGCCAGGGCATGTTTTGAGATGCAATGCAAAGGGGGAAATGGAGGGAGTACCACTTCAAGCGGTGTCTGCTGCATTAGCGGCGGGTGCAGGAGCAGCGGGAGCGGGAGCGGGGGTTGCGCTTGGAGCAGCGGCTTCGGGTGGTGTCTCCTTCTTCTCCCCACCAGCGGCAGCGGTGGAGGGGGCGACGGTGGCTGCCTTGTCAGCCTTGTCCGGCTTGTCGCGCTTGTCGCGCTTGTCCTTGCTGTTATTCTTCTTCTTGTTCTTGTTGTGGCTGGAGGCGGGGGCACCGCTAACGGCGGTTTCCGCAGTGCTGCTCTCTACACCGGCCACGCTGGTGGGAGCAGCTTTGTCGGTCGCCTTGTCCGCCTTCTCCCCCTTTTCCTTCCCGTTGCCCCTCTCCTTCCTCTGCCTTCCCTTGGCCTTTTCATCGCCACTCTTTCCCGTATCCTCCTCCTTGTCCGTATCCACCTTCTTGACCCTCTCCCTCTTCTCAACTCTCTCGGCCTTCTCCGCCTCTCCCTGCTGCTTGTTGCTATCCGCCTGCTCCAACGCCGGTCGAATATCGCCCTTCAACACCTCACCCTGTCTACCCAACCCAGCCTGCATCGCCGCCTCGTCCTTGAACTCGACGTACGCAAACGGCCTCTGCCTCCTCTGCACCTCGCCCGCATCCTCCTTCCCACTCGACGGGCCTCGACGATGCGGCTTGTCAAACACCAGCTTGATGCCCGCGATCCCTCCGGCAGCAGGGCCAAAGTACGTGCGCAGCTCTTCCTCCGTGACAGGCAGTGCCTCCTTGAGTTGCGAGACGTAGAGCGTGAAAGGATTGCGTGGCTTGCGTGGGGCGGAGGAGGACGAGGGGGATTTGCGTCCGTCGGTGCCGGAGGTGAGGCCACCGTCCAGGTCGGATCGCGAAGCGACGGATTCGTGGCCTCGTTCGGTGCGTGTGGGACGCTCTTTCTTTTCTTTGGTGGGTTTGGTGGACGATGGTGCAGCGGCGGCGGCAGTGGTGGTGGTGACGGCGGCGGTGGCAGTAGCTTTGCTAGCAGGAGTAGGAGCGGCGCTGGAGGCAGTGGAAGCAGCAGCAGCACCGTTGGTAGGCTCGATGGATCGAGTGTTGGTTGCCTTGGCGGGAGCAGTGGGAACGGAGGCTGGAGTAACATTGTTCCTCTGCGCAGCTGCAGCGGGGGCAGCTGAGGATGGAGCGGTTGCTTGAGGACCCTTGGCAGCTGGAGCAACAGGGGTTGCAGCCGGAATCGCAACCGAGCCGGGCGCAGCAGTAGGAGTGACGGCACTCATGGGCTGACCGCTCCTACGATAGGCAAAGTTGAACCCCTGCGACTTGGTCTCTGCACTGACCCTGCCGTCCCTAATGCTCAAGACGACGTTACCATACGCAGCATCTGGCAGGTTCCAGTTCCAGGTATTCTTCCAGGCCGGCTCCTCGCTCGCTGCGCCCGTGGCAGTGGCAGTGGGCGCAACACGGTTGGCTACAGCCAAGGCATTGTTGAGCAACATCCTCTGGTTGTCGTCGATCACGGCGTCCACCTGCGTCTTAACGGTATCCCAAATCTCACCAAAGGCGTGCTTGGCATGCTGGAGCTTGTTCCTGTAGTTCTCTGCGTCGTGCTGCACGCTGAACTCGTTGTACGAGACACCGTATCGGAAGTGGAGGCCGGCACTGACAGTGAGATCGGCTTTGAGCGCCAAGGCGAGCTGGGCTAGGAGACCTTCGCGACCAGGAGAGGCGTGAGTGATGAGCAGACGAGTCTCGGTGGGGTCAAAGGTCTTTTGGGCAGTGTCGACGAGCTCGCCAATCTGAAGGGCAGTGGTCCACATGGTTCCCTGACCACCGGCGATGGTCGCGGCGCCTTCGCCATTGTCGAAGAGCTTGTGAAGGACGAGAGCACCACCGAGACCAAAGAGACGCAGACGGATGCCGCCGACCTCGATGGACTTTGTGGTGGCCTCGTCAAGCACGTGAAGGTTGTTGACCTGGTATTCGCCGGTGCGGAAGCGCTCGAGGATCGCGACGTCTTCGCAAGCACCCCAGACGGTGAAGACGGGCACCTGCAGCTTGATCTTTCCGGTGAGTAGGTCGGAGAACTCAGAGAGAGGCAGGCCGTTGTGCTGCTGAGCAATATGCTGGCGCATGGCGGCGGCGGAAGTACCCTTTTCGGTGGCAGCGGGACCGCGAGGCGGGTCGGCGGCAAGGAGTCGGGCGCGAAGGGCGGGGTCAATGAGGGTCGAGTACTGGACGAGGTGGCGGAGGGTACGGTCGCTAATACGATCCAGACTGGCATTGTCGTAGAAACCAAAGTCACCCGTGTGAATGATGGCCTGAGCGCGCGTCTCTGCGGCGATCTGGTTGAAAAGGGAGAGGTTGCCGCGCACGTCAGCAACGCAGGCGATCCTGCCGCCGGGACCGTCGATGACAAGAGGTGGTTCGGATGACGCGAAGGATGATTTGACGCTGGGTGGGGCGGCGGCAGCGGCGGCGACGGCCGGTGCGTGAGCTCTATTGCTGCGATGGGATGAGGTTTGACTAGGGGTTCGAGGAGGTGCGCCTGCTGAAGGTGGCCTGAGCCCAGCATTATTCTGCTGGGCAGCAGAAGCGGAAGGATTGTGCATGTTTGCCGAGGGCTTGTGATGGTGTGCGGGAGATCGAGCGATGGTGGTGGAGGAAGCCATGTTGAAAAGGAGACTCGAGAGTGTCGCTTGGGCTTTTGGTGAGGGTTGAATAGAGGGAAATTATGGTGACGAACGATTGGCCGAGGATAAAGAAGAGGAGGAATGCAAATCTACTAGGATGGTATAGCTGTAGAGAAGGAAGATGGTTCGTCACTTTGCTGCGCAGGCTGAGATTCGGAAGTGCGGTTGGGCCAAAATCGACTTACGAGGAGCAAGTTGCGGCTTTGACGTCAATGCAAGTCGCTGGTATGCGTAAGGTGTTTTTTCACCAGGCTATGGTGAAAGTGAGGATATCGTGACGGTGTTGAAAGGTGATGAGGTGATGGTGATGAGGGATGTGACATTTAGGTTGAAGTGAAGATGCGCAACATGTCAAATAATGAAAGGGAACGCAACAGAGTACTCTCGCGGCTGCGCTTCCGACATCTCAAGAGTGTCGCGCTGAGCTGTGTTGAAGCTTGTCTCTCTCTGGAAAAATTGGAAAAAGAGAAGCTTGGGCCCGCCAAACTGCGCACGCTAGTATACGCCCACTCTGCCACACGCAACGCATGCAACACACGCAACACACACACGAGCCAGCTGCGCATCCCACGCGTTTTGGCGCAGCTCAGCTTTTCGGATCATCCTGTCAAGACACGCCGTCCCTCTCGTGAAAGAATGCAAATGTTTGGCAGTGCCTGATGATTGCCTCACTCAGGCACATACAGCAAGTTTCGAAGCTGAGCATTGTACCGTCAGAAGCACGCAAAGAGAGACGAGGATGATTTGGGTACTGCCAGATTGCTCACCTTTTCTCGCGCGAAAGAAATCGGACCGAACAAGAACCCTGAATGCAGTCATTACCACGACGTTATCCTTTGTTGGACCAGGTCATCAGCTGCTCGGATTGGGAAAGCTGGCTCTTGGAGGTGCATGCGATAACGCAGAGGAGGCCTCAGGTTGACGAGGGAGACAGCCTGTGTCTTGAGACTTTCGTCCGAAGTTGTGCGCAACGTATATGAATTGCGACGATTCCGGCTAGACGAGGTGCATGCTTGGTACAAATACAAATGGACAAGGGAGAGGACTGCAACGATACGAGCCGATCGAGGCACACTGTATGCCTCATGCGTGAGAAACCTTCTTGGTGATACCCATACGGCGCTTCTTGCGTGCGAGCCGCTTTGCGCTCATCTGAATGGATATGACGAAGAATCAAGAGGTTAGGAGACAACATTGTCAGCATGCCTTGCACTTGCGATTCAAAGCTCCTCAAAGCGAATGTCGATGCTGTTGTTCCAGCTCACCTTTTGTGCCATGATCTCGAGTCGAGCCTTTTCCTCGGCCATCTGCTTCCTGTCGCGAGTGATCTGCTTCTTTCGTTCGGCCTCGGATTCCTTCTCGGCCTTCATCTCACGTTCCCTTTGCTTGATCGACTCTTGCTTCCTGCGTTGCTCCATCTTCTTCTCCCACGGTGTCGTCTTCTGCTTTCCTGCGATTGTGCTGCAGAACAGAGTGACGAGGGTGTCAGTCAATCAAGTACGCGGGCAGCAACGTCGGCACCGATCGGCTACTTACACGGTGGTGGTGCTGGTCGGCTTTGCTGGCAGCATGTCGCTGGAAGAAGATGCTTTTGTCGACATCTTAGAAAGAGGTCGTATGAGACTTTGAAGAAGAATGAGCGATGGTCGGTGGTCAGGGTCGATGATGGCAGGGACGGCAGCTGCACCAGAGCTTTGCCGATGCTACAAACCTTCCAAAAAAATTCAAGAAAAAAAAGTGTGGAGAAATTCGAGCAAGTAACAAAAAAATGAAAGAGGAGCCTGCAGAGCGTCTTTGAAAACGAGGCAGTAATTTAGCCCTGCACCGATGTTCTTTCCGCAAATCCATGGTTCCTTTCTTCCTGAGAGGCTCAGCAATGCACAAATCATTTTTCTGGCTGGCTGAGTTGCACGTCTCTTTGGTTTAGTCTTGCTTCACAGGCGCGAACAAATCGAGTGAGTTGACTGAGCGATCTGAGCTGCACAAGACTCTCACCGCCTTCCTCGCCGGTCCCACCATCGCTCGACCTCAACACACGATCACAAACATCAACAGGTCTCGCCTCTCTACACAGCTCAGGATCAGTTCATTTCCGGCGGCGTCAAAGCACTTGCCACTGCAGACGCCAGAGCTCTACCTTCTCACCCGTCTCCGACTCGGTGAAGCCAGAACCTATCGCCCCTCCAACGTCTTCACATCACAATGGGAAAGAAGAAGGGTGCCAAGAAGGGCGGTGCCGACGACTTCTGGGACGAAGCCGGCGAGTCCATCGACAACAACAACAACAATAACGACATCGATGACGACGTCCCCGCACAAAAGCCAAAGAACCTGTTTGCTGCCATGTCACTCGACGACGGCCCAGATGATGACGACGATGACCAAGAGCAAGATGCCGAAGCACCAGCGGCAGCAGCTTCCAAGAAGGACGCCAAAAAGTCTGCCAATGGCAACAAGGCTACCTCCAAACCCGATCCAGCCCCAACACCCGCCGCTGCCGACGATGATGACGACGACAATTACGGCTTGATGGGTGCCATCAAAACCGCAGGCAAGAAGAGTAAGAAGGACAAGAAGAAGAAAAAGAAGAACGACGATTTCGACTTTGACGAGTTTGGCGAAGACGTCAGCGGCAACGCTGCCGCTCCTTCAGCGGAGGCCGATGCAGATGCAGAGCAGGATCTGGCCAGCAAAGCGCCTATTCAGGGCACCGTCGACGACTTGCTCGACGACGAATTCCCCGACGATAAGCCAAAGAAGAAGGGCGGCGCGCAAAAGCTGCAGCAACAAGACGCTCAGGATGACGATGCTGCCGCAGGAGCCGACGATGTAAACGACGATGGTGCGCCTCGTATTCTCACCAAGAAGGAGAAGGAGAAGCTCAAAAAGGAAAAAGAGAAGGCCAAGAAGAAGGCTCAGGCAGCTGCCAAGAAGGCTGCTGCAGGTCCACAAACCTCAAAGACGGACGCGGCCGACGACGATGCCAACGATGACGATGCCGCCGACGTCTCCAAGGATGACGACGGAGCTGCAGCTCCTGCCGCCCCCACCTCGGCATCTGACAAGAAGAAGAAGAAGAAGGGCGCAAAGGCTGCCGAGCCTGCACCTGCAGCTACACCAGCACCTTCTGCTGCACCCAAAAAGATGAATCCGCAGCTCGCCGCCCTACAGGCCCGCATTGCGGCGCAGAAGAAGGCCGAGGAGGAAGCAGAGCAAGCCCGACTCGAAGCCATCCGCGCCGAAGAGGAGCGCGAACGCCTCGAACAGGAAGAGGAGGAGCGCAAGGAAGCCGCTAAAAAGGCCAAAAAGGAAAAGGAAAAGGCCAGGATCGAGCAGCTCAAGAAGGAGGGCAAGTTCATGACTCCCAAGCAGAAGGCGGAGAAGGCTGCCGCTGAAGCCAGGATGCAGGCCATGATCCAAGCCGGTCACATCAAGGTCGAAGGCCTCGAGAACCGCGACGCTGGCGCATCCAAGCCCGGCGCCAAGAAGCGCGCCCTCGTCGACAACCGAAAGAAGAAGGGTCCCCAGAAGCGCGACGGCGGTCTCACCATTCCCGAGCCTGTTGCCGCCGACTCCAAGGACGCCGAAGACAAGGAGCAAGACCAGCCTGCCGAGCCCGCTGCAACTGAGATGGATGCGGACGCTGTCAAGGCTGACGAGCCTGCCGCCGACGAGGACGAAGATATCAAGGACAGTTGGGATGCCGAGTCCGACGGCGAGGATGTCAAGGACAGTTGGGATGCCGAGTCTGACGACGACAAGGCTGCCTCTCCCGCCTCCAAGGACGCAACGGCGCCTGCCAAGGCCAACGGCAAACACGCAGCTGCAGCCGAGAAGGACGCCGAGCAAGACGATGACGAGGAAGACGAAGACGAGTCTGACAGTGATGACGACTCTGACGACGATTCGGAATCAGACTCCGACGACGACTCTGACGACGACGGCCTCACCTCGGCTCAGCGTCAGGCCGCCGAGAAGAAGGCTGCTGCTGCTGAGCGTAGAAAGGAGCGCACCGAGCAGGCCATGGCTGCACGAAGCCGCGACGACCTCCGCTCGCCCATTTGCTGTATCCTGGGACACGTCGACACAGGTAAGACCAAGCTCCTCGACAAGATCCGACAGACCAACGTTCAGGAAGGCGAGGCTGGTGGTATCACCCAGCAGATCGGCGCCACCTACTTTCCCACCGAGGTACTCCAGTCCAAGACTGCTGTTCTGGACAAGGATTCGCCCTTCGAATACAAAGTGCCTGGTCTCCTCGTCATCGACACCCCAGGACACGAGTCGTTCACCAACCTGCGAACTCGAGGCTCGTCGCTTTGCAACATTGCCATCCTCGTCGTCGATATCATGCACGGTCTCGAGCCGCAAACTCTTGAGTCGATTCGTTTGCTCAGGGACAAGAAAACGCCCTTCATCGTCGCCCTCAACAAGATCGACCGTTTGTACGGCTGGGAAGCTACTCCCAACGGCGGCTTCCGTGACAGTTTGGCCAAGCAGCAGCGTGCCACCCAGAACGAGTTTGAGGAGCGAACCAACCAGGTCCTTGTCCAGTTCGCCGAGCAGGGTCTCAACGCCGTTCTCTACTACGACAACAAGAACATGGGCCGAAACGTCAGTCTGGTGCCCACCTCGGCGCACACGGGAGAAGGTATCCCGGACATGCTGCGTCTCATCGTCGAGCTCACCCAGACGCGTATGAGCGAGAAGCTCATGTACCTCTCCGAGCTCGAGTGTACTGTGCTCGAGGTCAAGGTGATCGAAGGTCTCGGCACTACCATTGACGTCGTGCTCTCCAACGGTGTGATGCACGAGGGCGACCGTATCGTCGTCTGCGGTCTCAACGGTCCCATCGTTACGCAGGTGCGAGCGTTGCTCACGCCCCAGCCGCTGAAAGAGATGCGTGTCAAGGGTGCCTACGTCCACCACAAGATGGTCAAGGCGGCGCTCGGTGTCAAGATCGCGGCGCCCGATCTCGAGAAGGCGATCGCTGGTTCGCGACTGCTGGTCGTCGGCCCCGACGACGACGAGGAGGATCTCAAGGACGAGGTGATGAGCGATCTCAGCTCGCTCATGAACTCCATCGACACGTCCGGACGCGGTGTTTGCGTGCAGGCGTCGACGCTCGGCTCGCTCGAGGCGTTGCTCGAGTTCTTGCGCGTCAGCAAGATCCCTGTCAACGGCATCAACATCGGTCCCGTCTTCAAGAAGGATGTGGTGCGATGTTCGACCATGCTTGAAAAGGCCAAGGAGCTGGCGGTCATCCTGGCGTTCGACGTACCCGTCGACAAGGAAGCCGAGAAGCTGGCCGAGGAGCTCGGCATCAAGATCTTCACTGCCAAGATCATCTACCACCTCGAGAACGACTTCACCAAGTACCACAAGGAGGTCATGGACGGCAAGAAGAAGGAGGCTTCGGGAACCGCCGTCTGGCCCTGTCGACTCAAGACGATCGCATGCTTCGCCAAGCGCGACCCCATCATCCTCGGATGCGATATCATCGACGGTTCGCTGCGCGTAGGCACGCCTCTCTGCGTTGTCAAGACGGACGCGACGACACGCAAGAAGACGGTGGTGCACCTGGGCAAGGTGACGTCGCTCCAGATCAACCACAAGGAGCGCGACGTGGTGCTCAAGAAGGACGTCGGTGGTGGTGTGGCGGTTAAGATTGAGCACGCGGTGCACGAGTCGGCCAAGATGTTCGGGCGCCACTTTGAGGAGAACGACGTGATCGTGTCGCACATCAGCCGTGCCTCCATCGACGCGTTGAAGGCGCACTTTTGGGACGGCATCTCGACCGACGAGAAGAAGCTCATCAAGAAGCTCAAGGGCGAGCTCGACATTCCGTAAAAAGAGCGGTTCCTGCGTTCACTGTATTCATGCATCAAACTGTACATACGTTTTCACAACCCTCCCATCTTAATTCAAGGGCATCTGCCAGGACTCCGTTCGCCAACGTCGTGAAGCAGGTTGTAGCTATCTTTGCAGTCCGAGCACTTCTAAATCTTCTCAGTTGTTTCTCATTTCATTAGCACAATCACCTGTATCTATGCAACATCTGCTCAACCCTGCAATCAATTCTATCCCGGCTAGCTCAGTCGGTAGAGCGTCAGACTCTTACTACAAGGGTTTCCGAGGATTTCTCGGAGTTTATCTGAATGTCGTGGGTTCGAGCCCCACGTTGGGAGATATCTTTTTTTGGTCTTGCGTGTATCTTTTATTCTCCTGGCTATGTCGTCTGACGTTGCTTGTCTTTGCTGATCGATATCATAGGTTGCAGATTGCTTGACCAGGGTGCATCGTTTGCCAATGGGCGATACCGGAGATGAAAAGGTAGGGAGACGGTGCACCCGTGTGGGGAATTTCCTTGTCGATAATCTGCAAAAACCGTTCCCGCCTTCGTCTAAGATGGCCTGGTGTTCGGCTTTGTGTATCTGCGTTAATATCCCACAAGACTGGGCGGATTGTCATTGTGAATGAACGCCAACCTCTCTGAACGAAAGGTGTGGGCTGCAAGGCACGTTGATATTTGGCGTCGACAACGAGATGCGTTGTCGCAACGATGGTCCGCCGGCGGCATGATGAGAAGCCAGGGGTGTCTGTCTTTGTTTATGCGAATGCTCAGACATGCACTTCTGCTTACACAGATCACTGTTGCGAGACTCTCGTTCTGCTAGAACGAACTGCGCACGGGTTTCTGACATGACGTAGTATCTTTGACAGCGCTTTTGTCATTCCAAGTCGTTACGAGACTCGTTTCTGCAATGATTAGGAGGATATTGTTTCCATTCAGAGCGCCCACAACATTGTCCGTGTCTGCTTGGACACACATGACGGCCCAGCTTCACTCCCACTGATATCCTGTCGCTGTCAACGGCATCAACTTTTGCTGTGGGTGTCAACAGATTGGCAATCAGTCGTTCATGTGACGGATTGGGATGGCTACCGGTGTTCAACATCGTTTCTGCTCAGGCAGCAGACCAACATGCAAGCATAAAAAGCTCTCGAGGCACAGATTGCTCTCGTTATCTTCTACCAAGTTCTTTGCCCTTCATCGACAGCGCAGGCCGCTATCTCATCCACCATGAAGCTCAATGTTCTTTTCGTCACCCTCGCTCTCTGCAGCAGCTCCACCTGCATCCTTGCTGCACCCTTACCGCAGCCTGGAGTCGGAGGCGCATTCAAAAAAGCCTTCAGCTCCGTGTTCGAGTCTAGCGCATCGAAGGAAATCAAGAACGCTCCTTACTACTCGGAAGAGTACGTTGCTCAGCCTGGCTTCGAGCAGTACGGCAATCACGCGCAGAAGCCAGGCGGTCTCGACAAAAAGAAGAGTAAGGGACGGAAGAAAGGTTGGAGCAGCGAGTCGTCCAGCAGCTCGACTCCGCCCCCTACTTTCAGTGGGGGAAGTCATGCCGAGGAGAGTCCACGCAGATCGGATGCATCACGTGAATTAAGCCCTCGACCTATGAGTCCTCCTCCCGCGCAGCCACGCTTGCCAGGTGGCCTGCAGCTGCCTTACCATCACCCCCTACCGCTGGCAGCTGCTGAACAGCCTTACGTCGGCATGCATCATTCCGGTCCTCCTCCCACCTACAATCACGGATACCAAGCTCTCGCTCCGCCGTATCACTACCCGCAAGCTCCTCAAGGCGGCTACGCTACGCACCAACAGCTCGATTGGATTGGTGGCTACCACCCGCAACCGGGATACGCTCATCCCAGTCAATCTTACGGAGAGCATGGTGGAAGCTATCGTGAGTGATGCCCCTTGACCTGGACGCATGTCTGGATTTGTTGGCGATGCTGACAGACTCGCTGGTCTTTGTTCTTCTCCACAGATTTTTACCACGGCATGCCCGGTCAGCAGATTCCTGGCAGTGCTCCCCACCAGGCGCAGGAACATTCCGGTCAGGAGCGCGTTGGCTGGTTCTGGAAATGATGCCCCGGATACGCGCGCTCGTGGTGGTCGTTGTAAGACAGGTCAGGCTTTCGAGGGAGTCGTGGTGCTGCAGCTCTCGTGGGACAATTTTGCAGACACGCATGGTCATGTTTGTTTGCTCGCATTGCTCATCACCGGTACACGCCTTCACCAAAGCTGTTGCAGCCTCGCATCTCCTGTCAGCTTCGTCAGTCTCTCGCAATACGAACTTCTTTCCCCCAATTTTCTCGACATACCTTCGACTAAGGACAATTACAGAACGAGGTTCCTGAGAAAGACCACCTTCTCACCCTCTTTCCGAGGGCGATGTCGCATGGGAAGATTCTGCTGAACGTGGGAACCAGAAAGGCGGATACCGCAGGTTCTTAGCTAGCTACTGCTTAGCTAGCTACTGAAGCGGAAGCATTGTTTCCGCGTCTCATTCAGGTGTGGGTCCCCATGATTATGTGCATATGACACCCCACGGATTCACCGCGCGCTTTATTGACGAGCTTCCCCCTCCCTCATTTCATCTCTTCCTCTCCTTCATACATAGCCTTGCTTTCCGTCGTCACCATACTTCATCCCTGACCAAAGCGACCGAGTGTGGGAGGTGCGAGCTAGAACTTGCTCGGGGTCGGTCTCGGTCCGCCCTCCGCTCGAACTTGGCACCTGGTGGAGGGTCGTCGAAGGGAGAGCCGTGTCGGATGTCGCGTAGTGCGGCAATACCGCGGTGAACGTGGAGCGGATAGGTCGGCTGTAGGTGGCTTTCTACGGGGTAAGGTTTGGAGGCGTGGGGGGTGGGATGGATGGCGCTTGCAAGCGTTGCGAATCTCGCTATACGCAGCAGGTCGAAAAGTGTTTGTGGGCAAATGCACGATCAGACGAGATCGCGTGACCATCAGGGGTCGAGTGAGGGCTTTGCGGCCATCACAACACCTTGGCGCAGACGTGGCACTGCTTGGAGTCATATGACCCGACCGAGACTGTCCCGATGTAAAGGTATATTAAGAACGTCTTTCGTCTTGAGGTCGAATGGCTCCTTTCGCCAGCAGACAGCTTCCTATCAAAATGAAGATCACCTTCGCAGCGTTCGTCTTGACCAGCAGCTGCTTCGCCTTGCCCATGAACTGGGACCAACTCGGCCTCGCAGGCAAAGACAGCACCGAAACCCTCCATCACGAGCTCTCCTCCCTCCAGCTCGGAGAAATCTACCGCCCACCGCGTACCCATTCTCCCCGCCTGGCCCCGCTCAGCATCCACCCACCCGCCATTCCGCGTCTTGAAATCCAATCTCCCCAACCTCCCTCCCCCCTTTCCCTAGGCTCCATGCTCTACGATCCCGGTCACCCAGCCATCTACTCGCACCTCCCGCCACCCGCCCCCGAAGCTGCTCAGCCCGTCACTTCTGGTGGTGGCAAAGGTCGAGTCTTCCCGTACGACTACGCTGCCAGGAGAAACGAGCGGAACGAACGTCAGCGGAAGAGCAACAGCGTCGACGAAGGAAAGTTGCGCGAGATGGCGGACGAAGCGGTTCAGGGTGACACGAGGGTACAGGGCAAGCGCAGGAAGGGGATTGTAAGGCATCCTTCGATGAACGATTTGCAGTGGAACGACGAGTTTGCAAGGTATGGAGTGGATAGGGAGCAGAAGGGTTGGGTAGAGAGATTCACGGAGGGTAGGGTGATGGACCATCAGTTGGATGGTGTGTTCCGACGAGGTGGTGGTGAGAGTGCTGGGATCCGCTCCGGTTGAGAGGCTTTACGATCGAATACGCGCGATAACTAGCTCGTCTGAGGGCCATACGATGATTCGAGTCTTTAGCGGTGCGAACGGTAGATTGCGTCACTGCGCCTTGCCTTGTCAATCCATTAAACTTCCATCGCGGTCACGACTTCGCTGCTCCAATGTCTCTATTCAGTTGGCTCCGGTTAACTCTCGCAGGTCGGAGTCAACACAATGTAGTGTAATGTCGTCGACAAACATCAACGCAAATTGTTGCTCAAGCTCTGACCTCTGCTCTTATGTCCGTCACATGACATCTTCCATTGACCACAATCCCTCGATGCTCACGGAGCCGGGTTGCGCGTGCAAGCAAACAGCGTCTAAAGAGTACAGTGTAATGAGCTGTCTTCTGCACCATCCTTCTCCGTGGCTACAACGTGTGCGAAACCCCGCCTCTCTGCGGTTGCCTGCAACACGCGTCGTTGTGTTTTCCGTTCCCATGAATCCCTTTCCCCAGTGTAGCGTTGTCAAGAGCCCTGCTGAACGATCCAACCAACTCTCTCACGCGCCATGCTGACGACCGGATCGCAGTCCATGTTCCCACATCAGTACACGACACCATGCCGCCCTCCAAAACCCCGAAATCCGGTGGCGTCAACCAACTCGAGCTCCGATAGTTTTTCTACGACAACCGACCGAGATTGAACCTTTTGACCGCTGTCTTCCTTGATGAGGTTGCGAATAGTATGTGTTAAGTAAGCACCGATGTGTGTTCACGTGCCGTTCACATGCAGCTATAAAAGGGAGAGATAGGGTGTCAGATGAGACAGAAGCTTAACCTGGTCTCTCTTCGTCGTGCTGTGTTGTGATTGGCAGCTCGTCATCCGGTGATTGGGACTTTATAGACTCAAGCTTGGACGAGTCTGCTCGAAGCAGGTCGGATCTTGTCCGCAGATAAGGACTGGACACGTAAGTGGCGGTACTGTTCGTTCCGATTGAACGTCATCAGGGCAGAGGTGAGGTTCATACCTTACTTGTCAAGAGATAACGGACAACGGAACGACCTTACGAGATCACGCACGACCTCCTCGACCCTCCTCGTCCACCCAATCCTTCAGCCTGCCTTCAAAGTTGTCGCTCGCTCGCTCAACCACCAATCCCTTCCACCCTCCTTTCCCACTCCCAGACCATCTCCGTCTCGCTCTGCACAATGTGAACTTTTACGTCGACCCTTCACCTTTCACTCCTCCTCCTGTCTCCCGTCGTCGTCTCCCTGCCTATTCCCGGATTCCCAACCGAAGAGATCCTTTCCACATCAACCTCCATCGACCCGCTCTTCCCCGCCTGGGAACTTCCCTCTGGGTGGCTCGGTTTCCGCGTCATCACCCCTCCCTCCCCACACCCTTCCTACCCCACCCTCCCGCCGACGTACAACCTCGACGGACACCTGGTCAACTCTCCCATCCGCGGAGTCGTCACCGACTCTTCCGCCAAACTTCGTCTCGGTATCACCGCCAAAGAACTCGACGACCTCTTCGAACATCGAATCCTCAATCGTCCCCAGAAAAAATTCTCCGGTCAAGAACGTCGAATCCGCCCTTCAGCAAGTCGATAGATCACATCGCGATACAAAATCTTAAGCCAACACTTTTGTCCTCTCCCGCTTTTCAAACTCAACTCGATTATCACACACATACCAAACCCAACGCTGTCTGTGAAAGGAAACCCAAGAACTGGAAGGCGCAAAACCTCCAATCCGTTCGTTTTTGAATTTTTGTGCGTGTGATGGATAAAAACGGCGATGTAGGAGAAAAAAGAATACATGGTGTAGGGTTGTGAAAAGATGTGTGAAGCGAAAACTTGGTTTGCCGTTTTTGTCCATTGAAAAAACCAGCTTTCGCATTGAGCGGAATACGATATACGAAGACAAAACCAACAGGATACATTTAAGCGTCCTTGGTCTTGATAGTACCGCGGATAAGACCGGTACGACGAGCGGCGATGAGACCGACCTTCTGACCGGCGGGGGCGAAACGCGAACGGGTCGAGGGCTTGCCGATGTGCTGGTGGTTACCACCACCGTGAGGGTGGTCGACGGGGTTCATAGCCACACCACGAGTGCGGGGCCACGAGTTCCTCTTGACCTTGAACTTGTGGTGAGCACGACCGGCCTTGAGCAAGGGCTTGTCGATACGTCCACCGCCGGCGACGATGCCGATGGTGGCACGCGAGGTGGAGGGGACGGTCTTCTTGGCACCGGAGGGAAGACGGATGCGCGAGGTCTTGCCGTTGGAGTCATGACCGATGATGGTGGCGTAGTTGCCCGAGGTACGGGCGAGCGAACCACGGTCACCGGACTTCTCCTCGACGTTGCAGACGATGGTACCTTCGGGGAGCGAAGAGAGGGGGAGGACGTTGGCAACGTTGAGGGCGGCCTTCTTACCGCAGTAGACGAACTGGCCGGTGGAGAGACCCTCGGTGGCGACAAAGGTCTCGACACGGGTGCGGTACTTGTAAGGGTCACGGAAAGCGACCTTGGCAAGGGGAGCACCACTGTTGGGTAGAGAGAAAGAGTCGAGTGAGAGCGTAGTCAGTATTTTGAACTGCAGCTAGGGTATGAGCAGAGGTCGGCTTTGGCGAAGCAGCATCATGGCATTCTAGTGGGGGTGTGTCGAACAGCAAGCAATGAACAACAATGGGAATCGGAACGGCCGTCTGAAGCGTCGCAGGGACCGTCACAGGTGCTGATCGAGAATGAGAAATGTCGGTCTGTCGTATGGTGGCTGCAGTGTGAAATCGGAGCATATGCTGCTGTGCGGAAAAAGACTGCCGATCATGGTCGAGTGATTACGTCGCGGCTGAATGCGGCGTGCAATCGATAACCTCTGCACGTTCGGAACATGTCCGATGTGCGCCGGTCAGCCAAAGATGCCAACGGTTCGCGGTTGAGCGGGCGACTTTACTGTGTCTGTCCTTCCGTGTGATCATTCGCATGCATCCGATACCATCTCCGTTCCATCATTTCCCCGATCGGAACATCCATCTGTAACAGAGTTGTCGACGTCAAGCCATCTGTCTAGCAGCCTGCGCATCTCCGAATCGGTAGAAGGCTGATCCACCCGACAATTGACAGGACCTGTCGAACAAAATCCTCCCTTCAGTGTCCGACTGAATCAAACGTTCCAATCGCATGTCTGCTCCTGTTTAGCCCATTGTTACTGAGAGATGTTTCATGTCGATCTTTCGTGTTGCTGTTGATGCTAGGTTGTTCCAAACGCTGTAATGCTGATTTGCTGATTCATGCCGATGCCAAAATGAACCGCCAGTGATGCTGCTTGTCATTGCCTTATGTCGCTGATACTTACCGACCGGCGTCGTGGATGATCTCCTTGACAACACCTCGGATGTAACCGTTGCGCTCGGCGTAGTCGTAAACACGGAGCTTGGCGGGAGCCTTGTTGTGCTTGGTGTGAGCGGTGAAGATACCACCGCTCTTTCGCTGAGCTCGAATGACACGACCCATTGTTGCTGATCAGATTTGGTGGTGACTTGATGGTGAGGAGAAGGATTGTGAAATCTGCAGCACTCGAGTGGAACCAGACACGCAGCTGTGTGCACGCTTACAGACGCTGGTCGGAATCTCGAATTTGGGCCTCGAGGTTGGCTGCTGAGGTCTGCCTCGCTCTTTGGCTGGGAGCTAGACTCGTTCGCTAAGGCTGGCGGTGGCCCTGGACCAATTCGAGCTGGGTGTCGACTCACTGCGTCCTGCTGCCTCGACATTTCGTGAATAACAGTTGGGCTTGCACACCGCGTTTTGAGCAATTTTTCCAACTTTCAAATTTGGCGACACTCGTATTTCGCCTACAACTTTCTGAACTGTACTCAATCTGCAGGAAAGCACGTGACTCAATACGTCGGCCGAATGCTCCAAACTGGTTAAAACGAATTTCTTCTCTACCATAGCACTACAAGAGCGGTCTGACATTTAGTGTGCAAAAATGTCCTCCACTTTGTTCTCAGTCGCACACTGAACTGTCACTCAGCTTGTCAAAGTCACACTTGAGACGGCGCAGCAACTCTACCCTTGCTTCCCAATTTGACTGTCGAGGCCGTGATGGTCTGATCGCATCACCACCACCATCCCCCTTGGTTCATGTGGCTGCCCCTACCCAGTCACCCACGAAAGATCGCGGACACATCGACGTCGTTCGACCATCACCCCCTCGACAATCAACTTTGCGCAAGTGTTGGCCATTTACCCCCAACCCTTGCGCTGATCCTGCAATTGTAAGCACATTCAACAATCTCGACCGACACCGCCGCCGCCGCCGCATCCATTCGAAGTAGCATGCAGCAACTGCCTCCGCGGGGAGACACACAGTGATGACTAAAATTTCACATTCACAAGCTCAACAGTCCAAGGATCCTTTCCGGTGACGAGTTAATTCTTCTTCTTCTGCAATTCTGATCCTTGACCTCCCCGTCAAAGCGCATGGCTGTCGAGATGGACTGCGGCGGTTCTCCGGATGGTTATAGAAACAGGAATGCTATGGGATGACTGACAATTTCAGATTGCACCTTCTGCTCTTGCACTGTTATCGCCCTTTAGGAAGCATCAACGATAATATTATACCCTCGAAACGATCTTTATACCCTTTCTGTGTTCTCTTCTTTTGGTCTCGCAATTCTCGTATAGTCTGCCGTCTCAGTACGGCCTGTTCATCATCGCATCGCATCGCACTCAGTTACTTCCAACTTCCGAGCTTGCACCACCCAGCCGCTAGCCGGAACAGCATCCTCTCCAGCTGTGTCTCAGATGGCCCAACCGCACATCACTGCCCCCACCACCCGAGGCGAGAGCCCACGACGACCAATGTCATCCTTCCAACCAGCCTCGTCGCTTCCACGCGATTCCCCTCCCACAACCACTTCCAACTCAACCGCCGCCGTCGTCCAACCTCGCCCCCGCCCCTTGATCCGCGGAGCAGCCGGTACGGGCTCCACCATCCTCGTCAACAACTGCCAGCGCGGCAACCCCCTCCTCACACACATCCGCAACATCGGCTGGGAGTACGCCGACATCATCCCGGACTATCAAGTCGCTCTCTCCGCCTGCATCATCTTCCTCTCCATCCGCTACCACCGCCTACATCCGGAGTATGTCCATACTCGAATCGCCAAACTGGGGAACATGTTTACACTGCGAGTGCTGCTCGTACAGTGTGATGTGAACGATCATCAGGCGGCGATTAAGGAATTGACGAAGATGGCGATAGTGAACAATTTGACGATGATCGTAGCGTGGTCGGCGGAAGAAGCGGGGAGATATGTGGAGACGTACAAGAGTTTCGAGTTCAAGCCACCTGATTTGATCAAAGAGAGGGTGGGGGAGGATTTCCTAAGTCAGGTTACGAATGTTTTGACCCAGGTAAGGGGTGTGAATAGGACGGATGTCGTGACGTTGTTGAGTAGGTTCGGAAGTGTTAAGGGGGTGGTAAGGGCGGAAGAGGGGGAGGTAGGGATGTGTCCTGGGTTTGGAGAGGTTAAGGCGAAAAGGTTGAGGGAGAGCGTTAGTATGCCGTTTAGGGTGGGAGAGGGGAGGAGTTGGAAGCAGAGAAAGACGGTGACTGGAAGGACGGGTGAAGGTGCTCAAGATACGAGGTCAGCAGAGACCGCGTCTGCATCCGGTGAGGTGGCTGCCCCACAACGTGCACTGGATGTACTGGAACAACACCAGACTCGAGAGGAGGAGCAGCAGGACGAGGAAGACGAACAATTGAGGTTGGCTGTGCAGCTTTCCATGGCTCAACAAGTCGAAGAATGAATTCCCTGCTCTACTTTGTACCTCACCGTCACCGCTGCTAGTAGTAGCATGGCAACTTTGGCAAAAGCACCTTCCTCCCCTCATCATCTCTCGAAGAAATGCGTGTCTGTCCAGTCTGCTTTCAACCCCCCCACCCCCCCAGCGTTGAACAAAATGCACATCTGCAAAACCATCCTCCTCCTCCTCCTTCTCCACGTCTGTGCCAGTGTTAAACAACGTCGGTAGCTGCTCTCAACCCCCGCCTGTGAACCGCACTCCATCCTCGCCCACCATCTCATCGCACTCGACGCACATCGCTCAGCACAAAACAAAATGGGTTGAAAAGCGACGAGCGTCTAGCGCACGAAGCAACACGAATGTGATTCCACCTCCCCATCTCGGTTTCATCGGCATCGAGCCGAGTTCACCTGATGACAAAGGAGCAAATGTGTAAAGGAAAAAAATGTGTACGTCGGCCCAACGCAGTCCATCCTCTCACTCTGGCGCGCTTGATGACAACCAGCATCATCCTGCATCTCCAGAGCAAAGGTCGGGAAAGGGGGCCATAGACGAACAACAACAACTAACGAAATGGCAAAGATCTAGCAAACGAAAAATCCGGTGACGCAAGCTTTCAGAGAGCAAATCATTTGCAAGCGGCGAGGTTCTTGTAGGTGCCCATGCTGTACGTGTTCTCCTTGCCGAGGAACCAGCCGTTGAGCATCTGGTAGAGGTAGTCGAGGTTGTTCTGCGCGTAGCAGTTGCCCTGCCATCGGGCAGCGGTGGCCTTCTGGACGGTGAGGCCGATCGTCCAGCCGTTGTACTGACCCATAGCCTGGAGGAGGTTGCCGCCGCACGAGTCCAAGGTGTTCTTGAAGTACTTTGCGCCGGCATCGACGTTGAACCAGGGATCCTTGCAGTTTCCGCCGGGAGCACCGCCGCACTTGTCAGGAGTGATCTGCATGAGACCCTGCTCGCCGTTGCCGCCGGTGACGTCAGGGTTGCAGGTGGATTCCTGCATGGCGAACGACATGAGGACGGTGGCCGGGACACCGTGAGCCTTCTCGGCGGCTTGGAAGGCCCAGAGCAGGTTCTTGCAAGGAGCAAAGACAGGCGAGTCGGCAGCTTGAGTACCCGAAAGGATCTTGAGCTGGTCGAGGTTCAGCTTGGGAGGGTTCCATCCGCCCGAGGTGAGACCGCAGTTGAGGAAGTTTTGAGAGCCGTTGGGCTGCTGGTCGTTCGCACCGCTCGAGCCACAGCTGCCAGAGCTGAAGCCAAAGAGACCGGCGCCCGAAGCCGACGACGAGGATGAAGAGGAGGATGAGGATGAGGACGAAGCCGACGAGTCGGACTTGGCATCGCTCTTGCTGGAGGCAGAAGATTGCGAGCTGGCCTTGGCGCTGCTGTCCGAGCTGGAGTTGGAGTTGGAGCTAGCGTTGGCCTTGGCGCTGGAGCTGGAGCTAGACTGGCTGTCAGACTGGGACTGAGCTTGAGCCTGAGCGTGAGCCTGAGTGTGGGACTGGGTGTTGACCTGAGACTGCTGAGCGTTCTGCTTTGCGGATCCGACGACGGCCTGCCCAGATTTGCCGGAAGCAGCATTAGCAGTCTTTGCCTTGCAGGAGCGCTTGGATCCCTTCGAGTGACGCTTGGTGACCATGCCAGCGCGACGGTTGTTGAGGATGGCTTCACGTCGCTGCATGGAGAGGGGGTGCTTGGACATGGCGGGAAGGTTGAGAGCCTCGACGCTGGGATCGGCGGAGACGGTGGTGGCGACCACGGCAAGAGCAGCGGCGACGACAGAGAGGAACTTCATTGTTGGAGTTGGGTTGCTGTGTGAGATGCGATTCTATCAAAGAATGTGGGATGCGAGTGGCGAGACGGCGAGTCTAGTGAGGTGGTGGAAGGGGGAGCAGAGACGAGACGATATGAGAGAGAAGAGAGTTGATGAAGGGAGCAAAAGGTGAAGATGATCGAGGTTCAAGAGCGATGCAATATGTATGTTTTGCGAGAATCGAGTCGGGATGAGCAAGAGATTACAGCCTTTGTATGGACCAGCCAAGAGCAAGAGGTTGTAGCGTGGGAAAGGGAGGGGACCGTGCTTGCCGGATGAGGGAGAGGGAGGTATGTATGAACGAGGTTGGATGATGAGGGAAGGGAGGGAGGAAGAAAGGAGGAGGGAGAAAGGGGATCAAGGCGTTTCCACGAGCGAGTCCAGCCAGCCAAGCAAATCGAGGAGCGCTGACTGCAGCCACCGAAATGCGTGTGCGTGTGTGCGGCGTGTGTGTCAGACTGTCAAGCACAGCAAAAGAGACGCTGACAGCCGCGTCTGTCTCAGTGTCGTTCGCCTGCCAGCTCGCGTGTCGACCCTCCAACTGCGCCGCTCTGCATTCGAAGCATCCCCACTCCTTTCTCGACCAAGTCACATCTCAAAAGAGCTGTTCGCATCGGAAGCGCCGTCCGTCGTCGTCGACCCTACAAAGTATCCGCCGCTTCTTTCGAGCGGAACGCGAAACTTTCCACGGTCAACTGCTGTAAGTTACCGCAAAAGACGGGCGGCACTTGGAGGCTGCACACCGAGCGATCCGAGGCCTCGCGAATTCTCGAGAGAAGAGACGTGCCAAGACTGTGCGCATCTGCCTGTGCAGCCTGGAATGCAATTTTTCCACAAAATCACCAAAAACTCTGGCTTTCCCTCGGTCAATCCGTTCGTCGTCGCCGAATTAAGCCCGCAAACCGGGCACATCGACGCCGCCTCTCGTCCCGGTTGGCGCGTCTGGTGTGTTGGCGTGTCCGAGCCTGCTTCCGCTTTTGGTGGCTGTTGCCAAGAAAAGTGACAGCTCGTCCACCACGCCCAACCTTGGCAGGCATTTTCCTCAGATCTTTCTTTCCACTCGCCGTCGCCGTCGGCAAGAAGCCACACAACGATCGACATACGAGCGTCTAAGATGCTTCCATTGCAGCTCGCTTTGCAGAACCAGCGAGACCGTAGTGTTGTGAGAGAGATGCAAGGCTCAAAAAGGTTAGTCGTGCTACAGCAACCCCTGCATCGCATGTTGGTTATCCGAGTGTGACCAAACAGAGAAACAAAAGCGCGGCGCTGTGGGTTTTCCGTGGCGAAAGAATAATGCGCTGTCACTTTTCGATCTCCGCTCTCTCTCTCTCGCCTTGCTTTTCTCCTTTTTTTGGCATGCAAGGTTTTTTTGACTCTTCCTTTGCAATCACAGATCCCCAGCGCACAGCATCGGTGCAGCTTGCTCCCACCGTTCCAGCTACACACACACACGATCGCCATCGATCCATTGTCAAAGCATCGGGCAGATCTAGCATAATCGCACCCGTCTCGATCAGACACAGCCCAATCACAATCAAACATGCACCTCCTTCGCCGTCCCCCGATGGCTTGTATCCTCTACAAGCACCATCGTAGCTCGTCTATGCCCCGCACCGGCGAAGCTCATCTCGGCTTGACTCTGTTTAGCGCACAGTCCATGCCAACCATGTTCACTCGGGTTACGTCTAAGGAAACATCATTCGTTATCATATCTTTCATTTGGTTGACGGCTGTGCATTGCGAGCCTACATTTACGGTGAGGAAAGGGTGGGAAGGGGAGAGTGTGTTGTGAGACGAGGATGCAGGGCAGTCGATGGTGGTCCTGCTCAAGCTGCCAATGTGAGCGTCGATGGCCGACCTGGTGAGAAAAGAAGACAGAACGGCACACAAAATCGCCTTTTGTTTGCTGAATCTCCTCTCCAGGATCACCGTGTCTTGCTGACAATGACTTGATTTGAGCTCGACCTTTTCCGCGCTGCCTCTGACCACGTCGTCCCAGGCGGTAAAGATGAAGAGTTGCAGGAGGCGCAAGCACGACGTCGCCGCGTCCGGTAGCGTTCCATCGATTGCTTCGGACACGCCATCGTCGTTCTACGCAGACGGCGCGCTGTCCGCCGCTTAGAAGCACTTGCGGTGGACGATCGAAGGTCCACTCTCGTCGTACTCCTGCTTCGAGATCCACATCTGCTGGAAGGTCGAGAGCGAGGCCAGAATCGATCCACCGATCCAGACCGAGTACTTTCGCTCGGGGGGAGCCACAATCTTGACCTTCATCGAGCTGGGGGCAAGCGCGGTGATCTCCTTCTGCATACGGTCCGAGATACCGGCGTACATGGTGGTACCACCGGACATGACAATGTTGCCGTACAGGTCCTTTCGGATGTCCAAGTCACACTTCATGATCGAGTTGTACGTGGTCTCGTGGATACCGGCAGCCTCGAGGCCGAGGAAGGCGGGCTGGAAGAGCACCTCGGGAGTACGGAATCGCTCGTTGCCGATGGTGATCACCTGTCCGTCGGGAAGCTCGTAAGACTTTTCAAGCGCAGAGGACTGGGTGGCGGTGAGCATCTCCTGCTCAAAGTCGAGAGCGACGTAGCAGAGCTTCTCCTTGATGTCACGAACGATTTCGCGCTCGGCAGTGGTGGTGAAGGGGTAGCCTCGCTCGGTCAAGATACGCGCAAGGTACTCGGTCAAGTCACGGCCGGCCAAGTCGAGACGCAGGATCGAGTGGGGGAGCGAGTAACCTTCGTAGATGGGCACAGTGTGGGTAACACCGTCACCCGAGTCGAGAACGATACCGGTGGTACGACCGGAAGCGTACAGCGAAAGCACGGCCTGGATGGCAACGTAGAAGGCGGGGGCGTTGAAGGTCTCGAAGAGGATCTGGGTCATCTTTTCACGGTTGGCCTTGGGGTTGAGCGGAGCCTCGGTGAGCAGCACGGGGTGCTCCTCGGGGGCGACACGAAGCTCGTTGTAGAAGGTGTGGTGCCAGATCTTCTCCATGTCGTCCCAGTTGGTGACGATACCGTGCTCGATGGGGTACTTGAGCGTCAAGATACCACGCTTGGACTGGGCCTCGTCACCGACGTACGAGTCCTTCTGGCCCATGCCGACCATGACACCCTGGTGACGGGGACGACCGACGACCGAAGGGAAGACAGCTCGGGGAGCGTCATCACCGGCGAAACCGGCTGCGAGTTGGCAAAAGAAGCGAGACAAAGGGACAAAGCGTCAGCGAGCTGTAGGCGAGATAGGTTGTCAGCAGCAAATGGAATGCTGCTCTGCTCTCCGTGGTCATTCAACGGATTACAGCGGTCCAAAAACGTACCTTTGCACATTCCCGAACCATTGTCGATAACGAGCTATTTGAGCGGAACGGCCGATATTTGGTCAGATAGGGCAAATTGGAGAGGCAAAAAGGTCAGCTTTTCGCACGCAGAAGCGATATTGCCATTCTGCGACTCGGCAGCGCGGACTGCGGCCCGCCCAGTTCGCAAATCAGCGCATATTGGGGCTACTTACAGCAGCGACTTCGTCTGTTGCGTTTCGAGCATGGCAGTTGCGCAAATAGAGATGGCAGAGGAGGAAGAAAAGATCAGCACTCATTCAAAGAGGTGCTGCCATGCTGGAAAAGGCTTTGGTGCCATCCAATCTTCCTGCAGAGCAATGATTGGCTTGCATTGCCGGTTCGAGTGAGGAAGCCCGCACAAGCCACACGAACCAGGAGGCATGCGCCCGACAACGGGGAGAGTGAGCCGACATGAGCAGCAATGCGACCTTTGCTCGAAAGCGAGTCACAATCATTGCAGTACACGTGGCAACGACCCTTTGATGACAGCCTGGTAAGGATCTGCGTCGCCGTCCGCCAGGTTGAGACCGTGCGACGCTACTCGACCGCGCGATCCATCGCTGGTTGTATGTGCTGCGGCGGCGAATGCAAGCCTGGAACTGCTGACGTGGCCCAGGTGGAGCGATGCGTGGCCGGAAGAAGCCCATGCGTGGATGGGCGGATGGATGGGATGTCGAGCGATGACGGGATACTCACCCTCCATGATGACGTTAGAGCAGGGTTTGGTGACGGTGGTGGTGGTGGTGATGAGAGAAGTGAGAGGCAGAACGAAAGGAGAAACGTTCGACAAACGGAGTGGTGGTGGGGGTGGAAGGCAAGTGATGTCGGCAAAGCGGACAGGAGTAGCTTCACTGATAGGAGGCGACGGCAAAGCCAACCAGGGAAGGGGGGAAATACAGAAGGCGCAGACGGGCACACAGCCAGACGAGAGTGCGAGACGAGAGCGACGTCGAAATCGAATGTGCCTGTGCCGACCAGCCAGCCAGCCCAGCCAGCCCAGCCACGCCGGGAGCTCAGGCCAAGCGAATCGAAATCCAAGAAGACTTTCGATTGGAATTGCGTGTTGGGCTGTGCGGCCGTGCGGCGGTGCGGTGCAGGCGCTTACGCTCTCTCTCTGTGTCTCAAGAAAAGCGGTGCTTGCAGTTGACCTTGGCCCGGGCAGAACTTCCCTCCCTCACTGTCTCTCTCTCGCGGCAGTTGGTTTCAGTGCATTGTGCGTGCGTGCATTGGATGCGTGCGTGTGCGCTTTGCATCAGGGTTTCGCCAGCACTCTTCCCGCTCGACCGCGTCACTCCATCGTCGGCACTTCCGTAGCACCTTCCGGACAAATCACCTTCACAGATTCTTCAACGAACATATCGAATGGGTCGTTGGTCGCTCTGCAGTTCTCATGTTGATGGTATCCCAACTCGGGGACAGAGATAGGGGCAGGCGAGAGGGGTGGAGAAGGCCGAGGCGGAGAGAGGGGTCAGCGTCAGCCTCTGCGTCAGGCTGTCATGATCGGGCCGTTCAATTCAAAATCAGTTACGCGCCGACGCGATTGCTTTGAACAAGAAGGGCGAAGATGTTGAACCCTCTAGAAGGCATTTCAAATTCCACGATCAAATTTGAATTCGGAGGTTCGTCCACGTCGATGCGATTTGTATTTCGAACCAAGTCAGCCTCAGGTCAAGCCGCTGCGATGTGACTTTGCGGAGAAGGAGTTTCAATTTTCGATTCAGGAGTCCAGCACTACTTCTTAAGCTGACGAACAGACTCCCTTTGTCTCCAAAGAGGCTCTCGTCTGACCCGCTGTATTTCTTCTAAATCGTGGCCTGTGCGTCAAACCCCTTTCTTTGCTCTTAAGAGCTCGAGAGCCTCTTATCTTGCATGGTCGCAACGGCACATTGTTGCCTACTTCAATGACAGACATGAGGACGACATGGTTCAAAGTATGTCTGTGGAGATGGATGGACAAAAGTGCCTACCGGAGTGCGTTGACGATGATGACGACGGAGAGGAGGAGCATCGGCAGCTTGACGTCGAAATCCAGGGTCCGACGGTCAGCACAGCTTTTCCGATCTCTCACACCGCGAGTCTCTTGGCGTCGTGGATACACTTGCTTGCTCGCCGCAGATCCCAGGCTATCCAATGCTTGTGCCAAGGTCGAGGCGATACGAGTGACACGCAGAACGCCCTGCGTTCCCGCGGAGTTGAGAGTAAGGGCCTTTCATGACAGCGAAGGGACTGCAGTTCGCTTTTCCGATCACCCGTCAGCATTGAGGTTGGAAGAGATCTAACAGTCTTCTTTTCATCCCCCCCTCGTCATTCACCACACCATGCAGTCACGGATTCGTCGTTGCCCATCGGCATCGCTCGTCCACTCGAAGCTTCGAAACACATAGACAGTCCGAGAGCATCCACCACACCGATTTAGAACAAGCGAGCGAAAAGCATGAAAGAGAATCTCTAATCAATTGTTGACGAGCCTGCTACTGCTTGGCCCCATCGTTCCAGCTGATCAACTCCTCCATCGTCACGCCTTTCCCACCAAAGATGTCCAACGCACTTCCAAACGTCAGATCCACCTTGCCCCCGCTCAACTTGTCCACCAGCTCCAAATCGCCCAAGTGTCTCGCTCCACCCGCGTACGTCGTCGGGATGGTCACCCATTCACCCAGCTTCTTGACCAGCTCCTGATCGATCCCCTGACACAACCCTTCCACATCCGCCGCATGGATCAGAAACTCGCTGCAGTGCTCGGCCAGCTGATCCAGCGTCTCCTTGTTCACCTCCATGTCCGTCATATCCTGCCATCTGTTCATAGCTACAATCCACTTGTCCCCTCGCTTTCGACAGCTGACGTCCACCACCAACTTCTGCTTCCCCACCTTCGAGCTCAACTCCTTCAAGCGGGTCAGATCGAACTTGCACGACGGGAACAGGTACGATGTGACGATCACCTTCTCCGCGCCCTTCTCCAGCCATTCGGAAGCGTTGTCGCCGTTGATCCCGCCGCCGACGTGCAGACCCTGGGGCCAGGCTTGGACGGCAGAGGTGGCGGCATCGTCGTTTCGAGGACCGAGCTTGATCACGTGTCCACCGGTGAGGTTGTGTTGACGGTAGAGCGATGCAAAGTGGGCTGGACTGTGGGTGGCGATGAAGTTGGTCTTGAGCGTCGAATCGGTGTCGGTGAGTGTGCCGCCGACGATCTGTTTGACGACGCCTTCGTGGAGGTCGATGCAGGGACGGAAGACGCTCTTTCTCGTCTTTGGCTTGGAGGGAGGAGCGAAGAACGACGACAGCCAGTCTCCGCTCTGTCCTTCGTCCCCACCTTCTTTCGCTACAGCTGCCTTGAACGAAGGCCTCTCGTAACATTTCTCCATCCACTTCCGTGTCTCCGACCCCAAGCTGAGCCCGAGATTCTTACGCCACGTCTCCGATCTGCTCCCCAACAAATGTCCAACCATATCAACGCTGTACAGCATAGCACAATCTGCCGCAGTGAAATCCTCCCCTTTCACCAACTTTCCACCGTTCCTCTTCAACTCCTCCTCCAAATACTCCAAATCAGCCCTAATCCCTCTGGCGCACACCTTCTCCACTCCCGCACTACCATCCTCCGTCGCAGCTCCCCCTTTCATCGCATAGAACAGCGGTATAGCATGCAGCATGATCGAACCTTCCGCAAATTGGATCCATGCGCTAACGTCGATGCTGGCCTGCGTCTTTTCGCCGAGCTTCGGTCCGAGATTTGCAGTGCTTGGATCGTAGTAGTGAAGCAGAAGGTGTTGGATGATCGCGTTGGTTTCGATGATGGTGATGGGTCCATCGGTGAGGACGGGAGAACGACCGAGGGGGTGGATCTGTTTGAGATCGGGGCCGGCGAGCCGTGTGATGGGATCGCGTTTGTAGTGTTTGACCGTGTACGGTACGCGAAGCTCTTCGAGCAGGAAGAGGATTCGGTTGGATCGACTCAGTTCGAGATGGTGCAGCACCAGACCGGTTGTACCGCCAGCGGCTGATGATTCCTTGGAAGTGCTCATCGTGATAGTCCTCTGCGATGCTTCGTGCAGGAATGGAGATGAAGGATCGGAAGGAAAAAGAACGAAGAGGAGAACATCGCAAGAGCGTGCATTGAACTGTCTGTGCGCATGTACCGCGATCTCAAAAATCGCACTAAAAATTCCGGAAACACCGCACTAAGGCCGCACATCTGAAAGTGCCACGATTGGAGAACGACGACGATCACACACGGCAAAGGAATGGTGCGGATACCGTTCGACGACATGCTTGCTTTACACGAGATGATAGAGACGATGCTGACAGACAAATGAAGAAAACGAGTCCAAGTGAAAACGAGGGCCAAGAAAAGGCCATGGGCGGACTCAGTCTGCCTTGACCGTCGACACTTTCGAGTACAGGGGCAGCGACGAAGCTGAGCTCGACTTGACCCGCCCAAGGTAGAGGAACAGAGCACCCATCGCGACAAAGACAAAGCCAAAGGCGGCGATCGGATGTGCGACACACATATCGACAAAGGCGTTGGCGTAGTTGCCGGCACCCCGCACAGATTTCTGGAAGAGACTTCGTGATGATTTGGGTGGAGTCTTGCCCTGAATGGCGTCCGAGATGCTGGCGAAGATATCGTTCGAGATCCACTCCTGTGCGTTTATCGCCGAAGATCCGGACGCGGACCGATATGGCAGATCATAATACTGCATCTTGTTGCCATCGACCAGCACGACAGCGGGCGCCTTGGTAGCCTCGATGCCGTAGAGTTGGCTCAGCTGCGACTTCCATCGATCTGCGTCGATCCATGCAAAGACGACGGGTCGAGTCGATGTGGATGCCTTCGTGAGCCTCCAGTCGAGTGCTTTTGATTTCAGGGCAGAGATCTCGACTTCCTTGAGTGCGATCCCCTCATCAGCATTGTTGGCCTGTTCCGAGCCGTGGTAGGTGTCGGAGAGCGCCGCAAGCACGACCAGCGCGTCATCCCGGTTGCGCACGATCTCCTCGAAGTTGGCGGCCGTGAGTTCGGTGACGAGCGAATACTGCTCGCGCGACAGGAATGCAGCGATCTTGGCATCGGCTTGCTCCGAGTAGACGGCCTGTCCAGAGGTCGAATCGGAAGCGCGCAGGTTGGACGGGTTGAGGATCGAGACAGGCTGAGCTACCGAGTGATCTTTGAAGACGAGCAAGCCAGACTTGGCAGGGACGGACACGGTGCGATCTTGGGCCAGCGAGCTCGCATACCGGTCCAGCAGAACCGGCTCGGAGGATACAAAGATGGGAGCTCGCGCGCCAAAGAGCGTCTGACTGGCGGTCTCGACGGCGCGGATCTCGTCTTCGGGAGTGCCGGGCGAGTGGAGGTAGAGGAACAGCACCTCGTTCTCTTTAGCCAGACCGACGAGGTCTGCGCTGGAGCTGACAGGCTTGAGGCCCGAGCTCGATACGGCCTTGAGCACCCATTTGAGCATAGCATCGTGGTTTCGGCCGCCGGTGTACTCCTTGACGTTGCCCTGATCGTACAGGCGAAGGACGGGGTAGCCGCGAATGTCGTAGCTTGCGCAAAGCGCACGGTTGGCCTCGCAATCGACCTCGAGCGCATTGACTCTGCCCTTGAGCGACTCGCTGAGCTGCTTGAAAGCGGCAGCCATGGCTTTGCAGTGAGGGCACCAGGGCGCGAAGAATTTGACAAACGTGGGTCCTTGGCCAGATGCCTTGCCGAGCCAGGCTGCGAGTTGCTCCTTGTTCTGGACAGGAGCAGAACCATAGCTGATGAGCTGCCCCTTCGGATTCGGACCCGACGGCAAGATCTCTTCGATGGCCTCGACGGCAGAAGCGGGGTTTGCGGAGGAAGAGGAGGAGGAGGAGGAGGATTGGGCAACGCTGCCAGCAGCGGCGTCGGTTGGAGTCGTCGGTGACAATGCAGAAGGCGTAGCCAACGTTGCTGCTGGAGCATCTGCTCCTGCTTGGGCCGAGCCGGTAGCACCTGCCGCTGCTGCAGTGGCAGCCATCGATGCAGCGACGGGTACATCGGCGACGCCCTTCTTGTCGCGATACTCCTTGGCAAACTTGTCGATGTAGGCCGAGATCTCGGGATAGTTGCGGTCGCCTTTGTACTCCTCGGCGTTCTGCTTGCCGTCCTGATAGATGGTGAGGCGAGGCAAGAATGTGACGCCCTGCTCCTTGCACAGGTCCCACTGAGCGAGGCAGTCGACCTGAGCCAAAGTGAAGGGAGCCTGCGGGTACTGGGTGCGCAGGGAATCCTTGTTCTGCGAGAGCTCCGACCAAGTGGCACCGAAACGCTTGCAGTGGATGCAATTGGGCGAGAAGAACTCGATCAACCAGGCGCCTTGGTTTGTGAGGGTGAAGTTGGCTGCAGTGAGCTTACGCAAGCCATCGTGAGTTGCCTTGTCCGATGATGTTGCTGCGGACTGGACGAGGCCGGCAAACATGAACGCGGCTGCGACCACGAACCAGAGCGTGGCAGTGCCCACCGCGAGGCTCTTCGGTATTGATGCGAGCCTCATTGCTATGTGCTGGTCAGCGTCGAGCTGGAAAGTCCGATCGTATCGAGTGGTTCAACGTGATGATCGTGTCGTGATCGATTCAAAGGTCCAGCAATCGAGTCGTCATCTCGTTCGAGACGCGGCTGAGCTCCGGAGACGCAAAGGGTCCACCTCTGGCGCCTCTGCATGCTGCGTGCGTGCTGTGCGGCTGCAGAGAAGATTTGGTTGTCGGCAACCTTTGACAGCTGCTGCTCAGTGTCAAACGAACAGGCGGAAATATGAGAGAAAAAGAGTTTTGGAGCCTTAATTTTCGGAGCACATTTTTCTTTCCGGCAAGCAACACTCTTTCTTCGGCTACGCCGCCTGCTCAAATTGTGGTCATAATTCGCACAGGCCCCGTCTGTGTTGCGTTGGTCTCGGCACGGCTGAGCAAGTGCGGAGAACTGTGTCAGGGTCTGTTCTCTTGCTTGGGCAAGTTGTTGCGCTGTGAACAGTGCTCGCTCCTTCGGCTCGAAGACCACCATCGTGGATCGCAGACAGCAAGCATCAAGGCAGACGACAGCGTCGCTCGGAACCGCCGATTTCGATCACAGGCGGCTGGAGTATTTGGCAACCGACTCCGGAATCACCGGCGCTTCCGACCATACGCGGCGAGTGCTCGGTCGTCTGCCGACGATCGTGTGATTGATGACCCTGACTCGACACTGTTCTTCGCCGTCACAAATGATGGACTGAGCGCTTTGCGACAGTCAAGCTGCTAGTGCTACGATCGGATCTAGCAGCCGAGACCTCGAACCACTTCGAAAATGGACGCGCTCAGCCCGCAGCAGGAGGTGCAACGCCTGCAGAACCAGATCGATGTCGAGATCAAGATCAAAGACGGCGCAGAGAATCTGCTCAGCGTGTTTGACCTCAAGCTCGCCTCCAACACAAAGCAAGACCTCCGCAAGCAGATCGAGGCCGAGCTCGAGTCGGCCAATCACAGGATTGCATCGCTCGCCGCAGAGCTCGAACGATGGAGCAACGTACAAGCCACCACATCGCCCCCATCGTGGGCCTCCAACGCTTCCGTCTCGGACTCGGAGTCCTCCTGGAACATACCAACTTCCACCGTCTCGCGCTTCGAACAGTCTGCGCTCGACTTTGAAGGTCGTCCGCTCTTCGATACCGCGCAAGCCGGGCCGAGTCGACAGCCTGCGCGGAACACCAACTACGACATCACCCCCGCCCAGTTCGACCCCAACAATGGATCGCCGCCATCTACCAACTTCGTTAATGAGCTCAACTCTGGGATGCCCCACGTCTCCGTCGCGGCCCCTTTTGGTGGTCTGGGCATCGGTATCGACGGACACGCTCCACTCAACTTTACCGGCTTGCAGCCTCAACGACAGCAATCGGTCACCGAGTCTCTACACTCACCTCGTCCACCAGCTTTGCTATTTGATCGTCCTGACGACGCTGCCTCTGTCTCAGCTGCTCAGAATCTTACTTCCGGGCAAGAGGCTTACCCTGAAGACAGAGAGGCCGAAGATGCCCGCGCGTCACGGTCTCTCGCCATCATGCTGATCCGCTCCCTAAGGCCTTCCTCCCCCGCACCTCCACCTGCAAACCTGCCAACTCTCTCGGAGAGCGGCGACACTTCCTCGCCATCCACACAAGAAGCCACTCCTACCACAGTGACAAGCCCAGACTCGCCCTTCAACCCGAACCTCGCGCTTCCTCGCATGGCTCGCAGGACAGCCGCGCGTTCAAGGGCAGCTGCAATCGCTTCAGGCGCCGCCTCGCATGCGCGAACGCCCAGCAACGCCGCAGGGTTAGGTGATCAAGCAAAGCATCAGATCGATCAGATCAGCCGCCTCGTCGACATCCTCAAACGACACGCGCGTGTACGTTACGAACTGCCTCTCGACGACCTAGTGGATGCCGCTATGCCAAATCTCTGTGACCGATCGGGCAAGGAGATGCGTGCCGCCACCTATCGACTGCTCCGCCATGCTCTCGTCCAGCCACTCTCTCCATTGGTATCCCGCTGCCGACAAAAAGGTCTCGACATCTACCTCTCGCGTACCCTCATCCGCGACAATCGGTTCGAAGTCGAAAAGATCCAGGCCATCAAGCTCATTCGGGCCATCATGGAACTAGCAGCACTGCGCTCCATCAGCACCGCTCCCGATCGCCTCGGCCTTGACTTGCGGGATCTCGTGTCTCCCGGTGTCGTCCGCGCCCTCGCAGCTGTCGCCGAACATTCAGAGGACAAGTTGCGTCACATCTGCCTTGAAACGCTTGCAGAGCTCGCCGTCTTCGACCTTCGTCTGCTTATCAGAGCCGGAGGTCTCCGCACCACTCTGCAGGCGCTTACCGAAGGCGCCTCCGAGTTCTCGCCCACTCTTGTCCAAGTCTTCATCTACCTCATCGACACACCAGGGACGCGCCAACATCTGCGTCCCGGTGTCGATCTTGAGATCGCTCTGTCCGGCTTCACCGAGACGCCAGTCCAGAAACCCATCACGTACCATGCGCTGCTCCAATCCACCGCCTCGGTCGTCACGGTCCTTCTCCGATCCTGGGCGGGTCTCATCTACCTTTGCATGAACGACAAGCGCGCCATCAAGTCGCTCGTCCAAGCGCTGCGTGTCAACACCCTCGAGGTCAAGAGCGTCCTACTCGACATGCTATACGACCTCTTCAACGTTCGTGGTGCCACAGGACGGGTGGATCCCGCCAGCAAGCGCGAGAGCAGCCATCGGAATTCGTCGTCGTCCCCGAGGTTGGATGCGGATGCTGCAGGCGCCGTTAAAGGCATCGCGCCCTTGGGTGAATTTGGCGATCAACCACGCAGCAGGCTCAACCTCGTCGATCACTACCTCGCGCTGCTCCTTGTCGTATTCTTCGAGTCAGGCCTGGTGGACGCGCTCATCGACGTCATCGAGCACGCACCCACTATGGCGAGAAAGGCGACCATGCTCATGGGAGAGCTCCTCCAAGTTTCGAAACGCGTCCATCCACCCTCCATGGGTGGTAGCATCCATTCGCTGCCGCGTCTTTTCTCACTCGCTGCCAGCTTCAAGCTCGAGAAGAGCGACGAACGACAGGCGGCTGCCAGCGCGCTCGCCTCGATCGATAGCGCCAATCGTCATCGTGCCCACCACGAAGCAATGATCAGCGCTGCTGCTCTCAGCGGCGCCATGCAGAGTGCAGGCCGCGACCGCTCCAACTCGGTCGAAGAGTCGATGCGCAGAGGTCAGCGGCAGGTGGAAAAGACAAAGATGCGCATGGGTATGCAGATCGACGACATTCAATTCCGCAACATGATGGTCGACACCCAGATCCTCGTCACCAAGGATCACACAAAATGGAATCTCGAAACGCTCAGCGAGATGCTGGAAGGTCCCTTGCTCAATGCGAAACGGCTCGACGACGTCGTCAAGGGTACCAAGCTGCTCAAACGAGTCCTCGCCTTCTACCATCCATTCGCGCTGCGCTTCGCAAGCATACGCAAGCTCAACGCCAATCGTCGTTTCGTTCGGCTCGGTTGCCTGCTACTCACCACGCTCGCCGCCACACCCGAAGGTGCACGTGCCCTCAATGAGGACCGGTTGCTGCGTGAAATCCGCGAGTGCCTCGATCAGCTAGATCCGCTTTCGGGCCTCTCCACCTCGGATCCGCTGCTCTCGCGCAAGCGTATGGACGAGACGCTCACCTCGGGCTATTTCGAGATGATTGGCGCCCTCACTCAAACGGCCGAAGGCATCCGCTTGCTTGAACGCTTTAAAATCTTCACTCCTTTGTACCATCTGAGCGCGCTGCGAAGCAGGGACGACATCGTCAAGGCAGTCATCGAAAACGTCGACTACAGCATCGACGGACACTCGCGGATCATTCTCGCCAAGGCGCTGACCTCAAGCTATCGCGACGTGCGTCTCTTTGCCACGCGACATTTGGCTGAGCTGATCCGACACCAGACATCGCCGGCCAATGCGAAGAACGGCTCGGACGTGCAGAGCGACTGGACCCTCGCACTCTTGCTGACGCAGCTCTACGATCCCTCGGTCGACGTGCGTCAACTGGCCACGAAAGTCGTTGAGGAGGCTTGTGCCTCGAGCCACATTCTCGAGAAAGTCGTATCGATGCGACCCACGCTCGATCACCTCGGCGAGCTTGGCCATCCGCTGTTGCTCAAATTTCTCTCGACATCGGTCGGCATCCAATACCTCTGGCAGGGCGAGTACATTGACCGCGAGATGGACGAATGGTTCAACGAACGCAATCAGCGCTACGTGGTCGAGGTGGAGGTGATGCTCGCCGACTTTTTCAGCATCTACCGCAAATCACCCGGCGGCGGTGGTGGTGCTGCTGCACGTTCCGCATCTGACCAGGCTTCACCTTTTGCGCCGCCGCAGACACCGGCTCCTGCAGACTCTGCAAAGGACGGCGTGGTTCCACCGCACTTCTACGGTGAGCTGGCAAAGACGCCTGAAGGCTGTCGAATCCTGCAGCAAAAGGGCCATTTTGCCGAGTTTGCCCACTTCATCCGTCAGCATGGAAGCGAAGCGTCCGACAGCGAGGTGATCAACAAGCTCAAGAGCGTGTTGTGGGCGGTGGGGAACATCGGCGCCAACGAGCTCGGATTGCCCTTCCTAGAGGGCGAGGATCTGGTCAGTCAGATTGTCGAGATTGCCGAGGGCTCCAGAGTGTTGTCGGTTCGAGGGACGTGCTTCTTCGTGCTGGGCCTCATCGCATCCACCAGCTCGGGAGCCGAGGCGCTGCAGGATTACGGATGGCAGTCAGTGTGCACGCCTCTGGGCGCACCGATGGGGCTGTGCATTCCGGACGATGTCAATCGTCTCGTCTCGATTCCTCGTTGGGAGGTGGACAAGGTGCCAGACTTGAGCTACCTGGATCTGTCGGAGCCCGAGTCTCTGGTGGTGAACAAGATCATCACGTCGATCGCCAATCTGGGCAACTCGATCCTGGCAGCCAATGCATCGCGGTCGTTGAGTAAGCTCAAGGCCAAGCATAAAGCGATGTTCAAGGACCTTTCGGTGCTGGCGAGAGCGGTGGAGTTGATGGACCACTTCCACTTTCGCGTCCCGGTAAGGCGATACATCTGGGAGTTGTTCGATGTGAGCTTGGACGAAGATGTGGTGCAGGGGATCCGCGTGAGCAGACAGAGTTTGGTCGATGCCAAGCGTGTGCGAGCTGCGCAGCCTGCTCATTTGCTGTCGGGGCATGCATTGCAGCACGGGGGCGGCTCTCCGTCTTTGCAGAGCAGCCGATCGGGGCAAGGATCACAAAAGGCAGCGCAGAATGGCGGCGTGAGGAGCAACGCCGTGAGACCGGGATTCAGCCGCAACGACCACGACAAGAAGCCAGCGCAGGGTGGGCTGAGCGCACTGGCAGGCGAGGATTCGTCTTCGCAGACCGACTCGGATCACGATTCTGCATCGTCTCGGCCGCACTTGACGGAAACGGGCACAATGAACGGCAGGGCGAGATACGGAGACGAGGAAGAGAGTGATGACGAGGAAGATGAGGAGGATGAGGACGGGGATGCGGACGACGTGGGTCTGTCGAGCAATGTGTCGTCGGATGACGAGGCAAGCGACACTTCGCACGATGAATCGAAGCAGATGCTGCAGCCAGGATACATGATGGCTAGACTCACGCGCAGACGGTCGTCGACTGGAGGCGGGAGGAAAGCGAGCATGCGATCGTCAACGCTCAAAGGACACTGGAAGGCAAGAGATGAGCATACGCAAGCGGAAAGGGTGGTGGCTGCTCCGGCCAAGAAAGTGGTTGGGTTTGGGATGGAAGAGCTATGATTTGGAAGCATATACCACAGTCGCTGATGCTGCAATACGCAATAAGTTCTGGATCCGCAATTCGGGTGTTCGTTGGGGAGTAATGGCACAACTATAGTGGGAGAGCGAGAGGTGACAAGATCAGGTGGAAGTGTGTGTGGTGGAAGAGGAGGAAGTGGTGCGGTTGGAGCTGAAGGCGTTTTGGAGCTGCTCTACGCCCTGCTTGAACTCGTTTGTGCCCTTTTCGGCGACGCCCTGGTGGTTGCCGGAGTGGTCGTAGTCGCTGCTCTTGCCGAAGGCGGAAGGATCGGAGGTTTTGGCGGTGGTGTTATCGGAGTCGGCGCTTCGGAGACCCTCGCCGGCGGAATCGAGGCCGTCGTTGATGGTTCCGCGGATGGTCTCGCCTGCACCGTGGATGGTGTCAATGGCGCTGTGCGGAAGCAAGAAGCGGAAACAGATGGTGAGCAGTGTCGTGTCAGTTGGTGTGGGAATCTGTGCGGTAAGATGGGTGGAGAGTGAGAAGACTTACCCCTTGAAGGCACCTCCGATCTTGTCGCCTGCGCTCATATTTGGATGTCGGTATGTAGATGAGATGGTTGAGTGGTTGGTAAACGGTGGTGGAGGGTAAGAAGTCGCCGGATACTTATAGGCAAGACAGAGAGAGAGGCAGTTGTGAAAGCCCAAAGCTCGAAAGGCTTGCAGGTTGGTTGGACCCTGTGGGCGTGGCAACTGCGGGCCAGTCAGCGTCTTATGCAGAGATCGACGGCCCGTGGATCCGGCATGTCGACACCAGCCAAGTCGAGCACGAGTTAGGTCATGCTCTCAGCACAGTTTCAGCACGGCTGCCGTGTTTGGCAGGATCAGACGACGTCATTTTGCGGCAACGCAATGCCGAATCTGGCTTGAGACGTGTGGATTGACGAATGCTAACACTGAAAATAGATTAATTCAACGCGTCGCGTAGATTGAAATCATACAGAAAGCACAGAAGTGTGACTTTACAGAAGCAATGCTGTCAGAATCGAGGACCCTGTGACTGTCACCGTCGCTGTTGCTCTTCCTGTTGCTCTCATGCTCACCTCTCGATCCAACCCACCATCACCACACAAATGTCCAGGTCATGAAACAGGCTACTCTGCCATGGGCTGCTCACGCTCATGCTGCAGCTTCACCGGGTCAACAGCCTCGTCATTCGCCATACGAGGACCGTGCGGTGACACAGACCCCGCTCGACCCAGCCCTCCTAGATGTAGACACTCCACCACCTCCAATACTACAGGCGGAGCAGCAGCACCAAGATCTACAACTGGACCCGGATCTCTTTGAAGATGCGCAAAGAGTACATGCGGCAGCCAGCCAGGCAAACGATGAGTCGATCCCACCGCCATTGCCCAGCAACACACACACGACAATAGACATCATGTCTTCGTCCCCATCTTCCTCTTCCTCCTCCTTTTCTCCATCTGTCGCTACATCAGGCGACAGCACGATCGCTGCACCAACGCAGCAGAGTGATGCATCTTCTGCTCCGGAGCCAATCGATCAAGGGGAAACCGACCTCGCAAATTCGGTCATCACTGCCGCGCCCATCTCCAACCCGGAGACGCCCGCCAAGCCGCTACCGCCGCTTCATCCATTCTTCAGACCAGGCGAACTTCCTCCTCGCCCGATGGACTCCAATGACGGCTCAGACACAGACCAGAAAAGGCCCTCTCGGTCGAGTCGTGCAAAGGCTCCCGTCTCGTACCGCGAAGATCTCAAGGCGGTTCTCCGTGCAGACGCAGCACAAGAAAGTGCTCGCTTCAAGGACGAGAAGAAACAAGCACAGCTGCAAGCAAGGGAAGCAAAGAAGGCGCTCAAGCAGCCGCGAAAGCCAAAGGCCGATCAACCCAATCTCAACAGCAGCCAGGACACCGACGGCTTTGAATTAGTCGAAACCCGCGTTGCCAACAAGCCTGATCAGCAGTCTAACGCCTCAACGTCGTCGTCCTCATCGTCAACCAGACCTCACCAACCTTCCAAGATACCCGAGCCAAAGCCCCTCAGCTTGGCAGTCAAGGGCAACAGCACCGCAGCATCTGCCAATCCTCACCCTTTCTTCACGAAGAAGCCCAAACAGCCGACCCCTCAGCCGACAGAGACCAGCACTACCTCGAACGAGACCGCAGTCGATGCGGATAATGCACCATCGCTGTCTGTCGATCGCAAGGGCAAAGCACCCGCAACAGCGTCCAGTTCGGCTTTCAGCAGCACGCCTGCATCGTGGAGCCTCTTTGCTTCTCAAAGGACTGCCTCGTCCAAACCAAAGAAACCAACCCATGCTCCTTGGCCGACGTCTGAAGATACCCACGTAGCAGCTCTTGAAGACAACGAGGGCGCGCGCTTGTCACAAGCACGGGCGGACCTCGCAGCTTTTCGATCCCGCTGGCAGGCCCCATCGATGGGCCCGGTCACGAAAGCGACGTACGAACCCCCACCACTCAACTTTGTCAAGCAGCTCAATGGCGCTCGACCTCAACCTCACCTCGACAGCATCCTCCTGACCGGCTCGGACGAATTCAAATTCACCGACGACTTTGTCGGACAGGCCAAAATGGAGGGCCTCTCCCAAACCGCAGTTGCCTTTGCACAGAAACAGGCGCAGACCTGTCGCACATCGGGTCAGATGTGGACCGATGCTTTCCGTCCCCACGCTTACCATGCCTGCTTGGGCAACGAGTCCGCAGCAAGCTACCTGGAAGACTGGCTGCGTCACTTGCTCGTCGCTGCACCTGGCTCGGTCACCACCACCGATCGCAAGCGCAAGCATGGCGTTCAGCGCAGAGTCGATCGCACCAAGAGGAGAAAGGCAAGGCGAGCGTACAGCGATGATGATGACGACGACGACGATGACATGGCCGACTTTATCGTCGACGATGATGAGGAAGAGGAGACAGTGGCGGAGTACGACGATTCGATCGCCGACGATGAATGGTTTGGAAAGTTTTCCAAGATCGATCGCGCATCCACACTTGCCGACGAAGGCAGTGTTGAGGGTCTCGAAACGTCTCAGACGACGGCGACATCAACAGCGGCAGCGCCATCGCCCGCCGCACCTGATGCGAATGCTCGACCGCAAGGGCCTTACCCGTACTCTCCACGCCAAGTCCCAGCCAATCGGCACCCCGGCCGGCCGTCCCTCGACAGGCTGACCAACTGCATGATCCTCACCGGCCCCAGCGGCAGCGGCAAAACCGCCTCCGTCTACGCCTGCGCCACCCAACTCGGCTACGAAGTCTTCGAGCTCTACCCGGGCATGGGCAAACGCAGCGGCAAAGAGCTTCTCGCCGCCGTCGGCGACCTCGGTCGCAACCACATGGTCTCGTCCGGCGGCGTCGGTGGAGGTGCCACCTTCAAACGGTCGCAACCCACCCCACCCACCTCTGCTGCATCCGCTTCCATCACCACCACCGCCGTCAGCAGCACCGCTTCCACCAGTGTGACGTCAACTCCAGCAATTCGACAGTCGCTCATCCTGATCGAAGAAGCCGACGTGCTGTTCGAAGAGGACAAAGGCTTCTGGTCCGCGGTGGTAGAGCTGGTGGCGGAGAGCAAACGTCCGATCGTAATTGTTTGCAACGAGCTCGATCTGGTGCCTGTGCAGGATCTGCCGGTGCAGGATGTGCTGCGGTACCGCAAGCCGGATGTGGTGGAGGAGGTGGTGCCGTGGTTGCAGACGGTGGCTGCGGAGATGGGTCGGTTCGTGGTGGCTGAAGAGGTGGAAGCGATGGTGATGGATCTACCTGGTACCGAGCCCGCACTGCGGGCGGGGGAGGAGCCGACGGCGGATCTGCGACAGGCGCTGAACCAGATGCAGTTCGGTCAACTTGCCTGTGTCTCCTCGCCACCGGAGGAGGCGCAGCACAGGGCATTCATCGAGACGCAGGCGGCGAAACAGGCGAGCATGAAGGCGATCGCCAGCGCGGCGGAGTCGAGCAGTCTAGCGGATGTCTTGGAGAGCACACTGGGACGAGGCGATGGCGAAGAGTACGCGGATGCAGGGGTGGAGGGGCAGGCTTCGTCGAGGCAGTGGGGTGCCTGGGTTCAGCTGGTACCTCAGCCGTTGGGCTGGTGGCAGCAAAGACAGGCGTTAGCGGGTGGTGTACAGGTCGAGTACAGATCGGCCCTGGCAGACGTGCATGCGTCACTGGGTGCTCAGGGTATGCCGTCGATTTTCGCCCAAGAGCTGCACGACTTTGGCGGTGGTAGAATGACAGGGTCTCTGCTGACGAAGTTGATGCATCACCAAGGGTCCAGTTTGAGGAGGATGGTGGCGCCTCTTTCCGTAATTCGAGGTTCGTCGGCGATCCTACCGCCTTGGTTGGTGGTGGAGTATGCACCGATGGTTCGACTCATGGCGTTGGTGGATGCGGATCTCGCGCAGATACACACTTCCCTACAGCAACAGCAGACCGAGGCGGGATCCGCGGGGTCCGAGGGAGTTGCACCACCTGCTACGCGCGGCAGATCGACGCGAAACTCCTCCCGTGCACTCACGTCGTGGTTGGGGATCGAGAACGACTACGGTTACGAAAGGTGGTTGGCCCCGCTTGGACCGGAAGAGGTGACCTTGGCTAGACAGACGAACTTGACCTTCTGATGAGGGAGGAGGGAGAAAATGTATATTTCATCGCCAATACAAGGAACCTCCGAAAACCCTTTCGCTGGTCAACGGCATCAACGCCTTTGCAAATGCTACCACTCCTACGGCGTGTGCGAACCATATCCAACCACGTTTCTTGGTATGTCTTTCCCCCGCTGCTACCGGTTCGGGTAGTCCCATGACGTTGCACACCACATGAGCTACTATCCCCGGCAAAACACTGCCACTTCGTAAAAATAAAAAGTTGGCGTACCAACCGAATACACCCGTATAGGAGAACTGAAGCGTTGCTACGAGAAGCGATCTGGAAAGGGAGTAACCGGAGAGGTAGTTGTTGTAGGCGTGGTGGAGGTGTGCGATACCAAAAAGGAGAGGGGTGAGGAAGATGAGGGAGGATGTGGGGATGGAGGCGAAGAAAAGGGGTGTTAGGATGGAGGATCGGAAGACGAGTTCCTCGGTGAGTGGTCCGACGGTGTAGTTGCGCACACCGGTGAGGGAGGTGAATTTGGAGACTACGTCGTGCTGAAAGGAAAAGCGGGATTGGAAGGGCAGTGTGCGATCGAGGTAGGATACGTAGAGTGGTCCTAGGAACAGCGATAGTGTCAAGAGCAGTGGTGCAAAGATGTGCTTCCCCACGATGCTGCCGTATTGCAAGAGAGGTGGATCGAACGGCAACGTCGAAGAAGACAAGACTGTAGGAACCGGCAACGGTAGACCCAAGAGTCTTGCTACATTCAACGTATCCAACAACCACCCAGAACGAGGTACCACTCCTTTAACCCACAACCCGATACCTGTAGCCAGAAGTGTAAAAGCCGTTGCGAAGGATGCGGTCTTGATGCGAGCTCGGATGACGATGGGATGGTCTCGATCGATGATCCTTCCATCGAGGTCGGGTTTGTTGGCGAGCCGTCCGGCGGGGGAGAGGTAGAGGGAGGCGACGTAGGTGAAGGTGAAGAGGGTGGATGCACCGATAGCGAACCCGGGAGAGAGGAGCGGTGGATGCAAGGGTGGGTTGGGAAGGTTGCATATAAGTGACATGGTGGACGGGGCGCGAGACTTGCTCGAGGTACCAGAGTGTGCATGTAATGTGGAAGAGAAGAAAGGCAACAGCAAGAGGATCGAGAAGACGTAAAGTGTGTAGAGAACAAAGGGGAGCAATGTCAGAAAACAACACTTTTGGACAACGAGAAGAAGCACAAAGAGGACCCTGAATGCGAAATAAGACTCGATCAACACGCACTGTCCACCGCAAAATCACCACCATCACCACCATCTCAAACGTGCTTGGCCTCCTTTCTCAAATGGCGGGGTGCCATGTCCGCCAACTATTGGGCTTCTACACAATGGTATGCTTCTACACCTCCTTGAGCGACTCGCAACTTTCAATTGCTGACACATGTGACACGCGCGCTGACACAAACCCCTTCTTCTCTCCCGTGATGGAACAGCAACAACTGGCTACTCGATAGACCGCAGCTCGAACTGGCACGGAAGGAAGATCTGCGCTACGCATCTCGACTCGAATGTGCTGCTCTCGGAGTGTTCTTCTCCAACCGTAAGCTGCCACATTCTCTCAATCCATACTCTCTTTCTCCTTCACTGACACTTTCTCCATCTTTGAACGGCAGTACTCTCGATCATCTGCAAACGTCTCAATCTGCGCCAAAGAGTCACCGCCACAGCCAACGTCTTCTTCCGTCGCTTCTTTTCCAAAAACTCCTACTCCGCCGTCGACCCGTTCCTGGTCTGCGCTACGTGCGTCTACGTTTCCGCCAAAGTAGAGGAGTCTCCGATCCACATCAAATCCGCGGTAGCCGAAGCAGCGAGGACGTTCACAGAGCATGGGTTCAGAGCGATGCCGACGGACAATTCGAGTTTGGCAGAGATGGAGTTTTACTTGTTGGAGGAGATGGAGTTCGATATGGTTGTGTTTCACGCGTATAGGAGTTTGATCGTGCTGTTCGAGGGGTTTGGGACTAGCGGTGGAGGTGCGGGTGCAGCAAGTGGTAGTGCTGGTGGAGTGATGGGCTTGGGTATCGAGGCGGAAGCACTTGGAGTTACGAGGAACCTCGTCAGTACAGAAGAGGCGGACGCAGCTTCCGGCATCGCCACCGACAGCGGCATACGACTCAAAGAGTTCAACGACGAAGTGCTCATTATGTCCTGGCTAGTGCTCAACGACACGTACAAGACCGACATCCCGCTCATGCATCCACCGTACATGGTCGCGCTCGCCTCGCTCTACCTCGGCCTCAGCCTACACCTCCCCTCGTGCGAAAAGATCAACGCCTCCCTCCGTACCACCCTCGACCAACGTTCCTCCCACCAACACTCACTCTCCTCTATGCTGGACAACCCTACCTCCCACCCGTCGGATCTGTTCTCAGCAACCCCGGAACCTCTTCCACCGACCAACGACGCGCTCACGTTCTTCGCTAGCCTCAACGTCTCGCTGCCGATACTGGCAGAGGTGGTGCAGGAGATGTTGAGCGGCTACAGCGTTCAGAACCAGACGGCGAGGTTGGTGCAGGACGCGCCGGGGATGGTCAAGCTGTGCGAGAGGATGAGGGAGAGTAGGAGACTCGACTTGATGGCCAGAGCGAGGGAGAGGAGACGTGGTGGTGCTGCACATGGATAGATACGGTACCCTTGTATGAATAGGCGATTGGATTAGCGGTAGTAATAATACACTTTTTGAGAAACGGAAAACGAGATCAAGATGGGCGAGGATGATGACTTGAGCTGGTGGGGTTCAGGAGCCGATTCCTTCGGGTAGCCTGCCGACCACTTTGACTGCGTACAGTCCTGGAAGGCGTTTTTCTGTGAACATGCGAATCAACGAGCCATGAGGTCCAGTGTCAGTATACCTTTGCGCCGTTGCAGCTGGCGTTCGCTTGATGGAGAGAGGGACACTTACCGATCCGCTGCCACTTGGCCACCCAACTCTCCTCTGGTCTTAGCATCGAGATCATCCCGTCAAAGTTGGAAGTCGTGCATTCGGCCACCCTGTCTTGACTCCCTTGCATCTGTTTTGCAGCCACGGAAACAAAGGCAATGAGATGTCAGTGATCCTAGCTTCTACCCAACTTGCACTTGAGTCAACTTACCTCGAGCACAGGTTCGCAGTTAGGACACCCTTTGAGGTGGAAATCCCTCGGTGATTGGACGAACTGGCATCGCAGACACGCGCGGAGCTTTTCCTTTCGCGTCGACATCTTTCCAATCAGTCGGTCGAGGTTCCGATGAGTCTCGTCGTCGTCGATGGTGTGTGTGTTCAGCAGAATTGTTTCCACGACAAAGTGTGTCGGCAGAGCTGCGCAGCCCACCGCTCGGAACGTCCGAATTCCGAGCGAAAACACTGCTGCTCGGTCGGAAAAGCCGAAATCAGTGGAATTTTGGACGGCGAACCGTGCTCGCTCTTTCTCATTCTTCCTTTCTTTGCTTTCGCTCCCTCTTCGTTCCATCACACCAGACAAAGCAAATATGGACGGATGGGACTCGGCGCCGAATAACGGCTCGGGTTATCCGCAGCAGCAACAATACCATCAATCCTACAGCAACGGAGGCGGAGGAGGTGATGGGTATGGAGCGCGCGATCAGGGTTGGGCCAATTCCCCTCGTAGAGGTGGCCGAGGAGGTGGCCATCGATCCGGCGGCGGCGGGGGTGGCGGTGGCTATTATCAAGGAGGTAGAGGCGGTGGTGGCGGTGGAGGAGGAGGATACAACCAACAGCAGCAGTCCGCGGAACAGCGCGAAGAAAATCGAATCAGGTACATTCGTTCGCAGCTCTTCAAGCTCGGTGAAGAGAAGGACTTCCATCCTCCCTCGGACCTGCTCAAGATGGCCAGGTGGATCGAGGACAAGTCGCGAGATGGAACGGATGTTATCACCGGCGCCTTCAGGGTGATGGTCACAGAACAGCCTCACAAGACCCCCTTGGTGGCTGCTCTTATTGGCTTCCTTTGCCTCTCGCAACAGTCCAAACCCGCTGCTGCTCCCACTGCCGACCAGGACGACATGGCTCCGCCTGCAATCGTCGAGTCCGACTCGATAGGCATCACCATCGTCAAGGACCTCGTCAAGGCCTTCCGAAGCTACCTCGATGCTCGTCTCTGGAGAAACACGCGTCTCAGCTTGCACCTCTTTGCCGCGCTCGTTCCTCTCCACATCATCCCGGCTCACTCGTTGCGAACGCTGCTCAGCTCCTTCGCTGCCGTGCTGGAGGAGCCTGCCGTCGCAGCTGCGAGGGCCGACCGTGCTGCCATCTGCATCATTGAAACCCTCTGTCGCGCAGGTCAGGATCTCTTGGCCGATGATACGGAATCTGCACGCTCCGAACTCGACGATCTGGTTCAAAAAGTCGTCGCATACGATGCAGCCCGCAAAGTCGAGGTTGAGCTCACGCAGCCGGTGCACGGTCTTGAGTCTGTCTGGCTCGAAGGTTTCCCGGAAGCCGTCAAGGCGTTGGAAGAGCTTAGGGCCAGAGATTACAAGCGACCCGCCTTCCTTCCCGTGCCTTCGGATCTGCTTCCAGCAGCCATCTCGCCCGCTGCGACCCAGGTCCCCGAAGACAAACGTACGATCTTGCTCCCCGACGTGCTCGTCCCACCCGAGGAAGACGCCGAAGACCAAGGTCTCGATGTCGCCTACGCCCAGCTCGGCGAGCATCAAGTCAAACGACGCAAGATCGACACCGGCAAAGGCGAACTCGAGGAGAAAAAGGCCGCCGTAGGTCCCGAACGCGTCAGCCTCCAACCTCGCTGGTTCGCCAACACCCTCCCCGCCGTCGCCTCGCCCGCCTCCGTCGTGCTCAGAACCATCTTGGCCGACATGATCGATCTCTACGAAGTCAACCGTAAGGAGGCTGCCAAGCTGATCCTCGATCTGCCCAACTGGTTGAGGAGATCGACGTTCGATAGCAAGGTTTCGAGCGAAGCTGGGCTTTTCGGCGAGGTGGATGAGATTGATAGGGCAGAGAGTGGATGGTCGTTGGACGATCTGCTCGTGGAGACGATCTTGTCTACTGCGCTGGTCCTGCCGAATCCGCCGAGAAACCCGCTCTATTACACTGCGCTGCTGAGGGAGATCGTCACCATGACACCGTCCACCGTCGCCCCTTCCCTGGGTCGAACCATTCGCACGTTCTACAACGCCCTCGATTCGCCCAACATCGACGTCGAAACCGTCAACAGGTTCGCTGACTGGTTCGCCATCCACCTTTCCAACTTCAACTTTGGCTGGGCGTGGAAGGAGTGGATTCCGGACACGAGCTTGCCCGCGGCTCATCCTAAGGTGGTGTTCATCAAGAGGATCGTCGAGTTGGAGATTCGATTGGCGTACTTCGACCGCGTTAAACAGACGCTTCCCGCCGAGATCCAGCAGGCGGCTATGCCGGCGGAGGAACCGGCGGCGACCTTCACGTATCAGGACGAATCGCATCCGTACTTTGCGCAGGCGACGAGGTTGATCAACTCCATCAAGGCTAAGGCTAGCGCCGAGGTGATCCTGGCGGATTTCGAGAGCTTCAAATCTTCGATTCTGGAGACCTCCTCCGCCCTCCCCACCGACGATGTTGCCGGCATGGTTCGCGATCCTCTACAGGCCGAAGTGGTGGTGCGAGATCTGACCATCCAATCCATCCTCTCGGTCGGATCGCGCTCCTTCTCGCACTTTCTCAATATCGTCGAACGATACCACTCGCTTCTCCGTCAGCTTTCGAAGACCTCGAGGATGCGCGTAGCCATCCTTTCCGGTTCGGTCAAGTTCTGGAGAGCCAACCAGCAGTGGATCGGGATTGTGGTGGACAAGCTGTTGCAGTACAGGATTGTGGAACCTGCCGATGTGGTTGAGTTCATTTTCAGCCCGCCGAAGGATGAACCGCAGACGATCGCTAGCTCAGCAGCTGGAGAAGAAGAGGGGTGGGTAGGGTTCAACCGGTGGAACCTGCTCAAGTTGACGCTAGAGAAAGTGAACGGTAGGGTGGATCAGTTGTCGAAGCGGTTGGACGAGTCGAGGAGGAAGGAAGCGGAGGAGTTGGAGAGGAAAGAAGCTTCGCTCGCCGCCGGTCTACCCGAAGAAACGCCGGAGCAAACCGACGACCTTCCCAAACCTCTACTCTTCCCCACCTCCGCCATCCTCCCCACCCGTCCCCCTACCGACCAAACCTCGAGCAAAGACATCTCCTCCACCGAAGCCCTAGCCAGCCTCGAAGCCATCCAATCCGAACAACGAAAAGTCCTCATCACCACCCTCCTCGGCTTCAAATCCCACATCCTTGCCCCAACAAAAGGTGATTGGCCGAAATGGTGGATTGAATCGTGGTACAAACAGTTTGTCAGGTGCTTCAACCGTCAGCTGTTGCAGAACAGACAGGTGCTCCTCAGCAACGCCTTCGGCAACATCCCCCAAGGCGCACAGGAGGACAGGCTGAGGGAGTGGTTGGAGAGAGCGCTTGATCTCTTGTCCGAGTGAAAAGAGTCCAGGAAGAGAATGCGATGCTCGAAAATTCATCCACAAGTTTGTGTGCGATGTTCGTGTTGTGTGTCGAATGGTTTTGTGATTTGCTTCGTTCAGAACAGTGTCGACGATCTCACTTGGAGCATTCGAGCTCGCTCAACCAAGGCATCACACGACATCAAAGCACAAATTCCACAGAATGCGACCTCTTGCAATGGGTGAGCATGTTTCATTTGTTTCATTTTGGGGTTTGCGACATCGTTCACAATTTCTTCTTCCCATCAATACGCTAGATCAACGTCGCCTTCAGCAGCGCCGTCCAAGTCCTGATAGCTCTTGGGCGCGGCACGTTGCGCCCTCGGGTCGAGCGGTTTGGGCGCGGGCGGCAGAGGATCCAGCTTGATCGGTGTTCCCGCAGGCGAATCTGCCGCCACGACACCTCCCAGTCGCATCCCCAACGCAGCACCACCTCCCGATCCACCATTGCCGCCCCTCCTCGGCGAATCGGCCACACTGGCATTGCCAAATCGGATCATACCCATCCTGCCACCGCTGTTGAACATGCCATTAGAACCACCACCATGACCGTTGCCGTCCAGACGCTGTGCCAGAGCTCCACCACCGCCGGACGAATCTTTCAGGTTTGCACCCAGCTGAGTGGTGGCGCGGCTGGGATCGCGCACGTAATTGTTGAAAAATCTGGCTTCGTCCAACGCCTCGCGAGCTGCGGATTCGATGAAAGCGCGATGCTTGTTGAGCACGTGCTTCTGCACGAAGATGGCAGCTTTGAAGAGTTTGCCGCACTGCGCGTCGTTGACGGTGACGGTGCAGCGGTGCTTTTCCGAATCCTCCTCCTTGATGAAGGGCAGGGCGGCAGCCATGAGTTCGGCGTTGACATCCTTGCCTCCCCACTCGGTCAGGTCGGTCTTGTCATCGGCGAGGAGCAAGCTGGTCTTTTGATCGACGCTGCGTGCCCAGGATTCGTCGTTCGAGTTGTCGCGCGGCTCCTCCACGAGCACGCCCGGAGGAGGCTGCTTTCTTGCGTGACGGGGGCTTCGACGCAGGAGCTCTTCTTCAAATTCGCAGACGAGCGAGATGTAGTAGTCGCAGTGGTAGACGGTACGCAGCAGGTCGAGGTGTAGATCGAGCAGCTTCTTGATGGCTGAACGACGGTGTTCGCGCTTTTCAACGTCCTCGTCGGCATCGTATTCACGATCGAGATCGTCTTCGAGCAGCTCAGGCTCGATGTGCCTGACGCGTTGCAAGATCACCTCGGAGCCACTGACATGGAGCCAAGACTTTGTGTCTGATGTTGCATCGGACTCTGGCTGGTCGCGGAAGAGCACGTCACGATCCTCGATCTCGAAGCGCTCGAGCAGCTGCCTGCAATGTTTGAGATCAGTGAGAAGACGATGGAAGGAGTTGGCATACTCGGGAACGGTGCGCAGTCTGCTCGACGTAGGTTTTGTGCATGGAGCGAGGTTGAGAGCGAAGCCGTCGACGTCTTTGCCTTGAAGTGCGTTAAGTGTGTCTTCCATGTCAATGCCTGGCTCGTACATGGCCCAGCCGACACGATGCCACCGCTTGGCTACGTGTGGCTCGCCGAGAGCCAGATAGCGGAAGCCTGGCTTGGTTTTGAGGACATCTTCGAGCTTTTCCCTTTCGAGGTCAGCCGGATAGGTTTTGACGAGGATTTGGTGATTGCAGGCGGGGATGACGGCCTGTTCTGCGTGCAAGACTTCGGGCTCACCATATCGCGAGAGGAGCGTGATGTCGTTTGGCTCGGACCGGCCACGGTGGTTATCGTCGGCGTCGTAAGGGTTGTTGGAGGCGTCGCGATACGAGTCTGGCTGGTCGGAGCCCTGGATGTCGTAAGTGAGCTTGTCAAGCTTGCCTTGGTCAAGCTCTTGGAGCCAGGTGTTCTTCTTGTCGGCACGGGCAGCACGTTTGCGTTGGTTTCTGGCGTCGAGCCAGGGTTGAGCGGGCGAATACTTTTCCTTGAACCAAGCTTCGTGGTTGCGCTGATCAAAGAAGACGGCCATGGCCTTCTTGTTGAAGGCCGCCTTGTAGGCTTGGTAACCGTCGTAGAGCTCCTGTGTGGAGGGCTGGTCGATGGAGCGATCGCGGGCGGAAGGATGAGCGGCCCTGATCATTTGAGCGTATTGACGAAACTGCAAGAGGGAGTCAGACTGCATGGGGTCTGGAGCTGATTGAAACTCCAAGTGGGGTTTGGAGGGCGCATCCGAAGGGTGGGCGGGATCGTCTCTGCGGTAGTGAGAGTCGTAGGGAGGGTAGGGCCGATCACGTTCGCGTTCGCGTTCGCGTTCGCGATCACGGTGACGAGTGCGGTCATCCCTGTCGGCCGGAGGCGGATCGTCGTACCTGGAGCGGGCGTCGTATCGGTCGCGCTCGTCGTAAGCAGGAGGGGGATGGTAGTCGTGGTCGCGGATGTCTCGCTCGCGGTCGCGATAGTAGCGATCCCATTCTGCGGTACGGCTGCGTTCTGATCGGTCTTCGTACGGGTCGGAAGGGCGGTAGTTGTCGTAGGCAGATGGACGAGACGCATAAGGAGATGGATCGCGATAGTCTCTGGAAGGACGATCCCAGGGATCTGCCGAGGCGGGATATTCGTTGTAGCTGCTGGTACGCCTCTGATCGCGGTAGTAGGAAGGAGAGGGAGAGCGTGCGCGCTTCCTGGATCGATCGTAGGGATCATCTATTGGGTACGAGTCGGGAGCGTGTGAGCCGGGACGGTCATAGTGACGATAGGACGATCTGTGGTCCATTGCGAAGGTGGACTAGAGCATGCCAGTTGCCAGTTCGACGAGAGAGATGAGCGAAGGATGAAAGCCAACCGACGAATGGCTCAGCCAGAGTGTGCGTGTCTGTGTGTGACTGTTTGGATGAGATGAAGTGATCAAGTGAAATGGGATGAGAGCGCGATCAAAAGCAAATCGCAATTCCAAATCGCAATTTGGCGCAAATCGCTTCTTCTTGTGTGTCTGAGCGCGCTCACCGAGGGAAACGCAGAGCGAATCGCACTCGCAGTCGCGTGCCAGTTGTTGTTCTTGCTCCATGTGATCGAATCGGGGATCGCTCACTTTCGTAATCGGCTGAAATCCACACTCTGTGTAGATTTCACGATTTGAGCGCGACTTGAACGCGGCGTGGCTGCAGCTTGAATCAGTCGAGTGCATTTGGGCAGTGTCTTGTTCATCAGCCAAGCAAGCACAGACGCCATTTTAGATTTTGAGCTTAAAACGTGCCATGAGCAAAGGCGCCGTGTACCGTTGAATCGCATTGACTTGAGTTGGATAGAGCATACATACCCACCCACCACCCACCTGCCGTACACCACCTCCTCTCCCGAATGGCGACGAGGCACATCGCACCACCGCCACCTCCCTAGTCTTGTCTATAGCAGCAATCAAAGTCGATGCAGGTTCATCGCGTCGCTTTATACCATCACTCGACCCGCACGCACCTCATCCCTCATCACGCCCATCCTTCTTGTCTTGCATCTCAATCGCGGCTAGGCTTGGCTCAGCCGCATCACTCATCCGCATCATGATGCCCAACAATGCGTTCCATATGCAGCCCCACATGCCTCACCAACAGCAGCAGCACCAGCAACCTCAGCCGCAGTCGCAGCAGCAGCAACACCACCCCGCTCACGTACAACACAATAATGGTCCATTCGTGATGCAGCCTTCGGTATATGCTCAGCATGCTGCTCAAGCTCCACAGATGCACCAGCAGATTCAACCGAACCCGCACCATCCGCAGCACCAGCAACTGCAACTGCAACAGCACCAGCAACAGCAGCAACAGCAACAACAACAACAACACCCGCACATGCAGCACCCTCAGCACCAGCACCAGCCGCAGCAACCTCAACAGCAGCCAGTCGTCTACGCCGGTGCTTCCTCTGCCCAAAACAATCCCGGTACTTCTTCGGCCTATCATCCTACCATGCAACAGCATCAGGCTCAGATGGCAAGGATCGCACACGCAAATCAACCTCACATGATCAATGGCCAACAGCAGCGACCACCCATGTCTGCCAACGCTTACGCTCAGCAACAGCAGCTTCAGCTACAGCAGCAGCAGCAACTCCATCTCTTGCAACAGCAACAACAGCAGCAGCAGCAGCAGCAGCAAAATCAACAATCGAATCCGCATCAACCGCCACATACCCCGCAGCAGCAGCATCAAGTCTTGTTGCAGCAACAGCAACAACAGCAACAGCAGCAGCACAACATGCAAGCGTCGTCTTCGCAAGTCAACCTGCACTCCCATTCGCAGCCTCAGCAGCCGCAACAACCTCACCAATCGTCCGTGCCTCCCTCTCAGCAGCAACAGCATCCGCAAACTCCCTCCGGTCCAACATTGCACAATGCTTCCAATTCGCAGCCAACTACCGCCCACAACAGTCCCATGCCCAACGCTCTCGCTCAACGCCCTCCGCAACCCGTTCCGCATCGCACTCCCACCCCCATTCACAACTCGGCCACCGCTCCCTCAGCTGCTCCACCACAAGCTCAGTCCCTCTCAAGTCCCCACGCGAACCGCTCCATGCCACTTCGACAGGCTTCCCTTCCTCCCAACCAAGCGCCTTCCGATCCCACTCACACAAGGCCCCCGTCTGCCGCACACACTCCTTCTCTCCAACCAGCCGCCGCCCCACAGCCCTCGTCCCTTCCACGCCCCAACACTACCTCGCCCACATCTGCTCAGCCGAGCTCCGTCCCCGCTGCTGGGCCTGGCTCAAATCCAGCTCTCAACGCCGTGCTTCCCTCAGGTATTCCAGCAATCGAATCCGTCGCTGGCGCGCCGGGCCCACAACCACAGCTTCAATCTCAGTTTCAAACTGGCTCAGCCGTCCTCAGGCTGCTTCAGTACTCGGAAGGTCTCGGCTCCGGCAACAACCGCGCGGATATCGACTACTGGCGTTCCTTTGTCGACGAATTCTTCATCCCCACCGGCGTCTTCCGCCTTATCCTCTGGAACGCCACCTCCCGCGAACAAAAGGGCTTCGAGGTGCCCATTTGCGTCTTACCTCGCTATCTGCTCACAAACTACGTTTCTGGCCTGCGTTCGTCCCAACTGCAGCTCGAGAATCCACGCGAGTATCACACTGGCTGGCCACCCGTCAACCCTCTGCCTCCGCCTCCGCCCTCTCACAAGTACCTCAACAGCTTCCCTTCCTCCAACGTCACACATCAGGTCGACGTTTCCAAAGCCACCTTCATCTCCAGCTTTGATAGCGGCTGGCAGGTGCACATGACCGGCCTGCTGCGTGCCTGCTTCGTTCCGTGGGCTGTACCCCAACCGCACGAGCCAGGAAAGCTCGACGTTCAATTGCGTCTTGAATCTCTCGATTTCACCGTCCACGCACACACGGGCTACATCCCGCGTCCCGCCATCCAAAAGTCCAAGGTGGACCATCCCCTGCCCAACAGCTTGGTCGCCAACATTCTCAGCGCCGGCGAGACCAACTCCACAGCACAAAATGGAGCCAAAAAGGCGGGAGCAAGAGGCGGTGCTGCCCGCAAAGACGATGCGGACGACACCAAGCGGGACGAGAATGGCGATCCCATCGTCAAGACCGAAGATGGCTCTGGCTCAGCAGACGACGATGCAAAGAGCCAAAGCGCCTACACCGTGTCGGTGGAGAGGACCTTTTTGCCCGATTACCCGGTCAACGAATACGGTATCAGCTTGCGTGCTATGCGCTGCCTCGAAATCACCGAGAGCGTGTGCCAGCTGCGTGATCTGATCGACCTCAGTATGCGCGACAAGTTGGGGCCCATCGACTCGTTACGCAAGTTCGCTACCCAGTACAGGGACATGCAGTCCGGACGCTCCGTCTCCACCATGGCGCCAACAGACGTGAATGGTGCGGCACAGCAGCAGCGACCACCACCTAACGGCGCACCCACACCATCCCAAATGCCTGGTCGACCACCCAGTGCTCAAGGTGGGCCAGTGGAGAATGGCACCAGCTCAAATCATGCATCGCCCAATGTAGCCAACGGTATTTCAGCGCTCAAACGAAAGGGAAAGACTGCTCCCAGCCCAAGTCCCAAGCTGACCAACACGCACAATCCGGCCAAGAGACAGAGATGAAGCTCCAGCCAGGTGCGCTGCCTTGCTCCTCCATTGTTTGCCTCTCGATGTACTTGTACCGCAGTGTTTCTGATGTCAACAGTGTATTTCTTCCACTCCGGGCAGACGTCGGATGAGCCGGTCGTGTGTGCAGAATGTGTGCATGGGTGCGTAACAAAGTGTTTGACGTGGAAGTACACTGCAGTGACGTCGACCAGATTGCTGAGCTGGAGCCGTTGATGAACCCTTTTGGAACAAATTGCAAATCGACGCGGCCAACGGGCGGGCGTGCGAGCGTTGTCCGAGTTCCGCTTCCAGCATTCTCGCGTGAGTGTTATTCTCAATGAGCATGATTAACGAGGGCGCCTCGAGCCACCACCATCACGACCGTCTGCGACATCCATCATGTGGCTCACAGATCAGCAAAGTGAGCATTCATCGTGGCGATTACATCAGCTTACCTGCTAGAAGAACCTCGCTCTGACGAGTCTTTACCACCTTCTAATCTCGTGGCTCGAACAGAGATTGGCGCCGGCCTCGTGTCGTTCGGAACCTTCTTCATCTTTGTGGGCATCCTGCTCTTCTTTGACGCTGCACTCCTTGCGCTCGGCAACGTGCTCTTCACGGCTGGCATTGCACTTCTCATCGGGCCGCAGAAGACGTTCTACTTTTTCGCGAGGAAGCAAAAGATTCGAGGCACCATCTGCTTCTTTGCTGGCATGTTCCTCGTCTTCTGCAAGTGGGCCGTGATTGGAATGGCCGTGGAAGCGTTCGGCTTCCTCAACTTGTTCGGGTGAGTACCAGCCAAGCGAGATTGCTGCCATTGGCAAGGGACTAATCATATCTTTATATTTTGTGCTATCTTGATTCAATTATCGACGTCAACAGAGACTTCTTCCCAGTCATTCTCAACTTCTTGCGGCAACTTCCAGTTATCGGCAACGTACTTTCATTGCCAGGTGTGGCCAACGTGAGTGAAACACGTCAAGCTTTCGCTGCTACGAGGTCGTCAACGATCGACTGACTAGAACAAGCTCTCTCTTTCTCTCATCTTGTTTGCTATATCTCACTGTGCACAGGTGTTGGACAGACTCGCAGGATCGCGCCAATCAGCCGTTTAGACGCGTAATGATGCCCATCAAGCAAGCCAACATGCTATGCGCTGCGATACGGAATGCTTTCTGTTTCGGAACCAAGGCGTCAAATTCCACCACACGATAACAGGTCGTGCATTGTATCTAGGAAGCGAAAGAACGACGAACTGTATAGCAAGTCCAAATGCGTGCCAGAAACTACTGACCGAGAGATTTGTGCATTCTGCCTTGCTGAGTCGGTAGGAGGTGTTGATCTGATCGACTCATACGAATGGCAACACAGCAAAGAGGACCAATGTGAGCATTCAGAACGCGTTGAGGGAATGCGTCAAGCTAGCTCATGACAGCGCAGTATCAATTTCAACCGCAGACCGACGCTCATTCATGAACATGATTCAGAGCCTGACGCGCGCTTTTCCCGTATTCCGAAATTCGCGCTTGTCGGTCGTACTCGAATCGACTCGTCTTGGTTGCCTTCCTCATCATCCCTTGCCCCCTGCCTCATCGCTTCCCAGCCACTCTCCCGACCTTTGCATCGAAACGAGATGGCGTCGTCACCAGCTGCTAGCAGTCCTCTCGCAGCACGAACAACGTCAAACGATGCATCTACATCAGCACAGAATGCCCAGTCAAACGGCAGCAGAGAGCGTTCCAATTCATCCGCCCCGCTCGCCAAGCGATTCAAGCCAGACCATCCCGACTCATCTGCAGCAGGTCCATCCATCAATGCCGCCTCTACGTTGAACGATGCGGGTACAGCGCAGCTTCAAAGCGGGCCCAGACCAGCCGCTGGTGCTGCTGGCGCTCCAGATCAAAGAGACAATTTCGACAGCCTGGTAGATGTGATGGGCGCATCAGGTGTCGACTTGCAAGCCGAGGAAGAGGCAATCCAGCGTCGAGAACTCATGCAACAGTCCCAGAATGCACAACAAAAGGGAGCTCAGTCCGATGATGACGACCTCTTCTTGCAGATGTATCCGCTCGCATACAAGGTGCACACTCTTGCTCAGCAACACGGCCTCAGCGTCGATGCTGCGGTGCTCAACTATCTGTCGCTAGCCGCAAGAACACGCTTGAAGAACGTGCTCGAGACCATGATCGCATCCTCCCGTCATCGCAGCTGGTCTTCCCACCAACATCCTCCGCCCCTCTATCCGTCTACCTCTCAGCCAATGTATCACGAACAAATCATCAGCGACCCCATCAAGCAGCTAGCAGCGCTCGAAAAGGCTGAAAGAGGCCAAGAGGCTCGCAGACGTCGCGAACGTCTGGCTCGAGATCAAGAGTCATCCACGCTTGCATCAGGCTACGGCGGCGACGACGTGGATATGGATGACGGCACGGGTACGTCTAAGACAGACGGAAGGAAAAGACCCAAAAAGATGGGTCCCGGTGTGGCGGCCAGAAACATGTCGGAGGACGTGCGCAAGAGATTGGCGGACAGCACAGCCATGCGTAACCTGGGTGGAGGCTCATCCAAGTACTCTTGGCTGTCCGGAGGGTCCTCTTTCCCGAGCACATTCAGCCCTCTCGGCGGCAAAAAGGGCAAAGCCGACGCAGGTGCCGCCGAGGATGGCAGTACACCCAGTCGGCTTCCCAAGCCAAAGTTCGCGCCGCAACCGTCCGTATCGAATTGGGGCGGCTCAGGCACAGCTGACAACGGTACTGGTGCTGCTGCTGCTGCGTCGACCACAGCGTCGACAGGTGCCTGGGGCGACGTGGCTGCACGACAGGCGGCGAAAGAGGAGGAGGAGAGGCAGGCAAGACTCAAGGTGACCTTGCGAGACGCTCTCTTCGCACTCGAGTACGAGCGGAAGGCTGGCGTAGGATACGGAAGTGGCGAGACGCTGTTGTACAGGATACGTGCGGGTGGGGAGCAAATGCTGAAAACCAAGGAGACATAGCATACCACGTTCGCTTCGCTTTCCTCACTCGCAGTTCGCAATTCAAAACGTCTCGAGTCACACTGTCGCGATCATGCTATCTGTTACATCACACTTGTGCTATTGACATTGGCTGGGATCGACCTGAGCCGCCGATTTGAAAGAGGCCGGTCGTTAGGCCATTGAACTGCAGAGTCGCGCACTGACCGCCGAAACTTGAGAAGAACAACACCAAATTCTTAATTGAGAATATCATCTTTCCGACGCGAAACGCACCTTGTTGTCCTACGTTGACCATCACCCCTCATTCACGACCGTCGATCATCATCGTGCCACACCGACGCACGATCCAATCGTCAGCATGAACTATCGCTAGTCGCATCACAAGCACCCACCATGTCATCGTCGTCACCTTTTGCCTGGCTGCGCCGCGTCTGCCTTGACGAGTACGGTTGGAACTTTGCCCTGCCGACGTTGGTCATTTCGTCTGCAGTACTCTCCGAGACCATCATCAGACGCATCAGCTTCACCGAGATCGATTTTCAGACCTACTTGGGTCAAGCCGCCCTCTTTCTCGATGGCCAGCGCGACTATACAAAGCTCGATCCACCGGGCGGTAGTGGGCCTTGCGTCTACCCAGCAGCCCACATCTATCTCTATTCTTTCCTTCACTGGCTCACAGATGGCGGCGCACGCATCCTGCCCGCACAGCATTTCTTTGCCACGCTTTTGGATGCCAACAACGTGCTCGTAGCCCTGCTTTACCGCCGCGCAGGCTTGCCTCCACTCGCCGTCCTGCCCTTGGTTCTGTCAAAGAGGATCTATTCCATCTTCCTGCTGCGAATGTTCAACGATCCCGTGGCCATCTTCTTTGTCTATCTTGCGCTCTTCACCGCAACCAGCGCAAGGTGGAAGCTCTCGGCGCTCCTCTTCAGCATCGGACTGGGCATCAAAATGAACGTTCTCCTCTTCCTTCCGGGCATCGCCGCCGCCGCCTTCGTCTTCACCGGCATCAGAGGTATCATCTCCTATCTCGCCGTGGTTGCCCTGATTCAAGCTTTGCTGTCCATGCCTTTCACGCTGCACGATCCACATGCCTACTTCAACCGTGCGTTCGACTTTTCGCGAGCCTTTCTCTACGTGTGGACGGTCAATTGGCGATTTGTCCCCGAACAAATCTTCTCGTCTACTCGCTTTGCCCATGGCCTCCTTGCGCTTCACCTGCTTTTGCTCGCCCTCTTCGGCCTCTTTCGCTGGACAGGCGTGGGGTCTCAAGGCCCCAAGTGGGTGTTGCGCAGCCTCTCAACGACCCCACGTAAGCTCTCCACGTCTCAACAGGCCGCGCTTCTCTACTGTGCCTGTTCTTCGAACGTCATTGGAGTGCTTTGCTCTCGAAGCTTGCACTATCAATTCTACTCCTGGTACTTTCACCAGGTTCCCCTCCTTCTGTGGTCCTCCAAGCTCCCGCTCGTCGTCAAGATTCTGTTGCCAGCAGTGCTCGAATGGTGCTGGAACGTCTTTCCCTCCACAGAGCTTTCATCGCAGCTCCTCCTGGCTTGCCATGTCGTGCTCGTACTTGGCTGCTTCACCCTGCCCGGCCTGGTCGAAACTCGGTGTGACCCCCTTCCCGCGTCTCACGACCACGAAGAGGACGAAGTGGACGACTTGCTTATGACCGATGATCTCCGCGCTACTCGAGCCAAGTCCATAGAGGCAGATACGCACACTGTGTCGTCTGATGCTGACGCAGTCAACGCAGCTGACGAGCTTCAAGAGGCTATGCTGCGTCATGTGCAGATCCGAGAAGCAAAGGAGAAGAAGGAGGCAAAGCTGCGAAAGGCCTTTCGACGTCGCATTGCCACGCGTCGTCGCGTGCTGTCACTCCTCGGCAAACTGTTCCTCCTTCTTCGTCCGATCCTTGTGCTGGCCAGCATTATCCTCATCTTCGTCGTGCCCCATCCTCGCTCTCCCGTTTCCAAAGCCACCTACGTTGATGAAAACGCCCTTCAGCCCGGTCAGGCTCGCGTCTACTGGGACTACTTTGACGTCACATACGCCGACATGCTGTCCGAAAAAGTCGCACTCTTGGCCGACTCCAGCAGTGCGGAGCGGGCTGAATTCGCGTACAAGGAGCTGCAGTCGTACGGCCTCGAGGCGAATCGCCAGTCCTATCTTTACGACGCAACTTCTCTCGGTCAAGACCCCGCGCGTTCGGGTACCAACGTCTACGCGAGGTCGGCTACGCCGCGTATAGATGGTCGGGAAGCAGTCATTCTCACAGCGAGCTGGCGCAGCCGTTGGCAAGGCCAAGACGATCCGTTTGCGCCTACGGATAATTTGACCGATTCGGCCAACATCGACCTGAGAGGGCGCATCAATGTCCGCGGTGTGGCGTCTATTCTCGCACTCGCTCGCTACCTATCTACGCAAGCGCATCTGAGCAAAGACCTCATCTTTGTCATTTCCGATGGTCATCTTGAAGGGATTCATGCCTGGTCATCAGCTTACTTTGGCAGCAAATCCGAAGGGCTCAGAGCGGAATCCGTGTCTGCTGGAGGCTCGCAGGTCTGGAACGCAATCTCGATCGACTATCCTGCCGATTCCTTCTCGTCGCTCGAGGTTCAGTACGAAGGCTTCGACGGACAATTGCCAAACATGGACGTCGTCAACACCATCGTGCGCATAGCAGATAGCGTTGCTGGAGGCATGCCACTGACATTTGGTCAGAAGGCAGCTTCTTCGTACTTGAAAGAGCCGGTGCAGAGATTGGCCGAACGATGGGGTGTTCGACTTCGTTCGGATGTCGAATACGAACTCGGCAACTACGAGAACGGTCTTCGCGCAGCGCTTCGGCAGGTCGGCTTTGGCATCGCTGGACGAGCCAGTGGTCCACACGGATTTTTCCAGCGACATCACGTAGACGCCATCACGCTCTACGCGGTTCCTGCCACCGGTCCGTACGGCTTCTTCCACATGGGCAGACTCATCGAGTCGTTTGTACGTTCCATGTCGAATTTGCTCGAAAGACTTCATCATTCGCAATTCTTCTATCTGCTCCTCAATCCCCGCAGATTCGTACCCATCGGCACAACGATTTTGATTCCATTATTGCTATCTATCGCGCTCACCATCAGCGGCCTCGCGCTTTGGTTCGCCGAGGAGAAGGTCTCAAAGCAGGAGCGCGAGACTGTTATCCTGAGCCTCTCGCAGATCTCGGACGAAGCCGGCGACGTACAGCCAGAGACGCCGACGATGGGCTGGTACCGAGACCAGATTGTGCGGAGTCACTTCGCCAATGAAGCCGAGAATCGGGGAGACAGGCAGCTCGATGAGCTTGCTGATCGCCTCAGGGAGTCGATGAGGCCGATTGCTACCACTCTCGGCTGCGTCGGGTCAACCGTGCTGGCGGGTGTAGGGTTGCTCGTTTGCAACGATATGCTACTTGCAGAGCTGAGTGGAGGAAACAGAGAAAGGGTGAGTCTTCTTCAAAGTGGTACTGAACCTCGACGAAGCAAGCAGAATCAAACTGACACGAATTCTTGTTCCTCAATATCGTCATGTACAGGCGACGACAGTGGCTGCAGCCGGCGCTGCTCTCGTGTTGCTCCCGATAGGCGGGGCTTTCATCCTTCGCTCCCGTTCTGGCGTAAAGCGCGCCCGTAGGATAGGCTCGCTCCTGCTCGCCTTTGCTTACCTCCAAGCGGGCATGCTGGTGGCTGTCCTGAGCGTGTTGAATTTCGCGTTGGCTGCGTCCTTAGCGTTGCTGACGTATTCCGCTCTCAGAATCGCTTCCGGCAGACCAGCATCAAGTGGAAGCGTGTCCTCCGCCCGCCGGTTAGGATTCGTGCGAGCCGCAGCGGTCCTCGCTTTGAGCCCCACCGTCGTGGTCACATTGCTGCAATCCTCCCTCCGCGAGACGCTTCAGCCCGAGATCATGGCGCTGGTGAAGCACTGGAAGCTCTTCAACGCAGCCACCGTACCCATTCTGTGTGTAGCGTACCTCCCCATCACTCTGCAGGCCCAGCTCGGAGCGTTTCTCAAAATCTAGACATACGTCACGCTCTCTCATCACAATCGGAATCACATGCGAAAGGGTCCGTCCCGTGTCGCAGCCAACCTGACTCGTGCTCGTGCTCGTCGTGAATTTTGTGTGTGATCCCGACCTTGCAGCCGTTTAGAGCATGCTCCCGACCTGTTGAGCTCGTCCTAACTCCATCAAGGGCAAGCGGACGCCGTCCAGCACACCCATAATCGGTGCCTCCTTGTGCCGCAATTACTAATGATTTTTGCGTGATGTGCCCGTTTCCAGAATTGACGCCAAATCGGTTGTCAGTCCGCTTTGTGAAGTCTGCCACACTCGCTATCTTTAAATTTTTGTCGACACACAGGATTCGTTCCAAAAAATGTCTTTCCTTTCCCTTGCAGCCTGGCGTAGTCGTCAATCATTTCAGAACTGGCTACAAGTACTATGACTACGTATGAGGCCGCACATTCTCTCGGGCACAATGAAGGCACGAAAGTCACAAACCTGCTTATTTGGCGGACAATAGCACCATCAGGATTTTGACGTCAGGAAAACTGACGTACAGTCCCACCTGCGAAGAACAACAGACAAAAAGTAGCACTAAGACGGACATACGGGCTGGCAGCAAAATTATCTGAGTGATCCGCGCTCCCGACATTATTGCGATTAATTTTCGTCGAAGCTGACGACGGTGGTCTATCGCAGTCTATTTGGTGAGTAGAGGCACGGCTTGACCAGAAACACACTTTTCGTGAAATAATGATTGCCAATGGCCTAAGGGGGGGTTTTTTTTTGAGTTATGTACATCCCAGCTGATGATTTTTATGACAATATTGCGAATTAGCATGCTGTTCCTATCAGCGAACACAATAACGAAAAATCATGGGCTTCATTTCTTCGAAAGTATGCGCATTCAACCACGGTTGTAGCCGATGAGATCTGAGCCGCTTTGTTGTATCACTATTAAGTTGCGTCGCACATATTTCACTTCGTACATCTCACTCCTTATAGGCAGGCGGGAGACGGTCGTCAGAAGGTACCTGAAGCCGTGAACTGGTTTGAACCTTGTCCTGCAATTTGTCGCCTTCATTTCTCGTCCAAAACCACAATCATTTGAATTTCAACTCACCAGATAAAATTTATACGACAAATTGAGGGAGAATTTAGGCTGAATATGATAGAAGACGTCGTCTCGTTATTTCACCCGACATAGTTTTGTGAAAATTTTTTCCTGACGACTTCCATTCACAAGCACGACCGTTGTTTTGGAAAATCAGCTTGTCTGGAATACCGATAGTCCAAGCAAAGCCCTCGACCTCATCGCAGTGGTCATCGAAACCGATCTGCAATAATTCGCTTGTCCTGGGAGCGGCGAGAAAGGCTGAAACCAGATCGTCCGGAGCGATAATAGGAAGAAAGCATATGTGAAGCGCAAGGGCCTATCATGTCGATACCATACATGGTGCGAAAGCGTTGGAGCGGCTCACAGGCATAACAGCGACTACTGGACGTGCTGCTCCCGACATGCGGTGACGGTCCTGATCGCACAGACTCAATGGCAACATTTCTACAAGATCGTATGCTCTTGTTTCAGACAAGCAAGAACATGCACAGCCGGGTGCAGTACAAGGCAAGATCATACTGTATAGCAAGCGGCGAACTTGAGACGAGGGTTAGGGTCGCCATGATGACGGCGACGCGAGTCCCAATTCGAGGTCTGCAGGGAGCCCATCGTCTGGATCTAACATAATTAAGTTTGCGCGTCACGTGTTGAGAAGACTGGGCACAAATCTTGAACTGTGCGTCCTCAAAGATTCTAATCGACTCGCCTTTGTCGCTCTCCACCTTCACCGTCAGCCACCATCCGCTCTGTACCCAGCCATCCAGCACCTCGATATACATTTCGACAGACACTGCAGAACTCCGGTCAACGTGCGCAAGACCCGTCCAGTCTAAGCTCAGACAGAGTAGCTCGCTTCAAGCATGGCATCCGCCAACATGTCTACTGCATCAGTGCCCGGGGCCGGGCCGGTGACCATGGACGGCTCCAGCTCCGGAGCATCGCGCGAAGCTAGGATCGCTACTCACTCGCACATCAAAGGCCTTGGGCTCAGTGACGATGGCACCGCTCTCTCCAGTGCGCAGGGTTTCGTCGGGCAGAAGGCAGCACGAGAGGTAAGGCACCAAACACGTCTCAGAGACGTTCCCAATGAAGACAGCTGGAGCGCGACAGAATACTGACCACACCATGCGCAATTCTTACCCTTTGAACGTGACACTGCAGGCCTGCGGACTCGTTCTCGACCTCATCCGAATGAAGAAGTTTGCGGGAAAGGCTCTGCTCCTCGCAGGTGGTCCAGGAACCGGCAAAACCGCCCTTGCGCTTGCAGTCTCGCAAGAGCTCGGCCAAAGGGTTCCTTTCTGCCCAATGGTCGGTTCCGAGGTCTACAGCTCCGAGGTCAAGAAGACCGAAGTACTCATGGAAAACTTCCGCAGAGCCATCGGCCTGCGTGTACGCGAGACGAAGGAGGTATACGAGGGAGAGATCACAGAGCTCACGCCCACCGAGGCCGAGAATCCGCTTTCGGGCTACGGCAAGACCATCGCCCACGTCGTCATCGCTCTCAAAACAGTCAAAGGCACCAAGCAGCTGCGACTCGACCCCAGCATCTACGAGAGCATCATGAAGGAGCGCATCAGCGTCGGCGATGTCATCTACATTGAAGCCAACACCGGCGCAGTCAAACGTGTCGGAAGGAGCGATGCTTACGCGACCGAGTTCGACCTCGAAGCCGAAGAGTACGTACCGCTGCCTAAAGGCGATGTTCACAAACGCAAGGAGGTGGTACAGGACGTGACATTGCACGACCTCGACATGGCCAACGCAAAGCCGCAGGGAGGTCAGGACATCATGAGCGTCGTTGGTCAGCTTGTCAAGGGACGAAGGACGGAAGTCACTGACAAGTTGCGCGGCGAAATTAACCGCGTCGTCGACAAATACATCGAGCAGGGTATCGCCGAGCTCGTTCCTGGTGTGTTGTTTATCGACGAAGTGCACATGCTCGACATGGAGTGCTTCACCTACCTCAACCGTGCTCTCGAGTCGACCATCAGCCCTCACGTCATCCTTGCCACCAACCGCGGACAGTGCATGGTACGCGGTACCGAGTATGAGGGACCAGCATCGGGCACCGGTATCGTTGCGCCCCACGGAATTCCCCTCGATCTGCTGGACCGATGCATGATCGTGCGCACGATGCCCTACGAGAAGGACGAGATCCGTGAGGTGCTCCGACTCCGTACCAAGGTCGAAGGTCACTTGATCGCGGAAGATGCACTGGAAAAGCTTACAGAGGAGGGTGTCGGAAGCTCACTGCGTTTCGCCCTCCAGCTTTTGAGCCCATCATCGATCCTTGCCAAGACTGCTGGACGCTCAGAAATCACGACGAAGGACATCGCGGAAGCAACCGAGTTGTTCATGGACGCTCGCCGTTCGGCCAAAATCCTCATGTCGATCGGCGAAGCCACCGAAACTGTGCCGATGGAGACGTCCTGACCCTGCCACCTTCGACGAGGTGCGCCCAAATTGTACTTTTAGAAAACGCGAAAAGAGTGACTCAATGTTGTTGCTTGAAGGAGTGACAGAGACAAAAGTAGAAACGGTGACAGGATGGTGCCAACGTGCGGCGGAGGAGCGAAGAGGAGCACGTCGCAGAGAGGAACATGATGCATTGAACAACCTATTGTTACAAGGAAGACCAAGCGGCGTAAAGCACCGCTGAGAAAGCGCGGAGCTCCTTGGAGTCAGCGAGTGCCTCAATGTATTCGTTAGGGACGCCGCGAATGGCCATCTGGCTCTGACGCGAGACGAGAGGGAAGAGAGAAGCCAAACGGACACGCTTGCCGTGCTGCATCTCTTCGGTAATTTCTTGGAAGCGAGACTCGAGGGCAGAGAGAGGTTCGACGTGGATAGAAGAATCGAGCTTGCCTGAGGACTGGATGCCGAAGGTGGGGTTGAGACTGTTGAAAAAGGTCTCGAAGACGCGGTCGATGCAGATGGCGAGGACTGTGGCGAAATCCGGCGATTCGATGATGTCCTTTGTCTCGTCGAGCAATGCACGCAACTTGTGATTGGAAGCGAGGGCGAAGTTAGCGTCATCGGCGTCGAGGGCGCCGGCGCCAACGAGAACGTCGACCTCTTCATGGACCGAGTTGGGGAAGAGGATGTCCATGAAGTTGGAGCGTTTCCACTCGGACTGGTGGTTGGACTGTGTTGTGTTGGGAGTCTCGTGTTCGATGAGATAGCGGACGTCGTTGAGGAGCGCCCTCATATCGGCCATGGAAAGCTGTGCCTTGACAGAGAGAGGCGCGAAAGACTTTTCGATGGCTGCGGATACACGATCTGAGAGGCGATCCCAACCGTGATGCAGGAACCACCAGCTGAAGGTGAGATATAGGCGTTCGGTGTCGTGGTCGAGACCACGAGAAGTGTGCGAGGGGTCGTCAAGGTATGCGTCATCTGAGTCGTGAGCCAAAGCTTGTACGGAAGCAAGGTAGGCGAATCTGCCGATGAGGTTGAGCTGGATGTGGGTCTGAAGCGTCAAGAGAACGACGCAGTAGAGCGAGGTGACAGTGCGAGTGAAAGCGGTCAATTTGAGATTGTTCCAGAGCTTGAGCTTTGCTTGCCTGTCAGCAAGGATCTTATTGCGCTGCTCTTGCGCATCGACGTGCGATGGTTCCGACTGGATCGTCTGTGATGGGTCAGTGCTCGATGCCGCAGGCTCTGTGGGCACAGCGGCGGGGGTCGGTATTGAGCCTGCTTGAGGTGACACAGCGGCTTCGAGGCCTGTGGCGCCATTAATTTGACTATCGACTGGCGCAGTTGTACCGGACTCGGTTGCGAGAGGTGCTGATTGTGCGTCGGATGCTCCGAAATTGCCTGGGACAAAAGACTTTGCGAGAGGATTGAGCTGCGGAGACGTTGCTGCCGGCTTGCTCGTTGCGTCGGACGGAGAGTGTGGTGCCACGATCGGCGGTTCTGCTTGTTGATCTGTTTGCTGCGCTACTTGCGGGTCTGTGGCGATGGGTACAGATGGGCTTTGGTCATGGTCGAGAGGTGGGTTGTGACCATTCGGTTGAGTGGAGAGGGTTGCGACTGAAGGTGCAGCCTGGGATCGGAGGCTTTCTGTGAGCTGCTCGACATTGTGTTTGTTGAAGAGTTGGTCGCCTAGCGTGGGGAGAAGGGCGAGCACGGTAAATGTGCAATCCTCTTGATTCTGAGCAAATCTTCGACGGAGACTGTGGCATGGTTAGAGCATGTATGAGATGATCAGATGATGTCAGAAGGCGGACTTTTTTTTCACGATTTCCATGTAGCAAAATTGAACTCACTTCTCCTTTGCATTCTTGTCGTTGGTGAGCTTCTCCTGGATCTGCTGAAATTTGGAGATGGCGTATTGGGAGACGAGATAGGCGCCGCCGACGAGGCCACCAGTGACGATAAAGAAGTTGGAATGAGACGAGAGATAGCGGGACGTCTTCCTCCACCAGCTCGTCATTGTGGGGACAAGAAGGCAAAGTCGGACGCCGTCGTTTCAAGTGCGATGTCGTTGAAGATGCGATTCGGGATGGTGGATGGTGGATCTGAATAAAGAGGGTCCAAGCGGATGTGGAAGAAGATGGCAGCCAATCCAAAAAGAGCTTTTCGTACGGCAATCCGACACTCTTGTCGGCTAACCGGCTAAGTTAGGCGGACTGCTTGATGATGAATTTCCAAAATTGTGCGCCGTCAAGCTGATCAAGTTGAAAACGAAAATGAAAGCGAGTTGCGAGTTGCGAGTGCGGCTGCGAATGCTGAATCGATTCGACGCGTCTCGCGGGCGCAGAGTGTGAGTGTGACTTTCATCGTGTGGGGTTGGCTGCCGACATTGCCATCTCGTCACACAGACCCTTGATCCTCTCTCCACACCATTCACCTAGACACGAGCACATTAACAGCGCATACCACCCATCGCAACCTTCCTAATCCCGCACACATCACCCTCCGGCGCTGCCGTTCGTCGCCGTCATGAGCAGCGCAGACGTCATAGATGCGCTCTTTGTAAAGACAGTCGACATGGTCCAGTCGCTGCCCAAATCAGGACCCATACAGACATCCTACGAGGAGAAGCTGGCCCTATACAGCCTATACAAGCAAGCCACCGAGGGCGACGTCTCGTCCAAGCGTCCCGGCATGCTCGACATGCTCGGCCGCGCAAAGTGGGACGCATGGTCCAAAGTAAGCGGTCTGCCTCCCAGAGACGCAAAGCAGATGTATGTCGAATCCATGCTCAGGATCCTGCGTCGATTCAGCGATCGTCCTCAAGCAGCAGCCCTCATCCAGGAGCTCGAAAACTTTTCCGGCCAAGTCGCACAGCGAGTCATGGACGGTTCTCTAGCCCAAGTCGATTCCGACGACGACTCGCTCACCGATACCGACACGGATGACCAGCAGCGACTCGATCCCACCGGCCTTCACCAGCAATCCTCGCACCCCTCTCGCGCCGCCCCACCACCCGTACCCCACCACCTTGCTCCCAACGCTCCCTCCGTCACGGGCACCAGCACGGCTGCCACCCGCGGCGGCGGTCCCGCCTCGGTCATCACTCCCGGCAGGACTCCCATTGCGTCAGCATCAGAATCCGAGTCTGACGACGACGATCGTCTTGGCTCCCAGCCAGGCCCTTTCCGAGCCGCACCTCGCCATACCAGCTCCCATGCTCCACCTTCTGTCCAGTCATACCGTCCACAACCCCGAGCTGGCTCCGTCTCGGCCACCGAAGGCTACAGCAGAGGTCCACCTTCGCGCTCGCACGTCTCGACATCCGCTCAGTACTCTAGAGGTCCACCTTCGCTCCAGGGTGGCTATTCGCGACCTCAATACGCACCACAATCCACTGCTGCTTCTGTGGCGGGTTCCAGCTACCCTCTCCAAGGTGAACCCGCTCACTATCAACGCAGCACCTACGCCGCTTCCTCGGTCGGCGGTCGCTCTGTCGGCACAAGGACCGGTCCAACTCCTATGTATCCGCCTCGACCACCGTCCAACGCGGGAACTTCACGAGCTCAGCCTCGTCCCGAAATGGAGACCGCGCTGCAGTCCATTCAAGCATCGCTTGCAGCGCTTCACGAGCGCCTCAACCGTGTCGAGAGCCGCTCCTCGGCCGGCGGCGCAGACGATCCCCGACGCGCGCGTCCTGGATCAGGTCAAACGACCAGCACATACATATACAACGCCATCATGAATATCGTCGACGACGTCAGACAGCTCATCGGGTTGAATGCCACGGCGCGAGCACAAGGCTCCGAGGCGCTTGCACCCAGCTTTGTCGCACAAGGTGGCGGCGGCTCGACCAACCGCAGCAGTGCGGCATACAGCCTCTTGACTTCGCCCGTGCGCATCTTTGTAGCCTTGGTCAATCTGAGCGCAAGGCTGGCGCTCGATGTCGTCAGTTTGGTGCTCGTATCGAGCTTCTTCTTGTACGGCTTCAAGCGCATTACAGGGCGTGGCGATCCATTGTTGGCCATCCGGCTTCTCAAAAGGCTGCAGCAGGCGGTGCTCAGAAGGTCGCCTGCAGCGAAGCAGCTAGTGGGCGAGGCGGGTGTATGAGGCGCTCTCATTCATGCACATGCATCAATCGAACGCAAACTCACACAAAACTTGGCTGGGCGTGAGGTGTGATATTGCAACAAACGATGCAGATGCCAACGAGATTTAAATTTTGAGAGCGTCGAGTTCCTTGAGCAATTCGGACCTTGAGCGGTGCATGTCGATGGCTTCCTGTTGCTGTTCGGCCTGCTTTTGCTTCCACCTCCTCATTCTCCACTTGAGACCACGCTCGTTGGTGAGGTCGCGCGACATTAGCAGCTCGATGGGCATGCGATCGACGTCGCTGCTGCTGACCTTGCGAGTAAGACGGCCGTCGTGTGGATTTCTGCGTGCGCCGAGACCACCTTGAGATGCACCAGGAGGGAGTTGGCTCCAATCGCCGCCACTGGCTGGGCCTTGTCGGGGGGCGACGTCGAGGTAGTCGCGCCAGAGGAACGAGAGACCGCCCTCTTGTCGATGAGCTTCGATGGCTTCGCCGCTGGCCCATTCTGACGCGGCGTCGGTGCGAAGGCGGATGGTCTCTGCGGGTGTAGGAGGCTGAGCGATGGGAGGTGGCTTGGCACGAGCTTCTTGCTTGAAGCCAGGATAGGTACCGTGAGCGTTGAGAGGAGCGGCCGAGGGGCCTGCCTGCTCGAACTTGGCGGCGTCGAGCTGCATGCGCTCGAGGGTAAGGAGCGCGGCTCGACGTTCGGACTGTGGTGAGGTGATGCCCTTTCGTTCAGGGAGCAAGACGGGGTCTTCGGGTCTCCATGGAGCCCAGGACTCGGACTCGACGATGTTGCGATCGCTCATGGTAGTGTCCATGTGCCTGCGCTTGCCCGGCAAGGTGGGCCAAGGGACCTCGACTTTTTCAAAAGGCTTGCCAGTCTCTTGAAACTTTTCGTCGGACGCCCTGAGGGTGGCAAAGCGTTTCCAGACGTACATTCCCTTTCGTTTGTCGTATTTGGCGGCGGAACGGGAGAGCCTGACGGCGAATTGATCGGTGCCTGGGATTTTGAGCATGACGTTGGAATAGTGGATGGGGCGGGGGATCTCTGTCGTGTTGGGACCGTAGCCCTTCTCTGGTTGGAGAGGGTCGACGTAACGAGGTACAATGTGTCGGATTGCCTTGGGAGCAAGCTTATTGTTTTCATCGACATCCCTGAGCCAGAGCCAGTTCTTCTCCCTGTCGATGCTGACGACGATACCCTCGCCGCGGACTTTTTCGGTCGAGTCGAGACCTAGGTTCTGACCGACTCTACCACATCTAAGCTTGACATGGTCGCCAGGGACGATGTTCCAGAAGGGAACGCGATCTTTGGGCTGAACGAATTTGGGCTGATGTGCGGCATGAGAGGGAGCTCTGACGGCGAATTTGGAGCCTTTTGTGGGAGGGTTGAGATGACGGAGCGAGCGCATGACGCCGCCGGTGGAGCTGGAACGGGACATGGCGGGCGGCGTGTGGTGTTGGAGCGACCAAGCAGAATGACGACGTCGCTAGCAAGCGTAGCGAGGGTGCGTGGCAGATCGGTCACGGGGCTGACGAAAGTTGAATGTGCGGGTGGTGATGGTGATGATGAATGTGCGATGATGGTGCACAGATTGGAAGAAAGCGTTGAGCGTTTTGTGTGTGCCATTTTCAAAATCTTTTTCTTCTTGTCACATCGCCATTTTGTCGCTCACCAACGCTGCACGCCGAGTAGGTCTAACATCTTTCCCACTCACAATCCTTTTCTCGGCCGTTGACAGCTCAGTGTTGGCGTCGCTATCGCCATGTGTGCTGTATCAGGCTCGCTTCTTTGCGTTGAATGAGGACAATGAAGGTTGAGCATGCTCTTGTTCCGCGAAGCAAGGCAGTTTGCTGCATCCTTTGGCCGTGGAACGTCGTTGCTCCTGCTCACGCTTTTGCGGTGAGCGACCAGGAACGAGTCGCAGACGCGGTCACATGGGCAGTCACTAAAAGTGTTGACGAGAGTCGAAACCGAGAGATGCAATAAAGTATCAACTGGCCTGTTCATGTCATCGCGCCACGTTGCAGTTCGGTCAAGATTGATTACTGGATCTCAACCACAGCCAACCGAGCTATTGCCATGACCATCTTGTCAACACTCGAAACAGACGTACGCCAAGAGCAGCCAGACTGAAACGGTCGCTTTGCTCGCTAACTTGAACTGATTGCGCCCCGCCACGGCTATACTGTAATTCTCGTCCAGAATTTAAACTGCTTTTTCGGCTTTTTCGACTTCTTTTTTTTTTTTCTCCGTCGGGAATTGGCGTTGTGCGCCCGCCAACCGAAGCGACGGTTCGACCGTCGAGTAAAGCGCGTTGTTGCGGTATGTCGACACTCTCACCATCCCTCTGTCCACCATCCACCGCTCGCCCATCCATCCTCGTCATCACCCATACGGACACGCGTCCGATAGGCCCGATCTCCATATCGCGAGGTAGACATCCAAATTGGCCAGACTCTGTACAACTCTCTGCCGGCCGGCCGCTCCAATCGCACTTCGACTAGCCTGTCAGATCAAAGCTTCATCGGCCCATCACATAGAGCCGTCTGTTGATCGTGTCCGACTCATGGCGTCAGCAGAAGCCAGGTTGAAGCGTAAGTTCCGTCAAATTTCCCACGCTCCTTGTTTCTCAAACGCTCTTGCGCTCACCATGTTATACACCTGTTGTCATGCCATGCCAATCCATTCAACAGCTGCCAACGCGGACGCCGAGGCTTCTGCTTCCAGAGCGGATCGCAAGTCTGCCGATGCCGCCTTTCTCACTACAGCCAACCTGGCGCCCGAACTAAGTCGCGTCAATTCCACGCCTCTCTCTTCCGATGCCATAGATGCCCTCGGCTTGCCTTCTTCATCCCCAAGCTCGAGCACAAACCATTCTCTCATCGAACCATCCCCCTTGACCATGGCTCCACCAAAACCTGGTCCTGCCGACACTCTCTACCCCAGCCCCTCCGGAGGCTTCGTGCCTTCACCAGAAGAAGGTCAGGATTGGAGACTCAAACCCCCTCCGCCTGGGCGAAGCAGAGACACTTCCAAACTCTCATCTGTCACCTCGAATCCAGCACCGACCGCGTCCACCTCTTCGCCCTCGTCAGCCTCTCGCGCTCTTCCACCGCTCTCAGAGTCTAGCGTCAACGCTTCACGCCCAACCTCGGGCATCAGCCCAACTGCAGCTTCTAGCACAAGCACACCCACGCGTCCGCCATCCTTGCCCTCTTGCCCCGAGACAGCGTCCAGGATCGCCAGCGCCTCATCTAGCTCCCTGTCAAGACGAAGCTCCCAGGCTTCACATGCACTTGCATCCCCAAAGCTTCGTCCCACATCAAGCTCGGCCAGTTCGCGACACCGTCTCAGTACCGCTGCCTCGTCATCCCAGTCGGCGTCCCTGGCCCAAGCCAGTCAAACGGCACCGATAACTGGCGATACCCAATCGTCCGAGCTGCAACAGAGCCATGACTCGATCTCATCACGACCCGGGTCTATCGCTAGCTTCCAAACCGCACGCAACGACGACTCTGTCTTTGCGATACGGATACGTGACTTTGCTTTCCCTGACGACGATCCACGACATAAGGGCGACCCTCTTGCTGAGCCACAATCATCCGCAGACCATTACCAGGATTTCGACGAGCATGGTCACAGCAGCGCAGATGTGGATGAGGACGAATTCTATATTGAAGGTGCCGAGGACGAGAACGAGTTCGATGGCGACCAAGGCGACAATGCCAGCGTGCCAGAGGGCGTCTACAAAGTACTCTACGCATTCGAACCCGTCTCGGAGCACGAGCTGGCGGTTCACCCCGGCGAGGTGGTGCACGTCATTGGCTCGCTCGATGGCGGATGGGCCATCGCGCTCAAGGAGGGCGATGAGAGTGTAAAGGGACTCGTGCCTGCTACCTATCTCGAATGGTCTGCTCCGTTGCCCGAGTGGAGTTAAAGTCACTCTTCATTCTCAATATACCCTGCCGCCATGGCATGTCACTCTATGTATTTCAGCGCCACAACAAGCAAAGCGCTCTTCTGTATTGCTTGCTCTAGCAGCTTCTCCATCTCGCAAGCGTGTCCATCATCCAGAGTGTGAAATGTGAAACGCTGAGGCCTGCATCGCGCCAACAAGATTTATCGGGAGCCAGCCGAAGCACACTGGACCCTGGAAATGGACGATAAACCACCATTTCAAGCATGGTTCGTGCGCACGGTTCTTCCATCTTCCCATTTCACATCATCATCCCATCACTGTCGCACTCTGCTTGGTCTCCCGCACACCACAGCTCATCGCTGCTACCCTTCTTCCGCCATGAATGCATTCCGAGCAGGCATAATCACCGTCTCCGACACAGCCTCCGCCGACGCCTCGAGTGATCGATCGGGTCCGGTGCTATCTGAACATCTTCTCACCGCTGGTTTCTCCGATGTGCAACGCAGCGTCTCTCCCGACGATGTCCAGTCCATCCAGACGCAGCTCCTCCGCATGGTCGACTCTCAACATGTTCACCTCATCGTCACCACCGGCGGCACCGGTTTCGGTCTACGAGACGTCACACCAGAAGCCGTAGAACCGCTCATCACGCGCAAAACACCCGCCCTTACGCACGCCCTCACAAACCACTCGCTCCAAAAGACTCCCCTCGCCGCTCTTTCTCGAGGTATCACCGGTATACGCAGGTCGCCCTCAGGGAAGGAAGCGTTGATCGTCTGCTTGCCAGGGTCGCCAAAAGCGGTCAAGGAGTGTTTGGAGGTTCTGTTGGGGAACGATTTGCTGAAGCACGCGTTGGAGCTGTTGAACGGTGGGTCTGGCGAGGCAAAACACAAGGAGATGCAAGGTGGAATGCATAGATCTACGGTCATCGACACTGCTACCGATACAGGCTGTGCACACCACCATCACCATCACGGCGGGGGAGGAATCCACTCTCACTCGGCGCCGAAACCACGGACAACACCAGCCGACCACTCTGGCTTCCGAACGATCGATCCTTCTTCCGGACCATCGCTTCGACACCGCACCTCGCCATACCCCTTGGTCGACCTTGATGAAGCGCTCTCGCTCATAGCAAAACACACACCAGCCCCGACCAAGGTGGAGACGCTTCCCCTCAACACATCCTTGATCGGCCACGTTCTGGCAGAAGACGTTTCCGCCACCTCCGACCTTCCCCCAGGCCCCACGACAAATGTCGACGGCTACGCTGTCAACGCCGCCACAACCCCTCCCGGAAAATACACCGTAGTCACGCTCAAAGCCCTGCAATCTCGAAGCCTGCAACCTGGTGAGATCTTCCGCATCAACACGGGACAAGGGCTTCCCTCTGGAACGGATTCCGTCGTCATGGTGGAAGATACCGAACTCATTTCATCCGACGACGCTTCCGGCGAGGAAGTTTCGGTGAAACTTCTCGCGCAGGTGGATCCAGGCGAAAACGTTCGGGCGAGGGGGAGCGATGTTCGCGCTTCGCAACTGGTGCTACCCCGCGGCACGACGATCAGCGCGCTCGGCGGCGAGATCGGGACGCTCGCCTTCCTCGGTCGATCCTGTGCGAAAGTCTTCCGCAAACCCACCATCGCCATCCTCTCCACCGGCAACGAACTCGTCGATCCCACCCCTTCTTCTTCCCAGACCAAAACCGACTGGGGTTTCAACGTCTTCGATTCCAACCGACCCGGTCTGACCGCAGCCATCACCGGTCTCGGTTTCAACGTGCTCGATCTCGGGATCACCACCGATAACGTCGATACCACCCTGCGCGCTCTCCGCACCGGTCTGTCCGAAGCAGACGTGGTTCTCACGACAGGTGGGACGAGCATGGGAGAATCGGACCTGCTCAAACCGCTCATCGAACGTCAACTCGCCGGTAGAATCCACTTCGGTCGTGTAGCCATGAAGCCGGGTAAACCTACGACGTTCGCTTCGCTCAACGAGGGTGAAAAGATCATCTTCGCTCTGCCGGGAAACCCAGCTTCGGCACTGGTCACGTTCTACGTGTTTGTACTGCCGTGTCTGCGCAAGCTCTCCGGCGTACCTCCCAGCGTGGAGGATGGATGGAACCTACCCAAAGTCAATGTAAAACTGTCGAGCGGGATGAAGTTGGATCCGCGACCGGAGTTTCACAGAGTCGTAGTCAAGGTCGATGCGGACGGCGAGTTGGTAGCCTACAGTACGGGCAGCCAGAGAAGCTCGGGTATGCACAGCATGTCCACTGCCAACGCGCTCATCGCACTACCCGCGTTGCAGAAGGATGGCCAGCGGATGGTCGAGAAGGGTTCCAGGGTCAGGGCGATCCTGTTGGGTGCTGTTGTGTAAAGAAACAACTCCAACTGCTCGGAAAGGTGTTCACAGCTGTCACACTCTGTTGAAAGTAAATCTTGTTTCGAATTTGCATTGCATCCAGCGTGTGCTTCCTCATCCGCACCTGTATTGCGCCGAATGTTGCGGGGCTACAGATCCCTGAAGAACGACCGCAGCTGGGTATTTCCCGCCTCGTCCAGATTGCTTTCGCTAGGCAAGCTGATCCTGCCGCTACTGCTGCTCGTGCTCGACACGGCCGAACGTTGTGTCGCCGAGGGCATGGGTGAGCTTTCCTGCAACGGACGCAAGTGCGGTCGATAAAGTCGCTCGGGGCTATCTGGCCAGGCCAGTGGCTGGGTCTCTTCGTTCTCCACCTCCCCTTCACTCTCAATTCGACGGGTGATCGTTGTATCACCGTCGTCGTCGTCGTCGTCGTCGGAAAGCACGTCTTGCAGATCCTCCCCCAACCCCTCCCTCCTCTGCTCCACTCCCTCCACTCCAACCTGAGACGACGTCGAGAGGTACGCGTTGAGATTCAGCTGCATCCCGCTATTCCTTCGTCTCTCCTCGCGTTTCAGCGCTGCCACCACTCTGTCGAACCGATTGCCCTCCCCACCAAAGCTGGACGTGAGGGTGATCGGACTGAACTTCGGCAGAGCTCGTTGCTGCAGAGGTGTTCGACTTTGCGATGCAAGCGATGGTCGCGGCGAAAGATGCTGGTTGCCGATACGTTGTCGTTTGCAAGTGGGCGACGTTTGGTCGTGAGGCTGCTGGCGACGCAGCTGAAGACGAGAAGGTGAGGCGGATGGTGACGAAGCGCGGGAGGACGAGGATGATGATGAGGGAATGACTGTCTGTAGCAACAGATCTTCGTCGTCCGAGGGCGGTACCTCTGCAAGGGATTCTTTCTGTGGCAGTACGTCAGGATGCTCTTGCTGGTCTTCTTCGTCGGCGTCCCACGGTAGGGGTTGCGTCTCATCGAGTGGGTCGATTGCTACCTCGGTTTCTGCGCTCGATTCTGGCTGGTCCTCGTCCGCTGGCCAAGCCAAGGGCAAGGTCTCGCTTTCCTCCTCCTGCTCCTCCGCCGCCATTGGGTGTGTTTCAGGCGAGAGATTCCGACGAGAAGCAGACGGCACAAAAGCGAACCTGACCTCCGACAACGCGCGACGCTGTGCATTCGCATCACCCTCACCGCCCATCCTGATCGGCTGTAGACTCACCGCTCTCCCGCCCACGACGGCATCCCCACCCATCTGCGTCTCCAACGCATAGATCCTCCGGTTCGACCTTGGACTCCTCAACACCGCTTCAGTGCGTCCGATCTTAGGTGGAGACCCAGCCAACGCAGCAGCCTGTTTCATCCTCCCCTTTCCACCCTGTGATGTCGCTTTGCGTCCATTTGTCGTGCCCTTCCTGGGCGGTGCAGTCGGCGATCGAACCTGCATTCTAGCATGCGCTTTTGCCACCTCATCTGCCATATGCGATTTCTGCTTTTCCAGAGCTTGCTCCTTGGACTTGCCAGCCAGGCGTTGGAAGAGGGCTGCTGTGGAGGCGTGCGCTTTCTCCCAAGGAAGCGGAGTAAAGTTGGAGAGCGATTCTTGCATCAGTGTCGGCTCGAAAGGTGGCGAGGAAGTGGGCGCTGGAGGTTGTCGACGTGGTGGTGTAGTTCGATTTTCGTGTGGTGTGAATGAAGATTTCGTCGGACGCTGCTGGTGTACCGGCGATGGTGGGGGCATGACACGACGAAGGGCAGACGGTCTCTGTACACGCGGTGATTCTGGATCTGAACCGGTTTGAGGAGGAGACGGTAGACGTGTCGGCGTGTTTGACCTGGTCAGAGTCAGAGAGCGAGTCACGCTGCCAAACCGACCTCGGAGGAGCTGAGCAGCACGCGCTTCCAGCTCGTCATCCTCCAACCCCGCCGCTGCTGCCGGCCCTGCCTCGTTTTCCACCTTTGCGCTTCTCGACCGAGCGCGTGTCAAAGATGGAGAATCCTCGTATAGCCCAGACCGGATTGGCGCCACCTTGTCGGCTGCGGGAGGCGCAGTGTTCGGCGCAAAGAAGCTGGACAGCTTTCGTTGTCGGTCGACTTTCCCGCTCGTCGCTGGCGTACTGCGTCTAGCAACACCAGGCACGAAAGATGGCTTGGACAATGGTTGCAGCGGCGTGCTTCTCGAGCTGGAGGCAATGTTTGTGCGATCGCCAAGTACAGGTCGTGATGCTGAGCTGGATCTGATCCATCCTGTAGGCTTGATGGAGCTGGTAGAGCTGTTGGAAGAAGATGAGGAAGGGGTTGTGATGGCGGCGGCGTGGCCGGCGGCCACCGTGTGCCTGGATACCATGCTATCGAGCGAAACGGACCATGACCGTGGTTGGGGTTCTTGCCTGCAAGTCGCACGGGGTCGGCTTTGGTGCGTGCGTGCGAGAGATGATGATGATGACGAGGGAAGTAGGGGATGGTGTTGGTCCAACTGAGCTTGTGCAAGTGCTGAATTTGGGCGTGTCGCGCGTTTCAACCGTTCGTGACTTTTCTCAGTGTGGAGGAGCGCGAAATCTAATCAATGTTAGAGCATCAGAGCGACATCCGTCGAGATGGGTTTTTGGTGTGCTCCTCGATTCAATGATAGCGGCCATCTTTCTCATCAAGCTTGTTGGCAGGACCTTTGCCGTGACTGTACGGGGCCACCGGCGTAAGTAAATCGACCTTCTATAGTCTATTAGTAACACACGCTCTCTCACAGCAAGAGCCGCAAACTCACGTCACAAGCAGAAACAATCTGATCGGCAGGACGCATCCACCGCAACAGAGACACTTTGAAGCCGCACGTGTCTATAGTACATGTCTTACAGGCATCGAAGGCTCTGCTTCTGGGGGCAACAGATGATCACTCAATGCGCTGAATCCCAGCAGTACTTGAGGGCGCCAGGAATGCGCTCACCCGACTCTGCTTGCGTGATGGGTTTACCTGTTATCATCAGCAAAAGGAAACAGAAAGTTTCGTGTCAGTTGTTTGCCCTTCACAACATCGTCGACATAGTTTCAAAGATCGATGTACTTACCTCTCCAAACAAACCTCCCCCAAGCCTTTCCGTGATTCCCACCATCCTTCAACCTCACCTTGGTGATCTCCCAATAGCAAAGATGACCCTCCTCTTTGGCCGACTTCCCCGCACTCGTCTGGTGCAACTTTGTCAAGTGTGCCTTGAGATCCAAGTCGTGCTTCACATCCAGTCCCTTTGCCGCCCATCGACGTTGTCTCACTCTTGTACCGACACCGTCGTTGGGTAGAGCAGAGAGCAGCTGATACAGGTTCTTGTGAGGTTTGGCGCTGCGGGCGAGCGATGGTGGTAGGTGCGCTTTCGAGAGGTGCGAGGTGAGGATGTCGGCGGAGGACGAAGGTGTGGAGGCGGATGAGCGTGCTGCCTCGGAGAAGAGCGCCAGTGTTCTACGGAACATCTTTACAGAGTGTGGTATCCGTGTCTCGCAGGAACTTTACGAGACGAGGATGGTGATGGGTGTAGAGAAACCGACGAGGGACGATTGAGAAGTGTCAAGAGCCAATGCTATGAGCCTGGTGGCCGAGGCAGCGTCGAGTCCAGATCAGTTGACAGCCGACGTCAGCGGGATAAAGGCGAAGAAACTTGTAGAGACGATCAAGTCGGTGGTGGAGATCAACGTCAAGAAGAATTGCCGATCCACCAAAAAATCCTCGACAAGCTCACTTCGCAAGTTCTCTGCTAACATTTCTGTCCATTTTTTTGGCATCGTCACGTGACCCCTCCCAACCATGACCCCGGTTGTCCTCATCCTCCTGTTTGTAGCTTTGCACTTCGGCATACCAAAGTTACGCAACTCATAGGATTGTTTGTACCAGCAACGCCGTCGCTCAGCATGATATCATGGAATCAAAATCACATTGGGACGACAAGCAAACAAACGAGAACAACGACTGCCAACGACCGCTACCATTTCACCAACACCCTACGCAGCACCCGCATTAGCAGCAAGTGCAGCAGCACCAGCACCCTTCAACATCATCGCCACATCCCTCGCCCTATCATCTCCCTCTCCTCCTACACCACCCGCACCACCCGCATGGCCCTCCTGCAAGAGCTCACACAGCACACCCACCACTGCATCCACCTCGTCCGGCGCAATGCCACCACAACCCGCCGCGATCAGCCTCCGGTACGCAGCCATAGTCCGTCCCGTACCTTGCTCCCTTGCGCGCGTCACGAATGTGTCCACCAACTCCGTCTTCCTACCCTGCACTTCGCCCAGCTGCTTCTTGAGATCCGCAATCGCCGTCTTGACGTCTGTGCCCGCAGGCAGACCCTCGACGAGCTTCTTTCCACCATCCACCGCAGCAGCATCGGCAGCAGGAGCGTTACCCGCGTTGCTAGCAGACAGAGCACCGGGCTCGAGACCAGCCTGCAAGCGCGCACGCTTGATCGCCTCCTTGCCCTCGGCCCAACGACGTTCGAGGTCGTCGCGTGCACGTTTGTTGATGCCGTGCTTGAGCGCGAGCTGCAACGAATCGACACGTTTGCGCTCCTCCTCGACGCCCTTGGCTTCGTGGTGAAGACCCTCGGCGACCTTGGCGCTGTCCTCGATCTCGGTCTGGATCTGCTTGAGCAAGCCATGCGCCTGCGTGAGCTTCTTCTCGGCCGTGTTGATCTCGCTGTCGTAGCTGTCGGCCAGGCTGTGCAGGAGATTGCTCATCAGCGTGACGGCACGGCCCGCTGTGCGTTGTCCCGCCTCGGAAGTGTGAAGCGATGAAGTGGGAAGCACGGGCAGACCGTCGGCGCCGAGCTCGATGCCAGCCGGGCCGGTGCGCGAGGGCGAGGATCGGAAGCGTTCATCCTCGATGATGTAGTCCTCGGCGTTCTTTCCCTCCTTGTTGCGGATCTTAGGGTCGGCGCCATGCTCCAGCAGCAGCCTGACCAGCCTCTTGGATCGAGCGCGCGCGGCCATGGTGAGCGGAGTCTCGCCTTCATCGTCCTGGAAGTTGAGAATGTCGGCCAACTGATCTCCGTAGTCGGCGAGGCGGTTGATCATGGTCTCCATGTAGTAGCGCGCAGCGTGGGGCTTGCCTCTGCTGAGCGCGAGGTCGACGACGTGGTGGAAGACGGTGCGGTCATTCCTGTCAATGTTGAGGATGGACCTGTGGAGGAGTTCGAAGAGCTCGGGAAACTTGCGGAGGTCGTAGTTGTTGGAGAACATGGTGGCGCGCATGAGTGCGGTCTGCTGGTTGGTGTTGACGCGGAAGATGTCTGCGCCGGCGGAGAGCAGGAGTTTGACGACGCGGATGCGACCCATGGCGCAAGCCCAGTGAAGCGCGGTGTGTTCGTCGTCGTCGATGCTCATATCCGGGTTGAAGTCGGGAGGCGGGTTGATGAGGAGCGAGGGGACGGTGGTGTTTTCGGTGACAAAGTAGTCGAGGATGATGTCGGCGTATCTGGCCTGGTTGTTGGCTTCGCGACCATTGTAGCCTGCCGCGGCGGCGGCCTGGTTGGCGTAGAGAGGGTTGGCGCGGTCGGCGGGCAAAGGGCTCGGGGTGCGGGACGAGCTGCTGATGTCGCTAGGAGAAGGGCTCATGCTGCCTTCGGAAGCGTTGTTCTGGGTGGCGCCGATGACCTCGGACTCGGTCTCGATGCTGGTGGCGCGGCGCGAACGGCCAAGGGCGCCTGCATCGGCGGGGAGGACCTTTTTAGTGCGGTTGGAGGTGGAGATGGTGTGCTTGGGTGCGGGCGGTGGCGAGTCGGTTGAGGAGGGAACGTAGGAGGTGATAGGCTGGAGCAATGCAAGGATGTTGTAGCGTTCTGCGAGCTCGATGGCAACGTCGAGCGGGATCCAGGTGCCCTGGTATTTTCCGTAGCCGCCCTGAACCTTTTCGTGGACGCCCTTTTGAATTTCTCGCTCGAGCACACGCGTACGCTGGGGCTTGTCGAGACCGACGACCTTGAGGATCTGGGTGGCATTGAGCCAGCTGTCGGAACGTCTTCTCATGACGGCAACATTGTTGATGATGCACTCGTAGACGGGCACACCCGAGTAGGTGGCCTGTAGGTGCGGGAAAGGAAAGAAGGAGCGAGGTGTCAGCTGGACAACAGCGAGGCAGATGAGATGTAGCGCAGATCATTGTCGAAGCTTACCTTGAAGATGGTTTTGTCAGCACTCATGATGCAGTATGTGACCTCGGGCGCGGACTAGACGTGCTAGGAAGGCACTGATCGAGACGACAGTGACCAATGTGGTGGCTGCGGCGGGCTGGTATTGATCGAGCCCGTACGGCGAAGGAATGATGCTGCGTCTATGTTGATGACGATGCTGAGGATGAAGGTGAAGGCAGCGTCGACGAAGAGTAGGATGAGATAAAGCAAGTTGGAAGATGCCATTGACGAGTGTTGCATTCCGTCCGCTGAGACTGACCTGATTGCCCACGGCATATCGCCTGTGTCTCTCTCTTCCTTTCCAGTTGGGCGTTTTCGGACAACGACTGACGGGTGCTCGTGGTGTTAAATGGGCTTTTCTGGCTTCGAGTTTTTCGTGACGCGACTTGGCTCCAGCATAGCGGCCGAGTGTTGGTCTCTACTGCGAAGAAATACGCGTCTTAGGGTAGAAAGACACGAGCTAACAGTGGCACACCTCCAAAATCATTTCAACCGGCCGGAATGAGACAACACTGTTTCCCCTCCGACACTTGCTCGGCTGACACTCGCCTCAGCAAGACGCAAGACTTTTTTTCATGGCAGCACCGTCAACTTTTTTTTTTCTGGAGGCTGCAGCCAACATACACGAAGACTGAAAATTTAGCGCTTTCAAGGGTCGAGTCGTTCTGACGAGAGGAGTTCTGATTCTGATAATCTGCCATACTGCACGCAGTCACATACAACTCTATGTTCCAGACCGAAGAGCTTCCGACGACCGATTCAGCCGTGATCTCATCTCACTTCGCTCAGGCTTGCAGCTCTTCCTCGTACATCCATCCATCTCAAGGGAACTCTTATTGCTGTCGCCGCGCAGCTTCGGACCAAACCCAACTGTAGGGAAAGCGGAACCCACTCGCTCTATCTTCGCTGCGCATCACAAACGGATTCTCCCACGGTCGGTCTGCGTCTGCATTGACCCTCTCTTACTCTCAGTCTCTCTCTCGGACTCAGCTGGCGTCGCTCTGCGCTTTCTTACAAACATGTCTTCGGCTTCGTCGGCAGCTTCCGATTCGGAAGACGACCGAATGACAACGCGTTCGGCACCCGCCACCACCTACCGACCCATCGCGCCGCTTCCGCACTCGCCTCGTGCCACTTCACCTTCGTCTCGCTCCACAGCAGGGGACCTGCCCTCTGCGATTGACTCAATCCAAGCACGTCTACAGCCCAGCGACACGGCATCCGTCGCATCGTCGAATTCCAACTCCAACTCGTCCTCTTCCACATCCAAACCTGCTATGAGGCACGCGCTTCCGCCGAAACCTGTCACCGCCATGCCTTCGTCCTCGGTCAACGGTTCCTCCGCACCTTCTTCCTCCTCCTCCTCCGCCGCCGCCGCTGCGCAAGCAAACACTGCCAAACGCTCCCGCGTAGACTCCTCTCTCGTCCCGCAGATCCCCAAAGTACCCAAAACCGCCATCGAAAAGGAAAACACCCCACGACTCATCGTCGTGCTCGAACAGGCGTGTCTCGAAACCTACAAGGTATCCACCGGCTCCTCCTCCTCCTCCTCCCGCGGTCCCTCTGGAAACCGATCCAAAGACGGTGGAGACAAGTACGCCCTTCTGAACTGCGATGACCATCAACGCGTGCTCGCCAAGATGGGCCGCGACATCGCCGAAGCTCGCCCTGATATCACCCACCAGTGCCTCCTCACCCTCCTCGACTCGCCGCTCAACAAAGCCGGTCTCCTCCAGGTCTACATCCACACCGCCCGCGGAGTGCTGATCGAAGTCAACCCGCACGTGCGCATCCCTCGAACCTTCAAACGCTTCTCCGGCCTCATGGTCCAACTCCTGCACAAGCTCAGCATCCGCAGCATGGGCGGCAGCGAAAAACTCTTGCGGGTCATCAAGAATCCCGTAACGGACCATTTCCCAGCCAACACGCACAAGATCACGCTTTCGTTCGACAGCCCGGTTCAGAGGTTGGGTTCGTATCTGCCGACGGTTCCGCAGGGAAGCAGTATTGCCGTGTTCGTCGGTGCCATGGCTCATGGAAAGGACAATTTCGCGGATGGAGTGGTGGACGAGAAGATCAGTATTAGCGAGTACAGCTTGAGCGCGAGTGTGGCGTGCGGCAAGTTTTGTTGTGCGTTGGAGGATTTTTGGGGGGTGGTGTAGATGTAGCCCTTTTGGTGTAAGAAAAGGAATGCGATTCAGCGCAAAAGAGACAACACAGAGTGTGATGGGATGTGGTTGTGTGTGGGTCTGAGAGCTTCAACATTGTGCACGCGGGGCCTGATGTTTCAAGTCATGTTTGCATTTCCATTTTGCTCTGCAACCCGACCCGCATCGCTGTTTCTACCGTCTTCACTTTCGCCCAACTTCTGCAACCCGCTGTCTTACATCCTTGTCTTTTGAAAGTTGTCCATATGCGTTGGCAGTACAGCCTCGCCCTTGGCCCACGCCTCTACCAACACCCTTGCGATCGCCGTTGTCGGGGGCAACCTGATCTGCACCTTTTCTTTCTGCTTTTCACTCACCTCCTTTTCCTCGCCATCCCTATCGATCTTTTCCAGTTCAGCTTTGGTGAAGTGTCCTCTGCTCTTGCTCTCGATCACCTCGAGGATCTGTTTTCTCGTGTAGAAGCGCGCGTCTTCGAGTTCGTTATCGAGATCCAACCTGATATCGCTTTCGTTGTCGGTTTTGGCGATTCCGTAGAATCCGGCCATGAGGTTGGTTGGGTAAGGCCAGGGTTGGGAGGAGTGGTAGATGACTTGATCGACGTGAATGCCCGATTCTTCGAGCACTTCTCGTCGAACAGCTTCTTCGAACGACTCGCCGGGTTCGCAGAATCCAGCTAGGCAGGAGTAGAATCCGGATGGCCATTTCTTCTGCCTTCCGAGAAGGACTTTTTCACCGTCCGGGGAGATGATCGCCATGATGATCACAGGATCCGTGCGTGGGTAGTGGAAGTTCGAGAGGACTTTGGTGGACGGACATACACCCTTGCCATCATCAGAGAAGGAAGCGGTGTTGGGTGGGAGGAAAGCTTTCGAAAAGGGGGTTCCGGATGTAGCGTGACCGAGAGAAGAGCTGCAACCTCGCTTGTAACCTGCCCAGAGGGAATACTGCTGTCGTGAGCAGCCGGGACAGTACTGGTGACGTTCGTTCCAGTCGAGGAGACTCTTGGCTTGCGCTACGATGGCTGCGTCCGAGGCTGGCCAGGTGGAAGCGCGGGAGGAAGCGCGCAGGTTGATAAAGTCGTACCTGTCCTTCTGGGCTTCGATGTCTTCCAGCAGAGCCTGCATGGGCGATGCATCGTTCGAGTCCAGAAAGGGAGGTCGGTACGTGAGCGAGAGGGCAAAGTACGGTACACCTGCTGGCGGCGCTTTCTCGTTGGCAGCGTCCGAGTCTTTCGAGGCGTCTTTGGCCATCTGACCGGGCAGCGAGGACTCGCTCAATTTGGACTCGTCGATTCCCAGAAACACCAACGCCAGTCGGTTGGGTCCGACTCCATCGGTGGCACGTGTAAAGTCCTTGTCCTCCGTACCGCCGTTCTCGAGCGCGTAAGCTTGCGGACCAAAGACGAGGAGCTCGTCGCTCTCGGTTTGGACTCCACCGGACGCTTTGACGTTCTCGAGGATGTACGGTTTGACCTTGTCCCACGACAAGGTGGCCAAGGTACCCTCGGTATCGGTCGAGGACTTGTCGGCGTGGCAGAGAGGGTTGTTGTTCTTCATGACGACGAACCGCGTTTCGGGCGAGGCGATAGTGGAGTTGAGGAACTCGGTCGAGGTGCGCAGCCACGAGAGACGATTGAGCTTGCTTCCGGCGTAAAAGTTGACGGTCGAGAACGAGGGGAAACTCCCTGCCTTGGTTGGCGGCGTGTTCGACATGCTGATAGCCGAGACCGGTCGGGGTCGAATGCTATGACGAAGTGGAAGGAGAGAGGAAAGGGAGCGTGATGCGGAGAGTTGAGGAAGGAGCTTGCGATGGCCTTGACGATGGATGGATCGTGCGGCGTGAGTGGCAAGCGTGGATGGGAGCAAGGACATGCAGAAGCGATCTGCAGTTCCAGCGGATCGAGTCTAGAGAGGAAGGGAGGGGAGGACAAGTATTCTCTTGATCGAGGATGTCGTGTGAGCGGAAGGAAGCAAGAAAAGAAGGTCTGATTGCGGGAGATTCCCGTCGACGACGACCGTGCGAAGATGGCGTCGCTTCCAACGCCGACGCCGACAGTATAGTGCAAGACCTGCCTGCGTCGGGAGAGAAAGAGTTGGTGAGCCAACCGGCAATACAAGCCAGCTCTTGTGCTTTGTAACCGGATATATTACATCGTCACCACTGCGCTCAAGCCGCATCACGTCACACTCTGCAAGCGACAGAATCCACACCTATTTTCGCATCCAATTCGAGTGTTACATCGACTACACGATTTCTCATCTCAATCGGCAAAAAAAAGTTCGTTTCTCGTGACCAGAAGCACGACCCTCGCTCGACGGGAAGAGGTAAAGGAACGACAGACGTTGCTTGATGTTCACCGAGCAGCTCGAAAATGCTAGATCAAGCCCATCGCGCTTGCTAACGATGAGTGCAGTCATCACTTCCGCAGAGCACTAGCAGGTAGGATGTTGGAAATTTACAATAGGATTGGCCCTCGAAAGGGGAGAGACGTACTACAGATGCTAGAACAGAGACAATACACTGAAACAAGAACAGAAGACGATCGACAGTGTGCGCCGCGGGGATAGGCGCTTTTGAGTGGTCCTCTAAAAAATAGGACGCAGTGGGAATGCAGGTGTTGTGAATGAATGGCGAGTGCTCGACTGGACGAAGCAATTGACGAATTGGAGCGGAAACGATTAACTTAGTCGTCAAAGGTCATCTTCTTGCCCGAAAAGTCGGCAGCGCCGCCGGTTCGTGCGCTGCCACCTCGAGCACCCCATCCGCCACCGCGGGGCATGCCACGGAACGAACCGTCCGAGCCACCACGTCCACCGCCTCGTCCACCGCCGCGACCACCACTGAATCCACCGCCACGTCCGCCACCGCGTCCGCCGCCGAATCCACCGCCACGTCCGCCACCGCGTCCGCCGCCGAATCCACCACCGCGTCCACCACCACGTCCACCGGCACCGCCATCACGGTCCCTTGGTGTGGAGAAGTCGAGACGAAGCGGGCGGCCGGCGAGTTCCTGACCAGTCATGGCGTCAATAGCAGCCTGTGCGCTCTCCTGAGCCGCGAACTCGACGTAACCGAAACCCTTGGGGCGACCAGAGTCAGGGTCCTTGGGCAGACGAACACCCGAGACCTCACCGTGCTCGGAGAAGGCGTTCCAGACATCGTCCTCGCTAATGTCGAACGACAGGTTGCCGATGAACAGCGTCGAAGAGGGGGCGGATCGCTGGTCGTTGAACTTCTTGGCGCGGTTCTCGGTGACATCGCCCTTGGGAGTGGAGAGGTCGAGGCGGATGGCACGGCCGTCAACCTCCTTGCCCTGACCCTCTTCGAAGGCCTTCTTGGCAGCGGCGGCGGTGGCAAAGTCGACGTAACCGAAGCCACGGCTCTTGCCCGTGGTGCGGTCGAGCTGCACACGTGCGCTGGTGACTTCGCCGAAAACCTCCATCTCGGACTTGAGCCAGTCGTTGTCGACGTTCCACGAAAGCTGGCCGACCCAGACCTGGTTGGTCTCGCCCTCGGCGAGCTCGGCAGGTGCAGCGGCGGCGGCCTCTTCAGTCTTGGCCTTCTTGGCGGCAGGCGCCTCCTCCTCAGCCTTGCGCTTCTTGGAGTCGACGGCAGCGGCAGCGGGCTCGGCCTCCTCATCGTCGTCCGAAGAGTCGGAAGAGTCCGAGTCCGAAGAGTCAGAGTCAGACGAGTCGGAAGAATCCGACGAGGAGCTGGCCTCGGCAGCCTCGGCAGCGGCAGCGGCAGGCTTGCCGTTGGTCTTGGGAGCAGCGGCCTCCTCCTTCTTCTCTTCCTCTTCGTCGTCGCTCGAGTCGGACGAGTCGGACGAGTCGGATTCAGAGTCAGAGTCGGACCCGGAGCTGGAGCTGGAGCTGGACTCGTCCTCGTCGTCGTCGCTGTCGCTCGATTCGGAGTCTGCCTCGGGAGTGGGCTCCTTCTTGACGGCAGCGGCGGCCTTCTTATCCTTCTTGTTGTTGTACTTTGCCTTCTTTTCGCTCTTGTCGACACCGTTGGCAGCAGCCTTGTCGGCGGCGGTAGCGGCGGGGCTCTTGTACTTCTTTCCGTTCTGCTTCTTGGCGTCAGCGGCAGCGCCGGCCTTGGCGAGCTTGTCCTTCTTGCCCATATTGATAGACGTTTGTGTGTGTGGTTGTGAAGAGGGGAAATGGGGATGGGGGTGAGTGGAGGTTTGTGAGAGGAAGGGAAGGAAGCCGCTGTCAATCTTAGCGACGGCTGTACTGGGCCTTTGCCGCTTCGACGAGGAAGAGGGGAAAAAACGAAAATCTGGACGCTCAACGCAAATTTTGGAGCCGACCCTCGAGAAAATTTCCTTCCAAAGAGAGCTCGACGAGGTGCATGAGTGGAGTTCAGCACTGGACCCTTCTCACCGCTGTGGCGTACAGGGGACCAAAAGGAGAAAAATGAAAATAATTTAGGACTCGTCGCGGCCCCTCTGCAAAAATTTCCCATCGAGAAATTCTTGTGGCTCGGCACCTTAGAATCCCTTGCACAGTCAAGGTGGTCAGCAACAAAAAGAGAGTGGAGACTGCATGAGTCGAACACGCGACCTTTCGCAAGTTAGACACCTCAAGATGCTAAGCGAACGCTCTACCAACTGAGCTAAACCCCCAGAGATGTCGAAATTGTCAAACGTTGCGTACATTAACACATAACTGTTCAATTTTGTGAGCTGGGCTACGGAAATCGGCCAATTCTGGTTCGCGTCCAAAGAGAGACAGGCAAGATGGACAAAGGACAGGGTCGGGTGGATGTGGTTGGAATTGTGGTTGGCTAACAAGAAGAAAGCGTGTGTTGGCCCACTGAGACTTGGAAGCCGCAACTTTTTTTCGGCGCTCGACACGGCGGTCTTGTAGAATGTCAACGCCATCACTCGCTCTTGCACCATACTCCTTTGCTCGGCATTGTCATCGTCATCCTGTCACACCTCGCCACTTTGCCGCAACACATCGCACGTAAGCTTTCTGATCGGCCTCCAGGACCGTCAACGTAGCATCCGGCTATACGAGCTGTTCGTATCAGCGCTTCCCTTCGCATTCGACTCACTCTATCACTGTACGAAAGCACCTCATTCACTCGCCCTCGGATTGCCGGCTCTCCGCAACACCTCGTTCTGGACCTGCGTTCCTGCCTCTCGACTACCATCGGCACACTGGCCAGTCACCGCCAGTCACTTGATGCTACAGTGGACCCTGTTGCTCTCAGGATCACCATTGCTCTGCATACCACCCATGCTTCCCTCAAGATAGCCAAACAGCTCCTTCTCTAGCCCATATCATCCTTGTGACCGGGACAGAGAGCGCGACGGCTGCTCTCGTCCTCGGCGGATGATACGCCCATGCGGCACAAGGGCTTCCTTTCTAGCGCAGCCGATGCGTGCTCTTCCCGCGCTGGTCCGTCGCATCTAGCTCGTCACAATGCGACTGGGCCCTCGCGGCGAGCCTTGCCTCCGCCCACACCATCGAGCTCGCCATTACCATCACCGCCTCCACCACCAATATCTTTGCTGTCGTCGACATCTCCCCTACCACAGTCATCATCATCATCATCATCAGCAGCAGCAGCAGCATCCTCCTCCTCCTCCTCCTCCTCAACTTCCTCAGCCAGCGCTCCATTCACATCGAGCAGTCTTCATTCGCGCTATGCATTCGAGCGTCGCGCTCGTCTAGCAAAACCTCTCTCGCCACGCCTTGTTACGAATCACCTATCCTTCCTCTATCCGCCATCATGCTTCGCGCCGACCTCGGCTACGATTGCTAGGCCAAAATCGTCTCTAGCTCCGACCAGCGCCGTAGCTTCTCCCGCAGCTGCCGCACAGCAACTTGCTCTGTCGTCGCAGGATGAGCATCAGCATCAGCATCACCACGACCATCAGATTTCCGCTCAGCTCGAGCCAGAATTCACCTTCTTGCGCCATCGTTACGATCCACCGCATCATCTCATTGATCATTCGCCTTCCCGCGCCCTCCTTCAGCAAGATGCGAACAGCCACCTGGACGACCGGGAAGCGGTGCTACAACAACCACTACCCCAAAGCCTCTCGACTCTCCCACAGTCTTCGAGTCGTTACCAAGCATCGGCTTCCCAACTTGTCTCGCTAAGTCGCCAGAGCGAGCGGCTTCGTTCATCGCTGCAGGACGGCCGAGCCACTCATTCGGATGCCATTGTGAAACAGTGTCGTCGTCTTGTATTGCAGGCGTGCCGTATCACCTCGCGTTTGCACGCAAAGACAGCTCGCGCGATTATGTACGAGACCGCTTCCGACTGCGCTTTTCATCTCGCAGCTACCGCCCAGCCCGTCGCAGCCGCCATCATTCTCCGTCACCTCTTGGTCAAGCTCGGATGGGATCCCCGATCCAATGACCAGCTTCAGTCGCTTCCGACACTCGAGAATGACACGCTCCCAGCTCTCCAGACAGGCTCATCGACATTGGTGACTGATCCATCGGTGACACCGACCAACAGACTAATGCTGGCGACGCAACAGGTTCTCTCCCAGTTGACGCTTGCGCCTTCGCCATTCAGTCCTCGACCCATTCGCAAATTCGACTCGCAGCAGCACCTCGACACTGCCGCCTCGCTCGTGTCCGCCATGCACTTGAGTCAGATGCCCAGGAACACAGCTTCGCAGACGGCTCTCATACGTGCCATGATCGCCTCAAGCCAGACGCGACTAGCTGTGCAGATGTACGCCTCCGAGGTTCGGGCCTGGTGGGCCGCCCACAAACAAGCAAGGCGTCCAAGGCCGCTTCTGCGACGCAAAGCTGCCTTCGTCGTCGATTTGGGCAAGCCCAGCTCACAGGCTCTTCGCGAGATCACACGCGCCATGCAGCAACTCGAAGCATTCGTCACACGCATCCAACCCGATCTCTTGTCTCAGCTCTCGTCCCGCGAGCAAGAGGCACTTCGCGACAAGCGCGCCGAATACTCCGATTCGCTCGTGGAGCTCGTGCGTCTGGTGCGCGGCGGACGACTGCCTTTGCCGCCCACGCCAAGCGCACCAGAGATTGCTTGGGTCATTTCTGCATCTTGCCGGTTCGAGGCCACGCTGATGCTGGACCGTATCCCGGTCAAGAGCGCCGAGTCGATGCCATCATCCGTGGACGCTGCGGAGAATCGTCGACTTCAAGGCGCGGCTCAGATGATCCGCTACTTCCTCTGCGAATACATGCGGTCCCTGCCCGATGGACAGACACGCTCTGCAGCAAATGTGCTCATCCGCGGCGATCCCGTGGTGCGTCCAGCTGTCGGAATCGCCGTTTACAATCGGCTCATCCACTACGCCTTGTCGACACTCAGGTCGCCGTCCATGTGCAAGGAAGTCTTTCAGCACATGACTCAGCTTCGCCAACCACCGCTCGAACCCGACGCCGTCACTTTCAACACAATCCTGCGTCAGGCCACCACCCAACGCTATGCATCACTGGCAAAAGCTGTGCTGACCACAAATCATCCAGAGCAGCACTCTCACATTCGTCCCTCCAATCAGCAGCAGAGCGTCGTCATCGAACAAAGTTCGTCAATGGCAGAAGTGTCGACCTCGACTTTGGAAGCAGCAGCATGCCGACCCGACGACGTTTCGGCATCAGACCTTGAGCTGCGTCCTATCAAGCCGATGATCCAGCAAATCGACACCGCCATCGCGCATGCCGACTCTTATCGCCTTGTTGCGCTCCTTCAGTACGTGGCTGCTTCTGGTCTGTTCCTGCGTCGTTATCGTCATGAACCCGGTCACGCGGGCGTCAAGGAGCTGGTCATGCGCATCTACCCCGCTCTCAACAAGCATCGCTCCGCCAGTGCTCGCTTCGTCGACTCTGCGGATTCCGCGCAACAACACAGCAGCCTCGCCCTCCGGCCAAAGGCAAATCAGGTTTCCAGACACGCCATCCTGAATCCACACGTCCTCACCGCGACGCTCAATCTTGCTGCTAAAGCCGGCAAGACAGGTCTTGCGCTGCGCATCTGGCGTCTCATCAAGCGCACCAGCCTCCAGAGCACCTTACAGTCGCCCAACATTGATGTCGCGCCCGCACCGTGGCAGATACCTGTAGAGGCTGCCACCATTCTCATGACGGTTTTGGCGGCAGAAGCTGCCAGGGCACCCCACTTGCGACATCCTGCGCGATTGCCGCGCCAGCGTCCGTTCGTTCGAGCATCCCGCAATTTGCCTCAGCGGATGACGAGGCTCACCGTGCGCCGACAGTATGCCAGAGGGTGGAACATTGTCGCATCTTTGCGTGGTCGCTCTTGTGTCGGGCAGCTAGGGTCGAGCGGACGCATGCGCGTCGGCGCTGGCGAATTCGGGGAGGGTCTGCGATGGAGAGCCGCGCAACTCTTGGCGAAGCGCGAGTACGCGTTCCTGGTGCATCACTGGCAGCTCTCGCAGAGGCTCTCGTCTTCGCACCGCCAACGTATGGAGGAGCTGGTGCAGATGGGTCGGATCGGATTGCCGGCAGAAGCTTCCCCAGAACGATACAACACGACAGGAGACGCTGAAGACAGGTCGGGACAAGGTGTACAGCCAGACTCGCGGTTCTTTGATGCGGTTCTGGATGTGTTTGGTCGCAGACCGGGGATGATGCAGCGCAGCAGAAAGCACCACTCTCGTGCAGCGATGCTCTCACAGCTCCGTCGTGGGTACAAGGAGGCGACGGAGAAAGTCGGTTCGCCTTCCAACAGCGGCAGAATGCAGCAGCAAGGATCACACGATGTCGGCAACGCAATCAAGGAGAGGCGGGCGCTTCTCGCTGGAGCCGTCTTGCCTATCGAAGACCCGAGCACACTCTCAAGCACGCAATTGCTTAACGCAATCGCCGCACGCATAAGGTGCAACTCGCGCGGTCGCTGGACGTCGCTCTCTCCCGATCCGTTCCTCCTCCGCATCTTGATCGACATGCAGATCTTGGGGATCGAGATTCCCGTGGCGTATCGATGGATTCTGGCCCACGCTTCGATAGTGTCAGCAGCGGATGCTGGGTCAGACGACATCGGCTCGGGTTTGCTGAAGAATGAGGTCGCGGGTGGAAGCAGGAAGGAGCTAGGTGCGTTTTCGCCGTTCAGAGGACCGAGGGTGAAGACGGTTGGACTTGTCGCCAGGCGTAGGAATTCGAAGGTGGTGGGGGAGAAGGCGGAGAAGGTGGAGGAGAAGCGGACGAAGTAACGAAGGGTGGGCAGCAGACGTACGCAACTTGAAAAGAGAATAGCATTGCAATCACGTGTAAGAACAGAAGCTTGGACGAGGTGTCATGAGATTGGCTCGGTCGCACGGGACCACTCTGAAGCTGGCAGGTGAGTCTGCCAGCCTCTACCCCATCTCCCGTCAATACCCCTTTTCCTCATCGATCCTTCCCAACCAATCCACTTCCTGCTCCTTCTTCCCCTGATCAATCCACTCGACGACATTCTTCAAATTGCCCCAAATCCTCCCCTCCAACAGCCCTCCTATCAACTTCTCAGGTACACCCGAATGCGGGGTCACCAACAAGCGTCCCTCGTGCACCAAGGTTTGCATCACACCTTGTAGCTCTTGCGGAGGAGGGGTGAGGAGGTCGAGGGCTGCAGAGTGAAGTTTCGCCTGAGATAGGGAGGTCAGGAGGCTGGGTGTGTGGATGAGTTGGGGTCTAGCTACGTTGATGAGTCTTGCGAAAGGGTGAATGTGAGCCAAAGTTTCAGCGTTGAGCAACAGGTTTGTAGCTGGGGTAAGGGGACAAGCGAGGAAGATCAACTGGGCGGTTTCCAGAGAAGATCGGAGAAGACTTTCGCCGGTTGAAGAATCGAGACACGTAATCTGGCATCGAAACGGTTGCAGCTGAGACACAAGGGATGAACCAATAGATCCGGATCCGATGATCAGCACTCGTGCGTCGAACAGCGTTTCCACTTCACCAGCGGTCGACGGTGGTGTACAGTGTAAACCGCGAAGAAGGGAGAGCGAGAGAGCCAGCGCGTGTTCAGCGACAACTTGACCAAAACATTTTTTTCCACAGCAAAAGACGATCTTCCGTTCGGTGGAGATCGAGCGAATGAGGGGGGTGAATTGGTCCACCCCGGTCATGGGGAGCTGGACGAATCGGATCGAGGGGAAAGAGGTGAGGATGGTGAGGAGTGACGAGGCTGGGTCCGGGTGGGTAGGCGTCGGTAGGAAGAGCAGCGCGGTTGTGAGAGGAGTTGGTGTGGAAGAGATCGTGAGATGCGGAGCCAGGGTTGGTGGCATACTGGAGAGGAGGTTGGGAATCGAGAGACACGTTGCCTCTGGGGGAGAGGGTGAGATCGCTACGTGGATCATTGTCAGTTTGAGTATGGATGAGGGACCGGATTGAGGGGTGGTGTGACAAAGTGAGACGTGTACGGATTGTGGCGCTGGGTATATATGTTGCTGGAGTGCTTTCTCGGGACGACGAGCTGGCCTGGCATCTTCGACCGAGTTCCTACCTGACCAGGTCGAGCGGGCGACCACCTCGTGCCGACATCCAAGCCTATCAACATGCATCACCGACCAACAAACACGCAAAGCACCTCCGTTCCTTTGCCGACTCCACTCCCACTAAACAGACAACGCTCCCACGGCTTGGCAATCCACGATCGTGGGTGCTCGCAATATCCGATACCGACACTCGAGTGCTTTTGTTTCGCTTGTGCGATGGACATGACAAACTCCCACCTCTTTTCCGTTTGACGGGCAGTTGGAGTGTCCAAAAGCCGACAGATGCGCCGAGGGTGAGCGATGTGGGCAGCTGATGCAAGTTGATTTGCCGCGACGCCACGGATGGTCGCATGAAGTTTGGAACCACCAAACGCATCAGCCACCTGCTTGGCAGTGCTTGAACATATGCTGTCGATGCCAGAAGCGCATGTGACTGCAAGGTGAAGAACGACCAGCAGTTTAAAGGCTTTCATTCGATGTCAAACGCAGTTCAGTCAGCTGAACTGCTTTCTTCACACAACGTGCCACGAATGAAGCGTCCCTTCCTCATACACATCTACAACGGCGTTGCCACCCTTTGCATCTTTCTCACAGTCACACACAATGAGTCACCACTCCTACACTCACATATGAACAGTCGAAAATCGTCCATTTTCCTTTCCAAGACAACCCGATCAAAAGTCACACAACAAAAGGGAGTCCACCAAGACAGAAGCACAGTGCTACTCGCGGAGAAGAGACGCAGTCCCCTCTCACGACTGGATAGTGCCGGTAGAGCTCATACCGGCAATAGCACTGTTCGTCAACACCCACTCCTTTGTATCGCCGTCCAAGCTCCACATGCTGATGCCTCCGATTCCGGCTGCGCTGGCGAATGCGCCCTTGTCAAAGATGGAACTGGTATCGTCGTACGTCACGACCGTCTTTCCGTCGCTCAGGTACGGGGTGTCGGAACAGTCGTCCCAGTACTTTGTGAAACCTCCTGCGCCGTCGAACAGGCCGTCGCTGCCGAGGAAGAGGGCACCTTGCTTGACCAAGGAGGAGAAGTTGATCTGGCCGGAAGTGGAAGAGCCGTCACCGGAGGTGAGGGTGACACTTCGGGCTTGCAAGGTACGCTTGGTGGATTTGTTGATGTAGCCGTAAGCGGGGATACCGAGGAGGATCTTGTCTCGGGGCATACCAGCTGCGGACCAAGCCTTGACGCCCGCAGCTGCATTTGCATCGGGTTGCGTTGAGTTGCCGCACAGATTCGCCAGAGGTGCATTCGGTCCCGGATTACTGCTCGACCCCCACACATCGTAGTTCATGATCATGATGTAGTCCATCACCCCCGCTGCCCTCGCAACACTCGAAACCGGCTGACCGTTACTCGCCACCCAGGGAGTAAACGCTACCGCCGCCGTAATCAGTGCTCCCTGAGGCAAAGCAGCACGAAGTTCCACCAAGAATGACTGGAAGTTCGCAGTGTCCGAAGGATCCAGCTGGTTTCCCTGACCTTGTTGACCTGGGTACTCCCAATCAAGATCGATGCCGTCGAGTCCGTAGGTGTTGTACGTCTTGACGATGTTCGAGATGAACGTGGATCGAGAGGCGTTTGTTCGAACGGCGGGGGAGAAGTAGGTGGAACCACCCCACCCGCCGAGCGAGAGGACGGCTTTGGAGTTCCCTGCGTGGACAGCCTTGACAAACGACCGAAGCGTGTTTCCTGACGGATCGGTGGGAAGAGACAGGTCAAAGTTGGCGGTGGGCAGGGCAAAGGCGTAGTTGACAATGTCGAACTTGGTGAAGTCGATCGAGGAGGCGGGGAGAGTAGAGGCGGTCCAGTCGGCCCAGTAACCCGCCATCGTCTTGCCGGTTGATGTTCGGTTGCCGTTGGCACTGTTGGTTGGGGAAGCTGATGCCGAGGAGGTGGATGTGGACGCAGATGCGGATGCAGATGCAGAGGAAGAGGAGGATGAGGCTGGTGCGGAGGCAGAGGTGGGTGCCTTGCATGCGCGTTTCGATTTTCTTGAGGCGCCAGAGGTGGAGATACGACGACGACGTTGACGCGGGAGCAAACGGGCAGAAGGGACTGCCCTCCGCTTCTGCCCGCTCGCTCGGTCGTCACCGCCAAAGAGTACCTGCCACAAAGATCGGCGCTGGATCGAAAGCCTTGTTGAGGATGTTGACGAGGAAGACCTCGAGGGTCGGTCGGCTGCATAGCTCACGCTGGGTGAATATGAGGAACCTGCAACGACCTGATCGTTCATCGCTCGACCGAGGTGAAGCGGAACATTCGCGGATCCATACTCCTCGACCGCTGCTACCGACGAGGTAAAGAGGCTGGCAAGCGCCAGTACGCCAAGTGGAAGGAGCTTCATTCTATATGAAGTCCAATAGTAGTGGCGGTGGTCGAATGTGTTTCCTGATCGAGTTGTCGAGAAAGAAAAAGGGAGATCCGACTGTCGTGTAAAGGGTTGACCTGCACCCGAAGAAAGAATAAAAGGAATGTGATGGATAAAAGAACGAGAGAACCCTCTGATCGATCGACGATAGCAGAAGGGTGGAAATACGAACGCGAGGAATGCCTGTTCCTTCGATTCGCTTTCCCAGACTAGCTGTTCTCGTGCAGAGGTGAAAGAGGTGGAACCGATCAACGGTTGTAGAAGAAGTGGAAAGGCGAGGGGGAGGGTGAAAGAAAATGGCCAACGCAGTCGACGTGATCGTGAATGAGATGGTTGAAGAAGAGAGAGAAGGAAGTGAGACAGAACTACGAGCTGATGAAATCAAACAAACTCGGCATTGAGGTTACGCCGTGAGCCACGCAGCGGAAACGAGAAGTGCGTCAAGTCGCCGCTCCGGGGGAGGACGGAAAAACACAGCCTCGAACATGTGCGCCTCACTGTAGTGTTGTTTGAGCTATACACGTCTGCCGCAAGGTTGTGCGTCGGCGCCGCAAATTACAGCCCTGACAGCTTATCAGCAATGTCTCTGTCACAGATGAAACTGAGGACACGACGTGGAGCCTTAGCTTTAGGGCCAAGCTATTCTTGGCAAGTGGCACGAATATCTAACCCAGCCTGCTCGGTCAAGAGTGTACGCAACGACTTTGACTTGAAGCCAACGTGAGCAGCGGCGTGCTTAGAAGTTGAAGCTCGAGTGTATGGGAGGGGAAAAGGAAAGTCTGACCTCGTGTGCGCGGCCATGGTGCCTGCAGTACCATAAACGCTAAGCCCGACTGTGGGAAGCGACATATCACATGAATGCGAAAAAAGTCGAAAAATTGAAACGCCGGCAACTTTGGAAGTGGATGATGGGCTGCAGCGGACGGCAAGGACATTGGCAGCGCTCGCTGCGCATCTATCCCCTCAACGTATACGCCATCGGTGGAGTGCGGACAAAGGACACGAAGGTTAGTGGACAAAGGGCGTGGAGAACAAAGGGGAGTTCGGTCGAGTCGGCAAGGCTGTGGGGGCGATGATGAACGTCAGCGCGCTTTTTGACAGGCCGCAGCAAAACTTGGTCGCATCCCTTTTCAAAAGACATCATTGAGACGAGCTCTAACATCAGTAAATGGACATTTTCTCAGCCGTGTCGCCTCGTGATCTTACAGAATCGATTTTTGGACTAATCTCTGCATGTTTCACGCGACAGAGACAATTCTCCGCCCCGCATTTCTTTGGCACTCGTGGAATTTCATCGCCGGTGCATGTGGCAATTGCTGTATGTCGCCACCGGAGCAATTGCCTTTGTTGCTGACTTTGACCTTGCTCATGATACATTACACACAATCCGTGCTGTGGATGGATGTGTGTCGAGAGTGGCAGGAGCGTGCAATTGTCAGAGCGCAAACCAATCAAACACGGTTGCTGAACTCAGGCTTGGGCCGAGCACGTCCGAAAGAAATATCGCTGTGTGCAGTTTGACGTGAAAAGCGAGTTCGGAGAGGCGGACAGGATTCGAGCAACTGTTATCGTGTCCTTGGTGTACAGTACGTGCGATCGCCTTGTGTATTTGAGATGATAAGGTCGAAAACCGAAACTGTAACTGATATACCCGACCTGCAGATACCACAAACGATTTCCCTTTGTCGGTCGCGGACACAGTCGCAGGCAGGTACAGTGTCAGTTCCTGCCTGTCATGTTTGGCGGTGACAGGATCGAAACGTTGTCGAGTGCCATTTCGGTGGACGCGAACCGTTGTCACTCTGCAAAGCATTTGTTGGTCAGGACGCCGCCCTCGAACGGCAACGACATGGTGGATTGCGGGGAAGCAACAGCTTAAAGTGAGACGGGGGCCAAACGCAAGGGGGCAGGGAGATCCATCGACGATCATCGTCATGATCGTCATCGCCGTTGCTGGAAAGTGAGCTCGATTAGGTTGTGCTGTGCTGCCATGTAAAGTTGATTGTTGATTCCATTTTGGTCCATCGCATCGGTGAGCTGACGTCGATTTCGCTCTGAAAAGGTTACCGCCCCGAAAGCAGCAGAATGCGGATGGACACCCACACACGCATCATTATCCCAAAAAATTCATTTCTCGAAAAAAGACACGCACAGCAGCGTAGCGTAAAAGAGCAGAGGTCAAGGCAGGCTGGCTGGCTGGTTGACAGTAATCTGCAAGGCGCATATTGTCGTACCACGCAAGCACACAAGAGCGTGAAATGGTAGCAGTCAGTGGCTGGCGGGCGTGCGACGGGCGGGCAGCTCACTCTAAGAATCATTTCTCCGCGTCTGGAAGAGACACTGGTGAGCAAGCAAGCAAACAAGCAGGCAGTCTAGACCATCACAGCTGCACAACCGCATACACGCACATCAACTCATACAAACAGTGCACCCCTGCCCGGCTTTTCAAATGCATTCCATTGCGATTGGCCACATCCACACCCGTCCTTGTTTCTTCCTTCATTGGCTACCATCACCACTATCCTAGCTCTCCAATCGTCACCCCACACCATCATCAATCGCAGCTTCACTCGAAAAGGTCACACTCCCACACAGCTGCTGTGGAACCGCATCCGGCCGCCTAGACCCCAAACACTAGCCGACCGACAGAGGTTCAAGTCGCACACATAGAAACTTGCTACACACACTGAGCAACGCGGCGGCCCAAGCACCTTCTCTCTTATCATGTCGACCTCCATCCCTTTCCCTGGCAGTCAGCCACCACAGCCCGGTGATCTGACAGGCGACCTGAAGATCGATTTGCCGCGCAGCTCCTCCTCTTCCTCAACAGTCAAGGACGACGTCCCTCCTTCTACATCCAGCGGCACACAGCAGAGCGCATCGCTGCATCGCCGTCAAGGTTCTTTTCAGGCTAACGATAAACCGTCCACCGCTCCGGCTGGCTGGCACCACCATCCTCGTCAACCTGGCCCACACTCCGAGTCCTACTTTCCCGGTCTCAACGCCAGCGCGCCAAAGACGCCCAGCAGCCTCTCCATGCGTGCTCACGGTCGAACGCAGAGCAACTCTGGCCTCACCCTCTCCTCTCATCCTATGAACCTCAACATTGGTGCCGCGCCTCCAAACGTCGATGGCGCTACGCTCCAGTCCGCCTTCGGCGCGCATCACCACGCAGGTCCCAGCAACCTCAGCCTCTCTAGCCATCCCGCCATGCACGGCCTCGGAATGGGTGGCAGCAGCGGCTTTGGCGCCGGCCCACCTAGTCCCAGCACGCTCACAGACGTCATCCTCGGCCTGCACAGCACCTTCTACTCGTGCAAACGCAAACCTGAGGAGGTAAAGGAGATGGTCTCGCGCTACTACGAGAGGGGCGCTGTCTTTGAATCGCCTCTGCTCTCAGCACACGGCAGGAATCAGATCGCCAACCAATTCATCATGGCCTTTGCACTGCCCGGTATGGATGTGCAGTCCGAGCTGCGCGACGTCATCTGCTCCGACTTTGAGTTTGACGGAACACGCGCCGGTATCATCGACCACACCATCACTGTCACTTTGTTCCCTTCGCTCTTTGGCTCCTCGCCCGCCAAACCTACGCCGGACCCGGGTGCCAGCGATGCCAATCGCACACCTAGAGCTTCGTACCCCATGTCCGCATCCGCATCCGCCTATCCCATGACGCCGCATCCTTTTATCGACTATGGCGCCAGCAGCGCCTACTCGCGTGTAGCAAGCCATCCACACAGTCCCACCACACCCTTCAGCATGTCGAGCATGTGGGGTGGTTCACGCCCGCACACACCTGGCCACGCTGCTTCCTCTGGCGTCCGTCCACTCTCCGGCACCAGCGCCCAACCGGCCAACACGCCTCCCAGCGTCAACGGCGAAGACTTTGACTCCACGCCTGCCGCCACCAACATCCTCAACAACCTCACCAACGGCAGCAATCAGCACCACTACATCGACGCCGAGACTCTGCAACAGCAGCTTGCTACGCGGCCTGCTATCCCCGCCGATGCCTTGACACCGCACTGGACGAGCGAAGGTCTGGGTCGACAGACGTTCCGCACCTTGATCTGGTCGCTCTTCCATCCGAGGGCGGTGCTTCGATCGCTGTGCAGCATCCAGTTGCGCGTCATGAGTCGACTCGAGTTCAACGACGCCGGTCTCATTGTGCGACACGAAGACACGTGGGGACTGAGGGAGACCATCGAAGGTGTGATTCCGTTTGCTTCGCTCATCTATTCGATCGAGCGCAGGTTGGTCGGTTTCCTCGTTTCGTGGGCCATTGCCAAGGGCTTCAAGATCTCGGCTGCACTGCTGCGCAAAGCCATCCCAGGAGGGACGTCATCCACCGAGCTCGAAGCGCACGGCAGCGGAGGATCGTTCCAAATCAGCCAGAATGAGGCGGAAGCCATGTTCACGCATCCGCACATGCACCTCCATTCATTCGGGCGAACACCGGGGCGCGAGTTTCAGACTATCTCTCGATCTCGGGCACCTTCGCCCACTCGCTTTCGATTTGGTGGCGGGGGTAGCAGCGCAGGCCACCACTCGGGCGGCACGGTGACAGGGACTCGATCGCGCGCTAGATCGCTCGTAGGCTCGCACGCACCTTCGCGCGCCATCTCGACCGACAACCTCATGCACCACTTTGCCGCCGCCAACGCCGCTGCTCAATCCGCTTCCGGCGCAGGCGGAGAATCGCGTCGATCCGCCGATCTTCCACCGGACTCGAGTGCCAAGTTTCGCGAACGAACCGCCAAGAGGATCGATGGCGGACGAAGCTCGAGCACCAACTCGGCGCCTCCAACCCTGCCACCTTCCTCGGTAAATGGTCACGATGCAGCAGACGCTCCCGCGTCGAACTTGATCAGCATGTGGGACCACTTTACGAGTCAGTCGCGCCCACACTCGAACGCTGCTTCGGTGGTGTCGAATGATGACTCGAGGGGTACGTTGCGGGCTCCTGATCAGGATCAGCAGTGATTTGCTCCCTGGTAGCCCGGCGTTAGGTGTATTGGATAGTGTGATGTTTGCGCACTCGTTGGACCGACGCCTGTACAATGAGCATCCCTGAGAGGGTGCATGTAAGACAACCTTTCTTCTATCTTACCAATCAAGTAGTATACTACTATCTGCGGTAGGGTCGCTGAGCATGTCGACTGTGTGCATTTGCTGCTACAATATGGTCATCTGTCGACTCAAGGAAGCAACGAAATCGTGTGGAAAATGATGGTCTCGAAAAGCGGCTACCGCGTTGATATAGCGGCTTTGGCTTGTTGGTTGGCTGGCGACGCTTCGGATCTTCTACCGACCATCCAAATTTGAGCTTGCGACCGGGCCGACAATGCGGCAATGTATTGGACGCAATGTCGATGCCCTTTCTCAAGGAGGCATTCTCATATGCTTTGGGTGAGGTCGTGCTGTGCTGTGCAGTTGAGCCTTCGTGATCGAGCCTGTCAGATCGCGCTGTTCTGCTGTGTGGTTTCTTCGATCTCGGATTTTAGAACATGAATTTGCCTAGCAGCACAGCGGCAACGCAACGCAACGCACGGTCAGCTTCTATTTTGCACTTTTCCGCAAGCACGAGGGCAGTCTGCGTGGCTGGCTGCTGTAGCTGGCCGCGCCTCCACAGCTCGACTCAGCACAAATCTTGAAAGTGCAACACGGACGCAGCGCCCGAGCCAGCCAAATCAGAAGGACTGCCAGAAAAGCGAAGCACAGGCGACACGATCCGAGCGCTGCTCTCTTCTTCCTAGCCATCACATCTGTCATTGCTCGCCATCATCTCCATTCAGAACAAGCCAACGAGCAGCTATCATTATACTATCTTCGAGCAGCGCACTAGACCGACACCGCATACATCACCCCACCCGTCCACACCATTGCGCTTAACAGAGACCCGCAGCATCGATACGCAGCTTGCACAACCATGGCGGCCCCAGACGATATGAAGGTCGACCAGCCCGAACAGGCCATCGATGAGGGTCTCTACAGTCGACAGCTCTATGTGCTCGGTCACGATGCCATGAAGCGCATGGCTGCCAGCAACGTCCTTGTCGTCGGTCTCCGCGGTCTCGGTGCCGAAATTGCCAAGAACGTCGCACTCGCCGGTGTCAAGACCATCACCATCTTCGATCCTACCCCTGTCTCCATCTCGGACCTCAGCACACAGTTCTTCCTCCGACCAGAAGATGTCTCGTCCGGCGTTCGCAGGGATCACGCCACACAGCCTCGTCTCGCCGAGCTCAACACGTACGTGCCCATCCGCGTCCTTGAAGCGACCGAGCTCAACCAGGATGTCCTCTCCCGCTTCCAGGTCGTCGTCATGACCGATTCTCTCTATGGCGAGCAGCTTCGCATCAACGACATCACCCACGGCTCTTCCACCCACTTCATCTCGGCAGAGGTACGTGGTCTCTTTGGTTCAGTCTTCAACGACTTTGGGCCCAAGTTTTTGTGCAACGATCCCACCGGCGAGCAGCCTCTGTCCGGCATGATCGTGTCCATTGCCAGCGAGGACGAAGAGGGTCTCGTCACCACGCTCGATGAGACAAGGCATGGGCTCGAGGATGGCGATTACGTCTCTTTCACAGAAGTGCAGGGAATGGAAGCGCTCAACAACAGTCAGCCACGCAAAGTCAGCGTCAAGGGCCCTTACACGTTCACTATCGGCAGCACCAAGGGTCTCGGCGAGTATAAGCGAGGCGGCATCTTCAAGCAGGTCAAGATGCCCAAGGAGATCGCCTTCAAGTCGCTGCGGGAGAGCGAGAAGCAGCCCGAATTCCTCATCGCCGACTTTGCCAAATTCGATCGCCCTGCCGCGCTTCACGCCGGCTTCCAGGCGCTGTCGCAGTTCCAGCAGAAGAACGGTCGATTGCCCGGGCCTCGAAACGCGCAAGACGCCGATCAGCTGCTCGAGCTCACCAAGCAGATCGTTCAGGCTTCCGGTCAGGATGCGGCCGATCTGCCCGAAAAGGTGATCCGCGAGCTCTCCTTCCAGGCCACGGGTGATCTGTCTCCGATGGTCGCATACGTCGGCGGCTTTGTGGCGCAGGAAGTGCTCAAGGCGTGCTCCGGCAAATTCCACCCTCTCGTTCAGCACCTCTACGTCGACTCGCTCGAATCGCTGCCGGACAATGTGGAGAGCCTTCCCGAGAGCGAGTTCGCGCCTGTCAACTCGAGGTACGACGGTCAGATCGCCGTTTTTGGTCGCAGCTTCCAGCAGAAGATCGCCAACACACGCCAGTTCCTCGTAGGCTCTGGTGCTATCGGATGCGAGATGCTCAAGAATTGGAGCATGATGGGTCTCGGCAGCGGTCCCGAAGGTGCCATCCACGTCACCGATATGGACACGATCGAAAAGTCGAACCTCAACCGACAGTTCCTCTTCCGCTCCAAGGATGTGGGCCACTTCAAGGCTGACACGGCAGCTGCCGCGGTGGCCGAAATGAACCCGGATCTCAAGGGCAAGATCCACAGCCACCAGAACCGCGTCGGACCCGAGACCGAGGATGTGTACGGCGACGAGTTCTTCGCCTCGCTCACCGGCGTCACCAACGCGTTGGACAACGTGCAGGCGCGTCAGTACATGGACCGTCGCTGCGTGTACTACGAGAAGCCGTTGCTCGAGTCGGGCACGCTGGGCACCAAGGCCAACACGCAGGTGGTGGTGCCGCACCTCACCGAGTCCTACTCGTCCTCGCAGGATCCTCCGGAGAAGTCGATTCCGGTGTGCACGCTCAAGAACTTCCCCAACGCGATCGAGCACACGATCCAGTGGGCGCGCGAGCAGTTTGACGAGTATTTCCTCAAGCCCGCCGAGAACGTGAACCAGTACCTCTCGCAGCCGGACTACATCGAGACGACGCTCAAGTCGGGCTCGGGTGCCAAGGAGCAGCTGGATCAGATCAAGCAGTACCTCGTCGACGAGCGACCCAAGTCGTTCGAGCAGTGCATCTACTGGGCGCGCATGCGATTTGAGGAAAATTACAGCAACACCATCCGTCAGCTGCTGCACTCGCTGCCCGCCGATGCGGTCACTTCGAGCGGCCAACCGTTCTGGTCGGGACCGAAGCGCGCACCTAAGCCGCTGACGTTTGATGTCGAGGACCCGATGCACCTCGAGTACGTGATGAGCGCTGCGCTGCTGCACGCCGAGAACTACGGGCTGAAGGGCGAGGCGGACGCGGCGCTGTTCCGCAAGGTGCTGTCGTCGATGCAGGTGCCCGAGTTTGTGCCCAAGGACAACGTCAAGATCCAGACGAACGAGAACGAGGCGGCGGCGGCGGCGAACAGCAGCAGCAATGCTGATGGCGGCGACCTGACGGACGTGACGAGCAGCTTGCCCGAGGCTTCCTCGCTTGCCGGCGTGCGTCTGCAGCCGATCGAGATGGAGAAGGACGACGACACGAACCACCACATGGACTTTATCACTGCGGCATCCAACCTGCGTGCGACCAACTACGGCATCTCGCCGGCGGACAAGCACCAGACCAAGGGTATCGCGGGCAAGATCATCCCGGCGATTGCCACGACGACGGCGCTGGCGACGGGACTGGTCAACTTGGAGCTGTACAAGCTGCTGGACGAGAAGAAGACGCTCGAGGCGTACTCGAACGCCTTCGTGAACCTCGCGTTGCCGTTCATCGCGTTCAGCGACCCGATCGCAGCGCAGAAGCTCAAGTACAACGATACCGAGTGGACACTGTGGTCTCGGTTCAAGGTGGAGCAGGATGTGACGCTGCAGGAGTTTTTGGACCTGTTCAAGGACAAGCACGGGCTGGAGGTGTCGATGCTGAGCTCGGGCGTGTCGATGCTGTTTTCGGCGTTCCTGCCGGCCAAGAAGAGGGAGGAGAGGCTCAAGATGAAGATGAGCACGTTGATCGAGACGGTCTCCAAGAAGCCGATTCCGAAGCACGCGCAGTGGGTGATTGTCGAGATCATGGCGGATGACTTGGAGGGAGAGGATGTCGAGGTGCCGTTCGTGGTAGTCAAGGTCAAGTGAGGCGGAAGGAAACTGATAGAGGGCTGTACTATGTTCTGATGTCGATTTGTGAAATGCAGAGCTGTGTGTCAAATGCCATGCGGTGTGTGAGAGAGAGAGTGATTGATGATGGGAAATGTTTCAGCAGCGAGGCTGCGTCGTTGCAGACAGGATGGGAAAAGTTTCAAATGTTAAGCTGGACAAAGTGACAAATGGAGAGGCGAGTGTTGGTGTGGAGATTACTGCCAAATACGAGAGAGAGGGAGGGTCACGCGCAGAGGCCCAAACACAGACGCGCGCTTTTTCTTGGGAGATGCACAACCAAAACACACAGTTAAGTCACCTAAGAATTCGGGCTGATTCAACTCACTCAAATCGCTCTCGTTGCGCTGTATGTTGCGAGAGTCGAGTGTTGTTTTGAGAGCGGAGCCTCCGATATCCGAGTGTCGTCGCTGTGTTTGGCAGGTTTGAGAGGAAGATGCATCACATCGTCTTCTCAACTCCAACCCTCTTCCCTTCCCTCATCGTCCCCATACCTATCGGCAAGCCTCTGTGTGTGTGTGGACAGGGAGACAGACAGAGCACCCGTCGCCACACGAGCTCGCTCTCTCTTTTAGCAAGCTTGGCAATCCGCACCACAGCATCGTCTCCTTTTTCATATCTATCGTAGCATCTATCGCATCGTGCGCCTCTCAAGACTCTTCAAGCATCAACATAGCATCAACTTACCCTTCCCAGAAATAATCATCTGCATACCATCTTCTTCAACATGGCGTCCACATCCGCCTTCGTCCTCCAAGAGACGCACGAGCACATCATTGCACCGGACGATTCCGATTTCCTCGACTCGGACGCCGAGAGCAGCTCTACGCCTCACCCGGACGACCACCTCATCGAGTCCGCTGTGCTCGAAGATCTTCACTCTGCACGCCACTCCCCCTCGCGACGCACCCGTCAGACAAGTCCGCACAAGCTCTACCCCGCCCACCCGCTCATCCGCATCCACAAACGACTCTGGTTCACCTACTTCGCCGGCGACCTTCCCTCCGAGGACGATCTCAACGAGCACGACGGTCAACCACCCGCTTGGAAGAACTTCGACGATGCCGAGATCAAAAAGTACGTCGATCCTTCGGAGACCAATCCGGCGAGATTGCACTGGTTCAACATCGATCACGATCTGGTCTACCTCAGCTTCTGGTTCGACTGGGGTCCCCTGAACGTAGGCATGTTCTACAGGTTCTGTCTGCACGTGCATCACATGCTCACCGATCCCGAGATGCAGGACGCCACGTTGGTGCTGTACACCACCGACGCGCCGGCTCAGAAGGCCAACGCTGCGCTGTTGGTGACGCTGTATGCCATGATCATCGGCAAGGTTTCGCCGGCGGATGCGTTTTATCCGATCTCGGAGCTGGAATTCAAGCCGTTCAGAGACGCCGGGTACGGGAGGGCGGACTACAACCTTTCCATTCAGGATGTTCTGTACGGCGTCCATCGCGCTATCAATACGGGGTTGCTCGATCTGACAACGTTCAACTTGGACGAGTACGAAAAGTACGAACAGGTCTCCAACGGCGATTGGAACTGGATCACTCCGAACTTTATCGCTTTCGCTTCTCCCAACGATCGGTCTTACGTCGAAGCCTTGCGGGTGGGCGAAGGCCGTCTTCCGGCTTCGTACTCGTTCCGTCCACCTGGTGAGGACAAGTTGTTCGGGAAAACGATCAGGTACTTCAAGGACCGAGGTGTCAAACTCGTCGTACGTCTCAACAACCCGCTGTACGATCGCGAAGCCTTCCTCAACGCCGGCATCGATCACAGCGATATGTACTTTGACGACGGATCCAACCCTACGGACGAGATCCTCATCGATTTCATCGACAAAGCGGACAAGGTGATTCAGCAGGACGGCGTGGTTGCAGTACACTGCAAAGCCGGGTTGGGCAGGACAGGTGTACTGATCGGAGCCTATCTGGTGTGGAAGCACGGGTTCAGTGCAGGCGAGGCGATCGGGTTCATGAGGTTCATGAGACCCGGTTGCGTGGTGGGACCGCAGCAGCATTTCATGTACCAGAACTTTGTCGAGTGGATCAAGTGGGGGGTGAGGGACCATGCGATGAAGGAGGCGAGGGAGTTGGTCGAGGCCGAGAGGAGGAAGATCGAAGACAGTGCTGCTGCTGCTGCTGCTGCTGCTGCTGCGGCTGCGGCGGGGGCAGTGTCGATGGCGACTCCGAAGAGGGCGTCGGTGAAGCGAAGAGCGGTCGGGTCGGATGCTGCCAAAGGCGATGACGATGACAGCTTCGACCGATCCGATGCAGACGTTTCACTCGATGATGACATGCGTCACGCCCAAGGTCTTCGAAACACACGCAAGAAATCCGCACAAGACTCGAGCGACGATTCCTCGGATGAATCGCAACCGCCGCGACAGAAGCAAAAGCCTTCGTCCACCGTTCCGACCGCCGCCGAAGCGCCGGTCACACCCAAAGCGCAACGCGGGACGTCTCGAGCGATCCCCGCGTCGGCTGCCCCCGTCTCCAAACCCGCACCGTGCGTAGGGCAACCGCGCAAATCGCCGTCTCCATCCCGGAAACGACCTGCCATCCAGGCGCCGGCGACGGTGGCTAGGCTGGAACTCAACTCCAAGAGGTATCCTGCTGCGACGAGGTCGTTCAACAACCACCTGCTGTTGAGCTCGCATGCGACGCTCGCTGCGCCTGTACACGTGGACGCTCCCGTCAACGTCGTGGGTGAGGTGGAATCTGAGGTCGAACACGTCGACCAACCTGGTGCAGCTGCACTCGCCTCCGCCTCCCCCGGCGTACTCGTGGAGTCGAGGATCAACGTCTCGACCACACCTCGAACTTCACCCAAAGCATCGGCCACCCACGTCACGCCAATCTCCTCCTCCCCGGTAGCACGCGTTCGGACCATCGAACGATCTCGCTCCAACACGATCGCCACCACCACCGTCGTCGCTACACCTCCACGCTCGTCGAGTCGACCGGACGCCAAGCCGGAGGTGTTCCGTGCCAGCCCCAGCGTACGCGAGCGGTTCGGGCTGAAGGATTGCAGCAACGGCGGCAGCACGAACGAGGTCGAGACGAGAGATGGGAAGAGCGATGCGGAGGTGTTGGGTGTGATCGAGTGCATACCCCAGCTTTCGCCTGCGGTAGCGGTGAGGAGGTACGGTTCGATCTCGCCGGTGAGGGTGGCCAAGGTGTCGACGGCGGTGGTGGAGGAGGGGGGAAGGGAGAAGAAGGTGGAGGTGGATGGGGAGAATGTTCGACCGGGGGGTGTGGTTCGTGCGCCGTTGACGGCGGGGGTGGTGAGTAAAGGGGTGAGGACGGTCAAGACTCCCGTGCCTAGCGCGAGCAGTAGTGCGAGGATCGTTACTGCCAGGAAACCGATCTCTGCACGTCCCACAACTTCGACGGCAGGGGCAACAACCCAACGATCTGTATCTGCGAAACTGCAGCCTTCCACGAGCACCGCCAGGGTTGTCCCGCTGAGGAGTCAAAAGAGCACCACCGACATTCGCACCACCGCTGCGTCCTCCTCCTCCACCATCCCACCCGTTCCGCGGGTGAACAGGACCGTCAGCAGCAGCAGCAACTCGAGCACCACCGCCACCACCGGTGTGACGGTCAGCAGACCAGGTAGCAGGTTGACCGCTCCCACCGCTGCCAGCGCCGCACGCGCCGCCGCCGCCGCCGCGGCGAAGCGCACGACGACGCCGACGATCAGACCTCAGATCGTGGGGACGGCGGGGATGGTGAGGAAGACGAGTGGAAAGGTTGCCGGCGGTGCGGTTAGGAGGAGTAGGAGGAGCAGTACTGGTGAAGCTGGGTTGGACGTTGTTGCTTGAGTTGAGAGCGGCGGGGGAGAAAGGAAGAAATTTCTAGTGTGTTGTGGTATGAGGAGGATGCGAGAGTGTGTCGTGTGTGCGGTATGAGAGTGGGTACCCTTACGAGTGCCGAGGGCTATCGTGTTGAAAAGGTGTGAGAGAGAGGGGAGCGTAAAGCGGAGGATGGTGGTTCACCAATTCCGACGCTCTGCTGCACTTTGTGAGGAAATACAGCTGCCGGGTTCGGGATTAGGACCCTGCATCAATTCCCCTCTCCCCCGCGCTTTCATCCTGCCTCATCGAGACGTCGATATCTTTGGCCCTCACACTCTTCTCCAGAAGACCAAGACTTGCTACAACGATCGCCATCGAGGATCAGAAGATCTGACCTGTCTGTGATTGCCACTGCGGGAAAGAGATTGGAAAGAGGAGGTTCGCATACGATCTCGTTTGACAGCTTCTGAGAGAGAAGCGAAGGGCGTAAAAAAGCGTTTGCTCTGCGCGTGACCCCTCTTCGCTAATCCCGAAGCATTGCTGGGCGAGCTGAGTGCACGGTCCGTTGAGAATATATACCTTCTTCCTCCCTCAAGCAAGAGGTACTTCCTTCTTCTTCCAAGGTGACATCAGACGAAAGTCTTGCTTTCGATAACGACCACTGTTCCACCTTCAACAGCGCTCCGCAAACCTCGCAGTACCATTGCCAAAGGCTCTCCAGACTTCGAATCTCAGTAACGCTTTACCGCTCACGATGTCCTCATCGACCCCCGCTACCACCGGTCGACTGACCTCCAAGATCGCCCTCATCACCGGTGGTACCCGCGGATTCGGTGCCTCGATCGTCTCGACGTTTGTCGCTCACGGCGCGCGATGTCTCGTCATGGACCTCCTCGCCACCGACGGTTTCTACGACCCCTATACCGTCTCCCCTCCCCCCTCGGATGTCTCCACCTCTACTGCAGTGGATCGCTCGGCGTACGCGCTCAAAGCAGACATCACATCGCGCGAATCTTGGGAGCGTGCTCTCTCCACCTGCCAGGAGATCTTCGGTTCCCATCCCACCATCGTGGTGAACAACGCTGGGTGGACGTACAGCAACAAACCTACACTCGAGGTAAAGGAGGACGAGTTTGAAAAGGTTTTCAGTGTCAATGTCAAGAGTGTATTTTTGAGCGTTGATGTGATCCTTCCACGGGTGTTGGAGGAAAGCAAAGGGGAAGATGTCAGTTGGATCAATGTTAGTAGTACTGCTGCGCTTAGACCGAGACCTGGACTTGTTTGGTGTAGGTACCATCACCCCCCCAAACCCAATCCCGAAAGCTGAAGATGCTGACATCGTTTCCGACTAACAGACAACGCATCCAAGGGAGCGGTCAGCACAGCAACCAAAGCTCTAGCCGTAGAATACGCTCCGCGCAAGATCCGCTTCAACTGCGTCTGTCCCGTCGCTGGAAATACCCCACTGTAAGTCCTTCAACCACACCCAAACCGACCATTTCTGAACTTCGATCTGACCAACACTCTTCTTGCTGGGCGGGGTGGGAAAAATCAGGTTGTCCAAGTTCGCAGGATCCCTCGAAGCAGGCGACTCCATGACCGCCGCCCAGCTGGCCCAGTTCAACGCCTCCATCCCTATCGGCAGACTCGCCGAGGCAAGCGACATCGCCAACGCCTGCCTCTTCCTCGCCGATCCGCGCAGCGAATTCATCACCGGCATCGACCTCCCCGTCGACGGTGGCAGATGCGTCTAAACCACACTTCAATCACATCCTTGTTGCACACACACACACACAAAACCATATCACAATATCCGCATCCTGCATTTCGAAAAACAAAACCCTCTCGTGCGTAGTGGCTCTACTTCAAATCCATCTCCCTCTCAACCAACTTGAAGATGGTCTCCAACATGATGTTGCTCGTACCTTCGTAGATGGCGCCGATCTTGCTATCCCTCCAGTACTTCTCGATGCCCGTCTCCCTCGTGAACCCGACACCGCCGCACCACTCGATGGCACTACCACTGGCGCGCTGCGCCACCTGACTGGCGAAAAGTTTCGCCATAGCCGCCTCCTTGGTGAAAGATCTACCTTCCTCCTTCAACCTAGCCGCGTTGTAGGTGAGCACCCTCGCGGCCTCGATCTCCATCATGATCTGGCTGATCTGGAACTGCATACCTTGGAACTGGGTGATCTTCTTTCCGAACTGCTTGCGATCGGCTGCGTACCTCACCGCCTTGTCAACCGCACCCTGCGCCAGACCGATCATCTGCGCCGCGATACCAACGCGTCCCTCGTTCAGGATCTCGATCGCGATCTTGTAACCTTTGCCCTCTTCTCCGATGAGGTTCTCGGCGGGGACGGTGATGTCGTCAAAGTTGAGCGTGCAGGTGGACGAGGCTTTGATGCCGAGCTTCTTCTCCTTCTTGGCGATCTCTACGCCCATGCTCTTCTCGACGGCGAACGCGTTGATGCCCTTGTAGCCCTTGGCAGGGTCGGACTGGGCAAACACAATAAAGAACTCGGCTTCGGCCGAGTTGGTGATCCACATCTTGCTGCCGTTCAGCGTCCAGCTCTTGCCATCGGCGGACTTCTTGCACGAGGTCTTCATGGCGAACGCGTCCGAACCAGAGGCGGGTTCGGAGAGGCAGAACGATCCGAGCGTCTTCTCCGAGAGCTGGGGCAGGTACTTGTCCTGGAGGGACTTGCTGGCGTACTTGCGGATCACCGTGTTGACGAGCGTGTTGTGGACGTCGCAGAGCACCGAGACGGAGGGATCGACCTTGGCGAGCTCCTCGATGACGATGATGGCAGCGGTGAACGAGCAGCCAGCGCCACCGTGGTCAGCCGAAGTCTCGACACCCATGAGACCCTGCTCGAAGAGGCCCTTGATGATCTCCGGGTCCATCTTTTCGGCCTCGTCCATCGCTTCGACCTTGGGAGCGACGACGTCCTGGGCGAAACGCTGGACGGCTTCGCGGAGCATCTCCTCCTCCTCGGTGTACTTGGAGAGTGAGTTGACGCCGAAGGGCGACTCAAAGTCGGCCGAGGCGGAGGAGGAGGTGGAGAAGGTGCGAACGGCAGACACGAGGCGTTGAGCGGATGGCTTGGTGGCTACGTTGGCCCAGGTGGAGCTGGAAGAGCTGGAGCTGGTGTTGATGCTGCGGGCAGTGGCGGCGACAGAGGGGGCGGCGGCGCGAGGAGCAGCGGCAGCAGCAGCAGCCTTGCTGGGAGCGGCGCGCGCCAAGAGGCGGCTCGAAGAAGATCGAAGCGACATTGCGAATGAAAAACAGTTGAGGAGGGGGAAGAACGAAGAGGAAGAAAGGTGATGGTGTGGGGAAGGTGAGGTGTCCTGAGTGTGGGGCTGTGGAGAGTATTTGTACGAGCAGCAGCTGCGATGCGTGCAACTCGCAGCACCAACCGGCCAGCAAAATGAAAGCGATTCCGACCGACGCGCCGAATTCAGGGTTGAAAGCGCACTCTTGCCTCACGCTCTCAGTCAGGGCAGCCAATTTGTTGCTTTTGCTCGCATTGTGTCTCTTATCCCGGTTTTCGGTGCATCCGAAAGCGGTGTTGACGGTCGTGTTCGTGCCAGCCTAGCCATGCTATTGCACAGCACACCACATCTGCGTGACACTCGAACACACGGTGACAGGCATCATATCATTGACGTAAGACCTCGTTCCCGCGAAGGATCTTAAGGATCGTGACTCTCTATGACACCGCAGCTTGGCACCGTGTAAACATGCGGGCCAGACCGGGCCAAAGAATCAAGAAGAAGAAGAAGAAGCGACATCTAGGAACGTCTTGTAAGGTGCTGTCTCGCGCGCGCATGGTGACGAAACGGCGAACGCTCTCCGACTGCAAAGCGCGGTTCTCTGGGCGAAATTGTCGCTTTCAAAGCTCGAGGCTCACCTAAGCTGCTTCCGGCAGTCGGCTTCCCTGGCCACCCGATGGCAGACGAATTCCCTCTGCAGTTTCGCCGTGTGACCTAGAATTCAATTTTCCGAGAAATGTAGCGATGGCTTTTGCTTAGTCAGCGTAAGAAAAATGTCAACCATCGGGTCTCCGCCCGTCTCCCGATTCGTTCTTCGATTGGACCCTTGAAATATGTGACTTTAGGAAGAACCATGCCAACCTATCGGGTTCACCGACCCGACTTGACGGACTTTCCCTTCTACTTTGACACAGGGACGACGCCGGTGACGAGTACAAGGGCTCTCAGTGCGGATGCTCCGAGTGGACAGCAAGCATGGCGTCAAGACAGAGGCTGAAGCAGTGCACAGCACGCACATCCTTTCCAACCTGGTTGCCTCCAGCCAAACAGCAGCGACTGCGCACACTTGGTAGCTCTTCAACTTCGCACGCCTCGACATCACAGCAGCCACCGCAGCGCAGTTCTAGCCAGCCAATACGACTCTCAACTCACTTCTCTCCCACTCAGAAAGCTTCGCAATCATCCTCCTCCTCCTCCACCAGCAGCAACGATGATCCACTCCCTTCCTTACAGCTGCTCCTCCGCGGCGGCTACATCCGATCCTCCTCATCCGGCGTATTCACCCTCCTCCCCAACGCCCTCCGAATCATACGCAAGATCACCAACATCATAGATCAAGAGCTCACCGCCATCTCTGCCTCTCGTCTCGCCATGCCCAACCTCCTCCCCTCCAAACTATGGCACCAGACCGGTCGATACGCCGTCATGGGTAGCGAGCTCTACAAGCTTCGCGATCGCAAGGATTCCGAATTCGTGCTTGGACCGACGCACGAGGAGGAGATTACCAAGCTCGTTGCACAGGAGGTCGATTCCGATCGTCAGCTGCCATTGCGCCTGTACCAGATCACCACCAAGTTCAGGGACGAGCCGAGACCGAGGATGGGCCTGTTGCGGACCAAGGAGTTTCTCATGAAGGACTTGTATTCTTTCGACAAGAGTGCGTGCGATGCGATAGCTACGTATGAGGAGGTGAGGGGTGCTTATGTGAGGATCTTCGATAGGATCTTTGGTGCAAAGGGACAGTGGAAGGCTGCAGAGGCGGATACGGGCGCGATTGGGGGGAACAAGAGTCACGAATATCATGTGCAGGATCCAGCGGGAGAGGACACCCTGATATCGTGCTCAAAGTGCACTTACACCGCCAACACGGAGAAGGCGGTATCCATGCCAGATCAAGCTCAAATGCCGGTAGCCGCGGCGGATGTCAGCGTCCTGTTGTTCGGATGTAGGGACGTCAAGATGCAAGACCAGGTGATGCACGCTTTCGTTCTTCCGGCAACGCGAACTTTGAACCACACCAAGCTCGAGAAGCTCGTCACCAAACTCAACGCTTCTACTGGGAACGAAGCGGAGCAGGACAGGGTTGAACTGCTGTACAACTCTGCTGCCTCTCCGGTTGCAAATGCAGGCGCTGCCGGCTGGGATTGGAAGGACCGACCCGAAGGACCGCTCGTCCGATTCACCTCTCTCTCCGTCCTCGCCGACTTCGAGTGTGCATCGCTCGACCCTTCCGAACTGAACGATGCTCTGATCCACGCCGTCAACACGTTCACCTCTCGACCTGGCGGCAACTCGAATCAACACCTGCCACTCATCGACCTCTTCCCCACCCAATTCGGCCACTTTGCCTCCACCCCATCCGCTGTCACGCCTCCGCTCACGCTCGTTGACATTCGCACTGCACAAGCCACCGACACGTGCCCCTCGTGCAAATTTCCCGCCTCACTCGTCGAAAGCAAAGCCATCGAAGTCGGTCACACCTTCTACCTCGGCGATCGATACAGTCGTACCCTCGAAGCTGGTTTCCACCCCTCCAACGAGGTAGCCGAGCAAACTCAAGCGGTGGAAAAGCTCCCAAATGGGAGGATCCCTTTCCAGATGGGATGTTATGGCATCGGGGTTTCGCGTATCCTCGGTGCGCTTGCACAGAAGGCCTCTGGTGAATTCGATCGAATCTTGACTGTCGAGGATGCTGTGGATAAGAAGAAGATGAGGAAAGCAGGTTTCGTCTGGCCAGAGAGCATTGCACCTTTTACCGCGGTTGTCATGGTCAGCGATGGGAAAGACACGAAGAAGTTGGATGCGGCGTACGACGTTTGGTCGCGCATCATTGCTCAGGCTCAAACCAGGAACTGTTCCGTCCGATCCGTCTTCCAGCGACTCGTTGCAGGGGAAGATGCACAATTAGACGAGCAACCGCAGCAGGAAACAGGATGGTCGAACGAGGAGCTAGGTGAAGTGGTGATCGATGATCGCGCGAAAACGTTGGGGTCCAAATTGGCGGATTCGGATCTGACGGGTTATGCGTACAGGGTGATTGTGGGCAAACACTGGGAGAAGGAGGGCAAGGTGGAGGTGCAGTGGATGGCGGAAGGTGGGTGGCGAGCGATGGTGGTTCCTGTCGAGGCGTTTAGCGGGTTCACTGGTTAATTCGTACTCAAAGCGCAGTCGGTTTCAGCGATACAGCAGAAGAGACGTTGAACAGTTCGGTGCGGATACCACAGCCAATAGAACCCATTGGTTTGAGACGTCACAGAGAAGAGCATCGCATCAAAATGGGAAAAGGACATGCATTCGAGAATTGGGGGGGACCATGCTTCAATCGTCGAAAGTGACCTTGGTACCAGTGCTCTGGACGACAGCTGTACTGGCTCTCTGGGCATTTGCCAATGCAGCACCTGGTTTAGCTCTTCTCTTATCCGCCGGACCACCCCTACTACCCTGTGCTGCTCTTCTCGCGATACGCTCTTCCTTTGTTTCCTTGTGTTTCTTTTCCAGTGGGGCGTTTGGATCGAAGCTTCCGGGAACCGGGGCTTGAACTTCTCTTTCTTCTTGCACCTTGTCTTGCTCTGGGTGGGATCGTTTTGGTTTGTTCCTCTGGAAACCTACTCGGAGGGCGTTAGGTTTCTTGGTGTCGATGGCGGTTCTCATGGCTTTACCTGCGCCGCGACGGGTGGCGTCGGGGGAGGCGTACTGGAGGACGATGCGTCGACCGTCGAGGAAAGCGTTGCGGGTATCGAGGAGAGAGGAGGTGGCGAATTCGGTGGTGTGGAAGTCGATGAAGCCGAAACCTTTGCACTTGTCGGGAGCGTCTTCGAAGGTTCCTAGTCGGACTTTGCGGATGCCGGCGGGTGAGGGAAGGACGTCACCTTGTCCAGGGGTTTTGGTGGTGGAAGGTTTGGGTGAGGGGGCCTCGCTGGAGGATGAGGATGAAGAGTCGGAGTCAGAGTCGGAATCTGATTCCGAGTCTGATTCCGCATCGGAGGAGGAGGATGACGAAGAAGAGCCAGAAGAAGATTTCTTCTTCTCCACTTTCTTTCGAACCTTCTTAACCTTGGGTTTGGGATTCCTCTTTGTCGCAGAATGATCGAACAACTCCCTAACACCCTGTTCGGTCGTGTTGAAACTCAAGTTGCCCAAGAACAGCGTCATGGAAGGCGGATTCTTCTGAGCCCTCAATATGCGTTGTGCCGTTTTGGTCAAACCCGTCTTTCCCTTCCTTCCCTCACCTTCACCCTGCTGCTCCTTGTCCTCTTCCTTCTCAGCATCCTCCTCCTTATCACCGAACTGATTGGTAGTGGCCTCCTTGAGGTTCTTCGCTACGGCCATGGCAAACCCGTTGATGTCCGGTCTCCCCGTGAAATCGGCACCGTCTTTGATGAGCAACTTCCTGCCATCGAGCGGCTGCTCAGACAGATTCAGTGCTGCGGTGAGCATATCCTTGTTGGGCAGATCGAGGTAGCAGAAGCCTTTGTTCATCTCTGCACGTCGAAGACCCTTGGGCATGTTGACGCGGGTGATTCCGTCGATGCCGCGTTGGGTGAACCAGTCGACGAGTTTGGAGGGTGGGGTGAAGAAGGAGAGGTTACCGATCCAGATCGAGAAGCCGGATCGTGGAGGGAGAGCCCCCGGTGCTCGGGATGGGTGGACAAGCGAGTTGGGTGTGGGGTCGGAAGAGGAGGGATCAGAGGTGGTTGAGGAGAGGAGCTTCTTGCGTCGTCGTGCTTCTTTATGCGAGAGGACTTCGGGCTCCTCCTCGGCGGCAACGGAGTCATCTTGAGAGATGGATTCGTGAGGTCGTTTGACACCAGCAGTAGTAGTGGAAGTGGATGCAGAGTCGGAGGGCTTGGATTTGCGGGCAGCGGCAGATTCCTTGGCCTGGCGTTTCTGCGCTACTGCCAGCTGACGCTTTTCCTTGTTGGTCAGCGGTCGGTCGGCATCCGCTGCTACAGCGGTAGCAGGAGCGAGTTCGGAAGGTTCCGACATGATGAGTAGCAGGTCGACTCCGAGATAAGGGAATGATGAAGGGTGAGAAGGAGAAGAAATGGATTTCGAGAGCAAGACCCTGAACAAAGTCAGAGAGCTCTCTGGCTGCCAACAGAAAATCTTCTCGCCGCCCGAAAATTTCTGGAAAGGACCTTCGGGTATCGGCCAGCATTTTGATAGCTCTATTTAAATAATGTTAGCGACAAAGTGTCTCACAAAGTAGGAAAATTGCGACTCCTTCCGAATCGACTGTCATCGTCCCCTTTCATAGCTCTGAACTGCTCCAGACAGCCATCGTAATCGCATCACACACCGGCCCACCCACACACACACACAACCCGCAGTGATAGGAGTAGTGGAAACATTCCTTGCGACATAACGACCAACGCTACATACAGAGATCACCTCCCTAAGCATTGATGAAATCCCTCATATTCGCCAACCAGCTACAGTACTCCCTCTGCTCCTTGTACTCTGCATAGTTGGGAATGAACAGCGCCAGGTTGGCGTCCACACCCCTCTCGGCCCAGAACTGGTACCACTGGTTCTGAACCGCATCGTCCAACGTCTCAAACTGAGGACCCAGGTAGTAGCCTCTCCTCTGAAAGTCGGCGTCGGCATCGATCCTGGTCGCCATGTCTTTGTCCTTGTAGTAGGCGATGTTGTCGATGTTCAGTTCGCCGTCCTGGACGAATGCGTCCATCATGATAGCGCCTCCGGAGGGTTTCGTGATGGTGGCAGAGATGCGGATCGGGAACTGCGGTTGTTCCGACTGTTCGGGTGCGCCGTCGACTTCTCCTGGCGTACCGTCTTCGCCGTCCTCCGGAAGGGCACCGGTGGTGTCGAGGTCTCCGACGGAGAAGAGGATCGAGATGTGCTCGTTTCCGAACTCGCGGGAGAGCGAGACTTCGTCGAGGCCGGGGGTGTCGATGAGTTTCCAGATGCCAGCTTGCTTGAACTCGGTGACGAATCCGGGCTCGGCGGTGGGCGACGAGTCGGGTGCGAACAGGTTGGAGTTCTCCTGCTCGTACGAGAGCTCAGTGGCCAGCTTGGATACTAGTTCCGCATCGGTTTCGCCCTGGGAGAGGAGGGAGCGGGTGGAGGTGAAGAGGCGGCTGCCGGCGGGGGTCACCGTGGGTCGGATGGAGGCAGTGCGGGCGAGGGAGAGCGCGTTGGAGGTGTTGGCAGCGCGAGGAGCGCGAGCGGCTCGAAGAACCGCTCTGGACAAGTTGCGTGCGATCATGATTCAAGAACGTGAGGGACGACGAAGATAGTGGTGGTGCTGAGGGATCGATGAGCAAAACGACAGGTGGAGCAAGTGATTCACCACAAAAAAAAGTAAGAAAAAAGAGGAGATCAGTGCGCAATTCCAGTTGGAAAGAAAAAAGGACCCTTTGATTCTAGCAAGCGTGGAAGACAGAAGAAATACCAGGGAAATGTTTCGGCTTGTCCGCCACTTGTGAATACTCGAGGGCTCTGAACCAGCCAGCACGTTCTCGGCCAGCAACCAAGTCACTGACACGCTCAGAACAAAGGGACGCAATCATGCCAAGTTCATCGTTCCCTTTGTCTTTTATCTCTCGATGAATTGCATTATACAGTTGACGAAAAGTGTAATCGCTCCTTGACACGCTTGTCTGAGACTCAGTCAGCAGGATTCAAGATGTCAGCGATACGGTACGCGCCCCCTTGCGATCCTAAGGCAGCCGGTGATGCGTGTCGACGACGCATCTAGCGTTACAACGGGACATTCGACCCTCACACTCGCTCTTGCAAGCACATCACAACTGAAACGTGTAATGATGATCGTGTCACTTGAAAACGCTGACAGCAAAGACAACTGTCAACATGAGAGCCGAGACTGGAAGAAGATGTGCAAAGTGAAACAAAGGCTGCGAGAAGGGACGAGGCCGACCTCGACGAGTCTTCTGTCTCCCTCAATTGCCCGTTCGCGACTACTGTTGAGCACCTGCATCCTGCTCGGGGTCAGTACGAGATTGGCCGGCCACCTGATCACTCCCAGGAACAAGACCGCTTCGTTTCTCCGAGCTTCGTTTCTCGGACTCGACTTCGCCCACATTCCTCTGACCCATCCCTGCCGAATCGTCTCCATCACTCGCAATCACCTTACCGTCGCTCGCATACCCCGACGGACACTTGAAGCTAGCATCGCTCACACCACCCGCATCCACGCACCTCTTGCAAAACGCCTCCTGCCACCAAAAATTATCGCCATCCGTCATCTGATCCTTACCACCTACCTCGACGCAGTCGACCTCGGCGATCGTTGAAAACTTACACTTGGCCGTCTTGGAAGCGATCTCGACGAACCTGCTAACGCACGACCCAACAGTGCTCGAAGATTGGCCATCCAGCTTGCCGTCGTCGGGGAAACGATCGCAACGACAGATCCCGTAGAAGCCGAGCGCGGAAGTGGGCTGGTGCTCCAGAGATGACGTGATGTAGATCGCAGGGCTGATGAGCGAGGTATAAGATGGGTTCGAGGAATCAACGAGGGCGGTTTGGAATTGCTGAGGGTTCTGCTTGAGCTCTCCCGCGACAGGGTCCGTGTGCGGCTGTGCAGGGTCTTGATGGGCGGGAGGAGTTTGATCTCCTTCGTGATTGACGTTGTCTCGCTTGGCGAACTTCACCTGATGAGGTCTACCATTACAGCCATTCCACTTCGTACAGCCTCTGTTGTATGGATCCGATACTTTTGAAGCTCCGGACCTTTGACTCTGATCGGAGACGTCTTCAAGGACACCGCCGTCGTCGCCAGGAAGAGAAGAACGCTTGCCGATGTGTCTTTCGCCGACCACCTCTTCAGTCTCCACGGAACGCTTGGAACCAGTGAAGCGAACGGCGTTCTCGTTAACATGTTCTGCCGGGGGTCTCCTACCGCCTCTGCCCCAAGGAACTGGTCCACCGTTCCAACCAGTACCACCATTGATAGGATCCGGATCAGGGAGGTGAGAATACTTTGCATCGGAAACCGAGTCGAGAACAACGCCGCTGACCGACTCGGGCTCGGAACGCTTGGCGCCAACGTAGCGAACGCCGTGTTCGTTGGCCTGACCTGGAGGCGCGGATCGACCACCGTGACTGTAATGGTCCCACCAAGGCTTCGGTCCGCCATTGTCCCAACCAGAACCGTCATCGTCCGGAGGAGGACGAGGAATGTAAGGGGAATGGGGAACCGAATCGAGGTGGGCGTCATTGACAGACTGTTGCTCGGATCGCTTTGCGCCGACGAAGCGAACACCGTTCTCGTCGACGAGGCTTCGACGGGAAGGGCCACCGTCCCCGCTTCGGCTACTCCCTGAACCTCCAGATTGCCCGGTGGATGCCCAAGGTTCATTCCCTGGACCCGGAAAGTAAGCTCGACGAGCCAGAGGTGGTCCGTCAGCATCACTGGTGCCGTGCGTCCCAGAAGTCGGCGGTTGTTCGTCCGTTCTTCCTTCAGGAGGAACATATCCACCAGAAGGACGATATCGACGAGCCAGATTTGGTCCGTCACGACGACCTTCGCGAGCTTCGTGAGAAGGCTCGTGGACTATCCAATCACGTTCCTCGTCTTCGTCCTCGTCGACGTCGGACAGGACGGATTCGGAATCGCGACTCTCCAGACTGTTTTTGTGAGGACCAATATGAGGTCGAGGTTCAGCTCCGTGATACAGCGGAGTACCTTTGTCGCCCCGAGGAGCCCAAGACCAATGGAAAGCTTCGGATTCGATATCTCGCTCTTGTTTAGAATCGCGACGTTCAATTTGGGCTGCAGGCTGCGCTGTTCGGTCTTGAGGGGTGAAACGAGCGTAAGGAGGATCGAAGTCCCCATTTCGTTCGTACAGGGCGACCGAGTCAGGTGGGCGGTGCGGATGCTTGGGAGGCTTCGGAAAGACAGGGTTGGGGGCAGGATTGCCATTCCAACCAGGAGCGCCACCAGGTCCAGGTTCGTCTGAACTGTCGTCCTTGACATCACGTTTCTCCTGCAGCTCGACCGAACGAGGTGTGCGATACGGATGCTTCGGCACCTTGGGCTCGGGAGCAGTTTCCCAGAAGATAGGCATATTGACATCGTTGTCTTCGACGTCGCGCTTCTCGAGCCCAGGATCGCGACCTGCCTCGTCGAATTCATCACCAAAAAACTCATCTTCATCGGATTCGGCGTCTCGTTCTTGCAGATCGGCCACAGCCGGGTGCGAAAGTTGATGAGCATACGAAGCAGCTGCAACAGATTGCTCCTGTTCAGCGAGACTGCGCTTCATCCAAGGACCAGGTGGACCATGGCCCTCGGGTGGATTGTCGCTTTCAGGAAGACCGTGACCCTGAGGCAGACTGCCGCCTCCAGGTGGAATGTCGCCCTGATCGTTGAAATGCGGCTGGCTACGCTTCCTGTCTTGGTGCGAACTACCAGCAGATCTGTGTCCCCGAACTTCGTCGTAGACTTCTTGACGGCGAGTCAGTCTAGGAGGATTCACAACAAATGGATCCGAATCGCGGAGCCCAGGTGAAACAACCTCGACGCGCTCGACAGCGGCTCCATGGTTGCCGGGCGCAGAGTCAAACCGCTCGGAAGCATCGAGCTTCACGGGCGAAGCAAAGGTGGTGGTGGCGAGGAAAAGAGAGAGGCTGACCGAAGCCAGCAGAAGTGTTTTGGGAAAGAACATCCTCGAGCCTCTACACTCCTCAAGAGAAAAGGAATGAAAAGAACTGGACAGATGTGGATGGGTGAGAGGGGAGGAAGGCTGACAGGAGGGGAGGAGGGTATTTATCCTTGACGAAAGCTGGAACGGGTAGCGTGTGCCGAAACAGTGGCCACACAGACAAATATTAGCTTTCGTCAGAGAGACCCTGTGACCCACCACTGTGATCTCATCTGACAAACTCAGAGACGGTCAAGTTTGGCATTCGTAAGATGTGTCACCTGAGTGGTAGAGAACGAGGGCGTGTTTCCACGCGGACCACTTCAGGTGAAAAGGATGTTCTCCCACGACGAAAAGCGGGCATCGCTCAACGACTGTTGCACACATGAAACGAGGATGGGAACAAGGTCGACTGCCGACGTTTTTGCGGCCTGATGAGATGTGTGGGGACAATAACGACATGGAGGGACGTGGCAGTGGGGCGGAGTCCGATTTCCGGAGTGCAACGGTAGGCACGATGCCGGTGGGATGCATTTCATGGTGCTGATGACCCGTGCGTTGATATCAGGTTGCAAGGGCATCGTTCCGAGTGACTCAAGCAGACACCCGAGGCATTGAAACGTAGCTCGAGCCATTTCTGAAAGGTTATCATGACCACAGTTCTAAAGACGTACGGGCTCACGAGACGAGCGGTCTTTGCCGACCAAGCAGATTCCACACAGCCACACGAGCAGATACGAGGGCACAAGGGGTCTATCACCATGTTTTAACACGAGAATTGATCACATCACACGTGAACGGTTCGTAACAATATTAGCATTGAGAACGACCAACAAGCGTACGGAGGATTGAAGTACAAGCAAGAGCGCAGCCTGCATCTCCTCATGCCAAGGCTATCGTCGCGAACCCACAGGAGGCCCCTTTGCGACCAGCACGCCAGGAAAATGGTCTCTGACGCTCAATCCTTGACCTCGCCTCCTGACGATCACCAGAGACAATTCTGCAAGCACTCCTCATAGTTGTCAGCGAGCGCACATTTGTTTGCGCAATCGTCTTGGGAATCGCGCTTCACGTGTTTGACACCTTCTACCTCGCGTTTGACGTGATGATCGTCACCGCTGGAGAAACTTTCGAGGTGAGGGGTCGATTTGGAATGCACTTTGATGCGATGATCTTGATCAGGGAAGGAAACCCCGCCCGTCCAGTTGGTCATGCAATCCTGTTTGCAGAACTCTCGGATCGCGGGAGGACCACGACTACACTTGGCGGCGCACGCTTTGCTGTCGTCCGACTCGTTGCTGCGCACGTCACGTTTTGTATGGCCACCCACAACGGATGGACCGTGGATGCTGGCATCGGCAGAAGAGCCATCGAATGCTTCTGCCCGACTTCTTTTGGCCCATGGGCATTTCGTCGTCATGCAATACTTCAACGAATGGCCAGACGCGGTACAAGAGTTGAGACACTCCTGATACAGGGAGATGTCGATCTTCTCCGGATCGATGTTGCTGTTCGGATCCCGCTTGACGATCGTACCTCGTTGATGCTCGAAAGGCGGGTGACATCTCTTGATACAGTCGCCTGGGCTCAGACCTTGCCAATATTCGCAGTAGTTGACACACTGACGATAGTTTCCGTAATAGGGTTGCGGATAACGTGGATGCTCCTCGACATCGCGCTTGCTGATGGAAGAGTCGCTGAGAGCAGCAGAACCGAAACAACGCTTCTCGCACATCTGTGAATCCCATGGGAATCGCATGCAATCATCCATGCAATCTTCCTCCCCTTGACCGGAAGGAGGAGAGATCCCAGAGCGTTTGTTCAGCGGTCGTCGTAGAACACCATCGTCAGATGGAGTGCCACCAGCGCTGCTGCAGTGCAGTTTGCAGTGGTACGGACGAGGTGCGTCGTCGTCGCACTTTACGTTGCACTGATCAGCGTTTGCGACTGGGTTGGATCGCTCGCCTGTGGTGGAAATTCTCTTATGGTGGTGAGGAGGAGATCCGTAACAACGACGCACGCACATGGGCGCATCTGATGGAGTTGCCATACATTCTGCCATGCACACCGCAGGGTTGTCTCGACGTTCTTCCTCTGAACTGCGGTGAAGAGCGACCACCGAGCGTTTGTGAAGAGGTGGTAGAACACCGTCGTCACGCGGGGCACCGCCTGAGATGCAGTCACTCCTGCATTGTTGAACATTCGGTTTGTCGTGGCAGCTTGAAATGCATGCGTTGAACTGAGTGTTTGGCTTGATAGAAACAGCGTCGCGCTTGCTAATGGGGGAGGACTTGTCGCTGTGAGCAGGAGAGATGCCATAACAACGATGTATACACGCCTCCGAGTCCCCGAGATACTCCATGCACTGCAGCATGCAATAATCAGCGGAATCTTGACGTTTCACCTCTGAAACCGAGGGAAGAGAGATCACCGAGCGTTTGTCCACCGTCGGTATTCCACCGTCATCAGGAGGAATGCCGCCAGTTCTGCAGTGCTCCCTGCATTGCCGAGGATTCGGTTTGTCGTGGCAGCCGGAGATACATGCGTTGATACGAGACTTCGAGTCAATCTCAGCAGCGTGACGCTTGTCTATGGATGCGATCTTGTCGTTGAGAGAAAGAGGATTGTAACAACGCTTCTCGCAAGTCTGCGAATCCCATGGACCTCGCGCGCATCTGTCCATGCACGCTGAAGGGTCATCTTGGCGCTTTTCTTCTGAGCCGTGGGAAAGAGAGATCACAGAGCGTTTGTTGATGTCGTCAAACCCATCCTTGTTGTGAGAATGAGGATCGTAACAACGATGCTCGCACGCCTCCGCGTCTTCGAGATACTCCATACACTGCAGTATGCAATAATCATCGGCATCTCGACGTTTTACGTTCTGTGAACCTGAGGCAGGAGCGCGTTTGTTGACGTCGTCAACCCCGTCGTTGTGAGGAGGAATACCGTAACAACGATGCTCGCACGTGGTCAAGTCCACAAAAGTCTCGGTGCACTGTGTCATGCAGTAATCGGCGGTGTCTCGACGACCACTCCTCTCCGATCCTCTCGCAGGAATCGTATCGCGTTTGCTCACATCATCAATCTTGCTGTGGTGGGGAGGAATACCGTAACAGCGATGTTTGCACATCGTCATGTCGGCGAGATCCTGCATGCACTGCAACATGCAATAGCTCGCTTGGGAATCCGGACGTGGCCCCCCCTCCGAAGCTGAGGGAAGAGGAGATGTGGAGCGTTTGTGAAGGGCTACGTCAACGCCACTGGGAGGGCAATCAAGAGCGCATTGGTAGGGACTAGGAGCGTCCCTGCAAAGCTCGATGCACAGATCGTGGTCCATGTTTCGATTATCCCCCGGGATAAATGGAGAGCGTTTGTCAAGGCTTGCGTGACCGTAAACGCAGTTGAGTTTGCATTGGTGAGGGTTAGGAGCGTCGTCGCAGTTGGCGATACACGTATCGACGTTCGACAGTGGATCTTGACCAATCACCGGGCGAGCAGCGGCGAGGGTAGAGAAGGTGAGGATGAAGATGCTGATGGTCAGCAGGAATGTGTTGGAGAAGAACATCTTGCGAAAACGGATGAGAGAGACAAAGATGTGTCAAGGGATGTGAAGGGAAATGGGAAGGATGAAGAGATATGAATGTATTTATCTCTGAGCTTTGAGTCAAGGGTCAAGGGACGGATCAGATGAGTCGCAAACAAGAGCGATTGGCGTAAGTAGGAACAGGCAAATGAAGACGAACGTCATGCGAACGTGTCACAGCAACTTCCGAAAGTATTGTCGTCGTAATCACGTATGTGTCCTGTCCGAGCTAGGGAAGGAGGTGGCTATGCAACTAGCGTGGAATCGGATGAAAGGTCGGAACAGAAGCTTCCGTAAGTGAAAGGTGACGTTGTCATCGGTGGGGAAGGCTGTTGGTTTAGGACCGAGTTGGCGTGAGACAAACAACAAGCCAAGTGGCATTGTTCGAGGAGAAATGGAGTACAGAGAGAAAAACGCTTGGCGTGGCAGTGCCGTTAGCGGGCGTGCGATGAGACGGGGGGACGAAAGGTGGGCGTCGAGGTTCACACGATCCGAGATCAAACAAACCAAAGGCATGCCAAAGGCATGCCCAAGGGTGGATCCGCAAGACAATCAGTAGCACTGAATGCTGAGAGGTGGGCGAACAGCGCTTTCGTCCAAGTGGATTCTGCGGTTTGATCTGGTTCACGGCCGGGTCTCGCCTTCATCTTGTCTTCGTGTGAATTCTCTCTCATATCACATACTGTACAGCACGGACCTCAATGCACTGTTCAGTGTCGACAGCTCCATCTGTCATTGCGTCCTTATCAAATCGAATCATCCTCCTCCTCGTCATCCAGCGCCACACTGCTCGCCGCCGTCGTCTCTCCCACGCTCACATCGCCCTTCCTCCTCCCCCCACCACCACCCTTCCTCTTTTTCGTCAACAACCCACCCAACGTCGTCTGCACCGTCCCCACTTTGGCCCACCTCGCCAACTCCATCTGATCCGTCAACTCCCTCGGGAGCATCTTGTGCGCCAGACTGCTCGCATCGTGTCTCTGCGTCACTCTCCCCTGCCTCTTCAACACTGCCACCACATCCGCCTCCGTGATGTTGGCACCGCTCGACGAACCTCTCGACCGTGTTTTGGACTGAGTGAGCAGGTTGGTAGCGAAGTCGGCGAAAAAGTCGTGACAGGCGGAATCGAGTTCGTCAAGGACTGTACTGTCCAGCTTTGCTTTCTTAGCCGAGCTCGTTGAGGAGGAGATGAGGGAGGAGGCGGTGGAGGAGGAAGAGGAAGACGAAGGGGTGAGGAAGGAGGAGAAGATGTCGCGCATGACAGACGCGGGAAGTGGCGGCAGTGGTTGACCCGTGTGCGGTGATACGCGGGACTTGCGCTTCTTGACGATACGACGTTTGAGGAGAGCGTTGAGATCTTTCGGGTCGAGCAAGTCGAGTCGCGCTGATGCGTCGCGTTCGGCGTCAGAGTCGTCATCTTCGTCAAGATCGGGGACCGACAGACCGTATGCGCCGTCGTCGGAGGAATAGGCATCGTCGACTTGGAAGGACACCTCGTCTTGCTCGGCAAAGGAGACGCGTGAGATCCGACTGTCATCCACATCGCCGCCCGTGATGGACGGGTCGAGTTGGTCGCTCAGTTGGCGCGACGTAGAGTCGTCCGCGGCGAGACGTCGCGCGAGACCGTCGGAATCATCGTCGCCAGCATCGTCAACAGCGAGACTGTCGGAAACTTGCTCCTCTTCCACGCTTTGCTCCTGAGGCATCGCATCGTCGTCGTCGCCAAAGAACAAGACAGAGCCGTCTGCCTCTCCCTCCAGTGGTTCCGACATTGATCTACCCATGCTCTTTCTGCTCGCGTCCAGCACCGACTCGTCCTCGTCCTCCTCATCTTCATCGTCGTATTGCAAGTGACCGTCCTCGCTGAAGAAACTCTGTCGAGTCAGATCATCGAGCCTGCGAATAGCTTTCGCTTTTGCCAAGTCGATGCCTGAAGCAGAAATGAAGCTCTCGGCACCGCCGTACTGCTGCTGAAGGCTGCGTTCGAGTTCATCCTCCCTGCGGCTGGACATGTCGTCGAAACGCATCGAGGAGGGCGAGAGTTGATTGGCAAACGAGACACGCGAACCCGTCGACACACGGGACGTCCTCGGGGGTTCGGCCATGCCGGCAAAGATGCCATCTCGAACGAGACCCATACCAGACGCACGACGCGGGATACCCATGTCGGAGAGTCGCGAGCGAGATCGATCGTCTGGAGCGTCGGTGACAGAGGCGAGAGATTCGTCGACGTCGAGTGAATCGGAGAGGTTGCTGTCGCGTGTCAGGTCGCCGGGAACCGACTCGCCAGGGACGAGCATGGTAGCACGACTGAGGGAGGAGCGGGCAGAGTCGCTGGCGGCGCTTTCACGGGCGCGTGTGCGCGAGTGGGAGGCATCGCTGGCTGTGCTGGATCGACCCGGGCGACCAGCTGGAGGTGGCATGGCGATGGAATCTTGCGACGGCGTCGGTGGCACGACAAAGTCAGGCGCGCGGGCGAGGCGGCGAAGGAGATCCATGGGCGATTCTTCGCGTCCACCCGCCCATCCACCGACACCGCCCCAGAGGAGACTTTTGCGGGACGCGGATCGTCTCTCTCGCGTACGTTGCGCACTAGCGAGCAGTGCATCGTTGCGTTTGCGCCTCTTGTCTGTGGCCGGGGTGTGCATACCTTGAGCTGGAGGCTGAGACGAGCTGGCAACGCTGAAGGGGTTGGTAGTGGCAGAAGCCGAGCCAGGGACGGTGCGTCTTGGGGTGCCGAGGATGCGTCGTCCCGGGGTATTGGTGAGAGCCGCTGTCTGTGAGGGAGTGCGTGCCTGACGTTGGGCAGCTGCATACTTGGCAGAAGGCGTCATGGAGCTGGAATGCAGTTGACGGAGCAAAACATCGTTGGGCGGAGGCTGCGAAAGGGACCGGCGGCGAGTGGGATCGGTCGAGCTGGAAGCTGTTGCAGCCGCGTTGTTCTGGGATGCGTCCCTATCACGCGAAGTTGATGGGCCCGCGAGCGAAGGGCGTTCGCGTGCAGGAGGAGCCGTGTGCGGAGTGCGTGCCTTTGTCGGACTTCGATTGGCGCGAGGCGTAGTTTCCGTGTCGTCATCGCTACCATCAGCCTGAGAAGCGCGAGTCTTTCTCTTCCGCGTCGGAGTGGTGTTTGGAGAGTCGGCGGGTGTAGAAGTGCGGCTGCTTCTCCTCGGTGAGCGTCGTGGTGTTGTGTTGGCATCGTCTGCAAGCTGTGCGATACGCTGTGCAGCAGCTTGGTCGCTGACAATGTATCTCGGAGGCGTTCTTCTGGAGCTTCCACCGGCAAGACCTTGACTGGCTCCGCGCTTCTCACGCACGCCATCGACGGGACGGTCTGCAGAGTTGGCAGCGCCGATGTTGAGTCGCTCTCCTGGCTCTGTCTTGAGGACGAGCGCAGTGCCGCGGAAGCCGAGGTAGAAGAAGCGCGAGAGGGTGGTGGCGTTGGAGTGCGAAAGGACGATGGTGATGCTGTTGGTGTGGGAGAAGCGTGCGACGCTGACAGGGTACTCTACCACGCCCTGTTCGCCTCGTAGCAGCGCGAAGTCGGCTTGCGCCTTGCCGCTACCCACGTTGCCCAAGGTGGCAGCGGTAGCGAGTGGTGTCGAGTCAGCGGGATGGTGGTCGGCTGTTGCCTGGTCCACATCATCAAAGTCGACACCATCTGGACGATTGACGAACGCGCGACATCGTGTAGGTGCAAAGTCGCCGGTGCCAGTGTTGATGAGGATAGATTTCAAGCGAACGGGGCAGGTGAAGGGGACCGTGATGGCGAGCTGATCGTCGACGTTGGACTGTGTGGAGGGTTCAGCCGAGAGACGCTCGTGCCAGGGTTTGATGACGTTCTTGGCAGATTCGGGCGGATCTAGGTTTGCGCCCCACACTTTGTCGCGGATGATGTATTCGAACAAGCTGGTAGCGTCGCCATCAACCGCAGACAGTCCAGTCGAGGTGGAGCCCGTGTCGCGGTTGTCGTGGTCGCTGTCGGTGGTATTGCAACTCATCTTGGCGGTGAGCTGGTCTGAATGGCGGCGACACACATCCAGCGGCGGTGGTGGAATGGATGCTGAGTAGTGCAGCTGTTCCGCGCTTGTGATTCTGAAGAGTGTTTGAGATAGGGGATGAGATGGAGGAGGTATCGGATGGAACGACAGTGACAGCTCGAAGCATACTGTGTTGATCTCGCACGGAATCACAATACAGCAACCATGCTCAGCCTTCCTGGACGGCACATTTTTGGGCACGACGCGTCAGCCAGCGCCGCGCGTTGCTGCCACCCACAATCAATCGCCGATTCCTTTGCCCGATGTAAAGCCAGAAATTGGAAATCGAGCGTGCGGCATCTTCCAGCTCACCGCTTTTGCCCATTCTGACGTGCAAGGGGCACGCACACAGGAAGAAGCGCGCCAGAGCACTGTCAATCTGCTGTCAGCGTGCACGGCTCAGTCGTCTCTTCTCCTCATCACCATCACCGACCATCAACCACCTACAACAGCCCAGCCAGACAACAGGCGGGATCATCTGACTCGCCACCATGGCAGAATACAAGTACGACGAGGAAGGTGGACAGTTCCTCACCTTTGTCCTCACCTTCCTGCTCCTCGTCCTCGTGCCACTCACATACACGCTCCTCGCACCTTCCGGCGCCGCTTCCTCCAAAAAGGGCTCGTGGGATGCACGTGGGCAGAAGATCTCCCTCATCCGCTCCGCCAAGAAGCGCTCGCTGCTCAACCCACAGGTCAGCTCCAAGGCCGTCTTTGTTCTCGCTGGCTGGGGTATCGTCGCCTACCTCTTCCAGACCATCCTCAACACTGCCACCAACTCTTCCCATGCCGTGTACGATCCTTTCCAGATCCTCGGCATTGCAGCTTCCGCTACGGAGAAGGAGATCAAGAAGCACTACAAGCGTCTCTCGGTCAAGTTCCACCCGGACAAGCTGGTCCTTGGTGAAAATCAGACAAAGGAAGAGGTCGAGGGTCAATTTATCGAATTGACGAAGGCGTACAAGGCTCTGACCGATGAGACGATCCGCAAGAACTTTGAGCTGTACGGTCACCCGGATGGAAAGCAGGAGATGTCCATGGGCATCGCTCTGCCCCGATGGGTCATCGAAAGCCAGAACAACATCTATGTGCTCGGAATGTACGCCGTCGTCCTTGGTGTAGGTCTGCCCTTCCTCGTCGCCAGGTGGTGGTACGGCTCTCGATCCAAAACCAAGGACGGCATCGTCAACTCCACCGCACAGACCTACTTCCAGCATCTGCGTGATGACACCAACCCTTCGCGCATCTTTGCTCTCCTCGCCATCTCGGACGAATTCTCCGATCCCAAGCTCGACAAGCTCGGTGCCAAACACGCCGACGAACCTGCCCTCGCAAAACTCGAAACCGAGATCCGCAAAAAGCTCGCAGAGTTCGGTCCGGAATGGCAGCTCATCGACTCGTTCAAAAACGCATCTATCAGGAAGGCGTTGCTCATGATGCACGCTCACACCCTGCGCATCGACAGCGGCAACAAGAAGATCGAGCAGGACAAGCTGCGGTACGCTGCCAAAGCCGTTCAGCTTATCAACGGGTTGATGTCGATCAGTTTGGCGCACAACTGGTTGGAGACGACGTTGCTGTTGATGCAGTTTACGCAGTGTATGGTGCAGGCTGTTCCGTTGCAGGATTTGAACACGGCCGAGTTGCTGCAGCTGCCGAGCATGACGACCGAGTTGGTGGCTAAGTTGCAGGCGTCCAATAGTTTGGCCAAGTTGGGTATTCAGGGATTCTGGAAGATTCCGGATGCCGAGCGGAAGGCTGTCATCACGGGTGCGGGTGTTGGGGCCAAGGAGTATGAGCAGATGGTCAACGTGACCTCCACTTGGCCCAGGGTGGAGTTGGTCGATGCATTCTTCAAGGTTTCCGGCGAGAGGTTGGTGACCACTGGAGCGATCGTTCAGTTTGTAGTCAAGCTTCGCCTGCTGCCACCGCGCAAAGATGGAAGTTTGCTACGGGATGGTAGGAGACTGGATGCCAAGAGGATGGATGATGAGACGAGCGTACGACCTGACGAAGACGAACTCGACAAGAAATCCGCCGATGGCGAGAAGGAGGATGGCAAGCAGTCGATCGGGGTCGCACGTGCGCCGTACTTCTGGGATGAGAGGAAACCCTCCTGGTGGGTCATGATTGGAGATCAGAAGTTGGATCGTGTCATCGTCCAACCCACCAAAGTGTCGGATATCGGGGTGGACAAGGTGAGGACGTACTCGGTGCAGTTTCAGGCACCTCCTCAGGCTGGACTGTATACCTTCCAGGCGATTCTGAAGAGCGATTCGTTCTTGGGTTCGGATGCTAGTAGGATGGTCAAGTTGAAAGTCGACGACGCAAGCGTGCTCGAGGCAGACGAGGAGGACGAGATCAGCGAACCCGAGGAGGACAGCCTCGCTGGTCAGATGGCGCTGATGAAGGGTCAGAAGGTCAAGGCTAGTAGGAACGACGAGGACGACGAGAGCGATGGAGAGAGCGCCACCGAGGAGGAAGACGACGATGACGACGATGATTCGGACAGCGATAGCGATTCTGATTGACCTTGGTCCGAAAAAGTCGACCACCATCCACTTGTTCAACTCCGAAAGAGAACAGTTGGCACGTGGAATCTCAAAAACTCCGTCTTGCTTTACATGAACTTTCTTGATGAAAACATGTGTGTGTGTGTGTGTGTGTGTGTGTGTATCACGCATGGGTCCTTTTCGAATGGATCAGCACACACTCCAATGCAGAGTCGAGACGTGCGATGATTGAACGCAAACGGGTATATGCTTCGTGTATTATCAATATCCATACTGTCACATCCTCCCCACTCGTCTACAGACTATACATCGACGAGAGCTTTACCATTGCCTGCCTCCGACTTGCCCTCTACTGCCTCCCCCTTCTTTGCTGACGCCAACTCTTCAGGGTACCTCTCTCTTGTCTTCTCAATGTCCTCCAGGATATCCTGGAAGCACCACTCGACGGCATCGGCGGCCCAAAAGTGGTCGCAATGCTCGGCCTCGTCCTGCCTCTTGAACCTCAGCAGCTGGACGTTCTTCTCCTTCTGTTCGATCCTCTCGATCAACGGATCGGTCAGGACCAGGAAGTCCATTCCACCGCTAAAGATGGACAGTGGCGGAAAGTTTTCGTCCCACCACTGATCCAAGCTAGGATCCAATACGCAGCCTCTCGTGGCGAAACCGTCTTTGCCCGCCCACCAGTAGATGCTCGCAGAGGACACGGGTTGAGGCGTGAATCGGAACATCTTTGCTTTGCGTCGGAGGAGCCAATTCGCATCGGTCCAAGCGAAGAGGAAGGCGAACATCTGATAGCCGAGCAAAGCGTACGGATAGGCGGGTGTGTAGTCGTACGAGATCTTCATGAGCGGAATAAAGTCGAGGACACCGAAGAAACGCTTCCATCTGGACCATTCGAGTTGGCCGAGCGTGGTGAAGGGGAAGCAAGAGGTGAGGGGTCCCGCATACACGGCGGGTGCGAGCGCTGCAAACGAGGTCAGCTTCTTGCCCAGCTCGGGTACCATGCCTTTGGAGAGCGAGATGAACATGGTTCCGTTACCCTGTGAGTGGCCGATGTAGGCGATGCGGTCGTAACCGGTGTCCTTGCGGATGTAATCGATCATGGCTGGAAGGTCGTAGATGGCCAGCTCGCGGATGTTGTAGTCCCAAAAGCGCGGATCGCTGCGTGAGTAGGTGCGGTGACCCATGTCGAACACTCCGCGATTGTTGCCGAGGAAGACCTGATATCCTCCCTGACGGGCGAGCCAAAAGGCAAGGGAACGCTCTTCGGAAGTGACAAAGGATCCGCTGGACTGAAAGAGGCCGTGCATGATGAGGACGGGGAAGCCACCACGGCCGTCCGAGTGCTTCTTGTGCGTGGTCTGCGGGTCGATGATGCGGTTCATGCGAAGATAGTAGCCATCCTGGGTTTCGACGGTCTCGTTGATGATCTCGAAGCCGCAGCTGGCGGCGTAGTAGCGAACGTCCTTGACGAGTTTCTCCTTGTTCCAGCGTTTGGGGTCGTCCCATTCCTTTTGCTCTTTGATGGTGGGAGCAAAGAACTTGGGGATGGCGGCGAGCAAGCGGACAGAGAGGGCCCATACGATGACGAGCAAGAGGAAGAAGCTGGACAAGACGTTTGCGGTGGCTTGCGAGACGAGCAGACGTCCACGCGAGTAGAGTGTAGGCCTCTTGTAGGGCGGTGCTCCGCCTCTGCGTGCAAACGTGGCTGCGATGCTGTCGTGGGTCGAGCGTCGTCGAGCGCTTGGTGCAGACCTGCCGTTGGCATTGGACTTACGATTGCCGTTTGAGGATGAGCCAAAGTCTTCGGAATCGTAGGAAGGGTGTAAAAGGGGATCCTCCTCGAAACCAGTGGGGACGTGGGTGTATAGGGCGCGACCGCTTATGGATTCGCTGGTGGGCTTGTCGACACGAATGCGCATGCTCGCTGCGGAGGAGGGTCTGCTGATAGGTTCATTGGCCGAGGTGCGGAGAAAGTCGGAGATGGCGGTGACGGCAGCCGTGTCATGGTTGATGAGGTTGCCGTCGATGAGCAGACCTTGGCTGCGCGGGGACTTGGAGGCGGAGGACGAGGATGCAGCAGCATTAGCGCCGGAGGAAGCGGAGGAGGAGGAGGAAGCCTCGGCGCGCAGGGGGCGCGACATGTTGGCGATGTTCAAGTGCAAAGGGTGATGGAGTGACCTCGAGACAAAGACTCGGTAGCAAGAGAAGTATGTGGTGCTTGACAAACGTGGAAGGATACGAGAAATCGCGTGGTGGTGTTCCGCTGCACCTCGGTCCGTGGGGGTGTTGCTTGTATCGAAGCTGTAGGATAGGGGCCCGTGCTTGCTCTGAGGGAGGGGAAGAAGCGGGCTCTTTATGGAGTGGAGTGAAGAAGGTGGTCGATGAACAGGTGGGCTGACGGTGTTTGGTAGTGGAAAGAGTGACCACGCGGATCCCAATAATGAATGATTGAGTGAGACAAACTGCGGAAGAGCGAGTGAGAGATGCGTGCATTGGCTGCATTTCACATGCTCAGCGCCGATCCTCTCTCTTGCGCCCCGCCACGCCGATGAACGAATGAGAAAGCGAGATGCAGTTGCATTGTACAGTGCAATGCAGGGCAGTGACAGCGACGCTGAATTTCAAACAGCACCGAAAATCATAACATCATGTTGGTAAGTTAGCCGAGCCAAGTGGTGACGGAAATGGCGCTCCATCATCGGAGCGATCACCGTCGTTGACATTCGGCTTGATCCGGTCACTCATCGGATCAACCGAACACATGCCTTGTGCAGCTACACAGCTACAAGTTGCTGACATGGACACGACGGCCGACAGTGTGCTTGTGTCGTTGGTGAAGTGCAATTGCCGTCATTTCTGACAGTCGCATACACTCTCGGTTGATCCGTGACAATGCAGCTGCAAAATAAAGCAAGGTTTCTCTGGATTCAACAACATTGACGGCGTAACAATGTGTAAAAATCCAGGCGATAGCTGGCAGGCAGTGAAGCCGAACTGCAACGCGGTCGACTGGCAAAGAAGGCAAGGCGGTGCTGCTGTTGCGCTGTCGGTGTGGCTGCAGCCAAGAAGAACCAAAACCCAAGTCACGGACGAGTGTTGCTGTGTTGCTTTTCTTCTCGGACTCGACACCGCACGCGCCAACCACTGACGGCTCTCGGGACAGCCGACATACCAACCAGCACCTTCTTCCAATCGTCACTGGTTTCCTTCCTTTCCTTTGAGGATCACGCAAGAACGCTGGTACGTTCAAAGCCCAGCCTAGACGGGACCACCGACGCAGCGCCGCCATCTCAGCTTCGCTCCTGCTAGCTCCGAGCTGCCACCCCATCTCAGCATGGCGTCGCTCGGCCAGACAGCGGCCAGCATGCGCTCCAGGCAACACCACGATATCGACGAAAAGCCTTCTCTTTACAACGCTGGCGCACACATCGACTCCAGCAGTGATGCCGTCCGAGGCAAGTCCGCAAAGCTCTACTCGTCCTCATCCGCCACCACACACAGCACCGGCCTTGGTCTCGGCATCGGCGCCCAGCCAGGTGCGTCCGCAGCTGCTACCAATGTCGTCTCCAGCAAAGAGTACCGTATCATCGCCGCACTCCTGGTCGTCGCGCTCATCGTCCGCATGCGCAAGCTGGGTCAGCCTTCCAGCGTTGTCTTTGACGAGGTCCACTTTGGCGGATTTGCTTCCAAGTACATCCACGGTCGCTTCTTCATGGACGTCCACCCTCCGCTCGCAAAACTGCTCATCACCCTTGCTGCCTGGCTCGGCGGCTTCAACGGCGATTTCGACTTCAAGGACATCGGCCGCGAGTATCTGCACGGCAAGGACACCCCTGTACCTTACGTCATGATGCGCTCTCTCAATGCCCTTCTCGGCGTCGCTACCGTTCCGCTCGCCTACCTCACCCTCCGCGGCTTGTCGCTTCGAGCGTCGACGGCCACACTCGGTGCCATCTTTGTCCTCTTCGACAATGCTCTCACCACACAGAGTCGACTCATCCTTCTCGACTCCATCCTCGTCTTCTTCACCGCCCTCACCGTCTACTTTTGGGTTGCATTTTGCAACGAGGAGAAGCGTGCTCCTTTCTCCGCCCGCTGGTGGGCGCTCCTCTCGCTCACCGGTCTCAGCCTCGGCGCTGTCGCAAGCTCCAAATGGGTCGGTCTCTTCACCATTGCTACCATCGGCATCTCCGTCATTGCACAGCTTTGGGAGCATCTCGGCGACGTCCGACAACCCGTGCGCGTCGTTGCGCGCCACTTTTGCGCTCGTGCTCTCTGCCTCATCACTCTGCCCATCTTGGTCTACCTCGTGACGTTTGCCATCCATCTCGGCTTGCTCTGGCGCAGCGGCGAGGGCGATCCTTTTATGAGCAGCGCCTTCCAGCACACCCTGCACGGTCACTACATGCAAGACACGTACGCAGACGTCGCTCTTGGCTCCACGGTCTCCATCAAGCATCTCAATACGCAGGGTGGTTATCTTCACTCCCACGTTGCTACTTACCCGGCTGGAAGTCAGCAGCAGCAGATCACCCTCTATCCACACTTGGACGACAACAACGATTGGCTCATCGTCAAGGCTCCCGGCCCAGAAGACCCTGCCGCCAAGCTCGACGATAAAGGTCATCCGCTTCGACCCGAAGATGAGGTGACGCGCTTCCATCAGCCGCCCATTCGATATCTCACCCACGGTATGGAAATTCGCCTCATCCACAAGAACACCGACAAGCGTCTCCACAGTCACGACACCAACCGTCCACCCGTCACCGAGAGCGACTACCAGAACGAGGTCACCGCCTACGGTTTCCCAGGTTTCGGCGGCGACGCCAACGACAACTTCCACGTCGAGATCGTTGCCGGCGACAAGTCCGACCCGCCTTCCTCGACACGCGTTCGCTCGTTGAGGACCCACTTCCGATTGCGACACACTCTGACGGGCTGCTACCTCTTCTCCCACAAAGTCACGCTTCCCGATTGGGGTTTCGGGCAGCAGGAGGTGACGTGCAACAAGAACCCGACCATGCCCAACTCGCTCTGGTACGTCGAGACCAACTCGCACCCGCTGCTTGATCCTGAAGCGCACAACGATATGGTCAATTACCGTCGTCCCACCTTCCTGGAACGATTCTGGGAACTGCAGGCCGTCATGTGGGAGACCAATGCGGGATTGACGGACAGGCATGCGTACGATTCGCGACCGCAGACCTGGCCCATGCTCAAACGTGGGATCAACTTTTGGACCAAGGACCACCGACAGATCTACCTGATTGGCAATCCGATCGTCTGGTGGGGTGCGTTCTTCTCTGTCCTAGCCTACTTCGGCGCAAGAGGACTTTTGCTCTTGCGTGCTCAACGCGGGTACAACGACCTCAAGGACAGCCGTGTGCGCTTCTACGACCAGACGTGCGGCTTCCTCGCGCTCGGTTGGTCGCTGCACTACCTTCCCTTTTTCCTGATGAACCGTCAGCTCTTCCTGCACCACTACCTGCCAGCGCTCTACTTTTCCATCCTGCTGCTTGCGGTGATCTTCGATTTCAGCACGTCGACGCTTCGACCTCGATTCCGACTGATCGCCGGAGTGGTGGTGACGGTGGTGGTTCTGGCCGGGTTCGCGCGGTATACGCCGCTGACGTATGGATCGGACTGGACGCTCGCGGCGTGCGAGAAGGCGAGGTGGAGGAAAGGATGGGATTTCAACTGTGCCGAGTTCCCGAAGGAGTTGGTTGAGTTCAAGAACTTCCCGCCGAGCGTGCAGACGGTGGAGTGGGCGGAGGGGAAGAATCAAAAGGTGGGTGGTGGGTTGAATGCGACGCAGGAAGCGGGAGTTGCGGCGGAACCCGGAAGACACGCGTTCGACCAGGTACCCGTCCGGGCGATGCAGTCTTCCGCCGTGGAAGCGATCCAGCACCTCAAAGACGGGTTGCAGCACGATCTCGACTATGTGAAAGAAAAAGTTGGGTTGGGAGGGAAGGAGAAGGAAGCGGTCAAGGTGGAGGATCCAGTTGCGGCGGGTAAGGCAGCTGATCCTGCGGGGTTGGACCAACAGCAGATCGAGCAGGTTATGTTGGAAGGTACGGCGGAAGTCGTCGGTGCCGCGGTGGGGAGTTCGACGGTGGCAGCGCCCAAGACGGAGCCGAGTCAGCAGGCGGTGGCGGACAAGCATGCGGATGAGGAGGCGAACGAGGCTGCCGATGTCGTGAAGGCTGATAGAGAGGGTCTGGCTAAGGATGTGTAGCGACACGGGGGGTGTGCGCAGGCTTCGAATGTGGAAGAAACTCAAATTTCAACGTGACTCTTGGAACTGTTGTGGGAAGGTGTGTGTGTGTGGTTTGCATGATTGACATTTGCAACGAGTACAATGGTGACCTTTGCTGATGCAACTACCCTCTGGCGTTCCTCCAAAAAGGTTTTACAATGATGACCGCTATCAAAAGTACGATCAACAAACACAAAAACAGGATGCACTGTCTCCTACCGCTTCTCCTCTGATACCTCGTAGCGGTTTCCAACTCCTTCACTGCACCTTGCAACTCGGAACCCATGAGTTCGACGTTGTAGTCGATCCTATCCAGCAGAGTGCCCTGGTCGATGACGAGGGATTGGAGGTCTGTGAAGAGGGTTGCGAGTTCCTGGATTGATTTTGCGATTTCGTCGATCTCTTTGGAACGTTGGAGGATGTCGGTATCTTGGTTAGAGGAGGATTCTTCTTCGAGCAAAAGTGTATTGGAGGTGGTAGTGGGGTTGAGGAGGGATTGTTTGGACAGCTCGATGTCTTCTCGAACGGCGAGTTCGCTGTCTTTGAACACGGATGTGGACGGGGCGGAGATGCCGCGGGAGGAGCGGATATCTCGGTCCCGTACTTCCATGCCTTTCATACGTTTGAGGTAGAGAGTCTGTTGTTTTCGAAACGCGCCGCTGAGATCCTGCACTTTGGTAGCGAGGGCAGTTTGGACGTTTTGCGCCAACGCTATCTGTCGCACCGTCACGTCGGAAGGTGAAGTTGAAGTGGAACGCTTAGCTTCACGTATGAGGTGCTGCGTGTACGACGCTAGGCCAGCGACGAGACGTGAACATCGTCGAAAGTCTTTGGTGATGTCGAGGACGAGCGATTCGATCTGCTTCTCTTCGGAGGATTTGTCGGTGAACCCCGGTCGAAGGTGTTTTTCGTGAAGACGGGAGAGCGTGTCCATGCGAGGTCTGATGGTGGTGAGGATGGAGTCGACTGATTCGGAAATGTCGAGCCATTTCGGTGGAAGCGTGGAAGAGGAGGACGGGGAGACGTCGAGTGCGATGTGACCTTCTCGACTGCGACGGGAAAGCAGACCCTCGGTGTCGGAGTTGACGGAGGAGGAGCCTAGAGGGTCGTCGCTGTCGGTGTATGGTGCGTCGAAGTAGACATTCGAGTTGGTGGAACGTTGCCGACGAGAGGAAGGACCGGAGGAATCGCGGTAGGAGAGGAAGAGGAGGGTTCGAGATCGGGTTTGACCCAAGTATTGGGATGTGGACGTGCTAAAACCACCACCACCGCCGTGCAATGGTGGCGGTGTCGATGATGACGCTAATGGATAAGATGATGCCATCAGATGGTTGCGGTGCGAATGGTGGGATGCTTGGTGGTGATCAGGGAGGAAGCATGTGGAGCTGTCAAGGCAATCAATGTGCGTTGGAAACCCCGCCAATTTGTTAGATCAAGTCGCAAAGACTCCGGAAGACGGAAGCCAAGTTTGGTCGGCTGAGAGGTCTCATTGACGTTGCCGCTGTCAGGACAACACTATCCCGCACCACCGGCACCATCAGCATCGACCACCTCTGGCAACAGCCTTGCTGCAAGCTGCGCAATCGGTCATTGCGCCAGCTCGATTTCGCCTCCATGCCGCCATGGAAGAAGCAGAAGACCGCCTCCAAACCATCCTCTTCTTCCTCCACTTCCAAACCCACCTCCTCCTCCCGCTCGACGCGTAGCCGAACCCGTTCCGCCTCCGTCGCCTCAACAAGCGCCCCCGTCAGCAAACCAAAGAAGAAGGCCCAACGCAAAGTCAAGGCGGAACCTCAGGATGATCTCGTTGATCTCACGCAGGGAGAAGCGTTGCCGCAGGTGTGGGACGGTGAGCCGCAGATGGAGTGTTGGGTGGAGATCCCTTCCATGCCGGAGCCACGGTCAAAAGAGGATGCGTTGAGGTTCATCAAACCCAAGAACAAGAAGGCGTGGGGGGAGAAGGGAAAGCACAAGGAGTATGCGGATTCGTTGGTCTGGCATGTGGATCACCAGCAGGATGCCGATCCGTTTTACTTTGATGTCGAGGACATGAGCGACGCTGAGCGGGAGCAGCATGTAGTCGCTGTCAGGCCAACCACCAAATCAGGCAAAGGCAGCGCTTCGGTCTCGGGCTCATCGTCAAAGAAGAAAAAGTCGCAGACAGCATCTCCCTCCGCTTCATGCAGGCCTGCCGAAGCAAGTGGCAGCAGAAACCACAGCAGAGCACCGAGCGTCTCACGAGCAGCATCACAGTCGCACAACACACCCCGCGTGGCGCTGCAGCCTCCGACCAGCGACGATCTCGAGGACATGTTCCTCGGTAGCAACGATGCCACCGCGTTGGATCAGGTCCAGGATGCCGATCCGCTCTTCTTCGAGGGCGCCTCGGACCAGGAGGACAGGTTGAGGAACGGCACACCTATGCAATCTAAGACCGCGCAACGGCCCAGGGTCAAGCTGTCACCGACCTACGGTGACAGGATCGCACAAGGCTCTGCTGCTCGCTCGAGGTCGTCTACTCCACGACCTGCGAAGCAATCGTCGAGGGGCCGCAATGACAGTATACACGAGAACAACGCAACGACTAGCGACAAAGGAAAGCAGAAGGCCAAAGACAAGGCGGATAGGAGTGGCGAAAAGCACAAGCAGACTGTTATCAATATTGACAGCGATGCAGAGGACCGTGGTAAGGGAAAGCGAAAGAAGGACGACATCGACAACCTCCGCTCGGAGCTCAACGAGGATGCCTTTGCTCGGTCCACGGGGCCAAGGCACAAGGAGGTGTATCGAAATCAGCTCGCCAAATTTGCAGAAGCGCGCAAGAAGGCGCGCCAGGAACGCGGCGAAAGCGTCACATCGGGTTCAGATGAGGATGGTGAAGGGGCAGCAGCGAGGAGCAGGCGGAAACGGGCGATGACGGTGTCCAGTGGAAGCGATACGAGCGACTCGGACAGCGACGGCGGCGACAGTGATAGCGATAGCGATAATGGCAGCAGCAGCAGCAGCAGTGCGGACAGCAGAGACTTCATCGTGGCAGACGACGAAGTCGAGTACGACGAAGGGTTTCAACCGGAAGCCGAGGAAGAATCGATGCACAGCAGATTGGCGCAAGCACCATCTGCACCTGCAAGTCGACCGACTGGGAAAGGACGCTACGCACGCGATTCGGATGGTCGCGTTCGTCTCGTCCCCATCTCTTCGCAAGCCGCAGCTGCCAGCGGCATCTCCTCTTCGACCTCCGTGCTCGCTGCGCACGGTCTCGGTGGAGCAGTCGGCGGACGCAAGGGACTCGACGAGCTGTGTCTCGACTGGATCGAGTGGGCCGCCGCGCGCGTGCTCGTCACCTGGTCCTCGCTGAGTCTAGCCGATCGCGAGCGGCTGGAACGCAACCGGGCTGCGCTGAAATCGCGCGTGCGGTCTACCGAGGAGAGCGTCGGCAGCGTGGTGATGCGCAGGCAGTTCAAGTGGTACTTGACGCAGTATCCGAAGATGGAGACGGAGGCGTTGTTCAGCGATGAGGTGGATAGGTATGGGACGATGGCGAAGAATGGTTGTGGGGTGTGTCATAGGAAGTCGCAGAAGGCGCAGGTTAGGGTGACGTTCACGGGGGAGAGGTATAACCAGGATACGCTTGCGCCGCTCAAAAAGCGCGGTGGACTCAAGTCGCCCGCCTCGGACGCTGAGAGCGGATCTTCTGACGACAGCGATAGCGATACGGCCAGCGATCGAAGCGACGAGGACGAAACGTGGGTCGAGCCATCCACGGACCCGCAAAACGATCGTCCCACCTACACGTTCGACGCCGGTGCACACTGCGCCCAACGAGCAGTCGTGATGCACCAACTGCATCACTGGGAATGGACCACCATGCAGACGCTCGCGAAGCACGATGCCATCCGCTACATCCGCCGGTTGCTGTGGAGGAAGAACAAGGCGGGTAGAGGGAAGGATGGGAAGATGGGCTGCGGTGCGTGGGAGGTGGCGTCGGCGGTGAGCGAGATGATTGCGCCGACGGGGAGGTGTGTCTGGGGAAAGGAGAAGGGAAGGGCGAAGAAGGGGACGAGTGAGTTGGAGAGGTTGAGGAGGAGGTTGAAGGGGTTGAATGAGCAGGCGATCGAGGTGAATGGTGCGAGGTGAGGGAGGAATCGAAATGCTCAGTTGTTGAAGGGACATTTGTGTGTGATGTGTGATCTAGCTGCAAGGTGGAAGTGTGTTGGGTAATGGTATGCATTGCGAGTAAAGTTCGAGTGTGAGAAAGTGTGTGATATGTCGGACTTCAGTTTGCTCCTCCAGTCTGTGCATTGACGCAACAAGAAGCCAAGCGTTGTCGTCAGTACCGTTTCCGTCCCTGCATTGCGAGTCGAAGATGCTTACCATGACTGCTTCCATCTCAGCATCTGAGAAGGTGAGCGCCGGCGTCCTCCAGAACCTCTCCGGCAACAGGTGGATGTCTTCCGCCACTTCGCGATCGTTCATGTCTACGTTTCCGAGCAGTCCACTCCCGCTGCCGGATTCGGACGAGGAGGAAGAGGATTGAGGAGAGGAGAGCTTTTCGGGGTGGAAGTGGGGACCGGAGGCAAAGACTTTCTGGAAGTGGTCGAAGGAGGATACGATGGATGAGGGTGCTGCTGGATGCGGATGAGGTTTGTGGGTTTCTGCGCAAAGAGAAAAGAAGAAGGTGAGAGAGTGAGTAAAAGGTATGAGGTGACGAGAGGGTGAGAATAGTGGGAAGAGCTTACCTTTGGGAGCCTTTCTATCGGGGAATCGGAAGCCTGGTTTGTGTACGTGTGCTCTCCGCACGAGTGTTCGCAACATCTTTGCTGTTCGAAATCGAAAGCGAGCGAGGAAAGAGGGGGATGGTGTTGGTTGTTGGACAACGTTGAGAACGTAGCACACAGGGTTTCGAGTGTACGCCCGATTTGTGCCGCTTGTGTGGAGCGCAGTTCTTCTCGGTTGTTTCCGAAAAAGGAACGTCATCCTCTCAGATTATCTATAGCTTTGTTAGACTGCCAAGTTGCACGGTTCACTCAAGGAATTATTTACGTACGGAAAATGGATACACGTGACGGAGGCCAAAGCGAGAAGCTTGAATCGGTCGCCATCTTGCAACCCTTCCGATGGGATCACCACCATCCTACTGTCCGAAACATCGAAAGCACGAACATGGCCGACACACATACAGCTTCAGTGGAAGAGGCGAACGCCGCCCGACTGCCCCTCGGCTATCGAGACCAGTGCTCTGCGTAGGTGTTCCCAGCAAATCAGCATTATGGAGTTGAAAGACGGTGAAGCCAAGACGACTTGATCGGAGACGGAAGGCAAGAAGGGTACACCGTGAAGGCTGCGGTGGATATGGTGGAGATGGTGGAGATGGCGGAAGTATGGAAGAACTACCTGGCTGACGATTGTTCTGTCTTGCTCTGCGATACAGGTTGTTGATCCCACTCAACAAGTGCAGGAAACAGACGCTTTACGCTCCTTGGAAGTGCGAGGACGAACGGTGAGTAGCGACCGCTTGAAGACCGCCCGTCGGCGCACGAAGCATCAACACTAGCGACAATGATCCTAGCGAACGAACTCCATCGACAGAAACGATCGGTACTTTCCGAAGGACTGTTCAATCTACATTAACGCATGCATGCAGACGTCCACGACGGCTCAATCTCATATTCGGGCTGCATTACTGACATCCTAATACCGCCTCAATGGACATTCTTGCACTGCCCCTTCGCAGACACACATACGAAAAGTGCCAATACGACGAGTGAGTTACACCGCTTGCACCCTTCCTCTTCATTCCGTAGACAGCGTTGCTGACTCTTTCTTTCATCCAAACGAAATGATCACTGTACAGCTTCATCCGAAGACAACGCGAGCTCTCACAAATCAAGAAGGCCAAGGCAGAGGCAGCCGAAGAGTAAAGCTCAATCCCCCTCATTTGTCCATTTGCGCCGATTTCTCGACGCCGCACGTCGTAGACGACGTGCAGTAATAGAGACAGCATCTGACTCTCGGCATGATGATGCCATACGGGCTTTGTCAGTTTGTGCGCATACTACACACGCAAGCACAAGCGATCGCCTGCTTCGAATGTCATTCCATTACTTGGGACAGTGGCAGCAATGTCACCCAGCGACGAGCTTCATGGCAACGCTGGTGCAGACAATGTCTTCGTACTCCTTCTGCCATCTACTGTCCTCTTTGTTGTTGAGCAGGTTCGATGGGATTTGAAGCTTGTAGATCTTGTTGAGATCTTTCCAGTCTGTCACTGGCGTTGTGGTGGAGGGTGTTGCGGAGTAGCTGCCGTATCGGATGGTCTGATCGATGTCTATTGGGTAGTTTGCTTCGGTCGTTGGTGGTGTGGTGAGGTTGGTCGCCGAGACGACATCGATCATGCTTTGCAAGACAGCTTGAGGATCTGATGCTGGCGATGAGAACTTGACCAGCAGTAACGACGTCGATTTTGGCGACAGACCGAACCGTTTGAGTGATTCTCCGACCTGTTCACAGTTGCAAAGCCAGGAAGCAAATGTCAGCAAATCGCATCTTTGATCGAAGGTAGCTGCCGTTTCAGTGCCAACTCACGTTGTTGCCAGGATTTAGCATGTAGATGACCTCGGAATGTGGTGTTTTTGACTTCATCCCGCCGATACTCCCCTCTCCCTCCCTGAACGCTCGTGTCTCGTTGTCCCAACTCCTCGCACACACCACCGCCGCCTGCGTTACTGCGGTGAGCACATGCTGCTTGCTACACAGCTTGGTCGGGTCGAGAAATGCAAAATCCAGCTTTGAACGTTCGAGATCTGCCTGCTGTATCTTCTCCTCGGATGCCCCGCTGGCTGTCGATGTGGGAAGCTGCGATGCGGAGATGATCCGACGTATGATGGCTGCAGATTGGGACTCTGGATCGAGGTTGGAGAAGTGTGCGAGATGCACCTGTTGCAAAGGGGAGGGTAGCGTCGAGGGCAAGGATATCGTCTCCATCTTTGTCTTTTGATCAGTTGCAGCTGTGGTGCTTCGTCGAGCTCTGATGCTACAGTGGGAAGTCGTGGACAAGGACCATTGATGGCGAAGGAAGAAACCGAAAAAGTCAGACCCCGGCTTCCGATCTCTTTTGCGCTTTTGCTTTTCGCCTCCACTCACAACGCACGGTCGAGGCGCGGTGAGCCGGAGTTCAGCTTTCAGGGTCCTGACCTCTCCTGGCCCGAATCCCACATTCTCTTTGAACGCCTTTCGCATCACGCCCTCACTTCGGAACCGTTCGCAAAGGTGACTTCTTGGCCATCGTCTGCCTGTCGCCTTGCTCTTGATCGGTTGTAATATGAACTCAGCGCCGCTGATCGAATGTCAGCTGCCTCCATTCTTTCGACTTGGCCAAACGTGATCCGTGCGGCGTGAGGGCTTCGGCAGTTCCGACAAAAGAAGGCTGCACCGCGATAGCTGCGCTGATTCAGCCTGGGCAGCTCCATCCTCTGCTCCCTCGACTCAGCCTGCTGAGGTTCTGCGCCACATCGCTTTCCTCCGAAGAAAAGCTTCACTCATCGCAGGGATACTGCCCGACTCAGCCAGGATCCCCCTTCGTTCACCCTGCGCCAGGACGAGGAGCAGCGAGACAATCGACGACTGCGCAGCAGCAAGGCTCGACAGCTCGCATTCATCGACAGAACAGGCAACCGCTCGCTGCACGTCCACCATCGCCATGGAGCCATCATCCCACAAACTAGCCTCTGCTGGCCCAGCGATCAGGCCACCCGCCACGATGTCGCCTCACGATCCGAGCCTCTTCTCTCTGCTCAACTCGCTCTTCGAGCCCAACTTTCTCATCCTCGTCACTTACCTTTGTATCAATCTCTATCTTGCATTTCGTGTCATCAGAATTGCGACAAAGCGGTATCGCCAGCTCCAGATGACGCCACACGAATCTGGCGAGCTCGGTTTGGTCGAGCTTCCGGCCGATGGTGACGACGACGTGATGGAAGCGCACAGAGACCTGTTCGGACGAGGATCAACGTCCAAGAAGCATCACACCGATACGCCCGTCGCTGATGCTATGATTAGACTGGCTACGTGGGCGCTTAAGAACGACGCTTGTTACGCGAAAAGCATCTTTGCCTTCCTCGCCATCCTCAGCCTGGCCTCTACGTGGTATTACATGCTCTCGTTCCTGCGTCACTCTTACTTGGCCTATCTCGAGCGGTGCCATCTTACATCCTATCCGCTTCCGCCTGCGCCGCCTCCCTTCGATCTTGCTCGACCGGCTCTGCTTGTGCCTGCACTGCATCTGCGCATTCTTCGTATCTCGCAGTGGTTGGCGTCGCTCAGCCTTTTCAAGGAAGCTTGGATGGAGGTGATCAGAGACGCCCCTTCGTGGTGGTGGAGCAGCGAGATTTGTATCATCACGGTGGGAGCCTGGGCTCTCTTCCTTCGTCACGAGGGCGAGCGACTCCGCATCCCGCATGTGTGGACCGTCATGGCACTCGGTCAGCTCGTCGCCATCAGCTTTGCATTCAACCTCTTTAACCTCGCCGTCATCTATCGCCTCGAGGCGTACGACCTCATTGACACTCGTTCGGAAAAGACGTTCAAGGCAAAGCATCGCGTCATCACCCCGCGTGAAGACGACACACCTCCATCTCCGCCCGAGATCTGGCCTCCTCCGCAGCGAGACCGTCTCGCGCAGGAGAGGCCGTTTCATGTCGCCATGCGGTTCGCAGAGACAACCGATCGTCGTCCCGCTGCATCTTTGGACACTTCTCTTCCACCGACTCCGATCAGGTCGCCTGATCCGAGCATCAGAGTCATCTCCACCAAGCTCATTGTGCAGAGGACGCCGCTACCTCCCCAACCTATGTTCATGGACAAGGTCGCCGGCATCATGCAACGCTGCGTTCCGGAAAGAGTCGGAATGCCTGTGTTTGTTGTTGCCGGTCTCTCGTCGGTGCTTCGGCATCCGAACAGCTTTACGAAGGTGATGATCATGCACGTGTTCCCCTTGCTCATCTCGCTTTACCCTGCCTATCGCCAGCCGCACGCTTCCACGAGCCGCTCCACGTCATCCGCACGTCCACCTTTCGTTCAATCGACGCCGAGGTACACGAGGAAGCAAATCTTGTTCAAGATGGTCTCGCGCAGCAAGATGCGTCTGCCGCTGTGGAAGGACGCAAAGGTGTACTATCTTGGGCTTGGCATTGTCAGCATCGTTCTGCGACTGTGGCTCACCATCAAGTGCTTCTTCGAGGTGGATGGCAGGCTCTCAATCCTACACAGGTCTTGGCGAACGATCCAGCTGCTCTTCCCGACCACGTTTTTGCGTCACCCAGCGCAGAGCTCGATCAGCTCGGATCACGTCTGTGTCGCTCTCAGCGCCACGGTCTTTGTACTCATCGAAAGTGGTCTGTGGCTGTGGAAGGCAGCTGTTGCGAGTCCCAGCTCGTATCTTCCAGGCGCCAGCGACGATGATGAGGACGGCAATGACGGCGGAGACACGATGCATTTTCCCCTACCTGCCGGAATTCAGCTCGACAAGGCGGATCGCAAAGTGATCGAGACACAAGCATGCGCCGTTGTAGCCCTGTTGGCGCTCTCACCCTTGCTGGGTGCCAGCGCAACATTCTCACTGTACCTCGCGGCCAGATGCACGTGGGTCGAGCAGTACGAGCGATACTGTGGAGCTCAGAACGAAGAGATGCTTCGTCCCGCGGATCGACCTGGCTCGAGCGTCGTCGAGGACACGGAAGAGGTGGAGCTGCTCGAAAACGAGGAGGGCGAAAGGTACATGGAGGTACGAAAGATGCACGTCAGCGAAATGGTGCGTCCGCGCGGCGGCGGTGCACGACAGCAGCGAGCCGGTCGAGCTACGAGGGCCACAGAAGCTGCGGAGGACGATGACGAAGAGGACGACTTCCTACCCAGTCCTCCTAGCTCTACACCGTCAGACGTACTCACCACGCGTGCGAGCGAGACGCAGACATCAGCTCAAGCGAGTCGCCAAGCGCGAGCATCGACAGCGGAGAGCGAGCTGCTCAGTTCTTCGCAGGAAGCGGGCGTCGGACGCCGAACGACGCCACTGCGACAGCGACATCCGCCCGCGCGCTTCGGCGAAGTATCGCCTTTGACTTCGCCCAGTCGAAGTCGAGGAGGATGAATCGGCATCGGCTTTTGGCAATATGCGACTCGACGAAAATGTAACATTGTAACGTTGTGACTGCTGCCCGTCCTCAAGCCGATAAAGTGTGTGATGACTGGTTGTGCAGCATCGATTGTAAGAGAGTGTGTTTGAGGGGAACGTGTCGGATGCACGTCGGAGCTCGGGAGTGCGGCGACTCAAATAGGCCGATGGCGGGTTCAGCCAATCGAACAGGCTAGCGTTGCAAACAGCGTCGGCCGGTGCTCGGGATTTCGTGCCGATAGAACGAAATTTCACGGTCAACGTGCTGCACGTCGGAACTTAGACGGCGGGATAATTGTGAATTGGCCTAAATTTTAGCACGCTGCATGGACCACCGCTTTCAGGGAAGATCTGGTCGATGCATTCCACGCTCATTGCCTTTGGATCTACCATCATCTCTACCAGCTCATTCCGCGAAGCAAACGACAGGGAATGGCAAATACTCGGATCGAGAGCATTGCACACCATCTCGAGACTACCGATCGCATCGCAACGCCAAACGATCAAGCGGACATTGGTAGCAAGATGACGACGACAACGACAACGACCAAAAAGGTGTTCCGGTTGATTCCAGGAGTACAGTCGTATGACTGGGGTATTCAGGGTTCATCTTCTTCACGGGTGGCGCAGTTTGCGAGTGCGACCAAGGAGCTGGATTTCAAGGCGGAGGACGACAAGCCGTATGCCGAGCTTTGGATGGGCACTCACCCGTCGATGCCGTCGCGAATCATCGCTGCTGGCCAACCGGAGGGCAATGAAAAGTACCAAGCGCTGTCGTCCTACCTCGCTCAGCACCCGGAATTGATCGGAGAGAAGGTGGTCGCCAAATTCTCGGATGAGAAGCCGGGTTGCCTGCCTTTCCTCTTCAAGGTTCTCAGCGTGGGCAAAGCGTTGAGCATCCAAGCTCACCCGGACAAGGCGTTGGGCAAGAGGCTGCACGAGCAGAGGCCTGATGTGTACAAAGATCCGAACCACAAGCCGGAGATGGCGATCGCGCTGACTGCTTTCCGCGGCTTTTGCGGCTTCCGACCGTTGGAGGAGATTGTTCACTTCATCAAGACCGTGCCGGAGTTTGCACAGCTGGTCAAGTTGTCCGATGTGGAGCTGCAGAAGGCTTCGAGCTCTGGCTTGGATGAGAGCGAGACGAAGGCTATTCTCAAGACCATCTTCAGCAACCTCATGAACTCTCCTGCTTCCGCGTATGAGCCTTTGGCAGCTCAGCTCTCGGAACGATTCGCAAAGGGCACCGTGGAGGGAGTACCCGAGGTGGAGAGGAAGCTGGTCCTCAAACTGGCGTCAGAGTTCCCAGAGGACATTGGGATCTTTTGCACATTCCTGCTCAACATTTCGACACTGCAACCGGGCGAGGCGCTCTTTTTGCAAGCCAACGAGCCGCACGCCTACCTCGAGGGCGAGATCCTCGAATGCATGGCCTCGTCCGACAATGTCGTGCGTGCAGGTCTCACACCTAAACTGCGCGACACCGAGACACTGATCGAAATGTGCACCTATCAATCTGGATCGAACCGAGGACGTCTCTCCGCCAAGCACTGGGACAAGTCGAGCCCGAAACAGGTCGAGGCGCTGCTCTACGATCCCCCCATCGAAGAATTTAGCGTGGTGACGATCAAGTTGGAACAAGGTCAGGAGGTGAAGAATGCGCCCGTGGACGGTCCTTCGATCGTGTTGGTGATGGACGGCGTGGTCGAGATCGCGGGAGCAGATGAGGTGGTCGAGGTGGAGAGGGGCCAGGTGGCGTTTGTTGCGGCTGGGGTGGAGGTGAAGGTGAAAGCTGGGGAGGGGGAGGCGAGGTTGACGAGGGCATTTGTCGAGGTTTAAGTAGACAATGTGGGCGAGGGGCGGGTAGTGCGAGGTTTGATGGAATGTAGCAAAGGCATGCACGGAGGCTGGAGCTGTTCACAGAGCCTTCGACTGACACATGCATTGGTGCTGTACCTCGATGCATGTTGTGGCTCGACGACGAAGTGCATGGAGACTGTAGCTGAATGCAGGTACCGGCATGTAACGGGAACGACGTTGTGACTCAAATCAAACATGCACTGTGACTGTAGCTGGATGTAGGCATTGAGATTCGTGTGACGACGATGTGGCCTTCCGAGAATTGCGCCGAGACCATGGCTGGAACTCAACTCGCTTCGCGCTTCGTCGTTAAGGATGATGTCGTTTGGTGAAGGAGCAGCCCTGCTCGGAATGAAAAGGAGTGACTTTGTTACAAGCGTTGACAACAGATGTTCGACCAGCTCAGGGTTGAAGCGTTTGCGTACGACGAATTCGCTGGCATCAAATCGTGGGCCTAAGTAATGACGATGAGGGTTGCAGAACCCGGTGTCGCTCAGGACCTGACTGCCGCGCAATCGCTTCAACAGATCCTTGTGTGTGCGATGTTGCTTGGACGAGCGAGAACCCTCTGCAGCGTCTACCAGTAGCAGTGGAAGACAGAGAGGGACGCAGCCGAAGCCGCCTGTGGCGATCAGTCGCTAATCGTTCGCACGCAAATACATGCCTGCTCACGGTTGCGTCGTATCAAGCTTCATCGAGGACAGCGAAGGAGCCTGCTGGGCTGGGCATCGTGCCAAGTTGTGCTGCTCCGCGAAACGACGTTCCTCGATGAACGGATCAAGCGTCGACACACATGACGTGAATCCGCTCAATATCGCAGTCAAACTCGAAATCTGCTCACGAGGTTTGCCCTTCTCCAGCGCGGCATAAGAGAGCAACAATGTTCGCCCGCATTCGCTTCCCACCGCGTTTTCTGGAATCAAAGGATTCAATTTGGGTTGTTGGTGCGCAAGCAGTCGCAGGCAAGGGAGTTGAAAGCTCTGAACACCATGGAAGCCGCCCACCGCCTGGATATCCGCAAGGACCGTCAAGCGAACGCCTGCTTTTGGTGGAGCCGCCATGTCCCATCGGAATTTTTCGCCCGACAGAAGCCACCCCTTCCTTTTTATTTTTTTGGAAAACAGACAAACAGCATTTCCAATGCGGTTTTCATTGACGATCGCTGAGTGGTTTTCGTGTCCTGAGCAGTGTTCGCTTGCTGACGTTGGAGAAAAGCGAGGTGTGCAGTGATCGACAGGGTACAAGATGATCTGCAACGCTCGCTTGAATCATTCTTGCAATCGAACCAAGCTTGGCCGAATGGAACAAGAAATGCAGATATGGACAGAGATTCCGGTAGATTGAGCTCCGGCCGCTTGGCATCGCATGACCCTACAAGTGTGTAGCAGTGAGGGTCCCAAGCGCCCAAAAGGATGAGTCAATGCGAAGGATGGGTTTGGGAGAGTTCAGCTTCCGACATGACGCCCTTTAAGGCGAACACCGCGTGGCGATGGTCGGAGGTCCAACTTTCAACGATTTTTCGTCAGCGGCGCCTGTTCGGCGAACAGCAGCGACTTCTTTAAGCTCAAGCTTCATGACACACCTTGACAACCACGGACGAGACCATGCGGCTGTGGTAGGTGTCATGTGTGAGAAGCGTGAACGAGTTGAAAACCTCGATGGCTCGAGGATCGCGGTACCATTTTTGCTTTGAGCCCAGCGAATCCCTGGTCACGGATGATTTTGTTCCGATCCAACTGGATAACGTTCTACCAATGCGATCTGGCTACGACATCCGGCCAGGACGGCCCCAAGAAGCGGAATTGAGTTCCCTCTCGCTGCTTTCTAGGAATCCATTGTCCCTTCCAACGGATGGCAGGCCGGAAATCGGACTCAGTCAGCCTTTTTGCATTGGACAACAATATATGCACCGAACATCGAAGAATAGATACCCATACGAGGCTGCGAACGAAATTTTGAGGTCCGGAGGAAACTTTTTAAGCTCCGAACTCGAAAAGAAAAGCGAGGAAAAGCCAAGACCGACTCTTGCATAAGCGAGCTTGTCGAAAACTGCACATCTCGAGAACGATTTCCACGAGGTCCAAAACAAAACTTCTGCAGTTGAACGCCACAAGTGCCTTCTTTTCTCTCTTTCTGTTCCTTTTTCTTTGGGACGTGACGTGTCTCCAGTGCGGAGGGCAAAGCCACCGCCGCAAATACGCTGCCGCCTCGAGAGTCTGATGGGAGGCGAAAAGCCTCTCCCATTGTGCCACCTTGATTGTGGGATTGTCCCGCACGTTGCCAAGAGCAACACTTTCTCGGAAGTGGTATTCCGGAGGACCGACTCGCTGCACAATGGTACCAACCTCGCGCGTTACTCCAATAGACTCTCCTTGGCATCTTTTGCAACTTATTGTTCCCGGATCCTCTGTGGGTCAATCGCGCGCTACGGAGACCTTGGCGCGGAGAGGCGGAAATTGCGAAAATTGATAGAACCGGAACAGTGTGACCGGAGTCATTCCGGTTCCGGTTGTGTCATTCTCTAACGGAAGCAACGAGGATCACTTTCATTGCGCCCAGCGGCAATCTCGAAGCGGAACGAACTTGCGCGCTTTCTCAGCACGTACAGTACCGTACTTCTTATTGGTCTGCGTCAGGAGGATGAGAAAATCTGGCGCGATTTGATGACGGCGGCAAGTCGGATCGGGTCCAGCAGAGCAAGACTTGCTCGTTATGTACGCCGGAGAGGGACGACTTTCCTCTCCGCTACGTTAGAAGAATCAACAGCCAGTCTGGAGAAGGAAGATCCATTAACAATGAAAGTGTATTCGATTCCAATAGCGATACAATACCGCATGAACTCTCGCCCAAGTCGGAGTGCAGCTCCGAGTTTGGGTCCCCGTCGCTGTATCCGTTGTCCTTCGTCATTGTTCCTCTTGCTCTTCTCCCTGATTCAAGGAAAATGTCAGTTCGGGGAATCGAGGTGCGGGGCGCGGACGAGATACTGTGGAGAATGTAGTCCGCATTCGGTCATTTGAATGAATGACGGCAATGGCGTTCCGGTCAGCTCAATCGTCAGAAAAGCTGTACGCGACTTCCGAAGTCCCAGCTGGAAGAATTGGCATCATAAGCTGTCGTACCATTCTGCCTGCAAAGGATGATCGCCGGGCTGCAGTTCGCCTCTCCTCCTCCGTAAAGAGTAGTCTATCCGAGGAAATTGAGCCTGTTTGTCACCCATCGTCCTCTTGTGATTGGATTGTCGGAGTCTGATCAGCAATGGGACGAAGCGTGAATGACCTGAGAGCTGCTTTCTGTCTTTTTCGGTCGAATCGGTCAAAGTGAAGGTCTACGTGTAGATTGTAGAAGATTAGGAGACCTCATCGTTCGAGCTGGGTCGAAAACGATCTCATCCGTTGTCGTGATTGGCTCTAACCGTACCGAATATGGAGTTCTTGCTTGGACCAAAGCATCTCTTCTTCTCTCAATTAGTCGAGCCGGCAGGACAGCAGATGCGGTACGTGCATTCGGGAAAAGTTATGAACCCGAAGAGGCGATGGCAAAGGCAAAGTGAAAGGTCGAACACCTGCACATTCGGACTGTGTCGGCTCGAGCAAATATTTGGCCACGGGAGCAGCTCGTGCACAAAGATGATAGTTCAATCACATTCAAGAGCATGTGAACAGTAGGGGATTTGGCCACGTCAAGACGAGACTGACATAATTCCGCCCGTGGGCTTACAAGCCATCCGTGACCAGAGAAAGAAAGCGAGCTTCAGTCCATTGCCGCGGAATGCACCTGCATGCGCCCTGGCTTCTTCATAACTGCAATGCCAAAAGCAGTAGAGAGTCTTGACATCTGCATATGCCACCCGACATCTCTGCAATTGTGAGCTCGCCTCGCTTACGCGTCTCTCCATTTGTCTGAGCGAGCTGGATCTTCGACCTGCGTCTCGCTTAAAGCGGGCTCCCGGAAGCAGAGATTGAAGAGGTTCTACCGAGCCTTACTCGATCGCCGAAAAAGGATCTACGATGCAGTAGGTCCCATTGTCAGGAGACCGCTCCGCAAATGCATGTCGAGCTCGATATGCGATCCACCACCAGCAAGCAGATCGCATGGCTGCAGCAAGCTCATGCGAGTGTCATGACGAAACCCTCTCCTCGCGACACAACTGTCCCGCGGAAGCGTGGCGATCACCATTCACGTTTCCGAACTAGCTCCAAAGCAGACAAGTGACGCCGAGACCTGTTGGGCTGATCGAAGGTGCTGGAACCTCTTGCAGGGGCAAAATAGGGTGACAAGCCGCCGGGTCCCACGGTCTCAGCAGCGAGAAGATCGTAGCGCTGGTCAAACCTCCACTGTGAGACCGTGTTGGGACGTTCATCAGCGGGTTTCTAAAAGCGGGGTGCTAGCTCAACGAACGACAGGGGAAACGAGCGGAAGCCAACGGACGAGTCCACCGACACCTCGAGGACGTTCACACTCATCTTTTGATATCGTCGTTTGAGACCGTTCGTTTGAGACAAGTCGCATGTGGCAGACAGGACCTTGGTTTCAGCTCAGAGCCACGAGGGCGTCCGTCTTTCGTGCCATCAAGAGAGACGTTGAATGAAACAAATAAAGAAAAAGTGAACAGAAAACAAGTGGAAAGCACAGACCAAGAAAGCTCCCCTCCGGGGTCTCAAAGTTGTGACTGGGCGGTCTCTGAAATCTACTGTCCCTCGATAGACATTGACCTCGTACCAAGCCATCAAAATTTGCATGAATCGTGCATTCGTCTACTCGTGCCCCCTCGAAGCTCTTGGCTCTTGGCACATTGATTGTGTCTGGCTTTGAACGGACTGAGCTGAGTCCAACGACCGCTGCGCTGGTCACTGACGCGTGAGTCAGCCCCCTCGAGTGCTGAGTTTCGCTGTTCAGTCATGCTTTCGATCCTGAAAGCCACTTCTATGGCAGATACTTAGCACAGCGGCGGTGGCTCTTCCTGAAACTCTCTTCCTCCAAGCTCAAGCTCAAGCTCAGGCTGAGTATCTTGGCAACCACCGCTGATTCCGCTAGAGGAAGTCGACTGGCATGTGGAATGCCCCCTCCTATACTCCGTTTGCTTCTTTGCATACAGTGCGCATTGTTCAATGCCGCAAACAGCCGCCCTCTAGCCTAGTGGATTTTCAAACCCCTACCATCGTGCCCTGCGAACAAAAGCTGCAGCTCACCAAGCCTGTACAGCACTACAACAAGACGCATGGTATGAATCGGTCTGGGTCGGCTTCGCTTCTACAACAGTCTCTGCCTTTGGCCGGCGTCTTTTCATCGCCTGCGGAGTTTGTAATCTTGGGCTGATGATCAAGAGGCGCTACAGTCCACGAAAGGAGAATTTCGATTTTCCGTTTCCAATATCGTGTTTCGCATTTTGACAAGTTGACCGAGCCCAGAACCGGTAAGACGAGCGCTTAGCTGGGCCCGCCACATTCTATTTCTGGCCGATCTGTCTCGCTTCTGACGAATGACTTCTCTGTGGCTTGTATCTACAGGCAGAACGGTAGCATCTTCGAGTGTCGCTTTGCTTATGTTCGCCCGCGTGGCCTAAGCCGTCTTGCTCGCTAACGCGCTTGTGGCAGGATGAGCGGAAATTTGAGCTGATACCATAAAAACACATCCCTCCCGTCACCTTGGCTCCACCTTACAATCTTTCGCGGCCCCCTCTGTCTCTTCCTTCAGCCTTCAGCTCCGCTAGCAGCAGCGACAGCAGGTCTTCCCACGATATTGCCTTCGAGCACAATTTCGAGGTGCAGAACAGCCAAAGCATCGTCGTGACTGTAGAGAAGGGATCATGCAGTCAGCGTGCGGTCACATTTGCCAGTGCGGCAACTCGCAAGCGGCACAGGCTACCCAGCGGCTGACACAGCCGCCAGTCACATCACAAAGGAGTCACATCAACGTTTTCGACGAATGGGCGTGGCCGATCAATCAAGGCGTCACAGCACCCTTTGCCACGAACGAGTACACCTCAGCTCCGGCTTCGAATCTTGGCACCGCTCCGTATCAACAAAACATCGGGTTTGGCTTCGAACTCTCTCAAATTGGACCCACGGAGAATGAGCCCATTCGCATCGGTGCTGATGTCTGCTCTGTTTGGCCTTCTCAGAGCATCCAGCTGAGTGGCTTGACGGGGGCTGCGAACATTCTTGACCCGCAAGACTCTATGACGGACTTGGGGATCGACTTTGATGTTCCAATCACGCTTGGTACGGCTGGAGCTTGTGTTCATGACTATCCAGTCTCTCCTCGGGAGGCACTCCCCACCCCTGGTCTTGTGCACTCGCCGTCTAACGCACGTATCCTTGATGCTAGCCCATCAGCTTCGGGGCTTGCCACAGCAAGATCGGCCTCTACGTCCTCGGTTCCCGCGACGCCTACAAATTTTGCGCTGCTCGAACTTGACGGTTCGACGCAACCAAACGTGACCACTTCTGCTTCCAAGAACCAACAGCAAATTGAAATTCAAGGTCACTGGAATGCGTTCAACGACCCACCAAACGCACTCGGACTCGCAAGCGCATTTGGGTTCACCAACCTGGTTTCAACGCCGGACAGACCTGCCGAGGCTCTGCCTACCTCGAAGGCATCTACGACGATCAGTAGTGATATTCTGCAGCCGCGATCACAATGCCTATGTTCGGTGGCTCTGGAGCGAAGCTCGTCGAATTTCTCATCTCTCAACTTTCCGGCAAGCGTAGCAACTCCCGCTCCAGGCTGGCTCGACCCCAACGCGACTCCAAATGAGATGCTTGTGGGATCCGCGGATGTTAGCCTTCAGGCCCCGAACTTTGTTCCTACATTCCAACATTCCGCTCCGCCAGACGGTTGGGCAGTAGCGCCCATGACAACGACGATCTGCTCGGGACACGATTTTTACCGAAACTCGTCGGTTGCGAGTACGGCATCGAATTCGTCACAAACGTATACGTTTAATTCGCCGGTTCCATCTGCTCGGCAGATGTCGTCGCATGAATCCAACGGAGGAACACGGAGAAGATCACTCACAATGAGCAGCTTATCGGGGCACTCATCCTGCCTGGTCGATCGCGTACGAGTCATGAGCGTCGCAAGATCGCAACCTTCCGGCGGGCCACACCAAGGTGTGAGCTCAGCTGCAAGGATAGCTTCACCTGGGAAGTACAACTCGATGCCCCGCCTCCGAACAAGGCCTTCGGCGCCTGCCTTGTCGAGCGCGTTCTCCATCGATACCAAGGGTACCGGCAGTCTCAGGGAGAGAAGTTCGGGTGGGTCGAGGAGTCGTCTTTCTGGCTTGTTCGTGAAGCAAGGCTCAGATGCCTCTATGTGCGGAGGGAGCTTGGTGCAGCCTTCGCCAACGATGTCGGATTCTTCACAGGATTTCACCTCACCGACGAGTCTGTTCTTGGCTGCCGCTCCACCCACACCTCTGGAGGCGAGCTTTTCGGATGCAGGACAAGTCGGCGATGTTCAAGCAGATGACTTGATGACAGACGCAGAGACGGTCAATCGGGCAAAGATCGCTGTGCATCATCACCGCACGAAATTGCAACGAAGCGTTCTCAACGAGGTGGTGATTTCGCTCCAAGGCGCGTACAAGCACTGCCGACGTCAAATTCTGACCGAGATGCAGGCGGGCCGTATTGAGCAGGGCTCGATCTTGGCCGCTGAGCTGACTCAGCTCGACTCGATGCAAGAAGAGCTTTGTGCAGCTGGTGACGACGAGCCGCGTTCGTCTGTCAGCGGAGCGGTGGTGGCAGGCGAGACGAGAGAAATGCGCAAGAACCGCCAGAAGGCCGAGTCCAAGATGCGCATGCGTCGAAAGGAGGTAGCCCAGTTCGCTGCTCTCACCACGTATGCCAGGATCGCGTTGCCTCATTCTGTAGGAGCGATTTTCCAAACGAGTCCCTTGTCTGACGGGGCGATAGGACATTCGTTGGCACAGGTCTTCCTGGAGCATCGTCAAGAATGGACCACGCTGATCGCGTTGGAGAAACGACTCTTCCACACGGTGCGCGTCAAGCTTGGCTTGCAAGAGCTGATGGTCAAGAAGCTGCTCGAGTCGCTAGAGTCGACATTTGTATCTGTATAGCTTTCTATCTCGCCCATGATCGCCGACTGCAATGCATTTTTACTTTGCGCCATCATCATCGTGTCACATGGGCAGGGGAGAGTGGACGGGGTAGGCGAGCTGTCACAGTGCGCGCGATGTGCAGGGAAAAGTGAGGCAGACCTGCGAGGGCAAAAAGGGGAGATTAGGCAGTTCCCGCGTGGGAAAACCGAGCCGGTTGACACGGGAAGAGCGAGCAGAGGTGGTAGTGTCGGATAAAAAAAGAAAGATCGGTTTGTGTGGACCTCTCGTGACCCACACGCAGTGTCTTTCTCTCTCTCTCTCTCTCTGTCCCTGTCGCTCACATTGAGCAGCCTTTGAGAATGATCAGAAGTGTAGATGCCAGGAAAGAGCTCTTAATAGTGTTGGGTTGGGAGTGAAGAGCGATCGAATCGGTGAAGAGTGTTAGGTGAGGCGGCGGGCAGTAAATGAGCAAACCACGTGGATAAATCGCATGAAGTTGTTTCTGAGATTCCTGCTTGATTTCCTGGATCTGATTCGGTGCGCAAAGTGGCAATCTCAGGCCGGACAAATGATCTTTACCTCTCGAGAAGACTACAGAGACACCGGAGCGGAAAGCAGCTCCGTCTTGTGTGTATGCCAGCCTTGAGCGCAGGAGAGGAGCTAGAGAAGATATGCGCGTACCCGAGAAACTTTTCCCGCTTTCTTTTTTTTTTCTTTCTTTTTTTTTATCGGGGAGGCGATCGAGTCTGTTTCGCTGCCCGCGTGTGCCGAGGCGGGTGTTTCCCGTGTCCAGCAGCCATTTTTTTCCCGCTGCACACCGCAGAAAGAGAGAGACGGAGGGAGAGACGCTTTTGTTTGTAGGTTTCTCCGGCCACCATACGGTGCATATGGTGGGATACAGAGATGCAACCGGGAAATTACGATGGCCGTCGGTGATCATGATGTGTAGGTTTGTCCGAGTGGCGAGGAATAGTGCATTGGTGTTGTGCGTTCCCGTCCGACGGACGGGATGGTGTTCTTAACGGTGTCTCTCCCGGTGGTGAGGTCGTAAAGGGTAAGGATGAGATATAAGAAGGAGGTGTGTTGCGGTGAGGCTCGAAGGTCCCTACCACGCACATCCTTGACCGCTAATCCTTCCACAATAGACGTCTCAGAGCGTATCGCCTTCCGCACCAACATTGACGAGAATAAAGCGCACCTTCTGATCCTTCCACAGAATCACTAGAAGGTAGCATAGATCCTAGACTTCCGACGCTCAACACAGCAGACTTTCGTAGCCAAGCAACGAGAACAAAAGACACGACGATGACCGCATCTCCAAGCTTGGTCCGATCGACGTCTCGCAAGCTGAAAACCATGTTTTCCTCGTCCACCAAATCCACCGGGGGCTCCTCTTCCAGCAGCAGCGACGTCGAGTCCTCCAGCAGTCACTCCACCATCTCCTCCTCCAGCTCTTCGACGCATTCCTCACGCGCATCCTCGATGCGACGCAAGTCGCATCGAACCAAGACGCCTGAACCCGATCTGAGCATCCAAGCATCCACGTTCTCGTGGACCTGGAACTGGGACGACGACTCCTCCGCCGACGAGGACTTTGCTCCCGTCTTTCCGCACTTTCCCTCCACCCGACCGCCGATGCTGGTGACGGTGGAAGTGAGCCCACGAACGTCGATCGACACGGCATCGCGGCCGAGGGCAGAGTGGACGTTGCTACCCAATCGAGCCCTCGACTCGCTAGATCCCGACAGCTTCGACGTTAGCTACTTTAGCGACGACGATGACGATCAAGTCGAAGACTCTTTCCACCACCACCCTTCTCAACACAGCCTGTCGAAACACATCCCAAGGATCATCGTCACAACACCTCCACCTCCGGAGCCAAAGTCGATCAGGAAACCAAACAAGATCCGACGAAAACCTCCTCCGAGCTTCATCGTCGAGCCGGTGATCCTCGTGAACCCTTGCACAAGCTAGACGCTGCCCGCGGAGACTGAATAGAGGGATGATGCGGGAGAAAGAGATTCCGTGTGATTACAAATGTCTGTGTGAATGTGTGCTAAAGGAAAGGGCGGACTAGTAGAATGAGCCGTATGCTCCACCGTGACCTCCGTAAGAAGCGCCGTTGTTTCCGCCACGACCGGGACCACCGCGTCCAGATCCGCGACCGCCTCGACCACCGCCGCCGCCTCGGGCAGGAGGACCAGGTGGAGGAGCACCGTATCCTTGAGCAGGCGCACCGTACCCGCCGTAGCCACCGCCAGTACCGTACCCGCCATAACCCGCGCCGCCAGCAGGAGGAGCAGCACCGCCGTAACCTCCATACGCGGCAGGAGGAGCAGCTGCTGCAGGTGGAGGCGGACCACCTAGGCTCGGCAATCCGGCATAGCCTTGTTGTGGTTGTGGTGGGGCGGGATGCGGATGGCGTGCGCTTCCACCTCGACCGGCGCCAGGAGCAGGTCCGACGTGTGCACTGGGTTGCGTGTAGGCTGCGTACCGGTCGCCCCGGTTGGGACCTGGGGGGTAGGAAGGTGCCGAACCGCCGTAGCCTCCGTACCCTGAGGGAGGGGCAGCGCCGTAGCCTGCGTATGGATCGTAGCCGCCTGCCGGGGGGTAGGCTGGAGCAGACGCGTATGCTGCACCACCACCGCCTCCGCCTCCGTATCCGCCATAGTAGGCACCTCCATCTCGACCTGCGCTAGGACCGTATCCTCCACCACTACCATATCCACCATATCCTCCGTAATTGCCGTATCCGCCACCGCCACTTTGCGAATACTGTTGCTGATGATCCTGCGAATGTCCAGCGTGGCCTCCGTATCCCCCTCCACCACCGTAAGATCCGTGTCCGCCACCGCCACCACCATTTGCTCCTCCGCCGCGGTAGCTTGATCCACCGTGACCATTCTCCCCACCGCCACCATTTCCACCATTACGTTGCTGGCCGTTGTCGTTCCGATGGAAATCTCGACCGGGTCCACCACGATGACCACCGCGACCTCTACCGCGGCCCCGATTATCGGGACTTCCTCGCTTGACCCAGTCGATCTCCGCAGCCGACAGCACACGTTTGGGCGGCTTGAGGCCTTTGAGCAGTATCGAGCGATGCGGCGTCTTCTGCTCGGGGAAGTCGTACAGCACCGAGATGGAGCGGTCGTTGTGGATGTCGTGGAGAGCCTGGCTGGTGAGTGGTGAGTTGAAGGTCGAGCCGGGGACGCAAACCGGGTCGGGTTTCACGAACCCGGTGATTCCGCCGCTGAGGGCGGGGTTGACTGGGATCGGAGCGGGTTTGTCGCCGTCGTCTGAAACAGGTTTCTTGGCGTAGATCTCTTCGCACAGGAAGTCGTAGAGACGGGATTCGTTGCCGACAAACATGGTGTTGTTGCCGAACCCGTTGCGTCGAACTTCGTCTTCGCTGAGGAGCGGGTACTTCTCCTTGAGTGCATCAAGCAGACGCTTTTCGTCGATAAAGGGCAGCAGAGCGACACCTTGCCAGGCCATCTTCTTGCCATTCATGTCGATCTCGAATTCGCTGGGGTAGAAGTCGATGATCTCCGAGCTAGACTCGGTCATGAGAGGGTGGAACGCCGAGGGGATGGAAGCACGCGAGTCGGCGGGGAGTACGCCCATCAGCTGCTCGAACGGTTTGAAGGGTGAACCAAGGTCAAAGTTGATATCGAGCGACTCGAGGTCTTCGAAATCGGCGGCGAAGGGAGAAAAGTGGAAGGGGTAATACCATTGCCACGAAGGGACGCCTTGGTAGTAGTAGGCGAGAACCCAGCAGAGGCCTTCGATGTAGGATTTGACGACCTGTCGACGGAAGTCGGTGTCGGACAGATCGACGCCGAACTTTTCGCGGTAGTATCGCTCGCGGTAGCCAGGCTCCCACATCTTGACGGTGTCTTCGTAGTCGACGGTGCCGTCTGCGTTGACCTTGCGCTTCTTGACGGTGGTGACTGGATCGACATCTTCGTTGCCTTCGACGTCGTCGTTATCATCGCCTTCGTCGGCTGCTGCATCAGCGTCAGCGTCGCCATCGGCATCAGCATCTCCGTCAGCGTCGGCATCAGCCTCGGCAGCGGTGGCTTCGCCATCACCTCGAACGTCACCAGCTTCTGTCTTGGCAGCGGACTCGCCGACACTGGTGCCGTCTTCAACGTGATCGGCTTTGCGCTTCGTGCCAGCTGCAGTCGATGATGTCTTGTCATCGCCATCTCCGGCGTTGTCAGTGGAGGCAGCGGTTGCCTCGGCGCCCGATTCTGTCTTGACCTTCTTGACGGGAGGTTCTTCATTAGCGCCGTCCTGCTCGCTGGGTGCGCCACCCATGAGCTCGGCTTTGAGCGCCTCGGCGGCGTCCATGTTAGCTTGTCTCGCGGCGTTTCGGTCCCTGACCACCTGATTGTTGTCGCCACCGAGTACAACGGCCTTTTTGCGTGGGTCGTACGACTTGTTGCTCGTATTAGCCTGATCGCGAGCCTCTTGAGCAGAGACACCGTTGAAAGCAGGCTTCTCGGTCTCGTGTGCAGGTCGCTTCTTACTCATGACCTCGACCATGGATCCGTTGCCAAAGTTGCCCTCGTCGAGCTCTTTCTCCCTACGCTGCTGCATCTCTTCGCGTCGCTTCCTGTTGTTCTCGCGCCTGTCCTCGTCCTCCTTCCTACGACGGAAAATGTCATCTTCTTCGGAAGCGAGACCGCTGAGGATGAGCTGGGCACGACCGAGCTCGACACGACCGTGGTTGGTGAGGTAGCCGCCCATGGCGGGAAGCTCCTTTTTCCAGATTCGGAGAAGCGTGTCGATTGCACCATCCCTGATCTCGAGCGAGGGCAGATGGGGCAAGAAATCGTTACCGACGAAGAAGATGAGGAAGACCCAATCGTCGATGGCTCGTTCGAGGTCAAAGGCAAAGGGCAACTGAGGGATGTTGAGTTCGACCTCGAGATATTCGCGGAGGGTCGCTACATCCAAAAAGATGAAGGGTTTCTTCTCGGGTGGGGTGGGGGCGATCTCGTCGTGCTCGCCCGACTTCTTTTTGGCAGCACCTGTGCAGCTTGCAGCGAAGTGGCCAGGTTGACCGCAGATGTTGCAGGTCTTGGGCTTGTTGTCGGCAGCAAAGACGTCTTCACGAAGCACCTTGAAGTAAGGTTCGTGAGTAGCGAGCGAAAGCATGATGAGATCGGCATCAAGACCGTAGATGACATGCTTGGTGTTGGGATCGTGTTCGGGATGGGATCGCTGACGTCGAATGTGCTCCATGATCTTGTGCTCTCCCTCACCGGGAACGCTGGCATCGGAGATGATGACCTGAACGTCTTTCCAACCAGGGTCGGTGTTAATCTTCTGCGCCACCCAGTATCGCAATGAGGCGGCCAGGAGGTCCATGAAAGGCGTACCGGGCGTGATGGCGTTGGAATCCCAAGCTTTCTTGGACTCGAGCGCGTCATCGGTGACGGGGAGACCCTTTGCCTTCCACTCTGCCAGAGCGGCTTCCTTCTCCTCGTGCTTTTCTCGCGCCTCTTTGGCGGCACGGAAACGACGCGATCGCTGCTGGTTCATCTTTGCACGCGGCGCAACACCGTCGATGGCCATCATGAGGAGTCGACGCGGACGCACCATGTTGACGACGCGTTCTGTGTAGGCGAAGACCTCTACCATCATCTCTTCTTCGGTCTCGGGAGCTGGTTTGCCCTCTGGATGTGTACATGGATGCACAATACCATTCATATCTAGGTATAAACAGTCGAACTCCTCGCCATTTGGATTCGGCGTGGAGGTGTCGAGGGGCAGTGTGATCTCAGTGCCATCTGGACCGGGAGCTGTCTTGGGATCCTCCTCTTGCACCGACGACACGATGCGAGGGTACTTTTTGGAAAGCCATCTGAAAAGAGCGGGAACACCCATGGTTGGTGATTATGTGTCGAGGAAGAAGCGCTACGGTTATTGCGAGCGTAGCGTGGTGGTTGAAAAGCGTGCGCAGCGGCAGCGGTTGCGAAGGCAAGCCAGGTTTCTAGACCCGATGCTCAGTTGTAGAGGCTCTGTGATCGAAGGGGAATGAACGCGGAACAGTCGTTGTCAGACAGTGGAGAGAAATGATCGTAGAGAGATTGCCTGCTTTGTAGTCTGTCGTGGATACCAACTCGCTCTATGCGTTAGTACGAGAGCAAGAGGACGGATAGCTGGTGGTAATGTCGACGATGGAGGCACAAAGATGACGAGAAGAAAAAGTTGACAGATTTCTCATTGCCGAAAGCCGCTCAGGTCCCGTCAACACCGCTCAACTGCCTCGGTTTTGGTTGTCAGAATTATTCTTTTTGGGGTCTTTCTTCAGTGCGGAGATTCAATGACTGCTAAGATCGGGTGACCGATTGCTCAACCACATGGTGCATCGGGACCCCACATTCGAACTTGGCACGTTGCATCGACTTATACTCCACCTTATCCGTTCGATTTGGTGTCACACTTCACTTCATTGCTCGAGATTTCTCCTCGGCTCTGACCGGCAAGATGGCTGCTGCGGACGCCAAGCCGACCAACGTATACATCCATCGACAGGCAGGGACGCCCAAATCCTGCTTTGTCTGCTACAAGAGCTCACCGCACGTGCTCGTCTCGCAGTCAATACCTACCCTCGACTTTCTCTACGTCTGCCATGCACACCTCGCCGATCGCCATTTTGCGACCAAGCTCTCGGACCCCGCTTCCTCGCCTTCAGCAGCGACGTCAGGTGAGCGACTGCCTGACAAAGTGAGTCAGGACGAGATCGCAAAGATCAAGGCGGAGTATGAAGCCAAGCAAAAGGCAAAGGAGGCCGCGAAGGATAGCGACAAGGATAAGCAGGCTAGCAAGCCTTTCACCGCTATGGGAGTAGCAGGCAGTGTTTTCTCCACCGTCACGTCCACCGTCTCTGGCCTCGCATCCTCTGCCATCAGTTCCATACCCGGAGAGGCACCAGCTTCGACGGCAGCCGCAACAACACCAAGTCCTGCAGCAGCGGAGACACTCGCCAAACAGCATCCGCTGCATGCAAAGTACGCCCTGCATCGGGAGTTCTATGCAGCTAGAGTACGCGAATGGAACAACAAGATGGTCAAGAAAAAGGAGAAGGAGCTCAACATGCCACCCGCTCCGAGAAACGCTCTGTCTTGATCGAGTCGCTGGGTCCAAATTTGGTCCTAATGTTCATAGCGGTACTCGAAGAGCCATTATCAGACGGGATTGCAGCGATCAACAGCCTCACATGCCAATCGGAAGCAGAACAGTTGCCAACGGAGTCGATCCGACTCAATCGGTCCTTCCGCGACAAGCATCCAGCACGGGCTTGAGCACAGTACCCTTACACGACCTGCAGAACCTTCAGGCTCGCGGATCGGCACACGTTCCGGCATCGGAACAAGGTCCGACACAGTCTCTGTAACGAGATCACAAAAGCACACAGGCTGCTCACGCCCAATTAGATCGGAGCCGTCGTGTCGACGAAAAGCGAACGCACATCCAACGGGCGCAAGATCGCGATAAAAAGAAACGAATGTGGAAATATTCAACGCATGTCGAACAGGGGCGACCAGGCCAAACAAAAGGAGAAAGTTAAGATAGACAATGGAAACGAAAGTGAAAGGACGGAGCAATGCTATGTATGAGAGAATGCCAGATTTGAGACCGGCTTTGATTGGGACAAGAGATTGTTCGTGGTTTTGACCAAACATTGGGAGCCTGGCTCGATGGCCTTACGACAGAAAGGAAATGCAAGCGTAGTCAAACGATGCGAGGTTGGCGATCGACTCCAAGCATGCTTAGAGGAGGTAGGCGCCAGCGGCGACGGCGGCGACCGAGGCAAAGATGCCGAAAGCGGAGGCGACGAGCGAAGAGGAGGCGCCCGAGGTGCTGCCGCTGGAGCTGCTGCCAGACGACGAAGAGCCGCTGCTGCCCGACGAGCCAGAGCCCGTAGCCGCGGCGCCAGAGCCAGAGCTGGAGCCACGAGCCGATGTGGACATGGAGCGGGAAGCGGAAGACGAGGTGGTGGCAGCCGACGACGACGACGAGACGAGCGACTTGATGCCATTCGAGATCGAGGCGGTGGTCTGGCAGTTCGAGGTGCTAGGGGTGGAGTAGGCGGCGGTAGGTGTGGTCTGATCGGCAGCGCCGTTGGTGTACGAGTAAGTAGTTCCGGCGACGACATACTCGCCAGTGTAGTACTGGTGGAAGGTCGAAGTCTGTCCGTTGCCCTGAGGGTAGAGACCGGGTGGGTAGGCGGCATCACCCTCGCAGGTCTCGAAGACGTTGTCGGCATAGTTACCGGGCATGACAAAGTTGCAGCCCATAACGTCGAGCTCGTGCTGGCACTCGAGGGCGGTGGGAGCCTGCTCCGAGCCAGCGATGCAGATACGGAAGCAGAGCTGGTTGTACGAAACGTAGTTCATCCACTCCTCGTAGAAGACATCCTGTCCGGACACGTTGGAGGTGACGTTACCGCCGACGGGGTTGCCCATGTTGGTGGCGCCGTGAGGGTCGAGCTCACCACCCTCGTCACCAGCGACAAGGCCGATCTTGGTGAAGTCACCGAGAGCCATGAGTTGGACGTAAAGGGGAGTCTTGACGAAGTGGGCAGCAGTGACGGTACCGTCGGGCTGTGATCATCGAAGAAGGGTCCAGCAAAGCGAGGCAAGGCAAGGCGAAAAGTGGAAAAAGCGTGGTCAGCGAATGTTTGCCGTGGTGTTCGTTCATAAAACGGCCTGTTGCGCGGTTACAAAACTTACAATCACACGGGCATTGTTACGGGGCTTGGTGCAGTAAGCGACAGTCTCGCCCTCGACGTTGCCAATGACGGTACCGGGAACCTGGGGGCCGAATGTGCACCAATCCTCGACCGAGTTGAGCGAAGCAAGGCGAGAGTCGGAGGTCTGGTTGATGGCGGTGTTGAGCTGAGGAGCCGAAGGGTTGGTGGGGCCGTTCTTGTTGGTACCCCTGACACCTGGGTACGAGGCACTAGGTGTACCATATCGGAAGGCAGGAACCGACTGAGCCGAGACACCAGCGGCGAGAGCGGCGAGCGCAGCAGAAGCAGCAACAACAGACTTCATTTTTGTCGGTGTTGATTGATCTTGTATCGACGAGGTGGTGATGACGATGAGAAGGGTATCAGGTCCTCGAGTCCGAAGAGGGTGACGAAGACAAAAACGATCGTGTTGAAGACGAGGGTCGAGAAAGAAAGAAAGGAAGGTGCTTGCGAAGTCGAGAAAGCTAAGGAGCGTGTGGTAGGTAGAGGTAGTAAGGCAAGATGATGAGCGAGCAGACTAAGACGCCGAGCGATGATGGGTGGCAGAGACAGAACAGCAGCGACGGGGCAGCACAGCAAACAGGAAGCAGAGGCGAAAATAGGGGCGAGAAGAAGGAGAGCAGGGAGAGGAGAACAACAGACTCGAAATTGCAGTTTGCAGCGCCGACACGCGCGTGTTGCTTTCAATGTGGTTGTGTTGTGTCTGTTCATCCCACTGTCTATGTGGGCAAACACACACACACAGAGACACACTGCCATTGGGCCATGACCCACACAGAGGCTTCTCGGTGGCGGCAGACAAGATGCAGCACCCAAGCTTACTTGAAGCTAGAGCCTAGAACTGCCAACGCTTTCGTTCTTTTCCGACACGCAAGCAAGCAAGATGAACGCACTCACTCACTCAAACCACTTGTAATGGATGTCGACTGAGGTTTACTGAAGGCTGGAGTGAGCATCGGCGACCGCAATGGTTTCGAAACACGAGGCTTCGGAACTCAGCGGTCAGATCGCCACGAGAAGCATGGAAGCGATGAACAGCCAGCTCGGAGATCAAAAGCCCGCGATCGATTCCCAGAGCAAAGCAGCTCTGAAACCCCGCTTCGTCCTGACACTGCCCTCCTGCATCGAGACGATCAGCCATGCAGAATGCTCGCCAGCCCGTACAGCCCGTCCAGCCGCCTTGCTGCTGTACGAACGACTCGATTGCCGCTGCTGCTTCACTGCTCTCGACTGACTCGACGACGTTCGACCCGAACAAAGGCGCATGCGATGCAAAGGGTTAGGAGCAGCAGCGCACGAGCGACAACGCATCATTGTAGTGCGCTTGCATGCAGCCTGCGGGAGGGTGTAGGCTCCGCCGACAAAGAGCGGCGGATCCAAGCCTGACGCGCAGAACCACAGGCGAGACTTGGTCGCGGAAGTGGTTGGCTTGCCTATGGCCGCGGCGGGCGGTGCCAATCGGCAATTCCGGTTTCAACTCGCCCACGGCAAAGTGCGTTGAGCAAAAATAACGAACCTCGATGCTGTTCGGTGACTTGCACAGTGGTTTGAGTCTCATCGATGACCTGCTCTGCTCTGCTGTGTGCGGGATGCCGAATTGGATTTCCCGAGACACCCGCATGGTCGACGCTGCGAGATACGTTACTAGCCCGGTCGATAACAGACGACTCGCGGAGAAGCCGCTGAATGTCCTTCTTGTTTTGCGGTCACTGAGGCTCTGTGCGTCCGTCCGGCTGCTTGTTGCACGTTGCGTTCCAATCGAATGGCAGGAGGTGCCTTGCAGCACCGACCCGGTAGCATCCTTCTCTGGAATCGACCACGCGCTTCACGAGGGACAATTCTTCCTCTCATGACCGGAGCACAGCATACCAGCACTGGCCATTCTGTTAGCAAAGCAGAGGAAGCTCTCGGCGGTCGAGTGCCCTTGACCGAGGTAGATGCTGCGTCTATTTTGTCTGTGGCCACTTTGCCACAAACACACACAAGAAGAACGTGGGACCAGCCAGTCGGCCCGCGAATCTCGTCTTTGCGAAGTTTGATAGGCCGCCAAGCAGTGTCAAACTCGCATCGAGGGAAAGAACCGAAATGCCAAGAAATTCGAGTCCACGTCGCCAATGCAGATCGTGCATGTCTGGGCATTTTCGCCTCGACTGCCAGAGAGACCAACACACTGGCGTACCTGCTGAGAATTGAATTGAACTGAATTGCTGTAATCAATCTTTGATTCAAGTTTCAAATTTCGACTTTGGGTTTGCCTCGGTCGGATCTTCATGCAGCGCGACCACTGCGCATGCCAAGCCACGGACAGTGCACGCTTCTACAGCTCCACGTCCTTTCTGTTGCATTTTTCGTGCACAGCGTGTGTCGACACGAGGGAGTAGGCTCGACGGGTCAAGGTCGAAAGGCGAGAAACGTTCGGTGTCGACCTTCTGGTGCATGCTCAGCTCCGTCCATCTTATTCCATCGGAAGCTCGAATAAGATGATGTTCCCTTTGCACGTCGACCGACAATGACGGCGGACGGCTTTGGATGGCTATCAGCCGCCGTCGGTGTTCGTCGTTGCCTTCTGCCTCGGGTAGCGATTCCACCTCGTCCGATGGTTCAGGCCCGGGTCCAACATACAAAATGATATGCCTGGCCAGGTAGGCTCTTCCTTCCATGGAAGGATTTTCGCTGCAGCCCACTGGTACCGATGCATCACTCGACCATGCGATTCTTCTTTTGAGGCTTGGAGCGAGAGAACCTTCTCTCCGAGCTTGGTAGATGCTACGCTTATCTGTAGTGGCCTGGTCGCCCTGGTCGCCCTGGTCGATCGATCGATCGAAAATCGCATGCCAACGTGGCAACCCGATTGGTTCTCATTTCCGACTCCTTTTTACGGCCTCTTTTTCCTTGCCCCTTTTTCTGATCCTATCCCTAACATTAGTGACCAAAAAAATCCCGTCCTCGACTCGAGGTGCCGGCAACCTCGTGCTGAGTCGCCGTAACGACTTAACCACAATCACAGCGGTGCCATTCAAGGTACAGACAGGGGAAGATCAGCGAGCGACGAGAGTCCATGTGTTGCATTGCGAGGTGACGAGTAAAATTTGCGACAGAATGTAGATGCAAGGTGCGAAGCGTAGGTTGCCACGAGGGCTACAGCTTCGACTTGAGTTGCTGGTGACGGCGAGAGTGGAGATGCCGGGAATGCGGCACGGACTGTTCGCTCGAGCGCGAGCGCCTTCCCGAAGCACTGCTAATTTGACGAGCAGAAGTGCTACCGCCACCCGTGGCCGGAAGCTCATCATTGCGACCTTGTGAAAGCGCATCGTGCGCGACATCGGCTCGATTCGACTCCTTGCGCCACTCTCGATGTACCAGAGTGCTCGGCGCGACGCCGAACTGGTCATTGATGCCCTTCAACGCCAACTCCTTCACCAGGATCACTCTGGCAAGCGCGTAGTGGTGGATCGCGTGAAGACCGCAGAACCACAGCTCCCTACCTACAGTGCTGTCCATCTCGACGACAAATGGCGTCGTCGCGCACAGCCGCAGCGACTGGTTGTACAGTCGACCATTCGAACCTTCAAAGATTCGGTACAGTCGATCGGTGGTGCGTTCAAACTCGCGCAGTGATGTCGAGACCGAAGTCTCCATGTCGACCAGCTTGGATGCGATGCGCGAATCGTAGTCGACACGCAACACCGCCCTCGAGTCTGTTTGAAAGCGATGCTGCCAGTCAGCGATGGCATCTGTGAGGATTCGGAGATGGTCGAGCACGTGTCGAAAGTGCTTGCCCGGTGTTGAGCCGGCGATGACCTTGCTTTCGAACGTGTAGGATGAGTCGGTGATGGTTCTGGATCGCAGGAGGTCCACCGCCTGGTTCATGATCTGCGCCGTGCATGAGAGAACGCTCTCCTCTGCCTCCTTCCAAGAGGACGCCGATGCTGCCATGACGACGATGGTGTTGCAGCTGTTTCCGACCGATCGATCGTACTTTTGCTTGAAGGAAAGCGACGCAGCGATGTGAATGCGAGTCTTGCAGATAGAGCTCCTTGCGATGCGCTATTGATTGTCTCGCAGCTGCCGACGGTGGTGGAGAGCACGAAAGGTAGGCCTCGCTATGCTGAGCGGCAACGATGACTGAGCCAGCTGGTGTTGCACAGTTCCGAAGCAATCCGGCCCGCGTTAACTTTTTTTTTTTTGGTGAGGTAAAGTTTCAAGCAAGGCACAAACCTATCGGCAAAATGCCTCCACTCGACCCGTGTCTCAAAAAGAAGGGGTTTTGTTGAGTTGAAACGTGTTTCACCGTTGCGCCTCGTAAAGCTCGCGCCCCTCTTGGAGGTTGCCAGACGGCACCAGTTCCCCACAGTGCTTCTTGCTGTGCAGTAGGAGGACCCTGCATGATTCCGCTTCATGCTCTTTCATTGAATCGCAGCCCATCGACCTGAACTCATGCGTCGTGGTCCGTCATTGCTGTCAAGCTACTTCTCTTTCACACACACACTCATACAATCCTGGCTCATAAGGGGGGGCAATTTGTACAAAGACTCGAAACTAGATGAATTCTTGATTCATGCTAGAATTGCAGTGCAGATGAACAAAGGATGCTCTCCCTAAAACTCAATGACGAAAGTTGCACGAGTCTCCTGATCGACAGTTGCCCTGAGCGAAGAATTTGCACTGAACCGTGTACCGCCTGGATCCTCGTTGGCTCGGTCCTGAGTCCCAACTGCTGTCGTTGCCGTAGCGGTAAGTTCTCGGCGCCGTTGACGATAGCCCGTACGATTGGCCTGGCGGCTGGTACGTGTTGGCGCTATTGTGGCGATAGTCTTGATGGAATTCTCCCGGGTAGCTCTCTTGGCGCTGTTCTGAGCCTGCGTCGTTGGCTCGGTACGTCTGCTGCCAATAGCTCGGTCGTTCGCTTGTGTCGAGAGCGCTTGGAGCAATCTGCGATCCGTTCGACCTCGACAGACTCGACAGCAGGCTCGACAGTCCGTCGCTGGTCACGTTGGACGATACCATTGCACTGTTGACCGCGTTCGAGTTGGCTCCGCTGCCCTGAGCAGCCGTAAGGATCGACTGGAGCTGGTTCACGTCAAAGTTGAGTGCTGCAGCTGGGGCACCTTGCGATCCTGTATTCGAGCTGCCGGCAGCGACACCGCCCACAGACTGTCCCACCTTGGCTAGCAGCTCGCTGAGATTGGCTGACGAAGGGATAGCTGGGCTCGTCTCCGAGGATGCTTGGGCGTCTGCAGCGGTATCTGCTTTATCCATGCCTTCCTTGACATCCATTTCATCGGCGCCCAAGACAGGCTCCTCCATCCACGGCGTGGGAATCTCCACAGCCTCGGATCGCATCAGATCAGCAGGCATCTCGGAGATCGTTCCTGGCTGCTCCAGCTCCGATTCGTCGGGACCCTCACGCTGCCCTCCAGCTTCTGAGATCTTCTCTTCGAGATTGGCTTTACGTTGCGTCTGGAACGGTCCTTCCATCGACTCGCTTCCGACGTCACCCGAGTCGGACATTGGAAGCAGCACTTCGCGTGGCTCGCGCCACTCCATCAACGCTTCCATCGTGGTGACGGACTGACCCAGTGCCAATCCCTCGCCGTGCGTATCGCCTGCGCCCTCCACGTGTGGCTCGTCGTCGTCATCCTGCCCGTAACAGACACGTTCGACGACCTTGACAGCCACCAGCTCGCTGTCTTCCCTCCATCTCACGCGCTTCTTGACCTTGATATTACTTTGCGCGGTTAGGGCAGCGTCGGCTTTCGTCGCTGCCGCTCGGTCGGCCGAGGAGGCGCCAGATAGCCTGCCCACCAAGCTCATGATGTCCTGATGAGCGTTCTGACGACTACCGCTCGCCGCGCTTGCAGTCGAGGAGCCGCTTGCAGTGGCGGGCTTTTTGGCGTTGCCAGTGTTGAAGAATGACAGACCCGGCTTTGCGTTCGTGCTGCTCGATGACGCTGAAGCAGCCTGGGGCTTCCGGATGCTTGCGGATCCTGCCGCCGCAGTCGTTTCCGTCTTGTACCGCTTGGAACTGGTATCGACTGCTGCAGCGCCATCAGCGGGCTTGCGCTTGACGCTTGGCGTTGACGACGAGCTGGAAGCCGCCGCCGACGGTGCGGACTCCTCGGCGTCCTCATCGGTGATCATCTTGGTCCATTTCGCCCTGATGCTGGCAGCCATTTTGCGCGCAGACGGATCCACCGCGCGTGCTGAGACGCCCGTCATGGCCTTGCCGATGCCTGCCTCTTGGTCCTTGAGGTAAGCCAGCTTCATGTCGACGTATTCCAGAATCGAGAGCAGAGGGATCAATGTATCTCTGTATCGCCGGCTGTGATCGGGAACAGCCTCCGTCACCTTCTTTGGAGGCACCGTCGATCGGAGCCAGGTTGACAGGATCTGTCGAGCTGCGGGAAGCGCCATCAACGAAGCAAAGAACCTCTTGCGGCCCGAGTCAGTGTAGCCTTTGCCGGTCTCGAGCTGGACGATGCTGTGCAACGTGTCAATGATGGCCCTGCGGTCCTCCGCGCCTGTGGGTCTCGCCCTCATAAATTTGCCGCTGGGGTCCAAGTCGCTCAGAATCTGGACGAATGCATGCGCCGCTTTCTGAGGCGTACGCTCCACCGAGAGGCGAGACAGCGGCTGCCTGGCCTTGTCCGAGAGCGATGGCATCTTGGCGTTTGCATTCACGGCACTGCCCGCTGCCGTCACGGTGCCACTAGCGCCAACACTGCCGTTGGCATTGCTCGCTCGTACCGAAGGCTTCACCGCCAGTGCTTTGGCCGGCGGAAGAGGGGGAGTGCCAGGCTCAGACGCCAAGTCGACGACGACGGGGAGAGAAGGGCTGCCGCCTGGTGTCTCGACCGTGTCGGTGGACGATGTCGGAGCCGGCGGTGCTTGCTGTTTGATGGTCGATTGGGCGACTCCAGGCAAGAATCCGAGCTTGGACTGTCGCAATTTGCTTGACTTCTTCTTAAGCCCAGCATCGACGGGAGTTGGTGAGTTGGATGCAGCGGAATTGGCAGGACCGATTGATCCTTGGACGTTTGTCGCATTGCCCTGGGTCTGACTGTGCGCCGCGCTTGGAGGGGCCGAACGAACCGAGGGCGATGCTGATGCTGTAGAGAAAGTCAGAGCACTCGATAGAGAATTGTCTGACGATCCTCTGAACAGTGTCGGATGCGAGGCTGTATGCGAAGCAACAGGTGGTGGCTGCATGTATGCGGCGCCTTGCGGCGGGTGGGAAACGCCGGGCGACTGAAATTGCATGAAGTTTTGCAATTGTGGATGCTGATCCTGCTGCGTCGTGGTGGGGAAGATGGCGCTGATCAATTCATGAGGATCCCTGCCTGGATACATGTCTTGAAGGCCGCGGAATGTGGCCTCATCGATCGAGAAGGAGCTTTCCGAGAATTGGTTCGATGTTGGTATTGACGTTGGATTTGGAATTGCCGGGTACGTTTGAGGGTACAGGTGAGGCTGATAGTTCGGATCAAGCTGCTGTTGCTGGTGTGTGTGAGGTTGTGATTGGTGCATCATCTGGTCGTGAACGCCGAGATATGTCGGATACAGACCGGTGCTCGCGGTACCGACAGCGGACGTGGAAAAAGCACTCATGGATGGCACGGATGGCATCGAAGAGGCGGCCATAGTCTGCGGCACACCGTCGGGCGCGAACTGCCATGCCGGCCCTGGATTCGCGTTGGGCTGCATACCCCACGAGCCGTAAGCCGATGATGAATCCATGTCGAGGCTTTGCGTGGATGCGTTGTTCCGAGGCGTCGGTTAGCGCTACGTCGTGACTGCATCGGCAATGCACAGAGGATGCGAATGGATGGCGAGAGGCAAGCGTTTTCGTTCACCCAATGGTCCGATTGGAACCAGTCCATTTCACACGAGGAGGGGAGCAAGGATCAGTGACTGCACTACTTCATTTGCAGAAGGACAATGATTCGCAAGTCGAGAGAAGCGAGGAAACAAGGCAGAGAATCAAGGATGGAGCCTTGTTTCCCGCAAAACGGGCACTACATATGTCGGCATGTGTTGCGGTCAAACGTTTTGCGGACGGTGGAGGAGAAGAAGAAGAAGAAGCACGCCCTTGTCGAGTTTTGGGGATGAAGTTGAGCCAAAAGAAGCGCGGCGCAATTGGAAGCCGAAAGCTTACAATTATTCCGACATGTTACATCCTGTGTTATCACAGCCCGGAACTTGTTCCAGATCTCGGCGGAGGTTGGCTGGCGCGTGTTGGAGCTGCGACACCGCACAAAGCAAGGGCTGTTTGTATCGATGAGCTTTGGCCCTTCATGGTCCCCTTCGACGAGGCTGCGGCGAGCGTGTCCAACTTCATTCTCAGGTGCTGACCGTACTCGTACATTATTCGATAGATCGAAGTCTTATGGCTGACTTGGCTGTGGACCATCAGGTAGTGGGTAAGGAGGGTGAAGATGTAGGGTCATGTACTCACGCTGTATCGACCGTTGATGATTTTGCACTCCTTGCGCAGGGCTCGTGATCTTGAAGCCGTGTCTCTGCCGTTTGCCTGAGATGGGCTTGTAACGCTGTCAGGCAACGCCTACTCTGTCGTGAATCTGTGCTGCAATATGCCCTTCTCTGGGGCAACAAATGCAAGCACAGTCAATGGGCTCTTCTTCCTGAACCTCAATTGCAGGGAGTGATGAGATGGGTCAACACTTCACCACCAGCCCCAACGTAAAGTTATTAGCCCGAGCGCGCGGTACGGTATGCTCTCGCCGGATTGGCATCCGGTTTCAAGAGATTGCAGCAGCGATGACTTCACGACGAGGAAGCAGGATGACCCTGTCCGCAAAGAAGTACGAGCAGCAACAGCAGCGATAATAATGATGGAAGTCGGATGGCAAGAGAAGATTGCATCGGCGGGCGAGATCGCAGCTGCCGCTGCCTGAGCCCTCTCGCCGAAATGACCACTTTGGACTCAGCTTGCCAAATTTCTCGTGTGCCGGCCGGATGCATGACTGTGTACACTCTAACATTGTCAGTTCCGCCGCCCACGGTCCGGAGAACTGGTGATTTCAACGCGCGTTGTAGGCTCGAATTCGACTGCCGTTTGTAGTGGGTATTAGCGCACTTTGCAAACTGGATGAAAGTGGGTGAAAATGGGTCAAAGTGGTGATTCGCTGTTCGCTAATGCGACTCTCGAGTCTGAAATACTTGATATACCGCGACCCTTTCGCCGCTTCTCTAATCTCGCACTTTCCCTCCTTTCCACTTCCTTATTCCTTTCCTAAACGTTTGAAACGTCTCGAAATCGCGGTGCAAGCCAGCTTTCGATCGCATTTTCACGGTTTTCAGTCCACTTGCAACTCGATTCGTTTTTCGTATCGCCTTGTCAAGATCAGAAGGTAAGCATAACCATTAACATTTGTATTGCCTTGCTCACACGCTTTCTCCTGCTGCATTGCCTGTCGCGTGCCCGGCTGTGGTGGATCAGGCGAGGCGAGGCGAGGCTGGATCTTCCCCAGACTCGTTGGACCCTGACGAGCCGACCTTTGTGGTGTGTCGTCTCGCCTCTGCTCGCCCTTCAGGTTCACAGCGAGCTGATCATATGTCGGTGGTGCAGCTCAGTCGAGAACGTGCAGTACCTTGTCAAGGGATCCTTGGAACGCCGGCAGTCTCTCGGCTGTTGAAAAGAAAGAAAGCCAAAGTCGCTGCCCGACAAAGACAAAAGAAGACTTGTCGAAACCGAGCGACGGCGCGTGCCACGCGAACTTGCCGTCGGCTCTTACGCGCTATTGCGCACGATCCCTTCGCGTCTCTGGCAAGGTTCTTCGCGCATGTGCATGTTGTACCTCGTTTTCCCGTCTGTCTTCCGCCTCTGCTCGTTCCATCCGCCGTTGGGACTGCTGCCTGCTGGGCCAGGGAGACTGTCGGATCGTAGACATTCCGTCTAGCAGTGTGTTAACATTTTTTTGTTCTTGATACTGACTCCAAAACGCGCCTGTTCCATCTTGCAACGCCATCCTATCTGAATCTCGACGCTATCGTTGCGCGCCACGTCCGTCCACCTCGCCCTTGTACAGTCCCTTCTGGCTTCCGCTTTCGCTTCATCTGGTCGCGCCATTGCATCGGTGGGCGTAGCATTTGTCACGTCACCGTCGTCTTTCGGTGAACCTCGCACAGTCTCTCGGCCATCATCGCAGCGTCCGATCTTGACGACTCCGCGTCGCCCACCATCTTTTCCACCATGAACGCCGCGAACTTCGACCAGTACGGTCTACTTTCGCATTCAGTGGCGAACGCCTCGCATCAGCATCACGCAGGATCGCATCAACACCAGCACCATCAACAACCACATCACCAACATGCCGCTTTCAATCCGGCGTTGGGCCACGCCGGCCAGGGCGACGACATCTTCATCGCTCGACAGACAGTAAGTTCATCGTCGTCGTACGCTGTGCCTCGTACAATGGCTACCAGGTAACTGATCAGCGTTGTCATTACACCTTCGCTCTTATTTTTAGATGTTCGACGCGGTGAGCCGACTGTCTGCGCAGCTTCGCCATGCTGCCGACTCGTGCGACGCGTTTGTCAAGGTGGTAGCACGCCAGAATCCCAATGTCGCAGCGCTCGTGCTGGCACAGCAGGGCAACGTATCGAGCGCGGGCAGCGCAGCAGGTGTTCCCAACACGTTTGACTTCCTCAACATTGCGAACGGCGCGCATCAGGGCGTGGCTGCTACGCCCGGAGCCGATACGGCGGCAGCGGCAGCCACAGCCGGCGCCAACGGCAAGGCAGCCAAGAAGATGAGCAAGCTGCAAAAGCGCAAGGAGAAGCGTCTGCGCGATCCGGATGCACCCAAGCGCCCACCGAGCGCCTACCTTCTGTTCCAGAACGAGGTGCGTGAGGAGATCCGCAAAAAACACCCTGGCATGCCCTACTCGGAGGTGCTCGGCAAGGTCTCGGAGGCGTGGAAGGCGCTCACAGATGAGCAGCGACGCGTATATCAGGACAAGACGACAGAGAACATGGCGACATGGAACCAGCAGAAGAAGGACCACGAGGCCACCATGGCTCAACCCACGCCTCTCGAGCAGTGACGAGACTGGTTCCTTACATCGTCTCATGCCGTCTTGTCGAAACAAGTGGGCCTTTCCCCTTGCTCGTTGCCCGTCACCGTCCAATCTTTATTCCAGCTGCCCGAGCTCTAGAGTGCCGATGCTCGTCGATCGTTCCATACCATCGTGCTGCTTGCTCTTCCCCGATCCGCAGCCTGTACTTTTTCTGTACTATACGCCTCGCCCTTTCGATACCGTCTGAATGTGATTGTATTCTTTTCTCGAATGTCTGCATATCCGGTGGCCACCACATGCACACGAGAGAGAAAGACAGAGACACTCGGGTGTAGCCGAACAAATCACGTTTTCTTGCGCGACCGTGACGTTTAAAGTTGGAGCTGCTGCTGTAGCTCGCTAAGGTCACAAGCTCAGCACCAGAAGAATTTCCGGTCGGCTGACAACGGCAGCTCGCACGCTCCGTGTCTTTTTGGTAACTGTGCTTCCGGCAGCTGTGTTGCAATTTCCCGAAATTTGTCGGTGACAGCTCCACTTGGCAAAGGACCGACCCAATCCTCCTTTCCTTCATCTCATCCTTTCAGCAGAGCTCCTACTTGCAGCACTCTCGCTCGATCCGCCTCTTGTCCGTCGAACGAAAGGCGTTACCTGAGCTGCTACCGCCGCTCATCCCTCGCTCGAAACTTAGTCGCAAACACGTGGGCTCCGTCGCTCGTGCTCGTCAACTAACATGTCGTCCAAGATTCCTGGCATGCAGCACCTGCAGTCGTTCACCCAACGCAAGGAAAAGGAGTGCCGCAAGCCTGAAGAGGGGCTCAAGAATGACTTGATCATCCGGGCCGCTCGCGGATACCAAACCGAAAGGGCTCCGTGCTGGATCATGCGCCAGGCCGGCCGATACCTTCCAGGTAAGAATCACATCTCCCGACTGCAGACGGCACTGACCGCCGTCAAGCTCGCCCGATCCCACTTTGGCCTTTGACGCTTTCTCGAGAAATCCACTGACCCTTGACATCGTATGTCCATGCCGATTTCCCTTTCCTCACGCAGAATTCCGTAAGATTCGAGAAGACCACGACTTTTTCGAATGCTGCCGCGACCCCGAGCTGGCCTCCGAGATCACTGTGCAGCCCATCCGCCGCTACTCTGGCTTGCTCGATGCCGCCATCATCTTTTCAGACATCTTGGTAGTACCGCAAGCCATGGGAATGGAGGTCGAGATGCTTCCTGCCAAGGGACCGCATTTCCCCGACCCACTGGTGACGCCCAAGGACATCTCGACCAAGCTCAGGAAGAAGGTGGACGTCGACAAGGAGCTGGGCTACGTGTACGAGGCTATCAGCATGACTCGCACAAAGCTGGACGGCGAGGTGCCACTCATCGGATTCTGCGGTGCCCCGTGGACGCTGATGGCCTACATGGTAGAGGGAGGTGGAAGCAAGACGTTCGAAAAGGCCAAGGCGTGGCTGTTCAAATACCCGGAAGAATCCAAGGAGCTTCTGCAGAGGATCGCCGACGTTTGCACCGACTTCCTCGTGGGTCAAGTCAAGGCAGGCGCGCAGCTGCTGCAGGTATTCGACTCGTGGGCGGGCGAGCTTTCTCCCTCGGACTTCCGTCAATTCTCGCTGCCGTTCCTGCGATCGATCGCCGCTTCGGTGCGCGACATTCTCTCGACCAAGTCGATTCCGTGTCCCCCATTGATCGTGTTCGCCAAGGGCGCTCTGGGTCATTCGCTGCCAGAGGTGGTCAAGGCAGGCTACGATGTAGTCGGACTGGATTGGACGGTGGAGCCGTGCGTTGCACGCAAGGTGGTGGAGCTTGCATCGCCGGGCAAGTCTGGCTACAAGGATGCCAGCGGCCAGAACGAGGCGGGCCACCGTTTGGCGCTGCAGGGCAACATGGACCCAGCCGTGCTGTATGCAGGCAAAGATGCGATCGAGGCCAAGGTGGAGGAGATGCTTCGTTCCAAAAAGGGAGGCTTCGGAGGAGGAGGAGCCTACATCGCTAACCTGGGACATGGCATCACGCCAGGTGTGGACCCCGAGGCTGTCAAGATCTACCTCAAGGCGGTGCACAGGATCAGCAGGGAGGTCAACAGCGCTCTGAACGAAGAGTGAGCCATCAACTACACCGAATACAGATCGCGAATGTCAAACACCAAAAGAATCTCTTAATATGATCGCCTTTCCAAGCTTGTCTGCTCCTTGTGCCAGTTCGGCTTTGTGGTGTGAGCGAGATCCAGACTGCTACGGCAAATTCGAAGTGTGTACGCGGGACTTGTTCGATCCGACAGGACCGAAAATTGGGCTGGCTGTGGAAGTGCCAGTTCCCCGCAAAGCAAGTGAGCCGACGTGTATGCATGGTGCCGCATCGCCGCCTCCGGGCCGGTCGAAAGTGTAACCTTAGCAGCATGCATGGACTCCGGAACACGACATCTGAGCTCGATATATCAAGACCAGCTTGCCTTCCGTCATTTCGGGGGATGATGGAAAGGAGAGCGGACGGAGGCGAGTCGCCAAAGCAACAGAAGCAGGTTATCCAAAGCCTGCTGAGTTTCGATCGACACAAGAGCCGACCTTCCCATGTAGGTGGGCTTTCGCTGCCCTGAAAACAGGTCGCAGATACGGCGAGAGAATTCACCGCTATTGGCAAACAAATACAATAACGTACACTGTAAATTGACCACGCTGGTGAGTTGCTGCGATTTGTTAGGCAAGTCCTAGAGCCAAGGGGAAAAAAGGGCTTGCAGATCGCCCTTGTTTCGGCTGTCCCGGACGATCAGCGAGTCTCGCGACCGGCAAAAATCAGATTCAGGTATACCTGTCACTTGACGTTACAGCGGGAAAGGAGAAGCTGCAGCTGCAGCAGCACAAAGGCGCACGATGATCCCCGTTTCGGCGTAACCGAGGACCCTCCGCTAAGATGCTGCCCTTCCTCCACTTGGACCACCAGGCCCTGCCCCGCTCGATACGCCGATGTCGGCTGAAGCGAGAGCGACACTGATGCCAAGCTGGCTATGAAACACAAGATATCGGTCGTCGGCGTCTGTCCCGTGCCTTAGCCAGAATGCGAGGACAGTGTGTGTCCAGCATCCGGATGTGCCTGTTCCGATCGTGTCTGGCCAGCAACCTTGTCCGCTCCTTTGCTGTGGGTGAAACGCAGCTGGACCATGCAGCCCGCCAGCACGGAGCCCCACTTGACGACTAGCTTGCAGCTCGGACCACCATCACCTTGCCCCACATCTCTCATCCTCCTTTCCCTTTCTCCTTTTCCTTCCTTCGCACCGCCCACCTGGATTCATCATCACCGACCCACGAGCAGCATCGAGCCGACCAGTACATACACAGAGGAGCGACACAACACCCACCCGCGTCAAGCCCATCGCTAGAGACTAGAAACGGCGCTAGAACATTTCCACTTCATTCCGCATACAGCCGGATCCACCGTAGATTCTTCCCAGGCAGAACGCTCACGCTCCTCAAAGGGCAACGCAGCTGGCTCGAGCTCGCAGCCTCTCTTCACATCCGCGAACCTTAGCTGCAACCCACGTAGCGGCCCCTGTACGAACTGGATTGTCTCATTCGCATCTTTCTATTGCACCGCACATCATTGCAAGCAAGACTTCACCTGCCCCTTCAGTATCAAACACCAAGCTCAAGCATATAACGCTGGCGTCTGAACGCGTTCTCAACCTTCCCATAGACGACACAAGAGCCCTTCCTGCCCATCCTCTAACACCCTTCTCCTGTGGTTCCTCCCTTCTTCCCTCGGTCATGAGGCTGCCAATCGTGTCAACAGCCGCGGCTTTGGCCACAGCGCTGTTGCTGTCCGGACCACAACGAGCTCAAGCCTCCCTTGCAAAGTCGGATGGGCTCACCACGCTCTTCGAAGCGTTAGCTGATCTCACTCGTGCTCCGTCTCAAAAGCACCTTCCTGCTGGCCAGAACATCGTCGGCCTCAGCTCCGATCCTACTCAGCCCGGTGTCCAATGGAGCGTGCAGTCGACACAGCCGACCGTCCTCGGGAATGGTCAGCTGAACAAGCCCGACTTCCAGCTCGTCACAGACGGCGAAAAGGCTGTCTCGAGCCAGTCTTCATCGCCGGCATCCGTTTCGCCAGATTCGGCTTCCACCTCTGGCTCGGCAAGTCAGAACGCGAGTATCACAAATGCCAAGCAGGCTCTCTCTTCAAGCTCCTTCTATCCCGTCAATCCTCCCTCGTTCCCTTTGGCCGTGCGGAGCCCCTACCTCAGTGCTTGGTTGCCCTCAGGATCTAATCTCGACTCGACCCCTCCCAACACCGTCGGCAATGGCGGCTATTTGGCTGGACAGTGGTCGTCCTTCTGGACATCGTCGTATGGCGCTGACGGCGAGTTCCGTCTTGGCTGGACCGGCTACATTCGCATCGACAACGTCACCTACGAATGGATGGGCAATGGCTTTGGCACTCTGGTTCGCGCCGGCCCCGCCGCCAAGCAGCTGAGTGCCGAGTACACTGCGACCCGAACCATGTTTGCCTTTGAAGCGGACAAGGTGCGCTTCAACGTCACCTTCCTCACTCCCATCACTCCAGACGACTACCTCCGTCAGAGTCTGCCTCTCAGCTACCTGCACGTCGAACTCGACACTTCCACCATCAAAGGCCGTAGCATTCAGCTCTACACTGACATTGACGAACGATGGGTCACAGGGCACGACTATGACTACGACGAGTACCCTTACGACCAGCAGTACTATGAGAAGAACGACACTTCGGTCTTCTTCATCACCCGCAAGCACCCTCAGGTCTACACCGAATTCCGTCAGCGCGCGGAATGGGGCAACGCCACCTATGCTGCGCGCAATCACACCGGTCTCTACTCGAGGAACAACAACAACGTCGTCACCCACGCCGAGTTCATCGACACAGGCAAGCTCTCTTTCGACCATGGGCCCGTGCTCGGTCCCGACAACTCGTTTGCCTTTGCCGTAGATTTCGATGCAAAGCACGCCGACAAAGACGCTCTCTTTGTCGTCGGACACATGCGCACGCCCTACGTCAACTACATCCGCGCCAAACATCCCGGCACCAACTCGACAAAGAGCTACCAGGAGGATCGTTACGGATACTGGCAGACCAAGTTCGGCGACAATCTCGAGGATGCGGTTGCTTTCTTCGTCAATGACTTTGACTCGGCGCTTGCCAAGGCCAAAAAGTTCGATCAGCAGGTTCTCGACGATTCCAGGGCAGCCGTCGGAGGCGGCGATGTAGGTGACCAGTACGCTGCCATCACCCAGCTATCTGTTCGTCAAGCTTTCGCCACCTTTGAGATCACGGTCAGCAAGGACTCCAAGGGCAGATACAACACCTCCGACACTCTACTCTTCCTCAAAGAAATTTCGTCCAACGGCGATATGTCGACCGTTGATGTCATCTTCCCGCTCTTCCCTTTGCTTTCGTACGCCAACCCGGACATGCTCCGCGACCTTTTGCTGCCCATTTTCGAGTACACCGAGTCCGGCCTGTACCCGAACAAGTGGTGCGTTCACGACCTCGGTACCTACCCCAACGCTTTTGGATACAACAACGGCAACGACGAGCCGATGCAAGTCGAAGAGTCGGGCAACATGATCTGGATGATCCTTCACTGGGCTCAGCTCGTTGGCAAGTCCGAGGCAGTGCCTTTCCTGGAGCAGCACTACAACATTATGAAGCAGTGGACCGAGTTCTTGGTAGACGACAGTCTCATCCCGGCAGAGCAGCTTTCCACGGACGACTTTGCCGGCACGCTTGCCAACCAGACCGATCTGGCCATCAAAGGTATCTCTGCTATCGCTGCCATGGGCAAGATTGCTGACATACTGAGTCACAACAAGGACGCCAAGTCGTACGCCAACATCTCTTCTTCCTACATCAAGAAGTGGCAGGAGTACGCCATCTCGCACGACGCCTCGCACACAAAGCTCGCCTACCAGACGGATGCGTCGTGGGGTACCCTGTACAATCTGCTAGCGGACCGACTGCTGGATCTCAACTTGGTGCCGCACGCCGTGTACAAGATCCAAGATGCCTGGTATCCTCGCGTTCAGGAGAAATACGGCGTGCCGCTCGACTCGAGGCACAAGTGGGCCAAGACGGACTGGGAGATGTTTGCTGCCGCCGCCTCGGACGATGCTGCCACACACAAGCTGTTCATTGATCTGCTGTACAATTTCATCAGCGCCGGAAAGACGGATGCACCGTTCACGGATCTCATGGAAAGCACCACAGGCGATTTCCCCAAGCAGCCCGAGGATCCGCTGATCCACTTTTTGGCTCGACCCGTGGTGGGAGGCCATTTTAGCTTCTTGGCCAAAGCCAAAGCGGACAAGGCGAATGGAGTCGCCAGTGGCGGATACAGGTACGGCAACGAGAACGATGTGATTACCAACAAGCCGATCCCAGGCAAGGATGGCAACAAGAAGCACCATCAGGACCGCAAGAAATCGGCCTCGCTCTCGAGCGGATCGCAGCGCGCGTTCCAGATCCAGCCCGAGCAGTGAACATGCCCTAACGAGTGTTTAGATTTCTTCGTCCCTTTAGAGTAGCGTCTTGTCCGAAACACACTTTCCTTGATGCTGCTGAATGGCTTTTGAACAGTGAAGCATAATCCGAACTAGCTCTCGTACTGAATCTGGTTGATGAGCGTACCCACACCGTGTGAGATGGTGACGGAGAAGGTGTCGCCATGTTGAAGTGTGCGTCTTGGGTTTGCTGTCCAACCGATACCTGCTGGAGTACTGTTTTTTCGGGAACAAACTTGGGGATTTGATCAGCAACGAGCGCTCGCTATCTTTCTCACATGTGTTTGGCAAACTCACCCGGTCAAGATGATTGTTCCAGGGGTCAAGGTAGTACCTTGACTGAGGAAGGAGATGATTTTGGGGATGCTAAAGATGAGATCGTTGAGGGAGGAATTTTGAACCACTTGATCGTTTAGCTTTGCCTCGATCTGAACGTCGCGCAGGTTTGGGATGGTGGAGATGTGGACGATGGTTGGACCTATGGGACAGGCGGAGTCGAAGCCTTTGGAGTAGGACCATTGGGACTGGGCGAATTGGGCTTTGCGGGAAGAGACGTCGTTCGCGGCTGTAATGCTATACCCACCTCGAGCAACAAAGAAAGGAAAGTTGGTCAGTTGTTGATCGAGGAGAAGCTGGTGGAAGAGAAGGAGCAGGAAGCTCACCCAAGAACGTAATCCATCGCATGCTGTTCGTCTACATCCTTGCAAGGTTTTCCGATGACGACGGCGAGTTCGGCTTCGTAGTCAGCAGCGTCGTCAGCGACGAAGCTCTTGGGAATGACGGTTGGTTGTGGATAAGGACCAGCGAGGGATGTGGAAGGTTTCATGAACAGGGTTGGTACGGTAGGGATGGGTAGATTTGCTTCGTGGGCATGTTCGGTGTAGTTGAGACCGATGCAGCGAATGGTACCGACTTCGGAGGGGCAGAGCGGGGAGAGGATGGTGCCAAGTTGAAGGCGTTCCCCGGTGGATGTACCAGGTGAGAGGATGGAGGTGCCGGAGTAGACGTCGACGAGAGGTGGAGTGGAGGAGGAAAAGGGGAAGGTGTCCAGGCCAATGTCAATGTTGGGGTCGACGGGGGTGCCGATCTTGATGGCAGAAGGGTCAGAGGATGGGTGGAAGCGGACCAGGCGGGTGAAAGGGGCGGCGGTGGACGACATGGTGAGCAGGCGGGGATGATGGTTGGAGGGAGCAGCGAAGGGTGCTGTGAAGATGCGTGCGCGGAAAGAAGGTACGGTGATGCCTCGTCGTGCGAGTAGCATCTGTCGGTCGTCGATGATGGAAGGAGGTGGTTGGCGAACGCTGTTGACCGGCGAAGCTAGGTGGTCCTACTTACCCCACATCAGACCGAACCGGACACAAACGCCGTTCTGGAAGCCGAGTCCTTTTGGCGCTGCGTCTCTAGCTGTTAGGATGCGCTACTAACAATTGTCAAAACCCCTTTTGGATTTTTGACTTTGTTAGCGAGCTGTCAAAGTTGGAGACGCAGCTGTCCAAACTCCGACTCGGATCTACACTGCAGTCAGCAGCACAGCAGCACAGCCAGCAACAACAGCCACAATGAGGCAGCCCGCATTCGATTCCGCACTCGGCGACCAAACTTGGTCTTCCAACGGAAGGCGATTCAGCATCAACCCTGGCCGACTTGCTCGACGTCGACCCGAAGAAGGTCTTTTGAGACTCGTTACCGAGCGCACGTCGTCTTCTGAGGTGACCACCACACCGAAAAAGCGCTCTGTACAGATCGCAAGGTAAAGAAACGAGTCGTTCCTAGCTGATCAGGCTCAACAACGAGGGAGGCATATTCCGCCTCTAGACGCCGCGAATGGTCGACCTAAAAGCTTCGGCCTTCGCAGGTCGATGGCTGGCCATCGCTACCCCCATCGCATTGGTGCAGATCGTCATTGGCGCTGCTGTCCATGCTACAAAGCTCGTCGACACTACCACGCCACGCATCATCTTGCCTCTCTACATCTATCCTGAGGGTGATGCCTGGAATCCGTTGTTCACTGCCATCAAGAACAATCCTACCGCAGCTTTCACCATCGTCATCAACCCCGATTCTGGCCCAGGTCAAGGCACCGATCCCGGAGCTGATTATTCCGATAACATCAAAAAGCTGCGAGCCACCGCGGATACTAACCAGATCCTCGAGCTCGTTGGCTACGTCGCCACGGGGTACGGTGATAAGGATCCTGGGCTGGTCAAAAGTCAAGTCCTCCAATATCACAACTGGACATCAGCCATTCGTCCAGATGGCATCTTTTTCGACGAGACTAGTACAAGCTCAAAATGGCTCAGCACCTACAGCGGTTACACCGATTTCGTCAAATCTCTGGACTGGGGTGTTGACACCTCTTCGGTCAAGAGTATCACTGCAATCGTCAAGCCGGTAGCTACCAGTACGAGATCCACGTCGACCCCAAAGGCTGTGTCCACGTCCAAGCCCAAGTCGACCAATAAGCCGACTTCCTCGCAGAAACCAAAGTCCACCAAAAAGGCAAGTACTTCCACCAAGAAGCCGAAATCTACCAAAACAGCAAAAAAGCCGACCTCCAAGCGCAAGACAACAAACAAACACAAGCGCAGCAACCAAAACACCGCCATCACCATCCTCAACCCGGGAACCTGGCCCGAAGATCCTAGATTCTACTCCACCTCCGCCGACCACATTGTCGTCTACGAAAGCCCACTTTCCAACTTTGACTATGCAGAATATCAAAGCTTGACAGCAGGGAGCAACGCCGGTTCAGACTTCCAGCGCGCCTACATTTTCAACGAGGTCGATCCAAGAAATATCGCCACCAAGGATGGAAAAAAGTTCGCCAGCATCCAACAGCTCGTTGATGGTACGATTCACGGATTGAATTCAACAGGCGGAATCTTTGTTTCTGACCTCGGGGAGCCACAGGTTTACACAGAGTTCTCGAATGTTTGGCAGGAGTTTGTTACGGATGTGGTTGCTGTCTCAACGTGAAGGTCTGGGCCCGCTTCAATTATTGGAAACAGATGTTTGTCAGGATGATTCGATCAGTGGAATGCATGTGATGTATTCGAGGTTGATTGTGTGTGACAGAGGGACAGTCTAACGATCGAAAAGCAATGCTCGACGAGGCGGCAATGCAGGCGCCGGCACCACCAGCGCTGGCATGCCCGTACCCACCGTCTGCGCAGGATTACCCATGATGATGCTCTCACTCACACCCAGCACCTCGTCCTTCTTACCAAACAGCGCCGCATCAAACAGGTGATCCGTCGTCTTTTCGAAACTCGCCAGCATCAACACGCTGTCCTTCATCTTGGCTACGCCGAACCGCGTAATACCCAGCACCTCGCCCTTGTACGTCATCGTGTCCGCCAACAGCATGATGTGGCGCGGATCGATGCTCATGCCGTGCGCGGACATGGTGTGTTCGATCTCGCGGTACACGGATGTGCGCGCCGCTTCGATTCCCAGCACCGACTGCATCTCCATCACGTGGTTGGTGTGCGTCTGCGTGCCGATGACTCCTTCGGTGGTCATGACTTTGAGCAGGCCGTACCCTTCGACGAGCAGCTTGCGCGTGCCCTTTTCGTCCGAGATGACCGCACGCGTGGCCTGAGGGATTCCCTTGACAACGATCGAGGGGAGGGCTCGCTTGAGCGCTTTGAGGTTGTAGTACACATCGCTCTCCTTGTCAGGTCCCTCTGGTGGCACGTAGATGCGGATGCGGTTCTTCTTGGGTACCACCATGACGCGCTCCTCTTTGATCTTGAGCTTAGGCGCATTGACAATCGCCCATTTGATGTCGTTGAGCGTGATCTCGAGCTGCAGCTTCTGAATTGCCTCCATGTCAATGTGCACGCCCAAGTAGGTGTACTGCGCCGCCCAAGCTTCTTCGATCACCGATGCAATATCGCCCAGGTAGGTCTTCTCGATGCGGCCCTTGACAATTCGTGCAGCGCGTTCGGATTTCTCGGACACGAGTTTGGCTTCGATGATCGGCGTGTTGATTGATTTGGCTGCATTGATGATTTCCTTGATACGCGGCACACCGAGCGTCACGTTCATCGAGGCGACACCGGCGAAATGGAAGGTCTTAAGCGTCATCTGCGTTCCCGGCTCGCCGATCGATTGCGCTCCGACGGCACCCACTGCAGAGCCCGGCTCGATCTTGGCCTTCATGTACTTGATGTAGCACTGGTCGAGGAACGCAAGGATGGCCGCCTCCTTGATCTTGGTCTTGTTGTTGACAATAGCCCACTGGTCGCGATCCGCGCCGATCGAGAGATCGGTCTCTTCGTCCCAGTGCTCCTCGCGCGCTTCGGCACCGTACATGCCGAACGCTTCGCGCACCTTGACCGCACGCTGGTACACGTTTCCGTAGAGAAACTCGTGCACTGAGTCGCGGTACTTCTGGGTGCACGTGTTGACAAAGCGATCGCTGCTTAGCTCGCGATTCACGACCTCCATGATCTCGTAGGGGTAGAGACCGCGTCCAGCAACGTGGTGCGTGATGGCCAAGCAGTGGCGCCACAATCGGAATGGCTCGATCGGCATGGCATTGCCCTCGAGCTCGGCTGGGTCGAGACCATCGTCTCCGTAGATAAATTGCACGACACCGCCCACCGAGTTGCGAACACTGAGATCGTAGTGCGTAGAGAGATCCTCGAGCGCCTTCATGAGACGACGCTGCATGTATCCCGTCTCTGCCGTCTTGACCGCAGTGTCAACCAGACCCTCACGACCCGAGATGGCGTGGAAGAGGAACTCGGTAGGGGTGAGACCGCTGAAGAACGAGTTGCGCACGAAACCCTTGGAGGGTGGGTCCTTGGACTTTTTGGCAAAGTGTGGCAGCGATCGGTCCTGGAAGCCGTTAGGCACACGGGAACCACCGATGATTTGCTGACCTACACACGCCACCATCTGAGCCACATTGATCTTGGAGCCTTTGGAACCACAGACAGCCATGACCAGCGGTGCGTTGTGACGACTGAGCTCCGTCATGCAGATCTCACCGACGTCGCTACGAACACCTGAGAGCACACCGGAGATCATGTTCTCCAGCGTCTGCTCCTGGTCGCAACCTGGTAGATTCTCGAGCTTGCCGTGCTTTGCCTTCTCGATCAGGTCGAGACACTCGGCATAGGCGGCTTCGACCTTTGCATCCTTGTTGGTGCGCAGGTTTGGGCCCGGGATGACGTCGTTGATGCCGAGCGAGAAGCCCTGGTTGGTGAGCCATCGAGCGCACGTTTTTGCAAGCCGGTTCATCGCAGTGATGGCCGCATCGGGCCCGTAGTCACGCAGCATGACACCAAAGACCGAGTTCTTCTTGCCGTCACCGACGGTCGACTTGTCAAAGACACCGCACATGACTTCACTGTTGACGATGACGAGCCAGCCATCGTTAGGCGACATATCCTTCGGGTGACCGCCTGTAGGCTTTTCGAATGTTCGGCATTGCGCCTCGAGGTTGACGAGATGTGGACTCTTGCGGTTGGGTCGGATTAGACACGACATCACCTGCTTGCCCGTCCAAAGGCGAACGGGCTTCATTATTGCCGGTGGAGGGATGTCTATCTGAAGCTCGGCATCGGCAAAGTAGCTGCAGATCTGCGAGAATTGGGCTCGGTTGAAGAATCGATCCCGCTTAGAGATGAGGTAGGAAGCGGTGATGAAATCCTGAATGGCGGCGATGATGGGCTCTCCATTTCGCGGGGTTACCAAGTTGTGCTTGACGCCCATTAGAACTGTGGCCTCGGTTCTGGCCTCCTCGGTCTGTGGAACGTGCATGTTCATCTCGTCTCCGTCGAAATCGGCATTGTAAGGGTTGCAGGCGCATTCGTTGAGACGGAAGGTGCGCCACGGTCGAATCTTGGCTCTGTGGGACATGATGGAAAGCTTGTGGAGCGAAGGCTGCCTGTTGAAAAGAACGATATCTCCATCACGGATGTGACGCTCTACAATATCGCCGACGCGCAACTTTTCGGCGAGCTCCTCGCGCATGCCTGGGAACTTGAGGAAACGCTTGAAGCCAGTCTTGCCGTCCATGAGGTAATTGGCGCCTGGATGCACATCGGTACCGTTGCGAACGGCCTGCCGCAACTGCTCGATGTTGTGCTCAAAGACTCGCTCCGGATAGGTGAGAACCTTGGCCACCCTCTGTGGTACCGCAACTTCGTCGATCTTGAGGTTAGGGTCGGGACCAATGACAGTTCGTCCGGAAAAGTCGACACGCTTGCCGGACAAGTTGCCTCGGAATCGACCCTGTTTGCCCTTGAGACGCTGGCAGAAGCCGCGGCTTGGCTTTTGACCGGGTTGGATGGGAACGCCCGGCAGCTCCGAGTTGATGTAGAGGGCTACGGTGAGCTGCAGGAATTCCCACTGCTGTACGAGCTGACTGGTTGTGGTTCCTTTGCCGCCCTTGACAAGAGCCAACTTGAGCAGGCTGTTGGTGAAGATGATCTCTGTGAGCTTGATGGTGACATCGTCCTCGTTGGTTGCGCCGTCCTGCGCGACCGAGGGACGGATGCAGACTGGTGGGACGCAGATATACTGCCAGATGTACTCCTCGGGGCGACCGAATTCCGGCCGCAATCCGAGCAGTTCGCAATCCTCGTCCGAGATGCGTTTGAAGAGGTCGAGCGCCTTGAGCGGATTGAGATCCTCCTGTGCTTTGTTGAGATGTGGTGAGATGTCGCCGTTGCCCATCTTGATGTTGGTGGAGAAGGACGCCTTGAATTCGTCGTGCTCTGCTGCCGTCTTCTTCGCGCGGAACTTTTCATGGACGATCTTGAGCTGGCCTTGCTTCTTGACGGTGCCATTGGTGTAGCCGCATTTCGGGCAATAGAGCACCTTTCGGGCGATGGTGTTGACAGACTTAAACGTCCTGGTGCGATCGAGATTCTCGAGGTTCGGTCTTCTGAATCGTTTGAGAAACTTTCGGCGATCAGGTTCTTCGAGCAGGACGGTGGCGCAGTTCTTGCATATGCTTTGAAGGATAGCGACGGTATGCTTGAAGAAGCCGACGTGGAACACGGGAAGCACGAGCTTGATGTAGCCGTAATGGCCTACGCAGTCTGCCATTTTGAGGTGGCAAGTCTCGCAGAGAGAGTTCTTATCCGAGACACCCAGGCGCCGATCGAGGGTACCGTTTGCAACGGGTCTGCGTTCGGATTCGCCGATAGTGTAGAGGTCTCGAGTGGTGACCTCGATTTCGGACATGTTGACGATGTCCTGCTTGGACAGCACACCAAACTGGATGTGCTTGATCTTCTTCGGCGCATCTTGGGATACGAGCTGCTTCATGGTGGCGGACGTGGACAGCCTGGCAGGACAAGGAAGGTTGGGAGCAAGGTCGGGTGCGAGGAGGTCGAGAGTGGCGAAATAGCGTCAGAGCCAGCCGCAAACACCAAGCGCCAGATTCAGCGCCTGAACCAAGGGTAGCGCTCGGTAGGTCGTGACCGGGGAAGTCGTTACTGGGATTGTGCTTTGCTATGTGTTGATCATAACGGTGATGTCTGCTGTCGGTGAAGCCGATTTCTGGCCGTTCTATGCGAGAAGACTGCTGTGTTGATTGGATCGGCGCCGCTCCGCAAGTCGAAAGGCGAATCCGAGGGTGACGACTGCGGCCACGTACGAGGCGTGCGTCCTATAAGTTGACTGGCGATAGGACAAGGAAGGGTGAAATAGGCGTTAAGAGCAGCGGTTGATGAACGTGGCAGACAATTCAGTGCCACGGCGTGTGCGAATGCGATGGCGCTTGGAGAAGGATAGAGATGATGGGATATCGAAAGCATGATTCTTCTCATCAGAAGTCACATTCAAAGAAAGCAGCGCTGCCGCTCCAAAAAATTTCATTTTATCCAAAATATTTAGAAAGAAAAAGGCGCAGCAGCGAAGCAGCAAAACGTGGATCGTCGCTGGGACAAATAGCCAAGTGTTAGGTCTTATACCAGAAAGTGCTCCGAGTCCCGAGTCGGCAAGCTCCACTTTGTGGTTGGAAGATGTAGGAGAACACAGAGAGCAACACTTCATGGAATTCATCGTCAAGGTCTTGCCGCACGAACAAGATCACCACGACGGTATCGAGGACGGCCCGCACGACAACGCTCGCCGCCGTACGACTTGATTGACGCACGAGGATATCGTTGCGATGCAGGACGAGCTGGTCGAGAGGATCCGGCGTTTCTCCGTCTCGGATGACCCGCTTTCCACTGCAACTGCAGAGACCTTTGTCGATGCTTTTTCGCCGGTTTCCCATGCACCCGTTGCTCCGTCCGATGCATCTTCAAGCTCCTCTGGCAGCAGATCAGCGCTGATCAAGCTCAAACTGGCTCGCAGCACTGCGCTTCTCACGCTTGCTTCGCGCTCTTCCTCAGCGAATGCGAGGACGCCGCTGAACGGCGGAAAAGCCGATTCCTCGCGCCCAAATGTAGTCGACGAGAACATAGCGCAGCTGCTGACGCCGCTTATCCGATCCAGGCTGGCTGACACAACACCACATAGTCTCTTGTCGGCCCTCAACTTCTTCTCGGCACTCTTTAGCGTTCTGCCTTCCGAAGCTCACGACATTCTCACAGCGGACGGTATCCTGAACCTCGTGCTCGAAGCACCCGACGCCTGTAATGCTCTCACACGGCGAAATGAAGAAGGCCTGAAGAATGACATCGAAGGGTCCTTTCTGGCTCTATCGGACGAGGAGCTGGGAAGTCTGGCGGTCGCCGAGCTCTTATCGTCCGCTGCCAACTCAACGGCCACAAGAAAATATCTGGCCAGCCAGCAAGCCGTCCTGGACTGGTTCGACATTTCCGGTGCCCCACACAGCTCTACAGGCCTATCCAGCAAAGCGTTCCGATCGAATGCCGTCGCGATCGTTGCCGGACTCGCCGACGTCAAAGTGTACCGTGCAATCGACTCGGAAGCTATGCACGGGCTCACTCAATCTGCATCCTCGCAGCCAACATCGCAACAAGATCACGTTCGCAAGATCCAAGAAAGCAGGCTGGAACGGAAACGCAAGGATTATACCCTCTACCAGACGACTCGGGCCGAATTGGTAGGCATTGTCACGAATCTTTGCGCCCCGAAGGACACGACGTTTGCTGCTGAGCTCAGCCAGGACATTCGCCGAACTGTCGAGCTAAGCTGCCTCGAGGTTCTCGCTTATCTCACCGTCCAGTCGAGCTTCAAGGAGCGCGTGGCTGAAGACGAACAGCTGCTGGACGTCCTATGTACAGGTTTCAAGATGACAACGCCACGAACATCCGATCGAGACCTGACAACGGACATCGACAGCCGAAGGTTCCATGGTGCGCTTCAGCTAGGTCTTGTCACCATCTTGTCTAACGTGACCGCATACCCACCCGTGTTTACGGCGGAGGAGAAGCAGGTTCGACGTCTGCGCAAGTTTGCCAACGCGCAGGGCGACAAGCAGGGAGGCAGTCAAGCACAGCAGGATGAAGAGCCTGAGACGGCTGCGCGAGTAGAGCAGAGATGCACAGCCGTATTCGAGGCCAAAGGAATAGAGACACTCTGTGCCATTGCCGTCACTGGTCCACCTCCCTCATCGAGCAAGATTTCTTCAGAGGACACCAAAGACGTTGCCAGCTGGAAAGTCAACCCTAGCAAAAGTGTGCGTCGAGCCTGCGGAGCCGCTTTACTCGCGCTGCTAACCAAGCAAGATCGCATCATGCGTGGCAAGGCAGTACAGCAAGGTGCGCTCAAGGCAGTACTGGCGCTATCAGCTCCGATACTGCACGCTCTGCAGACAAAACAGTCGAAAGCGGGAGGCATCTTCGCGCGCGCTTCCGAAGCATCAGCCACAGCCGAAGTCAGCGCAGAGGATCTTGCGCCGTTGCAAGCATTGGCCAAGCTGCTCATCTCTTTGAACCCCAGCCTGCTCTTTCCTTCCTCAGACGGGCTTCTGTCCGTGGCGTCGGTCACATGCAGTCTTTTGCTGTGTCCTTCGGCATCCCGACTTCAAAAATTCGAGGCGCTGCTGGCGCTCACCAACTTGGCGTCTCTTTCGCCAGAAGTTTGCATGAGAATCGCTCAATTCTCTCTGGAGCATGCTGAGGAGGCAGAGGGAGGCGAAGGTAAGGACGCGAATCAGGTGTTCAGCACCACATCGGTGCTTGCACAGGCGTGCGAGCAACTGCTCATGGAGGATCACGTCATGGTACGAAGAGCGTGGATCGAGCTTCTGGTGAACTTGCTGCAGGTCGAAGCCGTGTTCGGCTACTTTGTTGCCGTGGATCGCCCTTCGGCAGCGAAATCCGCATCCGAGCCTCAAGACAGGCTATGTTTGCGTCTCAGAATGCTTCTAGGTCTTTCGGAAGCCGATGAATGGGCGTATATGAAAAAAAACAAAACGACCGCAACCAACGAGACATCTGATCCAAGCTCCGAGGGCGACGGAGGTGGAGAAGCATCGCTCGCCACGAGGATGGCCTCGCTGGCGGTGCTGGCAACAGTCACAGAGTCAAGCACAGCCATCGAGGCTCTGCTGACACTCGAACGACTCTTTCCGGTCTTGCTTGGGAATCTTGTGCTAGATAGATCCGAAGATGAAGAAAGGAATCACTGGGAGCGAGCAGACCTTGAGCCAGCGGTGGCAGAAGCAAACCGAAGCAGCAAAGATTTGGGAGCGGAGGCGCATCTCAACGGCATCAATTTGAGTCTACGAGCCAGCTACGTGCTGCTCAACGTCTTGCAATACTTGAAGGTGCACAAAGACGGGATCCACAAGTTCAAGGCGAGATTCGATCAAGCCCGAATCCTTTCTTCATTGCAGCAGATCCTCGGCTATCATATCAAGCAGCTGCAACAGGCTTCAGGGCCAGCTCACGTCCAGGATGCGCGCAAAGGACTCTTGCAGGTGATGGCCGAGTGCCTGAAGCTGGTGAAGGACATATGATGCAGCATGCAGTGCTAATATACAACTTTGCAGTACCTCGACCTCGACCTGGTCAGCAGGATGTGTGTGAGGCGATCCGTCACGACACGAGCTTTACTGGCCTAGCCGCGATGGCCTAGCCGAATTGGAAGAAAAGAAGAAAAGATCGTGAATAAATTAAGGCTTAGAAAACCAGATCGATCTTTGGGAAAGCGGAATAGGCACTTGCGCAGCCACGTTCCAAGGTTTTTGCTCTTGGTACGCGTCGCCGCCGTATTCCAGTCGACCCGACGGACATGCTCTGCGCAGCTTCGGTGCTTGAATAATTTACGGTGGTATGGTGTCGATTTCTTCGCATCCTCTCGGCCTTTGCGTTTTGACCACATCCTCCTCCTCCTGTACACCTTCGACTACCCCATCCGAGCTTCTTCAACCTTTTCTCTCTCCAGCCTCTATTCGGAGGTCCACTCAAGGCACGTCATCCATCACAAGCCGGAGCTGCTCCCGTTGTTCCTCTTGGCTGGTCTCGAGCTGTCGGTCAGAACTACAAGCATTCGACCTCTGGCCTCTGAGGCTCTCGTCGCACACCTTTCGTATTACTGTATACCCTCGTAACGGCGAATCCTACGCTTGCAATCTCGCAAATGGACTCGATACCGCAGCCCTCCGCTCCAGCAGAGGTCAGCGTCTCAGATGGTCCGTCTGCTGTCGCGTCTTCAGCAGTCGTTTCCGAGCCCCCCGTCCACGCTGAAGTAACACAACAGCAGACGCCTTCGACCAGCATCGGGGAAGAGACCACTATTCCATCATCATCGACATTTGCTGATCAAACCACTGCGGATCCCAGCATCTCTGCTGAACCATCGACCGTGACGATAGGGTCAAGTGCGGAGCTGGGCTCTGGAGCGCTTCACCAACCCGAGGCCGCTCAATCGACCGTCGATGCGGGGCAAACGACGCCCGAAACCAGCAGTGCCTCCCAACGTAAACCGGACAAACACGTAGCAGCGCCTGCTGCTGTACCCAGTGACGACCCAACAGCACAGTCTCGGCCGGCCACCATTGAAGCGATCGGTGACTATCCAGAACAATCCGATGCAGCGCCAAAGGAGAACGAGGCGATAGACACTGCGCCCATCACGGCGCCCGTCGGTTTCTCAGCAGAAACAGGCCTACCTCAAGGATCTGTGCCCGTCGCTGAAGACCTCACCGTCGCAGCGCCTTCGTCAACAGCAGAGGCCTCGGTCCCGTCGTCGGCGCCGGACTCGGGCTCCATTGTTGCACTGCCTTCCGCATCGGAAGCTGCCGCAGATCAACATAGTACGGTCGAAGCTGCCCAAGGGACTGTGCAAACAGCAGAAGCCTCAGTGTCGGAGCAATTCAGGGCCGCTGAGACACAAGGCAAGGTATCATCCACGCCCGCCTCGATCCCACAGCCAAGCGCAACACTAACAGAGCCCCAACAAGAGACAGCAGCGACGGCACCGACTGACGCCAGAGCAACCACTTCCGCAGCCGCCGAAGCGAGTTCAGCTCCTACAATCGCCCCGACGAAGAGCAACGAAGTAGCCGAGCCTAGTAAGCAAGACGATGCATCCACCCAAAAGGCGAATCAAGTGGAGCAGTCGACTGCCTCGGCCTCTGACCACCCAAAAGAATCTGCTACTACCACGGTCGACGAGGCCGCCACTAAGTCCTCGTCTTCGGCCGACGATGTGACCTCCGAGCTTGCTCTGCAACTCGCACCTGCATCCAAGGCAGTATCCGAATCAACACCTGCGACGCCCGAGAAGAAAGCGTCTGCGGATGGCGCCAACTCAGCCCACTCGGACGCATCGCTGCCCTCAACTCCAGCCCGTGAAAGCAAAGTCGCTCTCATCCTGCGTATCAACAAGGAGCTCATCCGTCTTTGCGTGGAGCTGCAGTCCAAGAATCTCACTACAGAACCTGTTTATCGCGAAGCTGCGGTACGCTTGCAGGCCAACTTGGGCTATCTCGCAAGCATCGCCGATCAGGCTGGCAAGTCTGTCGATTCAAGCGGACGAGCAACGCCCAGTGGTACTCTTCCACCGCTCGAACCGTTTCCGCGTAGCGAACATGCGCCTTCGTCGCCGCTTCCTGCTCTGTTCGATAAGCTCATTGCGCTTTTCGGGAGTGCACGTTCCTCAGATTCACCCGTTGCGGACGGCAAGAAGCGATCTCGCGACTCGACTGCCGATCTGAGCGCCGACGACCCGAGGAAACGTGCCGCGAGCAAGGGTATCGAGCAAAGCCAGGACGCACCCAAAGCTTCAACACCGTCTTCCACCTCGAATCTGCAGCAGCAAACGGGATTGTTCACGACGATGACTCCTGGCTCCGCACTATCCACCACCACTACCACGAGCCAACGAGAACAACAATCCGCAGCACCGGCACCCCATGCAGAGCAGCAACAATCGCAGCAGCCAAGCAAGGGCCCCGACCTCTCGCTGGCTCCTCCGGTTCCCATCGCTCCACCAACTGCTGCTCAGAACATACCCAACAACCCACAGGCGCAGGCGCTGATGCAGGCATTTGGTCCCAACGCACTTGTCAATCTGCACACTCTCCAGTCTCATCTTCGCGGACAGGGCACTCACCCTTGGGTCGCTTACATGGAAAACAACGTCAACGGCTTCAAAGCCATGCCGTTGCAGGTGCAGCTGCAGCATATGACTTCGCTGCAGAACGCCGCTTTGCAACGACAGAAGGCTATGGGTGGTCAGGGCTCGGCAGCTCCTGGTTCGGCCGTTGGCAGTCCAGCGACCATGTCCAATGGAGGACAGGGTGGAGTCTCGAGTCCAGCGACAACGCGACCAGTGAGTCGACACTCCGACAGCCCGGGACAGGCGCAAGCGAGTCCTTCTGCGAGCGCCTTCGGTGGCGCCGGGCCTGGAAGGACAGGCACGCCGCTGGGAGGTGGTCAAGGCGCTTTCCAGAATCGACCTGGAAGCTCCGGTTCCGTCGGTAGCATGACGAGCGCCGGTGGACGCAACCGCACAGGATCCTCCAACCTCGCCTTTGACCCTTCCCAGCTGCAATCTGCTCCAAGCCCTGCGACCTTGGGCTCCATCGGCGACTTTGCTGCGCAACAGCAGTTCGGATTCCAGGCACCTGGTCTGCAGCAAGGCTCACCTGCCGCATCTGCGGGCTCACCTTCCCAACAGCAGCAGCAACAACAACAACAGCAGGGGCCACAGCAAGCGACGGGGATGCCAATGTCTGGCATGCCCAACTTCCAGAATCTGCCACCGCATTTGCAGCAGCAGATCCGTCAGCAGTACATGGCACACATGCAAGCCCAGGCGCAGGCGCAAGGTGGCAATCCCCAGCAGATGAGCTTCAATCCGCAACAGCAACAACAGCAACCACAGCAGCAGCAGCAGCAGCCACAAGCATGGAATTTCCAATCACCGCAGTGAGGCGTCGCTGGCATGGCACGGCTGAACTCCGCCTTACTATCTTGCTCAATCTCTCTGTTCTGTATTTCTATCGGTCCTTCTCATCGAGAAGCCGATCATGTATTGGTATCAACAATTCAGAGGTTTCAATTTGCATCCACTTGTGTTGTGACAACGAAGACATGTCTGACCCGGGAGCAGCGTTTGGAACCTGACCTTTTCACATCAAAATCGACCATTGACGACAACTACAAATTGGAACGTGGCAGAGAGACATGCTGTCCTTGCTCAAGAGACTTCAGCATAGCTCTGACGTCCTTCCTCAGGATCTTGCCACTAGCACCGACGGGTACCTTGTCGACGAAATAAATGCCGCCGCGCAAGAACTTGTGGTGTGAGACTTTGGATCGAACGAACTGGTCGATCTCCTCGGCCAAAGCGTGCTTTGACAAATGCTGCTGTTGCTGTGCATCCACACTGAGCTCCACAAAGGCACAGGGCAGCTCGGTGCCATTCTCTTTGTCGTAGCGACCGACGACTGCCGCAGCTGCGATCTTGGGGTGGCTGATGAGAACGCCTTCGAGATCAGCGGGGGCGACCTGGTATCCTTGGTACTTGATGAGTTCCTTGAGCCGGTCGACGATGCTAAATTCGCCAGTGCGAGGATCGACCGTGACGATATCGCCAGTGCGGAAGAAGCCGTCCTCGGTGAACGATGCCTTTGTCTCTTCTGGGTTAGAAACATAGCCACGAAAGACCTGATCGCCCTTGATCAGCAGCTCTCCACGTTGACCTGGCTCAACAGGTTCTCTCGTCGATACATCGACCACTTTTGCCAGCGTCCCAGGGATCAAGCATCCCACCGAACCGGGGGTCTGCTGTCCACTAGAAGCATCCAGACCGGCCACAGTGAGCTCGGTCATGCCCCAACCTTGCTTGACTTCCACGCCCGTGAGCTGCAAAAACTTGGCTTCGGTCTCAGCATCCAGTGGTGCGCCTCCACAGCGAACGTTTTTGACGGTAGCAAAGGTGTCTCGACTAAGTCCCGGATGCTTCATCAACTTGGTGAGCGCAGGAGGGACCATGCCGATCATGTTGATCTTGTGCTCGGGAACTGCCTTGCACAGCGAGTCTGGTGTAAAGGGTCGGAGGATGAAGAGTTGGCCTCGCGTCTTGAGCACGAGATGCAGCTGACCGACGAGACCAATCGCGTGGAAGAAGGGAAGGAAAGTAAGCACTCGGAGCTGCTCGCCGCTGAGCGCGTCAGGTATGTATCCGGGAATGTTGAGGTTCATGGACAGCATGGAGACGAGATTCTTGTGCGATATCTGGACCGCTTTGGGCAGACCTGTTGTGCCGGATGAAGATGGGAGGTAGGCGGTGGTGTTGAGGTCGCCAGGCATGTAAGACTTTGCCGCTTTGGCCGATGCCTCGTCTGCGAGCAGTTCGCCGATGGAAAGCACACCACCGCGACCTAGCTTGGTATCGGTAAGCACGACGGTGAAGGTCTTGATGCTGGCGGCAGCCGCGCGACCGAGGTGGGTGCTGTGGATGATGACCTTTTTCGGTTTGACGAGATTGTATACGTGCTTGAGCTCCCTGCGAGCGTAGTCTGGGTTTGCGAGCGCTACTTGAAGACCAGCAAATTGCGCTGCCATGACGCAGACGGCAAAGTCGATGGACGAGTGAAGAGCTACGAGGATGGTGTCACCGGGTTTGAGTTTGGCCTTTGTGAGGAGGCCGAGACCAAACTGCTGCGAACGCAGCTTGAGCTGACCGTAAGAAATGGTCTGACCCGTCGAGCAAATGGTGATGGCTGCGCCGGCATCATCGAAGCTGACGTTACCCAGGCAAAAGTCATAGACAGATGTCAGTGGGACTTTTGGCGGTGGCAGCCGAGATGCGTAGATGCCCGTCTTGTGGTTGTAGACCGTGAAAGGGCCTAGAGAGACGTTGGATTCACCGCCAGGCTGCGTCATGGTTGACCTCCTTGCAACGTGCTTCGCCTGAAGAGAGCCGCTCGACGATTGCTGTGGGGGGAGGAAGATGTAGGGACGTTGCTATATAGGCGAAAAGCTGTCCGATGCTGCATCTCTAATGAGATGGACAGCGTAGGGTTCAGGGCCGGTTGCTTGAGCTTGATGACATGGCCATGCTGACCGACAGATCTGCGAGGAGAGGATCACAAATTCACTGCCTAGGGGTTGTCATGTGTCCGTTGTCATGTGTCTGCCTTGTAATCGACCGTTTGGAACGAAGCTTGGGATGCAGGTCGGCGTCGAAGCTAGGAACGAAAGTCCAGAGAGGGAAAGAACAGTGAAGCAAGGGGAAGCTAAGTTCAGCGGAACCAGTGTAAGAAAGGGCCACTTCCTTGTTGCGCGAGCTACTACAGTATCCTGCGCAAGCCGAATAATCTTTGGTCGGAGTCGTTCAAACCCAGTCGGGAAGAATGAGCCGGATGCTAAGAAGCGAGGAGCGTGGTCAGACGATCGAGCCCGAAGCGCTACTGTTGTCTTACAAGTCAGGTCGGGAAGACTTAGCCGGATGCTACCCGGAGGAAAGAAAGCAGCGGGGTGAAACGACCGAGCTCAAAGCGCTCTCTTGAACAGCGGCAAGGGCTGAAGCGAGTGTGGGGTTGGTGCATCGGCCCAAGCGCCTAACAGCGACTTTCGCCTGTCAACTCGAGCTTATTGATAATTTCGTAGACAAAATGGCCCGCACCAAAAACGAATCTGTCGATCCCCAAGGGTCAGGGGGCAAGAGATCGGCGATCGTCGCTCGTTTTCGAAATTCACGTCGGCTGCTCCTGTTCCGAATCCAAGCGCAGCGACGCTTTCTGCGCTCTCGAAGCGCCTGCATGAAGAACCCTCTCCCACGAACTCCGCCTCAACTTTAGCATGGGTACGGAAACGGCGACCCTTCTGACGCTGGGGTCGACGGTTTTCGCTTCGGATTCAAATTGACACCAGCGCGGCCACCGATCATGCTCATTGTTAGCCCGATGATTACGGTAGGTACAGCTGAGATGGCCCTTGGATTCGGGGAGCAGGATCTTCTCAGCCGGCAGGGTAGACATGAGCCGACCACAAGCAGCGCGATGACAGCTTCGGGAATCAAACTCAGACAACGCAGAAGCCAAGTTGAGACTCCGCTCCAACTTTGTGAGACCACGCTGTTTCGCGAAGCCCTTCCGCGACATCGTCGTACGACTACTGAAGTGTTGTATCAGCAGCTTTGATCCGTACAATCGTTCGTTCTCTGGTCTGAATCTGGGAGTTGTGTGAGAAGGCAAGGCCGCGGCCAAACAGCATTTTCCGCCTCGCTTCCACGCCAAGCGATCCGATCGTCGTCGTTCTCGCATCGAGTTGCCACCACTTTGCACGCTTGCAGAAGATGTCGTGTTCCCGACAAAGTGTTAGCTCCAGTCTTCGTCTCGCTTGCGAGGATGCTCTTCGGCAGTCCTGACGTGGGACGAAGGGGAGGAAGCCGCTTGCGAGGCTGCTTTGGTTTTCGCGGATCCGACGCTTTGTCTGGCTGGCTGGTGTGGCTTGGTCTGCTTGGCTCGCTTAGACGATCAGATCCCGCAAGGAGCAAGCATGCATGCCATGACTTTCCTTGCGTTGCTCGCCATCGATCCGCCATCGAATGTGGGCGCCTTTCCTTCCACCTGTGACGAAAGATGGTGCCAAGCTTCGTCTTCTGCAGACAGCCAGCTTTGTCCGGATGTGGGTCTCAAGGAAGCAGACTCTGAAAGCTTGTGCTGGGATGGGTTGAAATGCTGCAGACGGTTATGCGCGTAAAATTTCCGTTGCCGGTGGACACCTTCGCTTCAAGCGCCTACCATTTTTTGAGCTATATTTAAACGGAAAACTTCGGTCTCAGCCGACGTCTGTTGCGAGCAAGCATTGACGATCCGTTCCCATCCAACTCTACATCTACACTGCACATGCACTGCAGACCATCCAGCACTTTTGTGACTGAGAGTCATTCGTTACCGTTACGGCTGAGATTGGCTCCTTGAGAGGTCCTACCACTACACAGAGGACTGAGTCAAGGTGAGATGCATGCAACGAGGAAAAAGCCTTCTGATTCTAATTTTTTAGTTAAACAATTGATTTGCATGCATGCATGCATGCAACTGGAGTTAGGCGCTTTGGTCTTCAAACTGCCTACACGCCAGGCTGTTACGCAATGCACTCTTCTCCTCGCTTCTGTCTCGGTTGTCTTTCGCCTTTTGTGTATCTCTCTGTTCGGTCGGTCGGATGATCCGCTGCCGCTGCCGCTGGTGCCGCTGACCGACTCAAGCAATTTTATCCGCAGCGGCCGATTGCGCCTGGAGCTGTCAAGCTCGAACTGCATCCATCAAACAAGGGGTCCTCTCTCCCTCTATTTTCGGGGGCCACAATGGTTGCTCGACGCCAACCTTGCTGCATGACCCGCTCCCCTGGTCGACTAAGCGAGGCCTGCCTTGTCCATCACGCAGTCCACGCCACCGCCAAGAAACCAAAAGATCAGATGCGTGCTTGATTTCCACTGCATCCGCAAAGTGGTGTACGCTCTACTCCTTGTGACTTCCCCCTTCCGCTTCACAAACGATCCGATCGACCATCACCTCTTCGAGCTTCACCTCGTTGTTGCTCCCCACCCTCGTTCGCTTCACGCCGGTCTCACACACACTCTTCTTCACCGTCGTTGTCACGCGGTATTCACTCATTTCGACTCAGCAGCCCACTCATCGGATCACATCCGACGGCTCCCACACACTCTGGCTCCGACTCTTCATCTCGATTCTCGACTTTCGACCGAGTGACCGCACTGCGTCCTTCGCATCCGTCAAGGGTGACCCGCATCATCGCTGAATTTTGGCTTGCCCACCACGCCATCAGAGAGGTCGTGAGCCTGACCACAACCTTGGCCATCGTCGAATCTTTCATTGCATATCTCTTGGATCACCAGTGCCTGTTGATCGCTCTCATTGCCTCACGCAGCCGATCTCCTGCAAGCGCCGCCGGGGTCGCTCTCATTCCCCAATGCCACTCTGACATCGAGCATATCCTCTTGCAGTTATCTTGTCTTCCCTCGGCCGTGCAATCGCTGACGACACCTCGCCGCCACCACGGCACCATCGACCGGCTTGTTGGCTAGTCGCGGTGCCGGCAGGCGACGTTTCTCGCCATGCCGTTCCAACTGAGTCCCGCTTCACTCGTTGATCAACGTGCATCGGACTATCCGAGTCTGCTGCTCTTGCCCGACTCGGCTTTGCCCTTGGCCGCTCAGGCTTTCGGCAACTTTTCCGCCAACGTTCCCATCAACGTCGCCGTTCCTCAGATCTTTGTCGTCAACCCGACCAGCGACAACATCTTCCGCCATGTTGATTCCGAAAACGCCCACGCAGCCATCATCGGCCTCATCTACTTTTCCATGTGGATGGGCGCTCTCGGCTGGGACATTGTCTCCACCGTCCCTTTTGACGTTCGCGTCGTCAAGGAGACCACGTGGTCCAGCAGTTTCTCCAGCATCTACTCGATAGCCTACCTCCTCTCCCGCTACGTCAGTCTCTCTTGGCTCATCACCGCAGTCACCAACAGCGTCATCATGACAAACCAATGCGATGCTTGGATGAAGGGGAGCACCGCCTTGTTCAGCGTCGGTATCAGCGCCACCATGCTCGTCTTCTGCCTTCGCACCTGTTCCATCTGGCATATGAGGCAAAAAGTCGTCTCCTTGGTCGTCTCGGCATGGTTCTTGGTCGTCGCCTTTGCCGTTCTCCTCCCCGTCATGAGCAACGGTTCTCAACTTCCGACTTCCAACTTTTGCTCTTGGCACTTCAACGGACTCTACGTCGTCGGTGTGTTCGGCGCGCTGCTCGTCTTTGACCTTCTCTGCCTCGTGCTCACCGTCTGCAAACTCAACAAGGCTGGTTGGCGCGGCTTGATACGCAGCCTCTTTCCCTCGGGTCGACACAACCTCGATGCAGAAGACGTCAAAACCATGCTCGTTCAGAAGACCACCGCCTTCTTTGCCATTCAGTTTCTCTTCCTCATCTCGGCGCTTCTCGTTTACGTTCTCACCGACACGTACGCCTATCGCATGATGAACATCGTCGCAAGCGTCGCAGTCGCCAGCTCCATGGCAGGTCGCATCTTCCGACGCGCCTGGAGACAAACCCGCGAATTGGCGCCTCACAACCTCAATCGACCTCCTTCATACTATCCTGCCTGGGCGGAGGAGCACCCCGAAGCCACATTCAGCCGCAGCGACGTTCATTCTGTTTACACGCCCTCCGATCAGCCCGCGGCAGGAGGACATCCGGAAGCCGGTGCCATGGTTGCGGCGCGCGCTAGACGTCACCATGACAAGCACGATTCATTTGCGTTCTACGTCGAGGGCGAGTTTCGACCGCAGAACAAGGCCCGATCCATGTCCAGCCCGTCCTTGCGATCCATCCCAAGGACGTTGTCATCCACGACCGCTACCAACCAGATGCGCGAGATGGAGGCTGGCCATGCTGCAGCCGAGCCCGGTTCCGATGTTTTAAGCATGGTACCCGGCACCATGGTCATTGCCCGCAACAATCTGGCAGTGCCAATCAGTGATAGCACGAGAGCCATGCGTCGAGATTCTTCAGCGTCGCAGGGCGTACCCGCCCCCGCTTACTCGCGTCGCTTGGGTTCGGCGTCCTCGTCAAGACCACACACCGGCGGTTCGGACGCTCCGGCCTGCGCTGCGAGACGTCCCACATCTGCCAATGGACAGAATTCACCCCGACGCGGCGTATATCCGTCCATGCCGAACATACAGCTTCCGGCTAGCACAGTCGCGCCCCAGCCCCACTCGTCAAATCTGTTTTCCGGCCTGCCCGCCAGCTCTTTCCATGACATAGCAGACGCACAGTTGGCCGCGGGTCCTCGCAATCATCACGAGGACTCCAATGGCAAACAAGCACAGCAGGAAACGGTCATGGAGGAGCGGCGCCGCACTTTTGTCACCTCGCCACCGCTGTCTGCTGGAGTCAGGCTCAATAGTAAAGAGGTCTACAACGTCGACAATGTCAAAGCCGCAGCGCGACTAGGACCGAGGCAGAAACATATACACAAGGCGCTCGCCCGTCCGGCGACAGCGTCTTCAGTGCCGCTGGCTCCCGCTCTGGAACTGTCAGGGTGGCGCGGATCTGCCAGAACGGAGACTGATCCCACGCGGCGTGGTGCCACAGCCGACGCCATCGGCTCAGCAGAACCTTCATCACCGCCCTCCTTAGGGGAAGCTTCTCCGGCATCGGATCAACAACGCACCCCACGACCCAAGACAGCGCCCTCATGGCCGTCCCCTTCACTCTCGGCAACGGGTTCTGCCGCCTCGGATGTGACTGTGTTGCCTCGCGCATTCGGCAAGCCGGCTCCATCCTCTCAAGCGCATCCCGGCGCCTCTGATGCCGACCATACACCGTTCGTGACGACCGGGACTGACGACGACGCGCTTCTTGCATTTCTAGATACTGTGGAGCAAGACTCGCGTGACCGAGCCGGATGTCATCCAACGGCGCCGCCTGCAGCCTTTGCGAACGCTCTGGCAACAGATGACACGCGTCCGCGTACATCACGAGGTAACACAGCTACATCTAGTGGCAGCTTCGACGCGGATGAAGGCAAAGAACTTCAGCTCAGCCCTGGCGCGCAACTTCAGGTAGATGCTCGCGGCCGCCGTGCATCGGCATCTGCATCCGCACAGATGCGATCTGGCATGTCGTCACGCGACGGACAAGGCTGCCAAACACGGGCCTCTACGTCTGCAGGCGCAAAAGGCCGGCCCGGAACGAGTGAAGGCGGCAGCAGCGCACATCGTCCATCGACAGCGATTGGCGAGTCGGTGAAACCATTTGGATTTGGCACGTCCGGCTCTGCCCCACGCCGAGGATCCAGGGCTCAGACAGCGGGTGCGATCAGCGACGATGAAGAGGGCGAGGCCAATGCTGAACTCGGATCTGTGATTCGGAACGAGTATGCCAAGCTGGCAGCGCGCGCTCAGATGCCCCTTGATCCGCCATGTTAGTCAAGACAAATTTTGCAAGCTACCGTCGCTACCATGCTCGTTGTTTCCCCTTTCCGATACATCTCTCCCTGCTCCTGACCAATTCCGCCTTGTCACTGTCCTTTTCGAGCCATGCAAGCTCGGTGTCACGTAATCGCATCTGCATTTTGTTATCTGAGTCTTGCCTGTCTCTGTGGCTGAAGTCTGTATTGCACTTTCCAGTGATAACGCTTTTTACTCGTCGTCGTCGCGGACATTTGGTTCGGAAGAAGACGCCAGCGTTCTTCGTACCATTTCGCGGAGAGCCTGTGGATCCGAGCCGAATTCGGCGGAGCGGACTGTGATCGCGTACAGGACTGTATCAAGAAGCGGTGGCGGACAGATGTGAAGATGAAAAGTCAGATGAACCGCTCTCAGAGAGCCTGGGCCTGTGGTTTACAGCTGATAAGCGGCAACTCACTGTCTTCGATCTTGCGTAGACTCTGATTCGTAACCGTCTGCTTCTTTTTGAGATCACGCACGAGCGGGACGAATGGATCGAGCGCATCTCGGAGCTGCCGAGTCAGGCTGAGTACTTGTTTGACCACTGAACCCGTATCGCCCTGGCCAACGGCATTGGTGGCGAAGCGCATCAATTCGCCCGTCAAGTCGGAGAGTCCGAGAAGGTATCGATGGATGGGAACGTGTAGTGCCTGGCTGTCCACCGAGGTTGACGGGGCGGTTTGTGAGAGATCTGACTGCTGGCTGTAGAAGTGTGACTCTGGGACAGGTTCTGCGAGGAACCGAGCCTGAATCTGCTGTAGTGTGATGAGTCGTGTAGTGCGCAGGTAATGATAGAAAGAGATGGCTTCGATGAACTCCTCTAGCCCACCGCCAATGTTGCGCTCGTATCGCTGAGCTCGAAGCCGCTTCGCCGACGCGTCCACTTGTTCCACAGGTGAATCTAATGATCCAAGACCTTCTGACAAGGCTGCCTGCCGCAAGAGCGATACGATCTCTTGCAACTTGGTCTCAGCTTCTGAGAAGAGGTTCTGCGCCTTTGGAGATTGCTGTGCCGATGCAAAGTCATTAACGTCGACTCGATGAAGCAGGAAGATGACCTTTTTGGAGAGTGCCGTCACATCGCGGGATGACTTGATGAGGCGCTCACGTCGATCGTTGTGGGAGTCGATCTCGTCTCGGAAGGAGCCGAATGCTTCGAGGACCTTCGAGCTCGATGACGCTGTCGCTGCTGAAGAAGCAGCGCTTGTGTCCTTCGGAACGCTCCGGTCGTCGGATCGAGTCCGCTTGCTGGGAAATGGCCGGGACGGAGCCGATGGCGACGCGGCTCTTTCCTTGCGTACTTCTGACATGAGCCAAGTCAGCCGAAAACAAGGCGGACTAAGAGCTAGTTTGAGGGTGTGCTCGTGTTCACCAAGCAAGCAAACGGCATCAGCGGTCTTTCAGCTGGTTCTTCTCATCATAGTCATATACCTCCACAAAACTCAAAGCGCAGCGTTCGTGTCCCGACTCCCGCTGAGATTTTTTCTTGGCTTTTCAGCTCGAGTAAGATTAGATGCACGGATTGCAGGCTGGCCCCTGATGGGTAAGGGCACTTTACCCACAAAGCTGATATGCGGACCTGCACGTCAGACGGAACGAAAGAGGAAAATACCGTTTCTGCATCTCCGGATTCTTGGTTCCGGAAAATATGTGAGAGGCGTGTTTTGAATGTGTGATACAGCAGCACAGCTCTCAGCATACGGTTGCAGGAGCTGCAAGTTCATGGTTTCTGCTTTGAACGTTTTGTGGCTGCATGATTCCTCGTCCCACCATCGTACTCAGGGCATCTCCGCCTATCGAGCCTGCCCGCCGATCGGATTCTCGACTGGTGCACATCAGCCGCAATCGCCAAGTCACGTTGAAGAACGTCGACGTTGGGCTTCGATCGAAGCACGCCTGTCGTTGCTTAGCCAGCGCGGAACCCGACCACTCCTTGTTTTGCTAGCAAGCCGTCAGTCTAGACAAAGATGCCGACCATGGCAAACAGTTCGGATGCTCCGTCTAGATCGCTAGCAGATGCGCAAGCCTCTGCCCGAAGAGGATCATCCTCCGACCAGGGCGTTCCGACCGAGGCTCCTTCCACGTCCAAGGGCAAGCCTGGCAAAGATTCGACCAAAACCGCTTCAAAGCTACCAGCTTGGGTCAAGGACAACATCACATCCGCACGCTCGTGGCGTATTCTGGCAAGATGTTGGGTAGCTACGTGGGCCAATTTTCTTCTCATGATCCCTGGTCCTTCCCTTCGCGTCCTCGGTCAAGCCGCCTTCTTCGGGTGCATGCTTACGCTCATGATTCCGCCGTCGATGCCTCTCTTCATCTTCTTCATCGCCTTCAGCACTTTGGCAATCGGCGCTCTCGTGGGCTGGGCTTGGGGATGCGCTGCTGTGGCTGCGGCTACGCGCGCTAGGAGCCAACCCTTGCTGGCGTCAGCGGTCCAGCGCGTCAACTCATCAGCTGCTTCGGCAACCAATCCCGAGGCGTACGTCATCCAGGCAGTATTCCAGGGCGAATACCTAGATGTGCGCTCTACAGCAGTCTGCGGCGTGTTCCTCATGATCGCAGTCTACTTCACTGCTGTTCTCCAGGTCAAGCTTCCAAAACTCAAGATTGGCTCCATCTTTCTGCTCATCGTGGCTGATGTCAACTGCGGTTACGGGCCGTTGTTCCCTTACGCCAGATATACACTGGCCGAGACGTTCATGATTCCTATCGGCTGCAGCTTGGCCATCTGCCTCGCCGCGCAGATCCTCATCTTTCCAGAGACGCTCGCTTATTCCTGGCAGCTTCGCTTCGTCTCTATGCTCGAGACAACCCGCGATCTCGTCCGACTTCACTCTTCCGCACTTGCCGACGTCTCGCAATGTCACGACTCCGTCGACTCCACTTCGTCTCAGACTGGGCAAAGCCAGCCTTCGGACGACTTGTTGCAACGAAACCTCACAGCCGAAGACGAGGCAGCAAAAATTGCCGCTCAACTTCTTGCCAACATCAAAACGAATCGTACCGCCGTCGCCGAGCAGATCGAGGATATCAACGGCCAGACGGTCTGGCTCGGAATGGAATTCTACCGATCTTACCTCAGCGCTCACGACATGAAGACCGTCTTCCGCAAATCTCGCTCGGTCAGTCTTCAGCTCTCGCTGCTCAACGCCTTTTGGCGGATGATCAATCACGAAGAAGGACTTGCGGATCGTCATACATTTGACGAGGAGTGGGACCCGTCCAAAGCTGAGTTGGGCTACTCCGTAGATGGAGAACACGGAACAGAGGCTTTGCCCTCCAAGGAGCGCCTTCGACCCATCAGACTGCACGAGACGCACACGATACACCGCGTGCGTAAGGACATTTTCACAAGCGAAGCTCGGCAGCAGGTGTCCATGTCACGCATGCTGCGCATCCTGCACACCGCAGTCTCACCATCACTCGACGCCGCCTCCAACTCGATCAAGGCAGTCCAGACCTACTTCAGTGCCAACCTCTCTTGGAGGCAGAAGCGTCCCATCGACCAAATCCTTCAAGAGCTACACGAGACAAAGACCGCACTCGACAATTCTCGACGAAGCTTGCTCAACGAGACTAGATTGCAACTCCTGCAGCCCTACGCTGAGCATTTCCATGCCCTGCATCCCGATCTAGACCTCGAAGAACACTTTTTGCAAACCAAAGAATCCATTCGCGCTTTCCGAGCTGGTGCGCGGCCGCTTCAGATTTGCCTCGTATACGTGACGAATGTCATCGATGCTCTCGACGCTGTCTCGCAGCTTCACGACGAGCTTCTCACCATTGCCGATCGTGCTGGAACAAGGAAGCGCATCTGGGCTCCAAAGCATCTAGGCCGCTTCTTCGGCATCCTTACAAGCGACAAGCGAGGATCGTCCGATGGTCTCGATCGCTTGGGGCAGGGCGATGGTCAATTCGAACGTGAAGACGATCTTGATCGCGATTTCCGAGAGGACCGTGCCGACACCACGTCGTCTGTTGGTGACACGCGATCCAGAGGCAACTTGGACGGCCACCTTGACGACGAAAGCGACGTAGACGAGGATGATTCAACGCATCGCTCCTCAACTTCCCGCTCTTCTCCGCAGGTAGACGAGGAGAAGCTCTCCGGTGCGGCCAGCGCGAAGCAGAACTCCAAAAACGTCAAGCGCGAGCGCCAACAGCGCTACTACGCTCGTGATCCGGACGCTTTGCCGCCCACAAAGATCACTCATCGCATCGGAAGGGGCATCGCAGCTACGTATCACTTTGTCACCGGATCGACAGGCATCTACGCGTTGCGGATGTGTATAGCCTCATTCGCGATTTGGATCACCTTCGTGATCCCACATTCAGCCGGCTTCGTCTATCAGCATCGAGGTATCTGGGCTTTGATCATGGCGCAAACAGCTGCGGCACTCTCTGGGGGCGAGATGATCTTCACTTTTGCCGCCCGCATCATCGGCACCGTGATCGGACTGCTCTACGGAGCCGTGCTGTGGTACATTTCGACCGGCAAAGGCCACGGCAACCCGTACGGTCTGGCTGCCACGATGGCGGTAGGATTCGTTCCGCTCGTCTTTGTGCGTATATGGGCTCCAAAGATGCTCCTGCTTCCTGCCATCATGACGGGCGTATCCGTCGTGCTCATTGTCGGATACTCTTGGATTGACACGCACCTCGCTGTGACGGCGAACAGCGGTATCGGCATCGAACTTGCATGGAAACGTGCGCTCTTAGTGATCATAGGCATGTTCGTGGCTTTGATTGTCATGATCTTCCCGCGACCCGTGTCGAGCCGCTTGCTGCTGCGCAAGAACATGGCCAAGGTAACGCGACAGCTCAACGACTTGTTTGTTGAGGTGATGGAGGTCTGGATTGCCCGGAATCGTACGCACATGCAGCATGCCGAACAGTCTGGCTTCACGAATCAGATCGAAGCCGGCGGTGACGCCAAAACGTCGCGAAGCGATGCCATTGCCAAGCTTTGGGAGGAGCGTGAGGCAGTGGTTCGAGCGAGGTTCATGGCGGTGAATGCCCGGATCGCCATGTACCCCATGCAGATTGGGATGGCGACGATGGACTTTCACATTCGCGGCAGGTGGCCTGCCGAAAGGTACGTCGAGATTGCCACGGTCCATGCGACAATCTTGGAATCGCTGGGAGCCATCGTGACATCGGTCCGGGCGTTCGATGGCTTGTCGACAGTACCGGAGGCGGACACCTCAAGGCCGAGCGCTGCTTCCAAGCGGGGCGAAGATCAGGTGGACTGGCAACTGCTCATGTCGACGTCGACGTCGCTGCTGGATCCTCAATACCTTTCAGAGATCTGCACGGTGTTTGATCTGCTGTCAAAAGCGTTGCGAAATGGCGAACGTCTCAATCACGCCTACTTCTCCTTGCTGGAGAACAACTTCAAGTACGCGAACCGCAACCGCAGTGTAGACGCATTTTTGCGAAGGCAGGACGCCGAAGGCAGGGGACAGGAGGTACCTAGACAAGGCCAAGATGTGCTCAACTGGGGCATCTTGCGCGATCCCATGTACCTGCGCTACACCACAGCACGCATGGCGTCGATCACGCTCGCAGGCGAGCTTGACAAGTTCAGGGCGATCGTTCAGGACCTGGTGGGCGAAAGCTCTTTGCGTGGGTTCGACATGCTCAAAGAGACGCACGACGAACGCATGATGCGTGCCCGGGCTGCTTTTGACGATGCATAGACTTGCGTGCTTGCAGTCATTCAGAGTCGTATCGGCGCTTCTTGTTGGTAGCCCACACATTGTCACTACTTTATTCACCGTCATTCCTCGAACAATCATTCTTGACTCAGTGTGAAGCTCGATCAGCGTCCGAAAATTTCGGCGATACGTAGTCGCAGCGACACGTGGGAAAGGACGAATGTCGATCGCGACCGTTGTGGACCCTTGAGCTAGCCTCGCCTCTGGCGGGAAAGGAAAGATGGTCAAAGAGAGGCAGGCAACCGCAAATCGAAATCGGCCTCTGACAGCGAGCTGAGCCTGCGTAATCCCTCCAGCGCTGACCCAATTGCGGCTCTTTCCACGAAAAGAGAGAGAGAAGGGAGACAGAGTGACGTACAGCCGTGCCCAATACGTTGTTCCCCAGTGTTGAGGTGGAGGCGGAAAACGTAATTTCAGGTGATTTTCCAAAGCAACGCGCCAGCTGAACCTGTTCTTTTGGGTTGGACGAGCGAGATACCAGGTGCGAACGCCGATCTGGAGACGTGTAAGAATCGATGCGCGAGGTGCCTTTCACGCACACACGCACCACAGACGCTAGGCTGGACACACACGCATGCAGCTCAGCGAAAAAGCAAACAGCAGCAGCAGCAGAAGGCGACCTGACCACACAGCCTGTGCACGGTGCCCGCTCTCGACCTAGCTTCCGGTGTATCCGATTCGGTGGACACCTCGAGGCTGCGATTGAGCTGCCTAGCTCTTGATTCGCCGACACGACCCTTGATTCAACCAGGCATACTGCTTCCCGCCTCGCTTGCAACCAGAGACGTTACAGAAGCAGATTGTCATCCCTTTGCAGGTCTTATTGTAGTCAGAAACGACGCCTTTGTCCACATTGCATCGGAGCATGGCCGATGCCTCGTCCACAACGCCCTCTTGCAACAACACCATCACCGCCGTGCTCCCTGCTCCGACTCATCTCGGTCATCCCCCCTTCAGCTCTACGACGGCACATCCCGAACCATTGGAGGCATCCGTCACACCTTCTGTAGCCGAACCTCCTGAGACCGAGCAGAGGCGACCGCAGCAAATCATCATTGCCAACCCAGCATACACTCCTCTGCCCTCTTCACTGACCCAGAACGTAGCTAGCATCGCCACTCGAGACGCGACTGCTCCGGACGCATCCTCTGCGCCACCCACTCTCCGCGGCATCCATCATTCGCTAGCTTCGCAGCTTTCCACTCGCACTTCATCTCGTCGGTCCGCACGAACATCTTTCCCTTTCACCTCACAAAACATCGCCAACACGTCCGCCCCTTCGGCCTCGCCAGGCAAACGCCTCTCCTCATTCTTCCAGAAGCGAAATCCCAGGGACGTTCGCACTCCCGTCGAATCCTGCGAGCCTGCTCCCACCGCTTCCGCATCTCCGCCCGACCTCGAACGCATCGGTACGCACAGTGGCGGTCTTGTCACGGGCTCGTTGAACCGCGCAAGATCATCCAAGCGAGATCAAGTCAAGATGGTCGGCTCGCATATTCATCATGCTTTCCGTTCGTGGTTCAAAGAAACCGAAAAGGATGGCACACCGCTCCTCCCGGTCCAGCTGTCCAAAAAATACAGCGTCCTGCCGCAGGTGCTCGGTCAAGGCTCCTTTGCGGTTGTCAAAGCTGTCGTGGACAGGTCCACGGGCGAACAGCGCGCCCTCAAGATCATCGCAAAGAAGCCGCTCAAGGACAACAACGAGAAGATGCTCAAGGAAGAGATCACCATCCTCGGCAAGGTCGAGCATCCCAACATCATCAAGATGTGGGACCTCTACGAGACAAAGGAGGGCGTCTTCATTGTCACTGACCTCTGCCGCGGAGGCGAGCTCTTTGACCGCCTCGTCGAAAAGGTGCACTACAACGAGCTTGACGCACGTCACATCATGAAGCAGATCCTCGAGGGCGTTGCTTATCTCCACGAACACGATATCATCCACCGCGATTTGAAGCCCGAAAACATCCTCCTCCGCGACAAGTCTGATTCAAGCGAGGTTGTCATTTCGGACTTTGGCCTGTCTCGCTTCATCCCGGATGAAGGGCTGCTCATGACCGCCTGCGGCTCTCCGCAGTACGTATCGCCAGAGGTGCTTCTCGGCAAAGGCTACGACGCTGCCGTCGATATCTGGTCGAGCGGTGTGATCGCCTACGCCCTTCTCGGTGGTTACACCCCGTTCTATGGCGAAGATCAGCCAACGCTCTTCAAGCAGATTATCAAGATGGAGGTGCAGTTCGAGCCCGAGTACTGGTCCGAAGTATCCGACACGGCCAAGGACTTTATCCTGCACTGTCTCTGTCCAGCCGACAAGCGCATGACCGCTCGTCAGGCACTCGCTCACCCTTGGCTCGCCAACTTGCCTCCGCTGCACGAAGAGAGCGCAAGAGGAGCCTGCCTCAAAGATCGCACCCTTCGCAACCTCACCGCCATGCGCAAGCTCCGCAAGGCCGTCACCGCTGTCGAAGCCGTCAACCATCTTCAGCGTCTCCACGCGCTTCGCCAACAGAATGGCGACGCCTTGCCTCAGAAACAACAATCCTTGCTCAGCATCGCAAGCTACATCCAGTCGTACAAGCGTGGCGACTCTCTTCTCCCGGATCCGGTCGATGGCGAGCTCAGCGCATCGGCGCCCCCAGAGCTGCCCGCCCATGTGCCTGTATCTTCCGAGCCTGCAGAGATGGACACCGACGACGCTCACACAAGCAAGACACAAACAAAGGAGCGACGAGACTCAGCAATGGCGCTCGATCTGACCGTCATGATGGCCCTCATGCCCGAAGGCTGGGGACATGCTGCATCGTCATCGTCGTCCTCCCCCTCGAATTCCGCATCGCGCGGAGGAGGTGGAACTGCGGCGGTAGCAGAAGCCGCTCAGTCCACACTGAATCGCGGTCGCGATCCGACGGCGTCGCCTCAGCATGCGGACGCCAGCATGGACGACAAAGATGGTGTAGCTGATGGTGAGGCTAGCCCATCCGCTTCATCCTCCACCGATCAGTCTGAGGCCACCGTACGGCCCTCAGCCCCACCACCTGCTGCCTCTGCCAATCAGCCCCGTCGCCCCAGTCGCTCTGTGAACAAGAAGGACAACGAATCGACGAAGACTCTCAACTCGCTGCTCGATCAGTACAAAAAGACCGATGTGCCTGCCTCGGCGCGTCTCAACCCAACCGCCGCAAGGACTCAGCCCACCAAACTTACCTTCACCAATGCATGGCGCTATCTGCCCTTCCTCGTCTCGCAAGGAGTCACTATCGGCACCGCCGTTGCATCTCACGCCATCTACGGTCCACCCAAAAAGTCGTGGGGAATTGAGACCTCGATATTCACCAGAGTGTTGCGCGACATTGCCGAATACTCGGAATTCGCCTCGATCGAGGGATTGCAGAGCTTCTTTGACCTCGGTGCCTTCCTTCCGACGCCAAAGGATGGTCTCATCACCCCAGTCACCTTCCGCGTCAAGAAGCGCGGTCTGCGTGGCTTCCTAGCTGAAGCCGACGCAGCTGAGGACGGCAAACGAGAGATCAGCGCAGAGTGGGTCGTCGGCAAGCAGACCTGGCGTCGGCTACAGTCCGAGTGGCGTAGCGGCAAGCAAAAGGGCAAGGAGCGTGTCATCCTCTACATTCACGGAGGCGCCTACTTTGTCATGTCGGCCGCCACGCATCGACCCCTTACCATTTCGTTGTCGAAGTACACCGAGTGCCGTGTCTTTGGTATCAACTACCGTCTTGCCCCCGACACCAAGTTCCCGGGTGCGCTGCATGACTGCGTTGCTTCCTACTTCCGACTCACCGACGATCTTGGCATTCCACCCAGCAACATCGTGCTCGGGGCTGACAGCGCCGGTGGCGGGCTGGCAATCGCGCTCATGTACTATCTCCGCGACAACGACTACGAGCTGCCAAGCGGCGCCATGCTCTTCAGCCCCTGGGTTGATCTCACCATGTCGTGCGACTCGTGGGACACTAACGCCGAATTCGACTATCTGCCCATGCCGAAATCTGGCGACCACATGAACCCGGTCTGGGCATATCTCGGAGAGAACATCGACAAGTACCTCACCCACCCGTACGTTTCTCCGCTCTTCGGCGACATGCACGGTCTGCCACCGCTGCTCATTCAGTGCGGAGATGCCGAGGTACTGCGGGATGAGGTGACGTTACTCGCTCACAAGGCTTCGCTCTCGGGCGTTGCCGTCCGCCACGAGCTCTACGAGGACTGCGTCCACGTCTTCCAGGCATTCCTGTTCCTCGACGCAAGCCGCAAAGCGCTGCAGAGTGCAAGGCACTTTGTACGTACCGCACTCGACAAGAGAGGCAAGTCTCGCCGCTCGTCATCGGCCAAGGCGGGTGAGTCGGCTGTCAACAAGGAGATGGCCAGCGGAGCCATGCAGACGGCACAGGGGAACAAGGTCGATTCAGCGACTGGCGAGAGGAAGGAAGCGCCCAGCGGGGGATCTGCAGATGAATCAGCCGCACCAGCGCAAGAGGCCGCACCGTCGAAAGGCAAGCAGAGTACCGGCGGATTGACGCCCAGCGCTTCGTCCAGCGCGGTCGACGGAGGCATCAATGAGATGGTATCGTTGCCCCACTCGCGATCCGACGGAGACGTTGACGACGACGAAAGCGATGCAGAAGCAGGCACACTGCCTGCCGACGAAGAGGATTGGGAGCTTGACAGACGATCGTCGGGCGAGGAAGGCAGAAACGTGGCGAAGGCGGCCGGGCTGCCTGCCAAGATTGCTCAGAAAGCGCTAGGCACCGACGACAAGGCGGTCACGGAAGAAACCAGCCAGGGCGCAAAGCAAGAGAAGCAAAAGGAGAAGCAGCAGGAAGAATCCCAACCGGCAGCTTCTTCTTCGTTGTTCCCGCAAATGACAATCGAAGAGGCGCGTCTGCGCGGACAGGCTGGCATGCAGCAACAACTTTCATCGGACGCCCCGGCTTTGAGCAAGTTCCATGCTCCTGCCAAGCCACTCACGCCCAAGATGCGACGTTCGAGCAGCGGTAAAGAGCTCACAACCCTGCTCAAGTCGTTCGAAGAGAGCAAGAAGAGCGGAGGCTCCGGTCTCCAGACGAACGTCTGGACACCTTCCAATTCTTGATGTCGTGCATCCGTAGTTCGCCTTGCCTGTCAATCGAGAGTCTGATCTTCTTCGAGTTTGTTGGCGGTAGAACCAGAGATGAATCGAAATGAATTCATTACGCTCGAAGCAGTCTCCGATCATATGTCGAGCATGCCCTGAAGTGAGTGTTTGACCTGAGTAGAAGAATTCTGCGACTCTTGACAAATCATGGCAAAAGAGTTTCTCTAAGGTCAATCACCGCCGTTATAGATTTCAGCCGAAGACGTTGCAGTTCACCGACACAGAAACGAGCATCGCATAGATTCCGCGGAATTCACCCTAGCTTAGCGTGTGAAGTTTGGTCTCGCGACCCGCTTAATTCAACTCGCTACAACAGCGACAAGGTAGTCGCGATGCAGGAATTCTAGTAGGGTTAGGGTTAGGGTTAGGGTTAGGGTTAGGGTTAGGGTTAGGGTTAGGGTTAGG